ACCATTATGCATATGCTAATCTGGATATTATGATGATCAATTAAATGAAGATTGCTAAAAATGTGATAGCACTTGTTTAGAATGCAATATCAACGGATGCTTGTCTTGCTTTGCTAATAGAGAACTTAATGAAGAAATGAGTTGTATTCCTCCACCAAACTCGATTTGGTATGATAATACTCCTTGGTGTTCAAGTAAATTATTCCAAAATATTATTATTAGCTTGTAAAGTCGCAGTAATCAATTCATATTTATCAGATGACCTTAGTAAGATTATTATCCATTTTGATTTCCCTTTGAATCCTAAGAGCTTCGATTCTTAAATATAGGTTAATAGATGCTCGTAATTATTTGAATTGGTATCTGTAAAAAGTTTTGGTTAAAATTCAATTTGTATCCTAAACCCTAAGGATAATAAGGAATTATTAATATATCTAGGAGAAAACTCGAAAATTAATGTTGGTGAAGCAATCCTATTTAAAGATAATTCATTATCTCATGTAAATTGTGAAACTACTTTAAAAACGTTCATCTTTGCAACATTATAACAACCAAAAAATCCATTAACTCCAAAAATAAATTATCGTGTACCCCTTCATAAACTCAATCCTTATGCTGAAAATTAAGTATATTTAAAATCAATTATAAACAATGGAAATAGAAAGTTAATAAACATTAATTGGAGTTGTTAAGTTGAATCTGACGAATCTAGCTCTATGCTTAATTAATTCTTAGATCAACTTAACTTTCTCTAAGAATAAAATTTATTAATACCAAAACTTACTTTACCTAGTAATGCAATATTAAAATTTAGGATTTAATATTATAATTTCATCCTTATTTAATCTTATTCTGAATTTACAATATATACTCATGCAGGAGATTTACCATAAATTAATTTAGATGTAAAACCCTCATATTTTGTTTATGAAACAATTACAATTGGTGTTTCTGTTGGCACCTTAGTATAATCAATTTCAAATGATTCTTCTAGATATTAGATTTAACTAATTGAAATTGATAGATATCCTTAAAAGTCATCTTAATCAGATTTGAATACTACTATTGATTCTAATTCCTTTGAAATGGTCTACACAACTATTCCAAGATATACTTTAAGCAACAATTCAACATATACATTTTAAGTCTCTGCAATTAATTTAAATTCTAATAAATCTTAAAATTTAAACTTTACTTTTGAAACAAAAATGGCTGGATTATTTTGTTAGTTTAACAACCAAGGAATTTAGAATATTAGAAGAGATTTAAATCTCGAAATATATTGTGAAGATTTTGATTCAACATACGATAGGTAAAGTGATCCAGATATAAATATTGAAGTGGCTTGTAAAGATTTATCTTTTAATACTTCATGCAAAAATGAATAAAAATAGATAATAAATGTAAATAAAACTGATTATTTTCAATTCATTAAAAAAAATACAATATCCTCCTATACTGTCTAGGAATGGACAGTGACTGTTACAAAATTTCAATAAATTTCTAAATTTACTTAAATTATTGTTTATCTTGATGATGATTTTCCTTAATTAGAATTATAATTCAATAAAGGTTATTTAATGAGAAAAATCAATAATTATGAATAACTAAATTTTACATATCTAATTCCTTTTGAGAAAAAATTCCATTTATTAGATCTATCAATTACAATGATTTATGACTATTAGATAATAGAAATACTTCAACCAAAATTCATTTCTCATCAATTCAAGATATTTAACAGCATTCAAGAATTAAATCTTGGTGACAACATCAATCTTAAATTTGCAGCTTAATATACTAATAATATCATGCCAAGCATAAAAAATATATAATTATCTATTAATTAGCCTGCTAAATGTTCTAAATTACTTATTAATCGTTAAAGTGACTTTGCTCTTACAGATTTTTTAGTAGCATCAACTTGTGAATAATCAAATGATTCTCCTTATAAATATTAGCTGAGGTAATTCTTGAGAGAATCTGATTTAATAGATTTTTTAAATGGAATATCAGATAATTCCTTAATTTTCTATCCATTTTAAACTTAAAATTAATTCTCAATTTAAGCTCCTACTTCTATTGACTCTTCAACAATTGGAATTTTAGTAGAAGTTCTTGACAATGGGGGATCATTGACTTATATTTTTGAAAAGATTCCTATGAAACCAGCAAAAATCAATTGTTCATCAATAAAATTTTAAAATTTAACTTTATAACATAAAATAACTTTACTATTTGAAGCAATAAATTAAAAATGTAATGAGCTACATTAATAAATTTATCTTGATTTGATTTAATCTTAAATTTTGTCAGATAAGAATGAGAATATCCTAAAATTTTAAGCTATAAAAATATATAAATAGTTCTTAATATTTTCAGAAGAAGTTAAACTTAAAAATAGATTATTGAATGAAGATATTCCAAAAATATGTTTCGATCAAAATTCTAACCATTTATTTATTACCTAAAATTCCACTTAATCTGAAGTAAATTTAACAAAAAAGATAGAAGATCTCAAAGAAAATACTGAAAATTTTAATATAATTTTAAAATATTTTAGTTAAATGAAGAAACAATGCGAAGAGGAGTTATAATAAAATTTATACGTTTGGAATGAATAAATCTTTTAATAATATTAAAACTCATAAGATTGCTTAAGAAGTTTATTATACTATCTTGATGATATCTATTCTGATTTTTCATAAATAAATTTAAAAAATGAAACAATAGATCAAATAATTGATGAGTTGTTAAGGGTTTTTGATAAAATTGCAGAGGAAACCCAAAATTCTATTATAGTAAACGAAAAGCCATTAGTGGTTAAGGGTATTGAAATTATTTGGAAAATCAAAAGAAGAACAAAATCATTATTCAATCAATAATTTAGTATCCAATAAACCAAAGAAGATTTCCTTCTAGATTTTATTCAATATGAATCTGCTTATTTTTAAACGAATCCTTTAAGATTTAATTCCAATTTGGAATCAATACTCTAAAAATATTTTAATGACCAAACATTATAAATATACTCAGATAATTACTATCAAATTAAATTGAAAAACTTTTATCGTAGAAGATTTTAAGAATATGAAAATTTTTCATCTATTTATAGCACAAAATTTGGATCCTATCAAGTTTGCTAAAATACCACATAATTCTTATCTGAATATGCAATATATTGTGTAATAAGAACAAACTCTGGAAAATTTGATTAGTGTAATTTGAATAGAGTATAAAATAACAATACGATTGAGTTAAATTGTGAATGTGATAAGTTTGGTGAGATTTTCCTAACAACCTCTACAAATTTTAGTATTGTAAATGTAAGCGAGTCTCCTAAACAAATATTTAATCTTGATTTTGATTCCAAATCCTAAAATCTATTAGCTTTACAGCTTAGTACATGTTCTTTGTCATTAATTTTTCTTGGCATTTTTATTTTTTAATTATATAAAGATAAAAAAGTTGAATAAGAGAGGTCTGATACTGAATAAACTAATTTGAGCCCACCAAACATATTAGATAAAAATACTTTAATATATCACAGTAATTCTAAAGTATTTAAAGAAAAATTAAAGGTATCATTTAATTGATATATTAGCAAATCCATTAATCTATTTCACTATTTTATTATAAAGACAAAAATATTGAATTTAGTTATAGGATTTTATAAGTACTCTCCTAATTCAATTTATAATTAACTTTAACATTACTTGAATGCTATTTGTTCAATAATTAAATTCTTTTCAGTTGCGTATTTATAATCCTAAATCCTTTTATCATTTTGTTGATGAGAATTTTTTATAAAATTATTGAAGCAATATATAGGTTCAAAAGAATTGCTGCTCTTATTAGCCATCTTCTACTTATCATATTAATGATGTCCCCCAATCTTGTCATTTATATTTTTTACATAAAAAAGTATCTATTAAACTATGATAGAATTTAAATGCAATCAGAATAATATGTAGTTGCCATTATCTATTTAGGGAATATATTGATTTCACAAGCACTAATAGAACCACTTACAATATTTGGAAGAATATTAATATATAGGATGATAGCTAAAAGTTTGAAAAATATGGATTTAAATCCTGTGTATCATTTAATGCACTTTTTTGTTATGCATAGCAGTTTAGAAGAAATATTTGAAGAATTCACAAAAATTTGATAATATAATAAATCAAATATATTCATTAATTTCATTTTATATATTATTCATTTTATATATATTGTTATATTAATTTAGAAATGTACTTCTTGAGCTGGTGGAAAATCTAATTTTATTTTAAAATATCTATTGACAAAGTGATTGATTGGTGAAATCTCATAGGTTTGAAATATTTGTAATTATGAAGAGGCATAGGATATTTAGAAATTTCAACTTTTGAAGCAGCGCTATTATTATTATTAGTCTTTTTGAAAATTTTGTAATCAATTAATTATTCGGTAATACATTTAACTAAATAATGATTAATTTCAAATTGTAATTTATGAAATGCAAATAATTTTAATATTCAATAAATTATTAGTTTAACAAAGATTAAATATTAATTAAATAAATTCTTGAATCAAAAGTGGATAAGAGATCTAAGCATCTTTGTTATTAAAACATCTTTCTCGAGTATCTTACAAATAGGTTGGCACTAACATACTTTATTGTTGAATAAAGAGAAGAGTTTAATACATTCTATGAACTCTTACAAGGTATTTATATAAATTAATTACTTAATCTCCTCTGAAGATCCTTTAGAATTTGCTTAATCGTCAAGATTGAAGAAGAGAAATAAAGAGATTTCTTAAAGAAATTTTGAAAAAAGGAAAAAAATAAGTATTGAATTTAGAACAAAACAGAAAGAAATACTTGACTGATTCTTTAGAAAGTAATCATAGAGACAAAACCAATTTAGAGACTCATAACCCACCCATAAAATACTAATTTAGAACTTATTTATATTAAAAAATGAATAAATATAACTTTGAATATTATAATATGATCATAATAAAATATATATAATCAAATATATAAGGATCAATAATTGCCCTTAAGTTTCTGTTTATTATTAATTTAAACTTTATGCTTGTGCAGCCAAAGCAAGCTAAGTAATTTTTGTATCACTCCACAAAATCTATACAAAAGTAAATCCAGGTTCGTTACATTAACAATAAGGTACTGGTCTTGAGGTAGTTATTTATTTGTATTAGCATCCTTAATTGTTGTATTCCAAACTATAAACTGAATTAGATTGTTTTATCTAGATTAATTATAAAAATGGATACTTAAAAGCATCCAAGACCAATAACATCTTACATTTTCAGCAATGGCTCATAATCATAATTTGGAACATAATGCCAATAATGAAACTCAGAGGAAGGAGGGAAATAGATTTCTCCATATTTATCCATAAATTAACAATAAGTGACAGTAGAATTGTAAATAAATGTCGAATTTAGAAATGAATCTAACATATCATTAGAAACAGCCAGCACTAGTTTATACTATGATAAATCTCTATATAATACCTTTATTAATACAGATTTGAATTTGTATTCACATTAAGCTGATTTTATTTATTTTTAATTTATTTTCATATTAGTATAACTTACTATTAGAAATCAAAATATAATATACTTGTATCTTTCCATTTAGCAATAATAGCACTAAAATATCCTTATTCAAAGTAAATCACATTCTTTTATGAATCCAAATCAATATATTTGAACATTAAGGATCTAATTAAATCAATTATTTATATTTAAAAAGTCTAAAGAGCACTTGTTTCTAATGTTTTAATTGTTTTTAATTTCTATGTCATGTATTCTATGCTTCTTAAAAACCAATTGATTTCACTTTACTATACACTATTTTTAGCTATAGATTTGCCTAATTCATATAAGGCATTTAATTGTTTAAATGTCAAAGTAGAATTTCTATTCAATAAATCATAAACCTAGATAACAGAAAAACTAAAAATATATCATCACAGTAACCTTGCTATTTATGACTCATCTGCTCCACTTACTAACTATTTTTCAACAGCAGCGTTTTCAGTTGAGTTCAATAAACAAGTTTAACCATATTGTTCACCTCCTTAAGTTGCTGTACAAGCACATGTATGATTTGAGGTACAATAACCTGTTTTTGAGCATGCACAACATTCCCCAACGTTAACGCAAGATTTAGCATATAACTAAAAATAGAATTTAATGAATTACATCTATGATGTGCACAGGCTTTATCAATGATGCTGCATATGATAAACTATGGATTGTTAAACTCATTACCTAACAATTAGAAGATGAAATAACATTATAATTAATATTATTCAGAAATAATCAAAAAAATCTTTCTAAAGTTAACTAGTAAATTGAAAAAAATTATTAATATGAACATAAATTACTATCCTTTTAATTTTTGATATAAGATTTTTCAGTCATCATATATATTATATAGTTTTTCGTTACAACTTTTGTACCCTTTTTATGCTATTCAGAAATAAATTATCAATACAAGTTGACGTGGCCGAGTGGTCTAAGGCGGTGGATTAAGGCTCCATTCCGAAAGGGCGCGAGTTCGAACCTCGCCGTCAACATTTTTATAATTTTTTTTATTTATTAATTAATATTCAACATATGAAGATAAAAATTCATTTGCTCATATTTGATTAAAAAAGGGATATTTTTAATTACAATATTTTTTTAATTTTAATCAATAGTTGGATTAAGAAGGTGTAAAAAATTGATGTAACTTTTTAGATTTGGGCTATTATTTTACTTTATTTAATATTAATATACTTAATAATTATGGTTAAATAATTCATCAGATATATATATATCTGTTTAAGTTACTTACTATAAAAGTATAAATTATTTATGTTCATCAAATATTTTAATATGATCATGCTTCTTAGTTGATTTATAATCTCTCACATAAATCTTTTAAGTATGTGATATTTTAATTGATTCTTGAGTTTTTATCTTTAATCACTGAGCATGCTACTACATTTCTACTTGTTCCACACATTCTGCCTAAATCAACTTTGCTCTTGATAAATACATAAGGAACATTCTAATTAATGTAAATTAATGAGTCTTACTTTATCTTCACAAAGCAAAGGTAAATGAAGCACTATTTCTAATGGAGTTGTATCTGCTGCAATAATGACTAACTCTGCAATACCTCTATTTAATGTTTTTGTTGTTTCATTAGCTCCTTTTTTTAACTAATCTTATATCTAAAATCAATACTTATTTAAGAGCAGCTGCTTATTAGACAAGTTCTAAAATTTGTGGTTCAACTTCTTCATTAGCTAATGGCTAAGCTCTTTCTGGGTATTCGTTTTACTAAATTATATCAATACACAATTTACCATTAGTTATTATATTTGCAAAATATTTAATGTAAATCAAATTAATATTTTCATTTCTAATTTCTATATAATAATTTTAAAGATCTAATGGATTATATGAATATAAAGTATATAACAATTTTTTATTATGAAACATGATTATGTGTAAATAATAAATAAGAAATTTGTAATAATTATCAATTTTTAATAATATTAATGTAAAATATATAAAGATTGCTCATAGCTCCAGATTCATCAAGAAAGTATTTGATCAAACAAGATGCCATGAATTTACTTCTCAGTATCATCCTCTGTTTGTTTTATGTCGATAATTTGATGAATGATTAATTGCCATATTCTGCTGCATGGTTTAAATGCTCATATTTATTCCTGCTATTTATCAGCAATCTATGTGCTATATTTTTATATGTCCTTTTTATACCTCAATTAATAACATTGAAATAAGAACAGAATAAAAAGGATTAAATTATTTAGTTGAGAACTTTATTGTAATATAAATTGCATCAATATCTCAATATCAATTAATGTTTGATAAATGTTTTGTACATTTTTGGGATTATATTGGTGATTTTTGATTTTTTTGGAGAGTCTTTAGAATAAACTCAAAATATTAAGTAAATTTACTTAATATATATAGAAAACTTATCAGATATTCAGTTTGTGGATATTTATTAAATCGCATATTTATTACAGGATAATTTGAAAATACACTTGAAGAGCAAACTATTGTAGAATTTAAAGAAAGCTTCATCAAAATAGAAGAACTTAAAGAACTCTCATTGAGTACTTTGGACATTTGTCCTATATGTTATGAAGAATTTAAAGTTAAAGAACATGTTGCTGAATATCAATGTCAAGGAAAACACACTTTTCATTAAGATTGTGTTATATAATGGCTAAAAACTCCAATGAATAAAACCAAGGTTTGCCCATATTGTAAACAATTACCAGATTCAATTAATAAGTACGTCTGACAATCTCATGTTTTAAGCTTATGTGATTTATAATATAACTTTAATGATTTATAGAATATAATTAATATTTCTATATATATATATCAAAATCACTTTGCTAAATGATAAGCAAATAATAGAATAGTTGCAATTATCACTTAAAATAATTATATTTATAATAAGTTTATATTAGCAAGTAATATACCTAACATTAAGAATCCAAAATTTAATTTATATTATGAAAATTATCTATTATATTAATTTTTTTACATTAAAAATGCTTTGATAGTTAAAGAAAACAATAATCTAATAATTAGAATAGAAAAGAATTCTACTTAACTTTAAAATGAACTATGAATGGATTGAAAACTTGGCAAAGAACTTAAATAATTAATCAATCCAAAAGTCATCAATAATTTTCTTAATAAATGTTGATTATATAATTCACTTATACAATAATTTCCAATAAAATATCCTAGTAATTCGAAAATAGATAATATTAAAGCTAAAGTTTAAATTGACCATTGCAATTGATTTATAAATACATATAATTTAAACAAATGCCCAAAATATAGTAAACTTAAAGTAAACATTATAAAATTAACTATATAACTAGGTTCTTATTATTTGCTTATTTTAAATTAAAATTTATTTACTAATATTGATACTTACTCTTCACTAAAATAAACTTTATTTTAGAAATTTGTTGAATAAATAGAATTCAAATTAGATTGAAATTCTGTAATTAAATCATCAAATTTATTGATAGCAATTTATTATTTTTTTAGATTTTATTGATTTTATTTTGAGATTTATTAATAATATGAAATTCTGTCTAAAATACAAAGTGGTGAATCTTAAATAGTAAAAAAACCATATAATGTGATTAAAGAAAAAGGAATCCACATTATAATTAAGTTAAAATTATATTATTCTTTAAAAATCATATGTAAAACAGATGACACCATAATGAATTCAATTATCACCAATGAAAAATCATTGTAAAAGATTAATCTTTAATTTTTCTTCAAAATAAATTAAACCTATTACAATAATAAATATAATATAATTGCGGATGACATTCCTTACACAAAAAAACAGCCAAAAAAAATAAAATTATCCCAATAGATTTTCGAATTATTTAATTTTCCAATATCTTCAAAATGTAAAGTTTCATAATTTGGATATATATTACATTATGTTCCTTATATAAAATAAGTACATCCTATTAGCAAAAGAAAAAATAGTAATAACTTAAATATATAATAATTTATATACATTTTTATTTGAATAATGTTAAGATAGTGGTTTTATCAAACAAAAACTGCAGTAGGATATTATGATATATATAATCCTAATCATAATTACTATCAATAAATTATTGATTTATTCTTCCAAATATAAATTAGTTCTAGATTAGCTCTTGTTCATAATATGCTATTGGGTTTTTAAACTAAATCGCTAATATCAATACATTAATTTAGATTGTATATCATCATGATCTTAAGTGATTTAATTCTATGTGAAAAGATATAGAAGTTAATAAAACTGAAAAGCTAAGAATCCAACTATTAATAATATGAGTTTTCTCAAATTCTAAAAGTATTTCCCTTTTGGGTTTAATGTCAATATCAAAAATTGTTTATCAATTAGTGCTGAATCAACTAATTATTTGAATTAATCTATTGGAAGGTTTGTTTAATTATTAAGAATTTAAATAAGTTAATTAATAGCAGTCTCATTACTTTAATCAAGTTAATTCAATTAGATTTCTTATTAAGAATTAAACTATGAATTTGATCTATTTTCCAATTCTATTTGATTATTGTTCATCTTAATTTATAAAATATTTTTACATTAAATTTTTCTATATATTGTTAAATTTTACTCTTAAAATTTAATAATTATCAAAATAAATCTTAATTAGACCTGTTTTACAATTTATTACAAATATAATCACAATAAAAACACAACAATAATTAAATTAATTGAAAATGTATAAATTTAATTAATGATTTACTATATTATTAATTTTGAATCTTAGAAAGACTTAATACAGAAGTAAAATATTCCATTATAATATTACATAAGTTGTTTATCATCATTATTTTCATAAGTTTGAAAATTAAATTGGGTGCTAGCATTAACTAATAAATAAGTCTAAAAATGAAAAAATTAACAAGATTTAAAATTCAATTAATTAGGCTTCACAGGAGAAATCATTAAGAAAATAAAAATGCATATTATATTATAGAATATCTATTAAATATAATCTAAGCTATATAAAATTGTGGATAATAGAAGTCTAATCTACCATTAATTAAATATGAATTAAAAATAGTTGACATGGATTTAATTTTCATAAATATTACTTTTTATATAAGAATTTGACTCCAAAGCCTTAATAATAATAATTTGTTTAATAAAAATTGATGAAACACATTAATTGAATTGATATTTCTTAAAAATTGATAATCTTATTTATTTTAAGAGAGGAAGAGAATACTCCTATAGATATTATATTATCCTTTTAAATAATTTGTAAAATCTAAAAATTAAGATAATTATTTATTTTATCAATTTAAACTTCTATTTTGTTTGAAAATATTTAATTTATATGATAGCTTTTAAACAATTGATATTAAGTTTATGAATTAATATATTGTAAAACTTATTCATAATTATTTTTTAATTTATTTATATTAATTATAAATATGGAATTATTGATAGCATGATTTATAGTAATATTTATATTTAAAAATAAATAAATCAATAAATGGAAAAGGATAAAGACAAAGATAAGTTTAATTTCTCAAACTTAATAATAACGATGTATGTTTTAAAAGTTAAATTTGATTTTTCTAAGAAAATTAGTGGATTCTTAATATTAATCTCGAATTTGCAACCATTATTTCTTATTTTTGAATTGTAAAGTTAAAATTAGAACCGTCATCCTATTATTGGATCAACAAATTAAAATAGCAATACTTATTTTTAAGAGTTAATTACAATCTTGTTTAGACCATCATTAAAATTAATTTCAATATCTGGGGATTATGTTTAATATACTTTTTTTATAGTAACATTTCTAATTTTAATTCATAAAGTTGGTCTAATAATTTTTACTTTAAACAATTTTAATTCTGAGAATTCACAAAAATTAATTAATTAAGCTCAAGACTCTTTTTTCCTTAAAATTTTTTGTTATTACCTTAATTTTTATTAATAATTAATTGGATCTTATTTGTATTTGGAAATGACTTATGTTTGTTTAACTTGCTTTATATAATAATTAGAATAATTAGAAAATTTTGGATTTTTACTGGTTACATTAAATATTTTAACAATTTTACTTATGTTAGTTGATTCTATAGGATCTATAATAATCAATGAATGTACAATTACAAATAAAGTTTTTGGATTGGAGAAATTAGAAATTACTATCTAAAGATATATATATTATGTATTTATCATGATATAATTAATTATTGTAATAAAGTTTGATTATATCTATTTAGAATATATACTAAGTGCTATTTCTTTATGTTAATAATTAATTCTTATATCAGAATTGTTTATTCATTAAAACTATATACTTCATTATCAATAATACCCTTTAATTTTAGCAATTTCAATAAACTTATCATTAAGTATATCTATTTTTATAGTATCCACTTAAAATTTAAGACTTTTAACTTTTTGTTGTTTAATCATATTCTCTTTGGTAATGATTTTGTTATTAAATTTGAATAAATAAATCGAAAAAGAAATAATGTTAGAATTATTCAGTACTAAAAAATCTAATTTAAATTATCTTAGATTTGGATTAATTAAAATGTTAAATCATGAAATTTATTTCTAATAAGAAGATTTAATTATTAAAATTTTAATAGCTAAATGGCATTCCTCAAGTTGTTAATCCAAAAAATGTACATTTTGTAATCTTGTCTCTATTTAAAATCCTGAATAATGTTGTTGTATTACAAATGAAATTTATGAATAGTTTATTATATAAATGATTTCTTGTTTCTTATAGAAATCTTTAATAAATAGATAAAGATCAAAATAAAATGAATATTTAATAATATATGCTTATTTTCTATTTGATTTTGGATGGATAATTAAATCAGTTAAAATACTAAATTATCTTTTTTTAACTAAATTTTCTTGTTCAGAACAATATTAATCATGGTAAGCTTAGTCTAATTAAAATCAATAATTGTAAGATGATGATTTAGTATTTAAAGATTCAAATTTTTATTAAAATGATCTACAAAAAAGGAACAGCATTTTACACTTTGATTATCTTCTAAATATTTAAGCTAAATATATAATTTAATGTGGAAAGTCTTAAATAAGTTAATCATTGATAGGATCATCTTTAGAGGCAACTTAGTAATCAATTACATAAGAATATATTGAGACTTCATTAAAATCTGATATTCGTATTAGATATTTAGAAATAAAAATTGTGGAAGTATTAATATTAAAATAACAATTGTATAATAATTTAAGAAATACAAGTTTGTAATATTAAAATGATATTAATTTTAATAAATAATTATATTAATTATGTGAACAATTATATGAAGTGGATAAACTGTTAAAATAAAAATTTAAAAATACTCCTACATAAAAAATTCATAGTTTATATACATTTTTTTAAGGAGAAATTTTATGTAATTATAATAAATCAATATAATTTTATAAAAATTCAAGAGGTTTTGAAATTGAATCCAATAAATTTTAGCAAATTTTAAATTATAATATGAATTAACAAAATTTTCATTATGTCATTTTAGAATTATGTGATGATATGCAAAATTTAACCTTGAAAGGATAATCATAAAATTTTTATGATAATTATGGATTGAATAATGAAAAATAAAGATTGTTTGAACATTTATTACCTGATTGTTTAATTCCATATCATAATTTATATGTAAAATAATTTTTTGAAAAAGGAACTAGTAAATATTTTAATATTTTCAGAGTCAATTTTATAATGAATAATTAACATTTATTAACAATTGTAAATATGTGTCATCGAGTGACTGATTTATTCAGTAATAATAATGTGACTTTTGCTGTATTTTTATAATAGGCAACTTAAGATTAAGCTTTTTTAATCATAGATGGAAATAACTTAAAGTGTACATTTACAAAAAACCTTCTTATATTATTAGGATGGTCAGAATAATAAATAAATTAATTTTGTATACTAAAAGAATTTAAATAAATTGAAATATCGTAAATTTATCCTAATTTTGCAATAATTCTTAAACAATTTTAAGAAAAAGAAAAAAAATAAAGTTCAGTAAATTTATATTTTCCATCACCTCAAAGTAGTTTTGAATCATTATAAAGAGAAATAAAGATATCAAATATCAAATTTAAAAAAATTGAATGTGATATTTTAATAGAAAGAAAACAAATAGGTAATTATTGTTATTATATATTGAATATAATAAAAATGGCAGAATTTAATAGAGGTAGATAATTTTCATAGATATTTTAAAATCCTATTAAATAAAATGAATCAATAAATTAATCATTATATTAAGATTGTATAGTAGATTTATAAGATGATTCACCACATATTGGTAATTTAAATAGTGTGAATTTTATAAATTAATAATAAATTGGATCTATATAAAATATTTAAAAACCTACATAGCAATAACTTAATACAATAATATAAGATAATAATTCACCAGTATTTAATTCAAGAAGAGAAGAAACTATTAATTAAAGTGAAAAATTATTAATGACTCAAAGAAATAGTTAAATTAAATAACCAATAATATCACCAAGTTCTTAAAATGAATAGAGTTTATAAAGTAATGAAGATAAAGAACATTCTTAAAGAAAAACTGTAAGATTAGAACTTAACGAAAATTCAATTGAGACAGACAAAATGCATAAAAATAATGAATTACTTTAATAGATTTTATCAAAAAGTCCATCAAGATATCAATAGAAATTTATGTATCTATTTAGTATTTGGTTTTCTTTATTTATTATTTTTATTATAGTACAATATATAGAACTTAGAAATGATTTGGATAATTTTTTATCTTTTGGAATTATGACATCATTTTATGCTTCAATAATGGGACCTCATGATCTATTTTTTTCTATGAGAATCACAATAACAGCTTATTAATAAATGAATAGAGAAGGTTTTTTACCAAGTAGTAAATTACCTTAATTAATTTAACCATATTAAGATTCTGTTTAATTAGGATATACAGAATTAAGAGATAGTCTATATGATTAATTAAATAATTAATATATCTAAAGCTTTTTAGATGAAGTAAATGTTACTATGTATTTTATGAATAAGAATGATAGAGAAATTTATGGTATTGATATTTCATTTAGAGATGCTTTGTTTATTATTTTATAATATTAATATGCTCAAATGATACACTTACATTATCGTATAAGTACTGTTGCTATGCCATATTAAATATCTTTATTTGCTAATTATTTTATGCTTCATAAAGAAAGTGAAAAATTAACTATTTCAATGTATGATTATGCAATTAATATGCATTAAAATTTGAATTAAAAATTAATAGCTTTATGGGTAGTATTTAATTTTGCTTTAATAATTATTTACATATATTTATAGATTTATTAGATCAATTTTTTTCAATAATTAGATAAATTTATTTAACTTATATTTTTAATAGATGAACCAATTTTAAATAATGAAATTCAAAGATTTAATGATTTATTAGATTCTATTAAAAATAATTCTGATATATTATTCATGTATAATCCTGAAAATTAATTATAATTACTTTTAAAGAAACCCTTACATTTTTAAAAACATTAAAACTAAAATTACAAATAAAAATAGAATTATTAATCTGTTAATAAAAAAAGAAATATAATTAAAATTCTCAATTCAACATTTCTAATCTTTTTATTGTCAATTATTCTTATATTCTCTTTACTAAACATTATATCCACTACCCTCTTTTTTAATAAATATGATGACACACTATAATTATATCAATAAATTTAAGAAATGAAACTTAGATCAGGCAATTTATTTTTATATAGAGAAATATCTTTGAGATGGTCAAATTTTACTTTTTTAACAGAAGACAATAAATTATAACTTTATGATTTAATTGATAAAGCATAAAATGCAATTTCTAATTATATTTAATTATCAAATACAATTAATGTAGATACTTATTTGATAGATTAAAATCTCATAGATTTGTTTGAAAATCTTAATTTACATACAGTTTGTGAATAAATTGATGAAGTAATTTATTTGATAATATTAGAAATTTAAAAATCTAACATCTACATATTGTAGTTTATCATTTGATGGATCATTATCTAAAGGAATGATTACAGCATTGAGTTACATTTCAAATTTAATAAAATCATAATAAGCAATTAACAATTTTACTCGTAGAGTTGAAATGCAATATTATGAATAAGAAGGATCATAAATTGTAGGTAGAATATTTTCTGTTCTAGTCAATCAATTTAATATTAGTTTAAAAGGATAATTTGATGATATGAAATTATATTTAACAGTATCATTTTTAAATATATTATATTAGGTCTTATCGATATCATTTATCATTATAACTATTGGTATACAAGTCTTACTATTTTATTATTATTCTCCATATTTAGGTAGAATTATGAAAATAATAAAAAGAGTGATTCACTTAATACCTTTTGAATCATTAATGAATAATGAAATGGTAGAAAGATAATTAAAAGAACTAAATTTTAACTTTTAATGATAAAATGAGTTAATAGTCAATATAATATTTTATAATACAAACTGAATGAATATAATAATTTGATAGTTCATCTAAAAAAGTCCATGAGCTGCTCTATTGCTTATTCTAATATATAAGATTTAATAATAATACTTTTTAATTTTGCATCTGTTTTTTATCCTTGTTAAATTTCATTCACAATATCTGCAAAAGTAGGTCTTTCATCTGGATTCTTTTTTAAACATTTCTTTGCTAATTAAAGTAAAATAGGAGGATTGCTATGAGAAGGTATTGGCACTTAATCTTAACCATATCCTACAGAACCAATAATCTAAGTTTAAGATAAACCTTCATAAGGAATTTATTAGGTTATAATTTCCCATAAGATCATACCAAAACTATATACATCAGCTTTTTCTTAATAGGATTCTCCTCTCATAATTTCTGGTGCCATCCAATGTGGTGTACCTATTCTTGCTCCTTTATTAATTTTATGATCAATTTTTTTATTTATTCTAGATAAACCAAAATCACATAATTTGACATTCCAATTTTGATCAATTAAAACATTAGATGATTTTAAATCACAATGCATAACTTTTCTTCCATGAAGATAATTCATTCCTAATGCTATATCCTCAACTATTTACATCAAAGCTTTTTGATCTATATGTGTTTTCTTTTTATGTAAATGATCGAAAAGACTGCCTTCCTCTAGATATTCAGTAATTAAATAGTAATTCTACTTCCTTATACACACACCCATATATAAAACAATATTTGGATGACGTAGATTTGATATAACCTCAACTTCTTTTAAGAAATCTGCCATTTATAATTTATATTTCAAATTTCCTTAAGATTTCCTTTTACCATATGATTTAATAGCTACATCTTAACCAAGCCACTTACCTTTATGTACTACTCCATATCCTCCTTCTCCTATTATTTATCCTATAATCAATTCATGGAAAACTATTAACACTCTTTCATTTATGCCAAATTCTTTAAGCATAAATAATAGTTTTTTTGGTAAATGATGCTATTATCTATCATCTTTTTCTTTTTCTTTTCTGATTTCTTTTTATCTCTTTTATTTTTTTTTTATTTTTTCATCATCAGATGAATCTGAACTTGAATCATTTCCAGATACATCTGATTCTTAACTTGATGAATCTTGATCTTAGAATTTGTTTCCATTAAGTTCTGATTTCTATCGTGATAATTATAAAGTAATAGATTGCAATTTTTCTAATTGAAGTTAATTTAATTCATCATTTATTATATTAATTTATGGAGGACTTTTTGAAGATACAAAATCAGATAATTCTTATTTATTTGTTGATTATTATCTAGACAATTCAAATGTTACATTAGATTCTTTATCTTTAATTTCTTCAGCTCCATTTACATAATCATTTAAAACAAGTATGTCTATTTTTTAATCACTAATGTTATTATTATTCATTTTATTTGGAGATTCTATATATAATAGATAAAATCAAATACAATATGGAGAAGCTAATTATTATTTTCCTTCTTCATCATCAGCAGAATCTCCAGATTTTTATAAATCCAATGTAACTTTTCTTTATTATTTTTTACTTTTTTTGCTTTTCTATCTTTTTAATTTTACAGATTTATTATTATCACTAATGTTACTTTCATCAGAATCATTAGAAATAGATCTAGTTGGAGATTTTTAGGATTCTTTTGTATTTCTTTTTTTTCGATAACTGTTATAAGAATCACTACTTGATTCTTTCTTATTATTATCTGGATATTCATTTTATTCCTCTTCAATCTTCTCCATATATGAAAATATGCTTTTAAATCTTGATTATTCTATTGATGTATATAAACCTTTTCTCTCTTCCAAAGATTCTAAAGGTTTTTTTAATCTAATTTTGCCTTCCATAAATTTCATATAATATTTTTTATACTCTTCTATTGATTATAATATTTTCTTTCTATGACCTAAGACAGAGATTCCTAAATCTTATTTCAATTCATTATCTGTCAATCCATAAAGTGTCTTTCCAGTCATTTAATTTTTTATAAATTCTTCTTTATATTCTCCTAGTTCAAGTGAATCAAGCCATCCACATACTTCTTCTAATTACCATTCCTACACTGAATTTTAAATAATGAATATTACTATTCTTTTAATTCTCAAATTAATCAATCTTTTCTAGAACCTATAAACTTAAAAATCCATGTTGTTGTGAACTGATTAATTATATTGATTTGTATTCTACTTTTTATTACTGATCTTATTCTCCTTATTAACTTTCTACTTATTCTTTCTATTTATCATTATCTACTTAAATAGGAGGACTTGCATCAACATTAATTACATTATCTTCAATTTTCTCTTTTTCAACATGACTTTTTTCAGCCTTTACATGAAACTTCTCTAAAACAAATAAAGGTGGTTCATCTATTTATACATTATCCAATAGGTTATCTTATTCATACTATTATTTATAATATTTTCTCTCTCTTGAATTAAACAAATAACCCGTTCCAAATTTTTTATTCATTCTGAATTATCCTATAATTACTATGTATATATACCATAAAAAGTGTTTTTGTCTGATTAATAGATTAATCCCATTCCATCTCTTTAATCATCTTTCCATTCTCCTACATATCTATCACCATTAATATAAAAATGCATTCCCTCACCACATTTTTTATTCTCTATCCAATCACCTATATATAATTCTCCATTCTTATAGTATAATTTCCCTTTTCCATGCTTCTAATGATTTTTCCACTCTCCTTCATAACGATTGCCAGAGACAAACTTATAAGTACCTTATCCATGCCGTTTATCATTCACTAATTCTCCTTAATATTCATCATCATTTGAATAAATAACATGTTTTATGAACTTTTGATTTACTTCATGTTTAATTGGTTCTCTATATAGGAACTTGAAAAAATTCATTAATTAAATAAGAATAACAAAAAGCCTACTGTCAAAAACAAAGAGGATCTAAATATATGAAGAATACTATTAGATTTTCGTTGAGATCCTAGATATAAACCATTAGGAATAACTATCAGTTTTCAATCATTTAAAATTACATGGGAATCTAATCCAATCGAAAAAAAATAGTAAAGTGATTTATTGACAGTATTTATAAATCTAAAATGGGGATAACATCTAAAGATCAAGAAATTTGTAATATAATTTATCTAATTGTTAGAAATAACTCAATTTGGCATATTTGCAAATTCATAATGGCATTTTATCAATTTGGTATAAAAAGATAATATTATCGAAATATTGATTAACTAGGAAATTTGGATTCAATTATGTTTAAACTTTATTAACAGTTTTATTGTCAATGGAAAAAATACAGACTATCAATTTCTCTGAATCATTAGTTAGGATAATTATTGTATCCCTTAGTAAGAAGAATTAAAACAGGAGAATTAAATTAAAAAATTGATAGGTTAAGAAATTAAGGATAAAATTACTAGATTTAAATCCTAGTTAAGTGTTTTGGATTGAAAATTATAAATATTTCAGAAAAACAAAAAGAACTTACTTTTGGTTTAGATAAATTCCAAATAGCAGTTATAATTAAGACATTAAAGTACATGAGATATCATCTTTGATGTAATATTATATGACAGTTAAATAGTTCTGAATTTGCAAAGGAATATATTTACAAAATTATCAATTATGAAATACTTAATAAAAGGTTGGAGAGAGTTTAAAAAGGATTGAATTGTTTGTAAATCCATAAATCTAAGGGAAGTAAGGTTGGATTAAAGTAATTCAAGAGTAACGAATTTAGGAAAATTTAAAATAACAATAATTAAAAATTAAGGTCTTACCAGGACTCGAACCTGGGTTAAAGGAGTCAGAATCCTTTGTGATAACCGCTACACTACAAGACCCAATCTGGCTTATGAGTTTAAGCATTAGTTATATAATTAGTTGAACATATTATTGATTTTCTAAATTAAAAAGATATAGAGTTATCCATTTACTAATCTAATTATTAAAAGTAATCTTTATTGATTTAATACATAACAATTTTCATGAGAATAGAAATTAATACTTGAGACCTAAAAGATTGTTTGAAGATTACTATATTTATTAACGAACACTTTATTTCTTCTATATGAAAAAGAATAAATATTCTTTTACAAGTTATTTCTAGGTAAATATTTGAGAAATAATTAGTAATAAATTAATTTTTTGCTACTTTATTTTAAATGTTACGATTAGTTATTCTCTCACTATTGGATATAATATTTTCTTTGTATTGTTTCCATAAATTAATTTAATTTAAGTATTTATCAACAAAGTTTATATTTTTGAATCATTGTAGTGATGTTTATATGGCAAGGGTTTTTAAAAATTTTATTAAAAAGTATTTGTTCAGTAAATTCGGAGTAATTAGCAGGTAAAAGTTTAGATTAATTATAATATGACTTTATTTTTCGGTTTGGAAATGCTGTTCTAATAAATATATTTTCTAATATAAATAATTTAATTCTTATTTTATTGACTTTACTCTGTAAGAATGTAATTGAAATATTAATACAATAGATGTTTTTCTGTATTTGAAATTAGGGTAAAATTTATTCAATTCTTATTAAATAGCTAATAATCATAATAACTAAAATTCATAAGAAAAACTAAACTTCCTGAATCATTTAATTTTTTTTATGACACCTATCCGGCTAATAGGGTATTTAATTAATTTATCACTCTTTTCTAATATGTATTCATAGGTATATGTATTCGATTATTTCAATTCCATTTATTTTTCTAACAGTTTATTTATTTATTTAATGAAAAGTACTTCAATCAAGATAGCATTACTACATCTAATCAAATCATAATCATCACATCATTTAAAGATTAAAATGATTACGAATTAGTATTATAATTATTATAATTTGATTGTTGTTTAAATCCTTGTCTTAATAATCATTTAATTTATTAATTCATTATTAAACAAAGAATTATTAATTTTATTCATTATAAAAATTAAATTTTTATAATAAAAATATAGAAAATACAAATATTTTATTAAAAGCTTTAAAATAAAATGAAAATATTATAATCAGTCTTTCTAATTATAATTATTTTAATTATTAAGATTGATTAAGTATTTTCTACATTTAATGATAAAATTATATTAAAAAAATATACTTTTAGTTAAGTTTGATTCATATTAATATTATTAATTAACGAATGAATAAATCAAAAAGTCCTAATTAAAGAGATGTTCCAAATGATAATAGCAAAGTTAGAATTGCAGTTCGAGTTAGGCCCACTTTGAATAGTGAAAGCGAAGAAGACTTTGTATAGTTGATTGATGACAATACAATAAAAGTGACTAGAATTGGGAATACTCTTCGAATGAAATTCAGTGACATACTTCCTAAAACAGCTAATCAACAAGATGTATAAAGATTAGTTTCTGAATCTATAAAATCGTTCTTATAAGGAATAAATAATACGATTTTTGCTTATGGATAAACAGGAGCTGGTAAAACTTATACAATTATGGGTGGATTACCTGAAAATGTAGCTAATGTTTCCACTGAGAAGTTTCATTAAGTTATTAGATGCAATGAAAGAGGAATTCTACCAAGAGCAGTTCAATCAATAATTTCTCAATTATAAACTTAAATAGAAGATGATTAATGTAGACTTTACTTATCTTTCTATGAAATTTACAATGAAAAAGTATATAGATAAAATAAATTAATAGATTTTTGATCTTTTCAATCTAAAATCTCAAGGATTGGATATTCGCGAAAATAAAAATGGTGATGTAAACATTCCAGATCTATCCCAAATAAGAATTATGGATATAGATACTGCTTATGAATATCTTATTCTAGGATTACGAAATAGAGTTGTTGGATGCAGTCATGCAAATTCAAAGAGTTCAAGATCTCATTGTTGTTTTTAGATGACACTTCAATAAGTTACAGTTATTAATGGAGAACCTGTATTATAAGAGTCTTCTCTTAAAATTGTTGATTTGGCTGGATCAGAGAAATTTAAAATTCCAACTGATTTGACTCCTGAAGAAAAAGAACTCCACATTTAAGAATTAACATCAATCAATGGTAGTCTATCATGTTTAGGACATTGCATATCTGCTTTAATTGATAGGAATAGAACACATATACCATTTAGAAATTCTAAATTGACTAGAGTTCTAAGTGATTCATTAAGTGGTAGTGGCAAAATCTTATTTATTGTTTGTGTTTCACCTTCTATATCTTCAAGTGCTGAGACTTTCTCTACATTATAATTTGCTAATAGAGCTAAGAGAGCTGTGTTAGATGGTAGAAATATCTAATAGCCAAAAACAAATAAACCAAAAGGTGTATCAATGGAGGAGTATTAAGAATTATTAAAACAATATTAAAAGGAGAAATAAATGAGGGAGGAACTTGAAAGTATTGTTCAAAAGAGAAATCAAGGAGAATTATTATAATAGATATCAAAATTAAAATAATAAAATTAAGAACTATAAGAGTAACTTTATTAAATACAATAATAATAATAATAATAATAATAATAATAATAATAATAATCTATAAATATCCATTCATAATAATAATATTCTCCTTTATTTTCAGATAATAAAAAATCTATTGCTATTAATTCAAATGACAAAAAAGTTAGATTTGCTGATGATTTCTTAACTGTTCATATTAATAATATGGATAGAGAGGAAAGTTAAGTTTTTGAAAATCTTGCTATATTTTAAGAATTAAAATAATTAGAAAATAAAGATAAAAAAAAAATAATAGTATTTTATTTATAATTTATAAATAGAATTTTGAAGAAAAATTTAAAAGCTATTTTGGATAGTCCGAATATTAAACTAATGATTTAGCTTAATTTAATACAGGAAAATAGTTTGGTAATTAATAATTTAAACATTATAGATTCTATCATAAGAAAAGTGAATGATAAATAAAATAATATTTCAAATATAGTTTAAGATCTTAAAAAAGAAATGTCTAAAGCTGTGAATCAATTAGAATAGTTATAAAGTATTTATTATCTTATTATAATAGAGGAAGACAGGGAACTGAAGAGTACTGACTCATGTAAAGAAAAGTAAGTTTATTTGTGTTATTTTTAGTTTCATTTAATACTGATTAATATATATAAGTTATTTATAAAAATTAATTTAATTTAAAAATGGGGCTGATTTGTTCTTCTAGCAGTCATAAATCAAACAAATCTCAATTACAGGAAATTAAGTTTCCTTTATTGATTGCTGAGAACTTTATTAAAATCATTGGATAATTATAATTATCTGATGAAGTTATTGGCGATCTTCGTTACAATTTGAATTAGCTAATAATAATGAGAAGCAAGTTAGCACACTGCATAGCACGTTTATAAAAGAGATACTCTGATTATCTTTTATTAGATTTAGAAAATGAATTACAAACATTGTTGAATACTGTGGAGACAGTTTTATAGGATTCTCAACTGAAAATTTAGTTTCCAACAATAGAATTATACTTATTAGAATAGTTAGAATTACATCGTTATCATATGAAACAACAACTATGAGATGATTAGAGTTTAAAAAAATGGAAAATTATAAATTTAAACTACTTTATATATATATTATAATAATTTGATCATTTTTCCTTCTTATTTTCATCACTAAATATTTAACTATTAAATTATTGATTATTTCATACTCTGCCTCAACAGAAGCTAAATAATTAAGATTACTTTCAGTTGTATTTACTGATATAAACCAGCCTAATACAGTAAGAACAGTAATTGCTATTTATGTATAAGTCCAAAAATTATATAATGCAGATCCATCTATTACAGCTTAAACTTGATCATTTGTATCATCTTATGTAATTCCACTTGATAATTCTACTATATTTTTATGGCCTATCACCCATAATAAATATGCAATATTATAAACTATATTAATATGAATATTTACAAAGAGCACTAATTATTGATTATATATAGAACTTTTTATCTTAATTATTTTTTGTTTTCTCTTATTAATCTTTTAATTAAATGCAAACAAACAAACTACCAAAAGCACTGATTAAAATTATGATATGAAAAACTTAATCAACTCTTAAACAGTATTTAGCATATAATTTAAAGAATGTAGTTAAACCTTCTTAATCTGTACTCTAACCTAGAAAAATAATGAAAACATGCATTAATGTCATTCCCTTGTTAATATTAAAGGTTACCTGCCAATAATCCTTAAAAAAAGAATATAAATCTGTCTATTAATTTAACAGCTTCATGAATTAATTTATTCAAGACTAACAATACATTTTCAGTTTGAATTTATTATTTTCTACTTTCTTCCATCATTTGAATTTTTCTCCTTAATGCTTATTCATTTAATTCAATGAAACTACCATTTGTCAAATCTATTATATTTAAAATGTTTAAATACTTTCAATGAATATTTTAGTGATTTCTGGTTGCAAATCTAAAACTTTTATTAAATTGCTCTCATAATCTTATGAAGCATCTTCATTAATTTTATCAGCTTCATCAATTTAATTTAAATGAATCTCTCCTCCAGTTATATTTCTCTTATTTTTCCTTGATGATTAATTTGTTATTATTACTTTGCTTATAAATTATGTTTCATTAATGCAATTATATTATTAATTAAATATGCTCCATATCATAAAAATATATTAAATGTACTCATTTTTTTTTAGCTCTATAATTCTTTCTTTTCTATTGACTCTCCAAATATGCCTCATCTAAACCATTTTCACAATTTTCACATTAACAATCCATTGTACATTTTGATTTTCTCAAAAAACATTCACAATAACCTGTTTAACATCTAGTCTTTTTACAATTACAACCAAAACAATCTTTTAGTTTAAATAAGGCATCCTTTGGAACATTCTTATTTCTATGACATTTCTCATTAACATGTTTTATTGCATTATTACGTTCTTCTAAATGATCATTATTATTCAAACAACCTTCAACACATTAACAATCCTTTAAACACATTCTTCCACTATGAAAACATCTACAATATCTTTTTAAACAACCACTATTTCTACAAAAACAAGGTTATTATTCTAATTCACTATTTCTTTTCTTTATTTTTTTTTGTATCTCTCTACTTTTGATGTCTTTTTATTATTATTATTTTTTTATTTTTTATTTTACTCTATCTTCTTCTATATCTGATTCTTCCTAAGACATTTATTCTAAATCTTTTGGTCTCTATTCTTATTTTTATTTTGTATCAATTATCTATGATTTTTGAGATTATAATGATAATAGCGGAAGAGGATTATTTTGTTGAGTAATTGATCTTCTTGGTCCTAAGGGAGTTAGAGGATCATACAAGAAGAAATTGGAAGTTTATCTACTAAAAGGTATTGGTCTGTAATCATATTCATTACCAATCTCATCTAAATTAGATCTAATTATGATATTATCCTGTACGTAAATTTTTATAATTACGGAGGCCTATAAGGCTCATCATTTTAGGAAATAAAACTTGTTCCTCTTATAAGTGAGTTTTGTCTTTATAAATAATCTCTTGCCATAATATTGAAAATTTAAATGAATTGATATATATTTTATTTATTTTTCAGAGTTATAAATGAAAAACTTTAATTATATTTAGAAATGATCATTAAGTATAGAAAAGAGAAAAAGAATTAAAAATTCATTAAAAATGAAATAAGAGTGAAATGAATTAATTCAATGAAATTTACCATTAATTTATTTTTCTATATTTATTACATAACCTTATATATCATTTTTGATTTTAACTTAAGTACATTTCTAGTTATGCTCTAGCTTAATTATCATTAATAGATCCTCTAATGTCTTATATTAATTATGATTTTTTATTGTTAATAGCTACTTGAACAGCATGGCGTTATTATCCAATTTTTAATAACATATAGCAAGATTCCTATTAAAATATTAATTCTATAATTACTTCTGGATCTGGCATTTTCATTATCATTTATAAACCTCTCTCTTCTTAATCTGCTTTGATCAACATATCTGCAACTAATTCATAGGGGATGGATACATTCTTTTTATTCTTTTCATTTATAAATCTTTCCAACTCTTCCCAATTCTTATTATTAATTAATGCCTTAACTCTTGTTATATTAAATCTAATTATAAGTGATAATAATTACCTTCTTTCTGGGATTTTATATGCCTTTGCAAATTCTTAAGCTAATTGAAGATTATCTTTAGATAGAAATGCCTCCATTATTGAATTCAATGGTCTTTCTTCCATTATTACTTTACTCTTTTCCTTTTTCTCTCTTTCAACTTCTTATTTTAAATCATTTAATGTTTTTATTTATTCTTATAATATTTTACTATAGAAAGAATCTTTGCTTTCTTCTTCAAAGAATTTCTATGCAAATTCTAAAAACCTGATTTTTTCAGTTAAATTATTCTATTAATATGCTTAATTGATGGCTAATAAACCACATTCATCATATTTTTTTAAATACTATAAATATTTCTATAAGTATTTATCATCAAAATTTCTTAGATAATAAATTAAATGTGCTTAGGCAACAGGATTTTAGGATAAAATACCAAATTTATAAGTTTCATCCATATCAGTTTTCAAAAATTTCATTATTACTAGATAAATCAAATTTGAATCTTTTGAGGCAATTGCATCAATTAAAGCTTTTTCATAATATGAATTATTATTTCCTTATTAATAATTAGCCATCCAAATAAGTACAGGAATACGTTTAGATAAACTTTATTCATTGTCTAAAAGTTTTAATGCTAATTAAGATTTGCCTATTTCAATTGATTTCTATGCTATCTAAGTAAATGATACTCCTTTCTCTTCCTTAATCTTTTCCTTGATAATCTAACATAATTAATCATCATCCAATTAACTTTCAACTTTACAACATGCCCAATGTGTATAAATTGTAGATTTTTATTTAATTTAGAATTTAAGGAAACGTGAAATTTCAATAGCTAAATAATGTAAATTATATCTAAGTAAAAGAGTGATAAATAAATCTGGATTCTTAATTAATTACAATACTTATTCATAAGTTACAACTCTACTACCTATACTACCATTTCTACGTAAAGCATTTGATACTCTGAGATATTTACAAGTTTCATTTAATAGATTTGGATCAATCAATTAATTTCCTAAGAATGTTTTACCATAACTAGCTGCTTTTAATAATTTCATTTAATATTCAGGATTAATTTCAAATTATCCACTTTTAATGCAATCATTAACTGCTTCTCCAAGTTCAGTTTTTTTAGATCTTAATTCATCATCTTCAATAGGATTCTTTTACTCAAATGACTCATAAGCAGAATGCAATTAAGCACCTGGTTTAACAGAGAGTGGTAAAAATACATTAACATAAGCTTCAGGTAATTTACGTAAAATCTCATTTTTCTTTTATGTTAATATTCTAACACCATCAATTTCCTATTTAAGTGCAAAATGCGAATTACTCATTTTTACTTTAATATAAGAGTCTTAAGAAACTAAGACTATGTATTATTATAATTGTAAAACAACGCAATCATCACCACACCATAACATTCTTCTAGGTCTTTCAATTTTACTTATATCTTTTTCTGCACTCTCTTCTTTTTTAATATCTTCTTCTTTAAGATCGATTGGTATTTATTTACAATCTGTTGAATCAAAAAAATCAGATATAAATGTTACAACCCATCTTGAATTATTGTATTAAAGTAATGCTAAGTTTTTATAATTAGATGATAAACTGATCATTTTTATGTTTCTAAGATCAGGTAATTTCTTATCAATCTCATTAACTATTTTATCTTTATTATAATATATCTTCCATTTTTCATCTTCAATTATATGAATAATTCCACCATCTGGATTAGTTATCAATAATTCCACTTTTCCACTCTAAGTTTTTTGAGGTGGAATAACTTACCAATGTTCAGGTTCTTAAGTAAGATTAGATGGTTTCATTTTATGAACTTAAGGTTCATAAGCATTTGGTATATAGAAGAATTCATAATTAGTTGTCATCAATACAAACCCATTGTTAACAATTAAACCTTTATGGATTTGTTATTATTTAAATTGATCCATCAGATCATAACTCTTTTTAGTACCTTTGAATGGATCTACTATATAATATGAACCATTTGCCTTGAGTAACAATAATTATTCATCTTCAAGGAAATCAAATAATGCAATCTACATAAATTAAATTCTAATACTCTGTCAATTTCTTTATATTAAGCCTTAGATATGATCTTGCCATTGTTAGAGAAGAACACAATAGAGTCTTTTAGTAGGTCATCCGTACGCATGAGGATAACCTGATTATAATTTTTAGTAGCAGCCAAAGGACCACCCCATTTGGATACAGCTATGCGTTAATAGAAAAAATCAAGACTCTTCTGCTCACCATTAATAGGATTGAATTGATGGAATTTGTAATACTTTCTATTAAGTTCTTTCCAATGTGCACTTGGATCCATATAAAATAATTAAATAAATATATAAGTAAAAAAGAGTAATTAAAAGATGAAAGTATTAATCTTTAAATGATACATCAACATAATAATACTAAATAATAATATGAGTATCTATTTTAATATTTACTTCTTAAAGTCTTAATCTATTTATTACAATTGCTTCTCTTATTTTATTATATATGAATGATAAATAAAATGACAATTATAATAGTANCTCTCTTCTTTTTTAATATCTTCTTCTTTAAGATCGATTGGTATTTATTTACAATCTGTTGAATCAAAAAAATCAGATATAAATGTTACAACCCATCTTGAATTATTGTATTAAAGTAATGCTAAGTTTTTATAATTAGATGATAAACTGATCATTTTTATGTTTCTAAGATCAGGTAATTTCTTATCAATCTCATTAACTATTTTATCTTTATTATAATATATCTTCCATTTTTCATCTTCAATTATATGAATAATTCCACCATCTGGATTAGTTATCAATAATTCCACTTTTCCACTCTAAGTTTTTTGAGGTGGAATAACTTACCAATGTTCAGGTTCTTAAGTAAGATTAGATGGTTTCATTTTATGAACTTAAGGTTCATAAGCATTTGGTATATAGAAGAATTCATAATTAGTTGTCATCAATACAAACCCATTGTTAACAATTAAACCTTTATGGATTTGTTATTATTTAAATTGATCCATCAGATCATAACTCTTTTTAGTACCTTTGAATGGATCTACTATATAATATGAACCATTTGCCTTGAGTAACAATAATTATTCATCTTCAAGGAAATCAAATAATGCAATCTACATAAATTAAATTCTAATACTCTGTCAATTTCTTTATATTAAGCCTTAGATATGATCTTGCCATTGTTAGAGAAGAACACAATAGAGTCTTTTAGTAGGTCATCCGTACGCATGAGGATAACCTGATTATAATTTTTAGTAGCAGCCAAAGGACCACCCCATTTGGATACAGCTATGCGTTAATAGAAAAAATCAAGACTCTTCTGCTCACCATTAATAGGATTGAATTGATGGAATTTGTAATACTTTCTATTAAGTTCTTTCCAATGTGCACTTGGATCCATATAAAATAATTAAATAAATATATAAGTAAAAAAGAGTAATTAAAAGATGAAAGTATTAATCTTTAAATGATACATCAACATAATAATACTAAATAATAATATGAGTATCTATTTTAATATTTACTTCTTAAAGTCTTAATCTATTTATTACAATTGCTTCTCTTATTTTATTATATATGAATGATAAATAAAATGACAATTATAATAGTATATGATAATCTCATTATATGCAACAAAATAGACAATACTTGATAATTAATTTTATTGTAAATACAACTTGAAGGAGGGATAAGGTCATCTCTAAGAGCAAAATTAAATTGTGTGGATCAGCAATAAGAAATCAAGAAGAATTATCCTACCATAGAGATCAAGGAGAAAGCTAACATAAATGAACCAGTCGTATAAATAGAAATGAAACTAACTCAGAGATAAATTAAATATTATTAAGAAGAATAGACAGATTCAATTTTATGTAGTAAAAGTAGACAAAATCTACTTATAAAATAACTCAATAAAAAATAGAGTAATTTTGAGTTATTAAATTTCATCAGATCCTTGTTAATAACAAGTGGAAAATTAAAAATAAAAAAAAACTACTATATTATTATCTAAGTAGATATAGATAACTTTGCTAAGCATCATTTATTTTATTTAACCTTTAAAGAAGTATAGGTATCAGAAAATAAAAGTAGTCTAAATATAAATATGTTTTAACTTTTATTTCCTTCATTAAAAATATATTATTAAAAGCCTTTAATTCCTAATTATTAATGAAAATATTAATTGTGTATTTAAACTTAGAAGTTCAACTACATAGCCTTTTCACACAAAAACACCACTTTCTCATACAATTTATTTTAATTAATTCACTATAAAACAATTGAAGCGATAAGTATAATTTTAATATAGCAGACAACCATTCTAATTTTTGTATTATTTAAAAATGTAAAAAACTTAAAATTCTATGATTTTTATTATATTTTTATTGTAAATGTGAAACCACTAGAGGTTCTAAAAAATATTTGCCTTCAAATTTACAAATTACTCATTAGATCTCTTAGTCTAATTAACTTCATGAATTGGATTAATAGAAAATTTTTGATTTATTTGTAATTTTCATATTTATAATTATAAATGTACATAAATTCATTTTTTCAAACATTAAGTAAGTTTCTTATTCAATTTTGTTTAAAAGCTTTGATATTCCTAATCTAGGCTTTTTAACATTCTGTTGGAAATTCTAAATTTCTATAATATAGTTGTCTTAATTGATTCATTTTCTTTAACAGTTTTGTCATATTTTTAAATGAATTTAATGAACTCTATTTCGTTATCAATATTGAAAAATTCACTCCTTATAAGTTGTCCTAAATAATGCAGAATATCATCAAATTCTAAATTTAATAGATGTTGTTATAATAACCAAAGAAGATAGAAAGTAACCTTGAAAAACCCTTGATTCAATAATTTAAAAATAAATACCTTTCCATTCTTCTGCCAAAAAGATATCCCATATAATATTTAAAAGTGCTGATCTTTGACTATACTGAAAAACATTAGAATATAATGTTATAAACCAAGAAGCAACATAATATGATGGATCTATCTTTTAATCTTTTAAATGTTATGATAATTCAGGTAAAAAGATTTAAAGTAATCTATCAAATTAATAAAATCCTATTTTCTATATATAACAGATTATTAAATTACAAGTTTTGAGAAATCATTAATATAGAGATCTTTAAAATAGAGATTCATCATTCTATCAAAAGCTTTATATGCAATTTCTTAATCTTAAAAGTTTAAATATAGATAGCCTGCAATATAATTCATGCCTTAACAATATCCAACATCTTGATTATAGAATGCATATATTCTCAATAAACTTTATAATACAGAAGAGTTAATTCTATCTTTGTGTAGATGTAGACTTCTTTGAACATCTAACTTTATTGTTTCTTCATATAGTTAATTAATATCCATTTCTAATCCAACTTTATTCTTCATTTCAACATAATCAATTTTCATTTATTCTAATTTTAAAGCTTATGCTATTAATTTTAATCTTAATTAATAAGTTTATTCACTAAATAGTATTTATCTATTAACCAAATAAAACTTTTTAATCTTATGTTTTAATTATATATTAAATTGACTATTAATTAATAATAATTGCCATGGTTAATCATCAAGATTTAAATATCTAATAAAATTTGAATAGTTTACTTCATAGTTGCACCAAAAACTTGAACAACTTTATTTTAATATTCTTACATTTTCTTTCGATCATACTTTTCTGATTTTTGATTCAACACAATCTTTCCAGATTTAAACAATTTTTTCCATTAAGTATTATGAAGATCTTCTTGCTTCTCCAATAATTTTTTGACATGTTCTTTATCAAATCTTGGTTATTAAAATGCTATTTGTATTATTATTTCTGTAGATAAATCTGATGGTAATTTTAATGAAGTTAAAAATAAATTGATTTCTTCCATTATCATATAACATATTTCACTTTCATTAAGTTCAAATTAAGATTATTAATTTGTTCCTAAATTTCTAAAAATAGATCCTATAATTTTAAATCCTTTCTAGACTATATTATTTTGATTTTGTTATTTTAAGAATTCAACTTACTTTCGTTTTTCATCTACTTTCTTTGCATTTATATATTAAAATAATTCTATCCATTTTTCTATTTTCCTCCATAATGGTATATCTGATAATTGAGATGCAAGATTTATTCTATCCCTTCCATCTTTACGTACTATTCTTATAGATTTAAGTAATAAATCATAAACATCTTCTGATTCATAAAGATTATTTGAATAAATATAATTTAACCAATGTCTTATCAATTATGTTAACTCTTGAAATTGTTCATTTTACAATGTCAAATAAAATGCTATGATATATATTATTTATATATACAGGTTTATTTTTCCTCAATTGATTTAGAATGAAATTATATTAATTAATTAATAAAGTAGTTTCTGCCTGCTTATTTTTATAGTATTTGTTTAATTTTAATAAGTAACTCACTTTTATCAGAATTATCAAGTGTAAACAATGAAGTGAGATACTTATCAACCATTTTCTTTTCATCATCTAAGATTCTATCTCCTACTATTTGCTATTGATGTTGGATCTATTGGATTGGATTACTATGTTCTGAATTAATATTTATCTTCTTCCACTATTCATAACTAATGAATTCTTCAAATTAAAACTTAAATGCTAATTATATTACTTAATGCCTACTATCTTTGATTTCCATCTTTTTTTCTATTAATTTAAGTATTGGTATTTTTGGATCCTCTTTCAATTTAATTTCTAAATCTGTAACCTTCTCTTCTATTTAAGTTAAATCTTTATCAAAAGGTAATAATTTTAATAATGAACTAACAGTTTATTTAGTAAACATAATTCTATATAGTATAAATTTGATTTAGAATACCTACTCTATTCATTCAATCCCACATTTGCAAATATGTTATCCCATTCTTCATGAAATGATTTCCATTTATCATTTGTTATTGTTAATAACTTTTTATAATCTTTTTCTGATTCATCAGCCAATTATTACAATTTTAAAGAACTAGCAAATTATTTCTAAAAATCTTCTCTTGTAGCACTACCTTTCTCTATTAAATCTATTATCTCTTATGTCTATTATGTTTTTTATTCAAATTATTTCATTATTTTCCAATATTCATCTTAGGTTTTACACAATTCTTTTCTGGTTTCCCATATTTCAGTAACTTGCTTTTTTGATTCAGCATTTAAATTTCTATTTGTTTATCTAAAATTTAATATAAATTGTGTATATGGCTCTGTTATTTCACTTTTTAATTTCTATGCTGTGAGTTCCCAATTTTATGACAATCTCAATAAGTAATTGCTCACTTATTAATATAAACAAACCAAAATATCAGGTTCATTTCCACAACTAATTTGAGTATGTAGCTTCTCTCCAACTATTTTTATTTCCTAACTAAATGAATGTAAACATTTGATCAATTCTTAAAACTTTAATTATCAATTAAACTTACTATCTTCTCCACTCCAGTCACATTCTAAGTTAAGCTTACCATGTATTCATATAACTTTTATTACTACTTATTATAATAATCTATAGAATGGTTCATTAATTAAATAGTTGTCAAATAATTAAATAAATTATATTCATTTCTTAAATGAGATCACAACATAGAAAAGCAACTTTAAACATTCCAACTATTTTAGACTTATAAAATCCTGAATGGGATGTAATATTAAAATCTTGGGCTTACATTAATGTAAAGTAATACAATCTTAATATGTTTTTGAAAATAGAACCTATGAATTAACTATTAATAAAGGGTCTATTGTAAACAAGAAAATTCTTTATTTGAATCAAAAAGAAGAATCAATTAATTATAAAGTATGTTCCAGCATGCCTAATATTATTGAAGTGAAAACAGAAACTATAAATCTCTAAAAAGACTGTAAATTTAATAATATTTTTTTTTAGAAAAAGATTATATTAAATTATTAATCAAGGCTCCATTGACTCCTTGTAAATTACATGTCAAAATAGCATTAATGGATGTCAAAGGTGATACTGTTTATGAAGGAATGGAATTTGATCTCATTATCTCAAATATAACTTCAAAATGAAATATTTCATATATTACACTTACTTCCAATCTAATTGATATTCAATTACTGATTAGTTCATTCTTAAGCCAACACTTCTTTATTTAATTAATATTTTTAAATTGAATTATTTTATTATTATTTTAAAAACTAACTTTCATAAAATCTTTTCCTTTACAAAATGAGCTATCCCTATTTAAATTATTAAACAAATTTAAATTCTCCTCTTATTTTAATATTGAAATCTTTGTTTACTCTTTGGAAAGTAAATAAAGTAAATAAAAGAAAACTTTCATTTAATGTTAATAGCAAAAGAATTAATTATATTGAGATGCTAAAAAGATTTGATTAAAATAATTTTAAATCAATTTTCATTTTCCTTAGCTGTCAGTGAAAGAATACCAATTTCATTTTATTGTTTGCTTCTTCTTTTAATGATTGGATTTTCTGAGATAACATACTTTACTTTTTATAAATCATTGTCTTGTTCATCTCTAAACTCTAAATTAAATTGTATAATCTCAGCAGTGCTTTATTTAAATTTAGCTTTAAATTCTTTTAACCTTTGAAGATATAAAGCCTTTTGTAATTCTTTTTCTGATGATTTTGAAGAGCATATACCCATGATTTTGAAATATTTATTAATGAAATTTTCCAATTTAATTCATGTGTATGTCTATAAAAAAATAAAAAATATATAAAACTAAAGACCTTCTAATTCAAATTGAAAAATCCTTAAAACAATGTGATCTCATTTAATAATTAAAAGTAGTAAAAGTAAAATAAACTATTATTATATAGAAATATTAGAAGTTGTATTTGATAAATAATAAATTAATTTATTTATCAATAATAAGTATATTATAATTTGTCATTGTGATTTCAGTTTCAGATATTGAAAATAAGATGTAATGTATAGATGAAGGAGCTCTTGTAGTTGTATTTGTCATAATTGAATAAGAAAATTAAAATGTATAAATATCTGGGCATTATTGATCCAGCTTATTGAATTATCCTATTACTAATATACAATATAATAATAATGTAGATTATGATAATAAAAGATAAGATTCAAACTGAATCATTTAGTCAAAATAAATTATAACAAAACTTTATGATGATTACAAAACTACTGAGAGTTCCTAATACAGATTTTTTCAGTATAACCAAATTCGTCTTTTGGGTTGAACAAATAAATATTGCTATATAATTGATGGAAAAACAGATTATGAAATTTATAATCTCTTATGTATTATAAGGTAAAATAGATCTCTAGATTGCAACGATATTTATGATTGTGTTTGGAGGAGAGGATATCCCAGATTTAGTTATGCACTTAACAATTTTATTTTATTTACATACTATATTACTATGATAATATTACTTTATTTGATCATTGATGATCTTTATTTACAACTATTATAGGTTTCCTTTATTTAATATCAATCAATTCGTGGATTATATTATTTGTTCTAGAAATTAGAAAAATAAGGATTTTCTAATAATAGTAATAGAATCCTATACAATTTTGTTAAACTAATTTATAATATAAAACATAAGAATAATGTCTTTTGTTTTATTTTATTTAATGCAATAATTAATCATCATAAATTGTATTTCTTTTAGCACTCCTTGAAAATATCCATATATGGCTAGCATCTTGTGATGTCTTAGTTTGTTTGTAAACACTAACCATAAATAATAAAATGTTACATTAGAAAACATTTAACTTTCACTTTGACAAGTTTATTATTGCTATTATGGAGCCTATTGCTAAGCTGGTTGTTCTGCTGGTTAAGAATGACCTATTTTTAAATTACTAACAAATCATACCTGAACCTCCAATGACTGATCTAATAGCTTAATGAGCTACTTCAGATCCTGCACCAAAGGCCATTCCTTACATTAAAGTTGATCCAAGGCCAGAAAACATACCTCCTGATCTTGCTGGTGCTTATGGTGGAGCTTAAGTTTGAGGGGCTGGTCTGGCAGCTGTAGCTGTACTCCTTGATGGACTTGCTGTTGATCTTGATGATGATCCACTTCTTCTTGGCATTCTAAAAAAAATAATATTTATTAATGAATTATTTTCTAAAGATTCAATGATCTTTATTATTTATTGTAAGTTATTAACCTTAAATAAATTTATTAATTTCTAGATTTATTTAGCTCAAACTGTACAGAAAAGCATTTAATGAATCAATCATTACACTAACCTTATTACAATTATTTTATATCCTAAACATCAATTAGAGTATAACATTAATATTTAAATAAAGGAAATATTATATTCTCAAAAATATATATATTAATAATTATAATTTTTATCAGATTATAATATATGAATACAAATATTAAACTAAATAAAAAAAAGTGCCACCTCCAGGAATTGAACCTGGGCTTTAGCGGCCACAACGCTAAGTACTAACCACTATACGAAGATGGCATCTCGAGAATATATCTAGCATCATTCTATTAATATCGTTCATTTCTTTCAAATAGTATGAATTATTAGTGATTCCTTTTGATTTTAATTACTTAACCCAATAAATAGATAATAAATATGAATTTTTGTTATTCTTATATCTAAAATTTAAATATAATAATAATAATTAATTTTTAATATTAAAAGTCTCATTCATAATAGACACCAAAAACAATTGCCACTCCATAAATTGTTTCCTTATTAATTTAATTTCAGATTACATTCTAAAAGATATGAGAAACATAATTATCCCAAGTAGGATCCCAAAGATTCTTTGATGTAACTTGACATCCCTATCCTTTAACCTCTCCAATTACTACTTAAACAGCAATTTTAAATCTTGGCATTTTGATAGCTATATATAACTTGAATCTTCTTACAATCTCTAATTTTACTTCTTATTCTCTTTACTAGTTCTTCTGCAAGTATAGGTGTATTGTTTGCATCATAAGTTTCGCTTTTTAATTTGTCATCCATGATCTCTTAAATAACTTTTCTAACTTTTGATGGATAAAATCTAAATCAATTTTATATAATTTTTACTTTTCCTCATCCTTTGGTTCAACTACAAAGGTATTAGCTCCTCCTGAGTCCATTTTTATTATAAAATAATAATAAATTAAATAATATTTCATAAATTTTAACTATTTCATTATACATAATGTATCATTAATTATATTTGACAATAAATATCTTTAATATCTATTTATTTATATGCTATTTTATAAGTATTTTATTGGATAAAAAAATTTCTAATTATATGAATTTATACATATTATCATAAAACCCATATATTTATTTTTCTTTAAAACTAATTAGAAATATGGATTATAGATAATAAATCAATTTATTTTGTTTTTGCATATTAATTAAAATAAAATTTTTAATATAAATTAAAAGCTTCTACATAATAATAATAAATTTATGATAGAGCGAATAGAAAGAATTTGAATACTTTTTTTTAATCAATTTATTGTTATCTGTTTATTTAAAAGATATAAAGAAAATATATTCTATTGTTCTAAAATTATTGGAAACCTGACTTTAGCAGATTTGAGGCCATTATAATTCTGAAAATAGTAATTAGATTATTATAGAGAGTGTGAAGATGAAACTTTATTCAAAACTATAATAACTTTGAAACTAAAACAATTAACATATAAATTATAATGTTATATATCTCAGTTAAATTTAAGTAGTTTTTAGTAGAAAATCTTATTCTTAATATTAAAACTTGCCTAACAATTGCTTTTATTAACAAATTTAGAAGAAATGGTTTTTTAAACAACTTAATTAATATAAATTATTAAATTCAGTTTATTGTGTCAATTCAAAATATCTATAATTCTTTAAATCTTAATTATATTATATTGAATATTACCTTTAACTAAATTTCATCAATGAATAGACAGTTTATTCTAGAATTGCAATACACTTATTAATAAAAATATAAATATTGAGAGTTGTGTATCTAATATATATTAACTTCATATAAAGATCTTGAAGAAATGGATTAATATTATTTAAAAAATGATTTCTGAATGTTTCTAGCCATCTAATTTATGCTTTCCATTTAACCAAGAGGAAAGCTCTCATTAAACAGAATACCATCTTCAATCAACTTCTTCATAAAATGAAGGAATCTTCAAATCAAAGCATTTTAGATAGAGGAGAAAAACAATTTAATATGGATAGAAAGATAGAAGCAGTGCAATCTATAAATATATAAAGGAGAAACAAAAGGCATTCCTTGATTATAAACCGAGAGCATAAATTTCTTAATTTTCAGCTGAGGAAGACAGAATATTAATTTTACTTGTAAAAAAGTTAGGACCCAAATTCAACAAAATAACAAGGTATTTCTCAGGAAAAACAGTCAACATGATTAAAAACAGATATTATAAATCTCTTCGTCATATTGAATCTTAAGAAATTCCAAAAGAACTAGAGGAAGAGTTATTTTCAAACAAAAATGAATAGAGAATTATTGGAAGTAAAATACTAAACTTGTGGCCCTAACACAAATAAATGAGCTCTGTTATAGAAGGTAGTCCTCTCTTTCCTGAAGCTAAAGAAATATTACATACATTTTTATCCTCCTTTTAACAGTTAATTAGCAATTGCAAAAAGTGAAAATGATTCTATCCATATATTTATAAAAACATTATTAACAGTATAAAAATAAATTCAAGATAATATGTAGAAACTTTATTAAATAATTTTTAAGATGTCTAAATGACATTCAAAATAGACATTAACCTAAAAGACTAGAAACCAATAAAAATTAGTTGTGATTTAACTATAATCTAAACAATTGTTCTAGAAATCAAAACATAATAAAATTTATTATAGTTAATCAACTAATTAAGATAAGTTAGGTATTTCTTCAAACTGATTTAAAAATAATATGATCTTTTTAATTTAGCAGTAAATTATATAAAACCAGATGATATTTAAAATAATTATTTAAGAATATTGGAGATATAAATTGTGATATAATATTGTAATATTTTCATCATAAACTATTTATTGTTATCAGATTAAGTTTAACATTTCAATACATTCTCCAATTTTAATTTTCAGAGTAATTATTTTGTCTATCAGTTTTTATTATGTTTCTAAATTTTCAAACTATTAACTGTTTTTGTTATTTCTAAATATTTTATAATTCTTACATGTTTTATAAAATGTTTTACTCATTCATTTCTAATTCTTACAACTAATTCTTAATTAATTTTATATACTGATTTATTCATATGATTCAAAATCAGCAAATAATCGATTAATTTTTATAAGATTTAAACTGTAAGCGATTCAATCTGAGATCATTTTGTTTATTTAATAGAATTATAGAATAAGCACGAGAAAGTAGTTTTCTAGTAAAAACACTTCTCTTTATAAAATTATAATAAATACAAGCTCTAGTAATTTTAAAATATAAAATAAGGAAATTCTTAAAATGACTTCAAGCCTAATGAGCAGAAATTGCAAAATATAATTGCTATAGAATATTTAAAACCACAAGTATTATTTAGTACTATATAAATTAAGATATTTTCCCATTTTTTTTAATAATTAAATTAAATGATTTGCCTTGAACAACATCATCAGGATTCATCTATCATTGATGAATGCTAAATATATACTGAATCCTTATAATTAATCAACTAGGTTGCTTAAAATTCAGAAACTACTCTAAACTTACCTAGATTTAAGCCTAAGTAATCTAGATAAAGAAGAAAGCCAATTCTATATGGTGATAAGGATCGGAGCAGTGCCTTATATAAATACATTAAAGAAAAACAAAGAAGCTACCTAGATTCTAAGGTTAAAGCCTCAAATTCATTTTTCTCACCAGAAGAAGATAGAATCCTTCTGTTATTAGTGAAAAAATTAGGTCCTAAATTTCAAAAGATTACTAAGTACTTCCCTGGAAAAACTATGAATATGCTTAAGAATCGATATTATAAAAGTCTCAAAGATTCGGAAGCTTCAATAGTACCAAGGGAAATTGAAGAAGAACTTGCCATAAAGGACAAAGAAAAAAGAGTGATGGGAAGAAAAATTATTAAAATCTGGCCAGAGGAATAAAGAATGACAGCTCTTATTGAAAATAGTGTTCTATTTCCGGAAGCTAAATAAAGAATTTAAGATTTGTTTTTAACTTTCACTTCAATAATTGGGAACTGTATGAAATTTGTTTGAGTTCTTTCTTAATATATATTAACATAATATACAGTTTTAAATAAATTTTAATCGAAACGTAAAAACTAACATAATAATAATATAATTATTTATTATTTTATTTTATTTATTTTTGAGTAAAAAAAACAATTATTTTAGAATGAAAAACATTAACATGGTCTCATAAATGTATTTATTTTAGATTAAATTTTTTTGCTCATTTGAGGTATAATTTGCTTGAAGCAATAAAAATTTAAATTGGAATTATATATTTAAACACTATTGTTGATTTAATATAAAATATATAAATAAAACAAGAAAACTCATCATTCCATAAATTATTCTCAGTAAAAGTATAGATGGTCTCAGAAATTATAAAATAAATCATAATTTAAATGTATTTTTTTAAATCCAAAAACAATAAGTTCAAATATATCAAGTTTATAATTCAAATTATAATTCATAAAATTATATCAGTATCAATTTGATATCATTCTTAATAACAATAATATAATTAATAAAATGAATGTTAGAGAAAATGCCATACAATAAATAAATTTTGAAAATAATCAAACATTAGAGTATATAATATTATTAAGAGAAATAAGGTGGTATCATAATAAAAATAGTGAATACTTTATTATAATTACTAATAATATAATACTGATATTATATAAATAATGAATTCATTTTAATATTCTGCATTAAATTTATAAATTAAATTAATGAATTCAGATTTTACACTTATTAGTATACTTTTTGTGAATGTTATTTCTAGAATTTAATCATAGGATATTTATTGAAATAAGAGGAATGATTAATATAAATATATAAGCATAAAATTGAATTTTAAATTTTATAATTGTATACTATTCTGATCATGAGCACATCTAACATTCTTCATTATCTGGATTCCAGTAATATTATTAAAAGGATTATGAATAACAATTTCTTCTATCTAAATCTTCAGGATTTGATGTTCCACATTATCCATCTTCATTTATTTCACAGTACATAATCTAATCAGTTTCAATATCTAAGTAACTTGAACATAGTTTAACTCCTTCTGACTAATAAAAGGAATATTGCCCATCTTCACATGTTCTTTTAACACAAGAATTATTTTTCCAAGCACATTAGGCATTAGCTTATAAACATTATTTTTCTGTTAAACTTGAACAAGAAGATAATTTTTGTCCTACACATGCAGACCCATTCCAATTACATAAAGTTTTCTTATATAATAAATATATTCTTGAACAATCTTCTTCAAAGGCTATATCTTCGCAATATTATTCACTTCGTCCTATCAAATCAAAAGCACATTAAGTTCCATTATCTAAACAATTAATATCATCACAAGATTTAGATAGAATACTTTTTTCATATGTATAATCTGAACATTTGGTAAATTTTTGACATTGTAAATTTTACCATGCACATGAAGGTATATTATTACATGTATCTTCATCAAGTACATTACAAGGAAAATCAAAATCCTTAATGATATCTATACATTATCCTTCAAGCCATATACAAACCTTAACATCAAATAAGTCTTAGCTAGCTGCTTGAAAAGAGACAGCATTACTACAGTCAAACTCAGTGTACAAATTTGAACATAGACATGCTTTAATATCTGCAGAATTGACTATAAGGATGAATGTCAATAGAATAATTAATTTCATATTATTAATATTAAAATTTAGTATTTAAATTATGAATAAAAAGTGTATAATTATAACTGGTTGATGATTATGTTATAAATGTATTTATATATAAGAATATTTTTAATATCGTTTTTCGATATGATAATTTTGATACTTGTATCGGTTGTATATGCTCAATTAGATTAGCTGCGAGAAACAGAATTGGGATCAACATTATTAGAAACAGTTTAACTACACATTTAGGCAGATGAACCTACAGGAGATTTATTGTAATTATTGAATGGAATTAATGGTAATAATAAATGATTATAAATATACAGAGAAACTAATAAAATAAAGGAATAATACTAATAAACTCTAAAAATCTAAATTAGATGAGTGCATGTAAAATGTTGAATCGTTAGAGGAATTGATTGCAAAACTGAAGGAGAATAAAGTAGTTGTGAAAATAATAAATAGTATGATGTACGAGAAGAGATCTATGCACATAAACCTCACATTGAATAATTTGAACATATGATGTCAACTAAAAAGAAAGAGAAGGAATTATTAATAAAAAATATAGAGATTTGTCAAAATAGGGAGAATATACAAAAAGAATAATATCATAAATTAACAATTTAATTATAAGAGAGAAGATATGATTATGTAAATCAAAAGTAAAATTTATTATATTCTTAAGTTTAGAAATCCATTGTCTCTGAAAATTGATCAATAAAGTTTAAAACCCTTATTAAACGATTTGATTGATTTTACAACAGATATGATGTCATTAGAAGATAAATATTTTGATGAAAAAGAATAATAAACCAAAAATTTAATCACATTATATTAATCATAATTAGATAATGTTTTATAATTTTTGGATGAAATCTAAGATAACATTAATGAAACTGAACATCTTGTTAAATAATTAGAATTGGAATATAATGAAATTAATCAAAGAATTAATGTACTCATCAATTTATATTAGTTAAAACAAGAATAAGTTAATGATATCAAGCAAGATTGCAATAATATATTTTAATAATCTAAACATTAATCATAACGAATAACAAAAGAAATTGAAGTTGTCAATTAAATTATTTAACTAATTGAACACAATTTTGGATGGCTACGTTCACAATTAGGATTATGATGGCATAAATAATATTACCCAAATATATCATATTATTTATTTATAATTCATTTTTAATACTTATCTAAAAACTCTTATAGAGATTATGGAACTGATTTTGCTGTAGAGAATAATTCTCTATCTGCCATATAGCATAATAATATTGTATCAATTCCCATTCCATAAACATTCATAAAAATACTTGATAATGTTAATGAGATAAAGGCAAAGAATACTGTTGGTAATACAGGAGATGAAATTTGATTTGAATAATGATCAATCTAAGTGATCATTATAAATCCAATAAATGTTGCTGTTATCCCAATTGATAAATTAGCCAATGTACTAAATATTTCACCAATACCATCTGTAATTGCAACAGCAGTTTTATGTCGAAATATTAAATAATAACCATCATGAGCTGATTTACAAAATGATTTTCCTGTCATTGCAACCATTATATATGCATTTTAAGTAATAAATCTTATAAATCTCTCAAAACAATGTATTATACATCCATAATATCCAAACCAACATTTCAAACATCCAGTAGCTCCCTTATTCTATTGAACTCCTTATTTAAATATTTTCTAACTTATATCATTATTATTATACATGTAACAAATCAAAGGTAAATCTTAATACAGCCACAAATGTTAAAATCAAAGATCCCAAAGCTAAAGATCCACTATGATGCATCAATCCTCTTTTTATACTTTTGAATACTGGACGATGTAAATTAACTCCCATATGATGGAAATACCACATACAACAGCAACTAGCTACTACATACTAACTAAATGCCATTGCAAATTAACAATTCCAATAAAATGCTATTGAATTACCAATAATCATTCCTATTACTCCAGAATTAAGATCAATTTCAGGAAATGGAGTTTTATTATATTCTGGAGATCCATATGACATTAAATAAGTTGTACTATATATCCAAAATATTAAGAATGCTATCATTACTCCAAATATGCTTAATGGTACTATTACTACCTACCACACATCTCTAGTAAAATCTGCTGCTGCCTTTATTACAGCTATAGCTAAATAAATCCTTTTATAATAGCATCCCAACATTAAAAATGAAATTCTAAAATTATTCAATATTTTTACCCTGCAATACTCCAAAATATTATTGCTATTGTTAAACACCATCCATAACTATTTCCAAAATGTGCATTTGAAAAATCTCCTTTACCACTATAATAAAACAAAAAACCAAATAAAATTAATAAAGAAAAGTATAAAATAAGCACACCCCAAACTAAACATGATGCACACTTCTTCACCAAAAACATTATGAAATTACTAATTTCATTATTTTTATATTTACGCTAAAATCAAGGTTATGACACAAACAAATAATGAAATTGCCCATGTCTTTCCAATATCTTAGAAATCTGCTTCACTTGCTGTAAAACTAAAGAAATCTTTTGTTAAATCCCAATAAGGATCACTTTTATATGGAGAACATACAGACATATCTAATATAATATCATATATTAATATTTACAATCGTATGTTCCATATAATGTATCTAATGTTTCAATACCATTTACTGTGCAATAATTAACTTATTCATTCACAGTTGATGGACAGCTTACTACACAATAAAATTAAAAATTTCCATTTTAAGTATCATCAATTTATGTGGTGTTCATTAAATATGAGTATGGACAACTTTCAAAATTTTCACTAACCCCACATTATTGACCATCCTTTCATTATTTATATATAAATACACTATTGTAAGGTAAAAATAAAGTCTCAGGTGAACCATTAGACAATGCAATTATTCCTATTGTAATTAAACCTCCCCACATTATTAAATATAGAATGCACCATATACAATCTGTACATCCTCTATCTTCTATTGGACCCTATTCTAATCTCCTATCTAAATCATTTCCTTTATAATCTGGATTTTACTCTGGATACTCCCATTCAGATGGTAACAATTATGCATTATTGCTCATAAAATTATTAATATTATTATAATTTTAGTCAATACTTAATTAATTAAAGATTTTATCTAAATTTCCTATAATGAGAATACTATCTTATTAATACTATTTTTAAGTCATAAATAATCATCAATCAATTCTAAATTAATGAGCTTTGATAATTTGTAATATGATAATTCTATTATATTTTAATTATAATCTCTCTATTAATTCTTGTTTAATATCACTCTAATTCAAATAAAAATTATAATGATTATTAGTATACTTGTTTAATAAATTAATCTCTTAAGTTTTAATTCTATAATTGATCTCTTTCACATTTTAAATATATTAAATCTCTTTTCTTGAAATAAGTGAATATCTTAAAATTTCTTTGAGTACACACATATCTTTTTTGTTCACTTCAAAATAAATAAGTGAATATAAAGTTACTAACCTTTAATTACTTACTTATAACTTCATTTATAGAAATAATATATAACTATTTCATAATTTATCCTATTCTTTAAATAAATTTCAAAAATGGACTTTTCTCTCTCTTCTGTAATTTATAAACAACTAAGTTGATATTTATCTACTTTTCTAATACATGGTAGAGTTTGATTTTTTAAGAATTTTTTTTATTTTATTTACAATTTTTAAGTATTTTATTTATAATTAAAATGATTAAATTAATGATCTATTTTAGTTAGTATCTATTTTTGATTATTGATATTAGAATAATTAAAAAATTTTAGTTTAAAAATCTGTGATGAGATAACAATAAACAAAATCATTAAATTCAGGATAATCTTTGATAAACTTTGATAATTCCTGACTTATTTTATTGATTAACTTTCTTTATAATTTATGATTTTTATGAATATAGATTAAGTTTGTGTTTTAATCTACAATTTTATAATTAATATAATCTTATCATAGAATAGTTTAATATATCCTATAAAATATATGTCATTATTAAAGCATTAAGAATTTATTGAGAGACTTTAACCTGTCAGATATAATTGTAATATAACTATATTCAATTCCAAAATAATTATATTTACATTTACAATTTCTAATATTATTATCTGAATTTCAAAAGAAAGATAAATAATTTATGGAATTGCAAATTCTTATAAATTTAATTTTTTTAATGAAAATGTAATTTATATTCACAAAAGTATAAAAGAAATTATCAAAAAAATCACTTTAATAATATATGCTCAAATTTTATTTTTGAGTAAATTTAACATCTTTTATCAATCATCTTAAATAAATATCTATATCATTTCGTTTTATGATGTTGTTTACAGGTTATTCAAATAACTTTTTGCAGTAGAATCATTATATAATAATTGTTGTTATATATAACATAAGAGAAAATTATAATTATTTCTATAGAATACTTATGAGTGTTATTAATAGATATATTGAATATTAAGGATATCTGGATATTGAATTATTATTAAATTAAATTCGAATTAATTTTATGGATCATTATCACTTTCTATTTAAATATATTATAGTTGGTGATACTAGTGTTGGAAAATCATGCATATTGTTAAACTATACAGAGAAGAAGTTTAATGAAGACCATGAAACTACAATCGGAGTAGAATTTGGAAGTTAATTATTAAAAATCAATGACAGGACAATTAAGATTTAAATTTGGGACACTGTATTTTTGTATATATGATTTGAAGGCTGGATAAGAGAGCTTTAGATCAATAACAAGATCTTATTATAAAGGGTATGATTGAAATAAATTAGATCTATTGGAGTAGTTCTAGTATTTGATTTAACAAAGAAAGACACCTATTATAATGTGATGAAATGGCATAATGAAATATTAGATTGCACACATGAATTTGTAGAAGTTAGTTTAGTTGGCAATAAATTAGATTTAGAATCAGAGTACAAAAATATATTGATCTATAAAGACGTCAAGTTTCTACAAAAGAGGCCCTTGAATATGCTTAATAAAATAAAATGAATTATTTGGAAACATCTGCAAAAACTGGATAGAATATAGATAAAGTATTTGAGGATATCGCTTAAAGAATATTAGTAAAAATTGACAATAAGGCAATTGATTATACATAAGAAGTAAGAATATTATTGACAAAAGGTTTATGGAATAAAATTAGGACCATACTTTCAGAATCCAAAATAAGTAACAAACACATCTTCAACTCTAAAATCAGAACCAGAAAAGAAGGATAAAACATGTTGTTGATAAATTATATATAATAAATTAATATTAATAATCAATACTTATCTCAAAATGTTAGATTACAACATAGGAAAAAGATGTCAATACTCTATATGTAGACAAAAGGATTTTCTTCCATATTCTTGTTCTCTATGTAATAACGAATTTTGCAAAGAACATCGTACACCAGAAGCTCATGAATGCACAAAATTATCAATTAAAAAATAGGTCTTAAAATGTCCAATTTGTGAAAAGGGAATTAGTTATACCTCAGATTAAAATGAAAATATGATATGGGAAGAGCATTTCTAAAAGGATTGCCCCTAGCAACCTAAAGAGAAAAAGTTTTGCCCAATCTGTAAAAATAAATTAACAGATCTTAATAGAGTCTAATGTAAAGATTGTGGCATGGAAATTTGTCTCAAACATAGACAAAGAGAAGATCATAGATGTCCTACTTTGAAAAAGATTGAAGATCAATAAAATTAGAATATCCCATAGCCGTAAATATAGTAAGTCAGTAATGAACCAAGTTTTTAATAATTATTAGACTAATAGAAATTAAAATAATAATAAATATAAAAATAATACTAACCTGAATTATGCCCAGTTTGTGGGATGAACTTTCCTTACATCATGCAAGTTATTCGTCATGTAGAAATGCATCATTCTTGATTAATAATGATTTGTATATCAATATATGCTCATTAATGGTGATAATACTTATCTAAAATTTTTAAGAGATTTTAGCATCAATATATTCATACCCTCTCATTTTTTTACTTGATTCATAGACAATTAAATTAAATGATGGTAAGAGGGTTCAAATATGAATTAATTCATCTTAACATTTAAATCATCCTAATTAAACATATCTTAAGTCTTCCTTTTGAAGTTTTTGGCTTTATTTCCAATTTGATTTAGGCAATAGATAATTTAATTTTTAGTGCACTTTTTCTCACAATTTTTAAATTTAGATATTCTTAAGGTTTTTCATTATATTGGAACATCCTATCTAATATTATATATTTTCATCTTCATATGTGATTTATAATTTGTGATTTTGATAATTTCATAGCTTATATCTATTTAAGACAATGATTAATCTAATACAATTATAAATGGAAAGATTTGAAATAATTATTATAATTTTTCAGTTTAAAAGTTTCTTCTAAGGATCAATCTTTATTATGATATTATTCAAAAGAAGATTATAATTTAAAGTAGATAGGATTTGTTCTATTTTCAAATTTCATTAATTTGATGAACTACTATTTTTATACTTTTTGTAAATGATAATAAGTTAGTCTTTATTCTAAATTATTATTAACATTCTGATAAATTTCAACTTCATAAAATGAGTCTGTATAAAAAGACAATTATTTATGATAATTTTCATAATTTTGTGGCATAAATCAGATAGGGAATCATAATATTAAGTATATAGGTTTTCTTTTTTGCTTTTTGTGTTTGGATTGGAATTTTGGCTAAAAGGATATTTATAATTTTATTAAAATAATACATAAATAAACCAAGAAGTACTCTCTTTTTATAAATTTACTTATTATTCCATGAATTTTTAAATGAAAGATCAGAGTAAACTATGTAAGATAAAATATTTCTTAAAATAGTCAAGGTCAACACTATAAAATTTTGTTTAAGGTAATAATGTAGCGCTATTAATAATATCATAATAATAATTTGAATTTTTATTGCAATAATGACTACTTTTATATATTTTGCAGTTTATACTAAATCTGATAGTATTGCTTTCGTTTGTGAATAAAATTCTATAAATTTATTGTATATTATATGTTTAATATTTATTTCAATGGTTAACTAGTTTATATCTTCAAAATAACATTTATGTTTAAGTACAAAAATTCTATTTTGATTTGACATAATTGTGTATATAAAGTTGTAATTTAATTAGTAATACTCAAAATGATCCTTGCATTTATTAAGATTTAAAGTCTTAAAATCACAATTTATACTATTCCATAATAATTTAATTTTCTTGCTTAATTTATTAAGATAAGTGTATAAGTTTAGAAATAGATTTTAACTATTTTTGATAGATCAATGTTTGATTAGTAGAGAGTACTTGTATCTTAATAAAGGGAGTACTTATGTAGTAATTAGATTTGAATTATTCATTAGTATGACACTACAATAATGAAGATTAATATGGGGAAGGATGGTGGATTTGGTAAAATTTGTGTATAATCTTAAATCTTATTTTGAATGGACAGTGTGTTGATCTTTAGTAAAGTAATTAGTCATGAGAGAGATACTCTATTGAGATGTTGGATTTGTAATTTACAATAAAGATGTTTATTAATGAATAATTTTTGTAGTAAAGCAGTTATCATATATTGATTTCGTTGTTCATTAATTTCTAATATAATCCAGAGTAGTGGGTTTGAGAAAAAATCTATTAAAGTAAGGGAAGTTCTAATCCGTTTTTGTATAAATTAATTAAATGAAGTATATGTTATTGGCTTTGGTGCTAACAATGGCACTAAGTACATCAAGTGAGGAAAACGTATTACAATTATTGGCTGAGTTAAAGCACAACGCTGAGTTAGAATTAGAGGGATTAGAGCTAGCTTGGCAAAGAAGAATTGGTGAGAAATAAAGTGTTGCTGATTCTCTTAATCAATCTGTTTTGAATTAAAGAGCTGAATGTCAAAACAAAGAAGATGATATAGCTTAAAAGCAAAGTGATATATTAGCTAGTGAGAGTTTCATTAATTGGATGAGTGGAAGATAAAAGTCTAATATAAAGAAAATTGGAGTTTTGGAAGCAAGCATGTAAGAGTATTTTAAATATATGAAGATGTGCATTAACAAATAATTATGTGAATGATATAAGAAATTTCAGATATGCTTTAGCCTTAGTAAAATTTTTAAGAGAAGAACTGACATAATTAGAAGGAGGAGCATCATCTTTAGCTTAAGTGACATAATTCCATGATAGAGTTAGCAAATTCGTCAAACTCTATCGTAGTGGATAATTAGTCAATTTAATGGAAAAGATTGATGATAAATCAGATCTCATTGTCCCTGAAATTGAATAAGGTACATTTGATGAAATTTCACTTATTCAAAGAATCAGACCTAGAGCATTGACTTAATTGGATTAAGTTGATGATGATGATAAGGCAAATAATGCAGTTGTTCTTATTCCAGGATGTGATAATTAAATTGGAACTGTAGTTGTTGTTTAAAATGATGATGGAACAACTGATTCTGGAGATCTTAATGTTAAAATCACCAATGGAGGTGGAGTAAGTACATAACCAAGTGGAGGTAAAACAGGTTCTGGTTCTAAACCAACACATAAAGATACATCATCAAAGAAAGAAGAAACTAATAATAATATTGAGGATGCAGATTCAGGTGATTCTGGTAATTCAGATGATACAGGTGATTCAGATGATACAAATGATTCTGATAATACTAATGATTCTGATGATACTAATGATACTAATGATACTAATGATTCTGATGATACTAATGATACTGATGATTCTGGTGATGATGATCATCCTGAAATTATTATTGATGATTAATAACCAGATCATCATGTTGATGAGGAACCTCATTTTGTTATTTCTCCTCCTCCAAAGGGTCCTCATGCAACTGGAGCTGTTGTCCCACCTGAAGATGAAGAATTTGCAGATAATTGGGAAGTATTATGATTATTTATTACATTAGGGTTTCAGAAAATTATTAGATGCTATTGAAAATCATACCAGAAAGTCTTTAGAGACTGGAGCCAATGATGAAGTGAGATCTAATTTAGGATTTATTGATTTCAAATTACATGTTGAATTAGAAAATCAATTCTTCGACAAAACTATTTAATATGAAAAAGATTATTTGGTAATATATATAATAATTATCATTAGGTTAAATAAGTAAATTAATTAACAGGTAGAAGATAAGCTTCTATTTTGTGTGGAGCTAGATTAAAATAAATTACAGTAGCTCATTAAGTTGCTTTGAAAGTAAGATTCTATATTTATTAAAGGATATTGATGCTGCAAAATAATTCTATGAAGAACAAAGAAAATTGAAGTAAGAAGAAGTGAATACCTTTGATGATGTTTATCGCATCTATACCACATAAGTGAATCATTGATAAATATATATTATTTGGATCAAAATTATATTACAAAAATATAAATTACTCTTTAATATTAATTTATTAATTTTTGTTCGAAATAAATTGAAGTAAAGAATTGAATGAAGTAAGATAACCATAATGTGTTTAATCATTTAATTAATTATGGATAGCACTTAATATGCATCACCACCTTATCACTATCGTTGGCTAAATGGTATTTTTATATTACATGTCTTTGTTAGGCAATGAGTATGAAGATTTATTAATGAATGGAAAAGATCATACAATACCTATGTTTGATGAACATCCAGAGGATATTTATTATGAACCAAAAAGTAAATTATATTTAAATTCAATATTGTAGATGGTTATTTATACTTTTTAAGAAAAGCCTCTTTAAGGAATTTAGGATTTCCAAGACTAAAAGACAATTCAAAAAAAGTGTTCAAATGGAAAAAAATGAACTTTTAAACACCACTACCAAAACATTGTCCAAAAGTATCCTACATAGTTTGTAGTACTACTACATGCCTTGATGTTCCTCATTATCGCATGCATATTGTTTAACTTTTTAACTAACGTGATGAAGAAGGTGTTCTCCTTTGCCATGTATTACAAATTTGCAATCGACTTTCTCCAATTCAATAAATCAAAGATAATCCTCCAATGTCTTTTGAAGAATATGAAGAAATTAGAAATTGTAAGAAACGTTTGAGTGATTGTATGGAAAAGTCTATGGATATCATACTTGAAGTATAAGATTTGCAAATGAGAACTGCTTTACTTGATGATGATAATAACTATATACAATAAAAATTGCAATCTAAGGAATAACGATTAGAAAATATGAAATTATATGGGGATATGTTAAAGAAATATGAACGATACATTAATGCTGTTATGGAAGGATATGAAGTTATTCGTAGATATGATGATCTCTGATATGCATTTATAATAATTAATTATGTAACGAAAGCTTAATGATAGATCAAGTTCCACTGCAGAGACAAATATTCGACGTAAAGAACTTGTCGATCAAACTTATGATAAAATATTCTTCTATGATGATCGAGAACGCATGTAATAGGAATTGTAACAAATAAAAGTTGAAAACAATAAACTAATCAATGAGAACACTAAATTGAAAACTTAAATAATATTATTTGATAAAGATCTAGTTAGGTATGAAAAATTGTGTGGAGGATCATTGAACAAATCCTCTGATTTACTTTTAATACAATTGAGAAAACATAATAAAGAATTATCATAATAATTAAAGGAAAAAATTGAATAGATTGAACATTTAAAAAGAAGTGCTAAAATTACTAGAATAGCAGAATTAGAATGTGAAAATAAAGTTTAAATTGAAGAATATGCTAAATTGAAATCTTGTTATGAAAATGCTATTAGATAAATAAACGATTTGAATCAAAAATTATAATGGTTCTAAACACTTTAAGTTGATATTTCAAAATTATAAAGGCTTAATGAAACTAATTCTAATGAGAATAAAAATTTGAATACTAAAATCTAATAACTTGAAGAAATGTTAAAACAACAGCAAGTAAATTTTTACTTAATTTTATATTAAATAGATTTTGAATAAGACTAGTATCTAATAACATGAAAAGAAGATTAATATGTTGTCAGCATAAAATAAGAAATTAATATCAGAGAAAAATAATCTTAAAGTCACTATAAAAATGCTTTAAGATAGAGAGAAAGCTTTTGTTATTTTGAAGAAACCTTCATCTCATTTAAAATTAAGTGCACTTCATTAACTAATTTTAACTGAATTAAAGTTTAAATTAATACTTAGAGGTATAACAGTAAAATAATTAAATGAAATGTTTGATGGATTGAAATAATAAGCTAAAGAATAAAATGTGTAAATAAGATTAGATGATTTTCATCATATTTTGAGTTAGTATTAATATTAGTATTAAATTAGAGAACCATTCTCATTCACTGATAATAAAAAGATTATCTAAATTCTTAACTGTCTCACAGGAAATGGGGATATATTGATTGAATAATTTTTAAATTTGATTGGTATCTATGACACATTTAATAATTTTGATTTTGAATAGGAATAACAAAATATGTAAGAATAATTAAATCAAAATAAATAAAAAATTTAAGATTATTGGAATTAAAAATAAGTAGTTGATTATCATGAGGTTTAAAAAATGATTATTACTGTTGGATTATCATTTAACAATTCTAGTTTACTATATTATAATTTAAATGTAACATATAAATTAAATATATAGTTATTTGAAAAATCAAATGAAGATTTACAGAATATTAAAGTATCAGATACATTAGATCCATTTTTAGATGAAGATTAAGAAATATTAGAATTTAACAATTATAAAAAATAAAACAATTAACCACCTAGAATATCAGAAGTTTCAGATGAAGAACATTATGAATAATAAGATTGATCAATTTCAAATGTGTATAAATTTCTATATTCAAATATAAGTGATTCTAAATAACAAACAATCAAATGTATCTCTTGATCTGTCTTCATCACCAATAAAAACTTTAACTTCTGCTTTATCCATTTCACCAACTCTATGAATTTATAATGTAACATCTTATATCTATTAAGCTTTGAATAAATATCTAGTCTCAATAAGCTATAATAAAAATAAATAATTACTTTTAAAATTTATTTATTTGATGATTTAAAAATTAAAAGGACTTCATTATTTTATTTATTAGCATATTTAACAATGTAAGTCTTCATTTAATCTCTTGGAGCTTGAATATCAAATACCTAACTAATTGGTGGAACAGTTGGTGAAATATTTAATATCCATCCTCTGACTAATTCATGAGATTATTCATCTACACAAGTCACCATTACTTTATGAATCTATTCAGTGAATAATCTAACACATAAATTAGCAATATTTATTTTTCCTGGTATTAAATTGACTAACTAATCATATGGTTATGGAAACCAAACACATATAGGATGTGATGAATAAAATTTAACCTATCTTGAAATCTCTACATGAACTGTTAACTTTGTATTTTAAACTTAACCTAAAGGTACCTCTATACCAATACTAAAATTAAATGTATAATTAATAAATATACCCAGCCAAACTTGTAAGTTTTATTTACCAATTAGCTATTAATTCTTTGAAATAAGTATCTTAATATGCTAAAATATAGAAGACTGTCTATTTATTCACTTCAGGCATTCGTAAACTAATTCTGATTTCAAATTCATTAGCCCATTCAACTACTAATTGATCGTTATTACAAAATAAAATAGGTTTTTTATCAGGTGATGGTACTGTGTATCCATATAAAGCTGGAAATTAAATAGATACTTATCTATTATCTCTTTCATAAAATCTATAAACATGATCTATAGTGTTATTATGAGGAAATATTTTGATTCTCATTCCTCCAACACATTATCCTTCAATTGTATTGATAAATACAGCAACTTACCTAGGATAACTGTATTAAGTGAGAAATTATTTGCCTTTAATAGTAAATAATTCTTCAGTCTTTTATAATTCAGTAAATTCTTAATTAACTTCTCTAAAAGTTTAATATTTAAATAAAAGCACAACTTTTTCTTTAGCTGTTAAAAACATAGTAAAATTATTTTGATTAGCTTATATCATATTGAATTCCTAAGGTTTTGAATGATTGTACAAATCTACATAATATTTCCATTCCACAGGTTAATGAATTAAATGAATTTCTTAAATACCAGAACATTTAACTTCTTAATCATCAATTGAAATAACAAAATTTTATCCTGTTGCATAAGGATTTCTGAATTCAAGTTCGATTATTTCTACTTTTCCAAAGAAAGGATGTATCACTTTTTCATCACTTAAATGACTTTAAATGACAGAATGAACAAAAGCATTTTTAGATAAATCTTTTCTCTTTGTAATTTCCATTAAAGTCTTTGTACTATTATTATTTGGATCATTTGGAACTTCTTATCTTCTTATTCTTTTAATTCTTTCCTTGATTCTTTCATTTGGATCTTACTTAATTAAATCTTTCTCTTCATCTTCTAATACATGCAAAGGTTCAACTCTTTTGGTTGAAATCACTTTTCTTTTCATCTAACTGTTATTATCTAATGCTTCAGTCACTTTATCCTCTTTACCAACACATTTAATTAATACTTATAATTCTCCTTTGATTTTTTTAAATTCTTTATCTATGATATCTGCTTTCCTCATTACAACAGATGCATCTTGTCCTTACCTTAATAATTATCGTAAAGGGAGTCTAATAGTTCCAAATATCATCATGGAATCAAAATCCCAAATTTCAATTGTTATACATTTATTAAATAAATATTCACAAAAATATTTATAAGCTTTAGGATATCCAATAGATGATGGTTCAATTTCAAATTTAAAAACAGGTTCTTTATAAGAAGCACCTGTTTTCAGAAATTATTCTCTTATTAAAAGAAATGGTATAGATTGTTCTAAACATCTAGTATAAGAAGATTTATCAAATCCATTCTCATAAATTAATGGTTCTGTAATATATTCTGGAAAATCATAAAAATTGACTATCATGAATAATCTAGAAGGTATTCTTGATTCTTCTGAATAATGATAAACAGTAGGTTCAAGATCTTTAGATTTCATAGTAATTCTTGGTTTAAATGAGAGTAATTAAATAAATACAGTGATAGATTGTCTATGATCAGCTAATTCATATTGAAGTGATTTTTATTTAATTTCATCATTTTCAACATAATCTGTATGTTATACAAACAATTCTCTCACTCCATTTTAACTGAGAAATGCAATATCTCCTCTTGAAAGTGCTTAACCTCCAAATTGAGCTTCAACCATTAAATCTTATTATTAAGTTTTGTAAAATGTTTTTCTAGGAACTGATGTCATAGATTCTATAATTCTCCATTTTTCTAATTCTTTTTAATCTTACAACACTTACTATTATCCTAATAAAGATGCTGATGTTGGTTATGCTTTTGTTAAATATTATTATTAAGTTTGATTAATATCAGTCATCATTTTTTTTAAATCTTCATATTATTCTAATATTTTTTATATTTCTTCTTCATGTTATTTCTTAATTGTTTCTACCATTTTCTAATATTCTTATTCTTTTTATTTATCAATTTTAAGTTTGTTTTCAAAATCCATAGCTAAATTTGTTGCACTTACTTATCTATCTTATTAAAGTTCTATAAATTTTTTATAATAAATTTTATACATTTTAAAGTATTTTCTAATTGTTTTATTTTTCTTTAATCATCATCCATACCAAGTTATTAACCACCTTATTCAGGTAGTTTTACTAAACTTGGAGCATCCATTGGTTAAAAAACCTATTAATTAATAATGGGTCCAGGTAGATTTTGAGTTTGAATAGATCCAAAATTAATTTTTCCAGATATTGTTATTGGATATTTAATATCACTTAAATCTACTAATACTTGATTACTAAGAGATCTTCCTGGTCCAACAATAAATTCTTCTTCAAAATTAGATTTGGGTATTAATGGTAACCAACCACATAATACAGTAGTTCTTTATTTACCTAGATTTGTAACCATAAATTCAACATCATATTCTAATTAGATAATAAAGACTCCTAATTTAGGTTCTTAATAAATGCCATTTACATCTAAAGCACCTTTAAATGTAAGTTTTTTATAATCAATCTTTTAGTTATCAATACTTTTCTAAAAAGAAGATTCTTCCAAAGTTATGAAATTATTTAATCCTCTTGTATTTGTATAATTCCATCCATTATGAAATGTAAATACTAATCTTTTAGCTAAAAAATGGACATCATTTGGTCCATCATCTTTATATTTGATTTCCTTATACTTCTTTAGATACTCTGATATCAAAAGATCTACTGAAGTTGGTATCAATATTTCAATTGATGTTACATATGCAATTTATTCTTACATTAGAGATAATTATTGTATTATTTGATATCCATGAACTCCTAATACTTCATCTCCATATCCACATAGACATCCTTCAGGTACCAAATTTCTAATTTATGTAAATTCCTTATTCTCAACTATATCCATCCACATTGTTTATCCAACTGTTTCCACATTAGTTTGATTACTAATTAAGAATCTAGATGAACCTCTTTTTAGAGTATATTTTAATTCTTAACCAATTTCACCTAAACACCAACCAACTATCAATCTATTTTATATAACTTGATCCTTTTTCTCTAAATATTTAGATTATTAATACCAAATAAAACAATCTCTGCAGCAATTTAAATGGATTCAATTTAACGTAAATGAAAGTAACAGAAAACCTCTGGATGTTCCAATTATTGATTTGCTTATGAATAATTCAATTCCAAAAATGGAGATTCATAAGTTCTACCAAAAAATTCTTTTGTATTTGAATTGTATAAATTTAACAGTATTCTTATTGATTACTATACATCCTTTTTGGGTGGAATGTTATAGACATCTCTAATTTTGATTCTGTAACAAAGTGATTCAAGATGTGTATCCTTTTTAGGAGGTGGAATGGTTTTATGAATTTTAGCAAACTTATACCATCTTTTCAAATAAGCTTGTTCATCATCTAATATTTCAGACATTTATTTTAATTTATATGACTGAGATTGAATAATTAAATGATGAACAAATCATCAAATACTAGACTTTCCACAAAAAACTTAGAATTGATATGGAAAAAGCTCTATAGAAACTCAAATAATTATAAATCAAACAAGATGATTATTAACTTGTTACAGAATACATTAAAAATTAAAAAGGATAATCACAAACTAAAATGAATGTTGGAGCTAATACATTCCTAAATGTTGAATTGTATTAAACACAATTCTAATGAATAGAATAAATCCTAAATTGATAACACTTGATATAGGAATGAATATATTTGTTGAATTAAATTTTTAAGAAGCCAATAATATAATTACAAAACAATTATAAACACTTTCATTCAAAATTGAAGAACAAAATAAAACAATACTTGGTGTATAACAATATATTGATTAAGTTGAAAAGATTTTATTATAAGTTAAGTGAATTATTAAGTATCATTTTAATTTGACTAACCAAAAACTATTGATTGGATCAAATTTAGTTAGTGCTACACATCTATGATTCTCCATTGAACCATTTTCACTTGTTCTTGATAAATATAACTTTGATTATCTATGACGTAATTCTACTTTATTATATATTAATTTACTAATAAAAGTATTCTCATATAGAATATCTGTACCTATTTCTAATTACCAGATAGCTTAATCTTTTATTGTTTTACTAGCTATACAACCAACCTTGTATTCACCTTACAGAGTTTCTTCAGCCACCAAAAATGTTTCAGTCAATAAATGATGTAACTAAAGATTTATATAAATTTTGAATTACCACAAATCTATCTTAATTTACTATAGGACCTTCATGATTTAAAATTAATTTCCATTCTTCATACATCCCAATACATTCCTTACCTACTGATACTTCATACATTCCTCCATGTTTTATAATATGTGTCTATAAACTCCATGTTCCAGCTGGATTTTATATCATCAAAGGAATCTACTAAGACACCTACTTCATATCTATTGAAGCTTGAGGAGATGGAGCTGTAGATTAATATTCAATTTATCTATCTAACTAAGTATTCTTATTCTCTATTTATTATCTAAAATACTTACTTTACAATATTATACTTTCCTCTGCAATAGTTTTCAAATTATCTTGTATTATTACAGTCTCATATTTAAAATGAAGACAGTTTCCTTATTGAATATCTTAAGTTAATAAATTTTTGGAAATTTGAGAGGATTTATTAAAACTATCAGTTCCTTGTTAATTTTTATGCTCTGTCTCCCTACTCTCACATAATCCCATTAATTAATAATATATTTAGAGTATATTTTCATATCAATTATATTAAATAGGAATGACGTAAGCATATATCATTAAATGTATAAGATAATAAATCTTAATTCAATATTCTTTATTATAAATCATTAGTTCTTAGGATTTAGAGGATCTATTTTCCACTTTAATTATATTTTATGACTTTTACCTATTTATAAATCATTTCCATTATTTATGAATGTCTTAATTAAGGATTCTCCTTCTAAACCTTCCCTAATTTTTGACGACAGTATTCTTTGAATTTCTATTCTTATATTTCTATTAAATTACCAATTATTATGGGCCTTTCCCATCGATAGCATCAATAAATTAACCTATTCCATCAGCATCAATAATTTATTCATATTTTTCTTTATCTCTTTTTTATTATTCTCTTAAAATATGATTCTAATTTTATCCAATTGTCTATTTGATTATATAGATAATAATTTACCTCATCAAAATCTTCTTAATCTGAATCCCAAATTTCTTGAAGTTTTTCTAAATTTATTTATTGATCTTATTTATTTTATTAAAGAAATTAATTATCATCTTACTATTCTACTTATTCCTATTAATCTTCTTCATTTTCACTCTATTCATCCCCTAACTCTACATTCTATAAACGCTAAGCAAATATTTTTTCTTATTCTTCTTTTAATTACTTCTTTGATATAGCCCCCTTATATTATTTATCAATTGATATTAGTACACATACTTGATTCTATTGCATTCATCTCACTCTCATACAACTATTTCTTTTCCTCTTATCTCTTTCTCTTATTCTCTTCCTCTAATTCCTTCTATCTCTGTCTCTCTTACTTCTATATAATATTCTTATCTGTTTCCTTCCAATATTCTTCTTCTTCCTTCTATTTCTTTTTAATCTTCATACTCTCCTTTTTCTCAGTCTCTTTCTCTCTAGCGGCTTAAGCTCTTTGATTATTTATAAGAACCAAAAATTTACTTAGGATTGATAGAGAACTTCTTTGGCATAATAATATGGTTGTGTATATTAAATAATATATATAACCATAACAGTTCAATTGTAAACTAACATCATAAATTCTTAATGTGAGAAAAATTATCAGGATTCTTTACTCCCTTGTAAATTTATAATCTATATCTCATATGCCAATTATGTTAAACAATTTTCGAATTAAATATATAATTTATAGCCTATTTCTTAATAAAAATTTGACTACTAATATATCTACAATCATACCTAATTATTCTGAATGCTCTTCTATATTCTTCTTCCTCAGGATCATCTGATTTTTATAATAAAGTACTAAAAATCTTAATATTTAGTAATTATTTTTTATACTGGGAAATCTTATCTAAAAATTTGACAACCTTCAATTAGTCTTTTAAAATTTTGAAGCATAAATTTTATTGATTCTTACAAGCAAAAGTTATTATGCTTTTACAGTAATTCTTAGGTATATTCTTTGAGTCTTTTTAATCTTACATAAAATTTATCTATCTTTTCTTTTGAATAGGTAGTTATATCTTAGGATATGAAGGAATTTCTTATGTATGATAAGATGGAACAATCAAATTTGAAGTTTAAAAGATACACTCATTTTTACTAAATATATCTGTTTTTGTTTTTCCCAAATGAACCTATTTAATAGATAGAATGTACCATAAAGTTATTAAAAGTAATTTGTATTACAATAGGATATTTAAGAGAAAAGTTAGGTTAGTTTTAAGCATTCTATAAATTGTGTAGAGCCTTCAGAAATTTTTCTATTATCTAGTAGTACCTTTGTATTTATCTCATATTGGGACTTACATAAATTCAATAAATACTTATCATTTTAGAACAAATAAATCTATTTTGGTATGTTCACAATATTAGCATCTTGTTGGTACCCATAATTTATATACAAAGGAATCATTGAAATTAATAAAATCAAATCTTATTATATAACACTAATCAAATTTAATTGTTAGCAAACTTGGCTTTTTATTATCTATTAGATTTGAAATCAAATCCTGAATTCTGTATCTCTCAAAGTCAATCCACTCATTTCTAGTCCTTTTTTTTCATATTAAAAAAAGTTGACTAACTCAGAAATTTGAAATTAATTTATCTCCTTAAGCTATTCTTACTTTTTAATTAAAAAAATATCAAACCTTATTAGACATTTCAACACTCTGAATTACAACATTTCTTGGGGAATTTACCATAATTTTCACAGCTTAACATTTATTTAATTTCATTTCGTTAAAGTCTAGATTAAATTAAAAAAGCTTACATCCTAGATAGAAATTGGAATGTTTATCCTTATTTAATCCTAAATTAGAGTATGCTTTTTCCTTTAGATTAGCATTTGAATTTTTTTAAGTCTTTTATCCGATAAAAGGATATTGAATATAATTAATTAATAATGCATAATAATAATTTATTTAATGGTAATTAAGAGATAACAATAATTAAATGATATTCCAAAAATATTTTAGATGATTTACTAAAATAAAATAAATTATTTTAAGCTTTTATCCGATCTTACTAAAAGTTTTGCTTATTTCTTGATATTAAAATATTATTCATTTAATAATTAATTTACATTGAATCTAACAGTATTATAAGTTAAAGAATTGAAGTTGTGTAGGATAGGATAAAAATCAAAGTTATATTATCATCAGAATATTTTTAGACATTTTAGATAATTTCGTAAAATTGATTTTATTATTATACAGTTTTATAAATTATCTATTATGTAATTATGAATATTAATATTCTAAAGAAGAAAGATTATCTTGATATAAATCACAAAAGAATTAAATGAACTTTAAATATCACTATATGAGATTAGAAAATCAAGAAATTATGGATTTATAGAATTTTTAACACTATTTAGATCATTATCGTATTTGTATATTTAGAAGTAGAATATTTATAGTTTTATAGTGAATTTCTAAGACTTTTAAGTAAATTTTAGAATATATAGTTGATATAGAATATATGATGAGTATTATTTACTGAATTAGATTATTTTGTAATCACATAACAATTTTAGATCTTGTTGTAAGATAGATATTCAAATTATCTGACAATAAAAATTATATAATTAATATATATATTTATACAAATGAGTGCAGGATTAACTAAGATGAACCCATATTGTTAGATAAATCGTGTACAATTAAGAAATGGGAGTGTAGGACCCAAAATTTAACCAAAGAGAAGGTTAGATTCTGATCTCAATTCATCATAAATCACTCCTTCTTATAAAGTAGGTTTTTCTTTAGATTTAGCATACACCCACTAATTTTGAGAGATGCAATTTAGATTTATTTGAGGATAAGGTATTGTAATTAACGATGATGAATAGTCGAAACCAACAGATTCATCAATGAATTCAACACAGTTGCGAAAGAGTCCTTCATTTAGAATGAAGAATTATCGTCATATAACTCCAGGAGCCAGAGATGATATAAGAAGACAAACCAATTTTTAAAGTTCTGTAAGTATATATTATATGAATTTTAAGGCAGGCTTTCAAATAGAGGGTGAGTGCGATGGAATTACTTTAATATCAACTTGGGACTGATGATGAATAATAGTAAGTTAGATAAAAATAACCAATAAAGAAAATAGTGGCTACTCCTTCCTCATCTAGTTAAACAACTTCTGTTCCAAAATATAATCTTGATTAAACAATATTAGAAGACAATAAAGATGCGAATTTGGAAGAAGTTCATTTTTTTTAAGTAGAAATGCAATAGAAATACAAAAAATGGTTAGAGAATATTGAAAAGAAGTTAAAAAAATGAATTTCATCTACTTATATATAAATCAATTAAAATGAACATTTGTGCTATCCGTCACATTCCATACTCAAATAAAAACAATAGAAGATAAATTGTAGTTGATTAAAATAGAGCCAAGAGTTAACAAGGATCAAGATTGAATTCAGCAACTCATTATAGATGTTCAACCCAACAGAGTAATAATCAAACACCAAATCAAGGAAAATTGCAATTTTATGAAGTATGATCAGATATCTTTTGAATCTTAGATTCAACCATATGTTGGCCAACTAATCAAGGTACTATTTATCTCAACTCAATTTAGAACTAGTAATAATAATTTGTCTCAACTTAATTAACAAAGAGTCCATCCTTTCGAGTTAAGAATTATCATCCTTAGGATATTATTAAAACTTAAACATAATAATCAAGCTAAAATTAATTGTAATCTAAGTAAACATTGAATAAATTAAAGCATCGAAAAGATTGAAAGAATGAATCGCATGAATTTTTTAGGAGATTTGCTTCAATAAATGGATGGAAAAAATCAATAGACAAGATAATCTATTGTTACTGAATTAGCAACAGTTCCTAAAAATAAAATTGATATATTCAATATTAAAAATCAACAAGAGTAGAATATTGAAGAATTACATTTTTATTTAGTTGAATCTTAATAAAGAATAAAATAACATGCCTGTGTTATAGAATAATAAAAATATCATAGTTGAAAAACAACTATCCATTTAATATATCTATATATTTACTATTTATTTATAAAAATTCATATAGATCATTAACTTCATTTAAAATAAAACTTTATTTTTTATACTCAAAGTTTTTATGTATTATTGAAAAGTATCTATTTTACATAATACTACAATAACTATTATATTTGTAGTATATATTTCATAATATTTGAATTTTTAATAAAATTCTTTTAACTATTTAACCATTTAGATATTTTATTTTCTTGATAAAATATATAATTATAATGAATGACCAATTCAAAAATGATTTAGAAAGAATTCAGAAACTTATTGTTTCAATCAAATCAGATATGAATAGAAGGGAATAAAAATAGAAGTCAGGATAGTAAATAACTATGATTGAAGGAGAAATTAGAGGATAATTAGCAAATTTAGGTATAATAGATTTAGAAATAAATTAATAGATCGTGAATTGGTGTTAATAGTTGATGTTTTGAAATTTCAAGAAAACAATTAAATGGAGAAAGAAAATGAAAAAAGAAAAAATGATATTTAAGAATTGAAAAATCAGAGAGATTTGATTAAGGAATAATTTAATAAAGCTGTTTAAGATACTAAATAAGAAGTGGCCATGTAAAATTTAAAAAGAGATGATTCTAAACTAGCTGCTATGAATAATTAAGAGCTACATAAAAACTAAAAAGATTTATAAGTTTAATAAGATTAATTATTGGATAGAACCAATGATTAGGTATGATTGTTTATAAATTGAATAGGCAGATCAATTAAAATAAAAAGGAAAACAAATTAACCTTACAATAGATGAATAAAATAAATAATTAGATTAATTAAACATAGATGTTGAAAAGACAAATAAGAAGATGATGTATACAAATAATAAATTAGTTAATTTGATTGCCAAATCTTCAAATTTTGGATTAATAATTTTTATACTAGTAGAATTATTTGTACTTGCTTATATGAGTCTTTGGATTTGGTGTTGTTGAAATCAATCATGATATAATATCCTCAATTTTTAAACCTATAAAATTTTATTTGCAAACATGACTAAATTAGATTATATTTTACATCATCTTCTTCAAGATAATACACATTAGATAGTACTAAAGGAAAATTCAACTCAGAAAAAGTAAAGTAGATTCGATTATCAAAAATAAGATACCCAAAGTTTAGTTATAATTAGTTTTTAATTTCTATAGACAAGAACTGTTGAGATAAACTAGATAAATGTATTATATTATCCAAGAATGCAATCTTTATAAATATTGAGAACATATACCTAAGTTTAAGTTTTTTGTTAAAGTTATATCTCTATTATGGCAGAAACATCTTAGATTACATAATAATGAAATTATTCAGTTTTTACGATACTTTGGCTGCTTAAAAATTATATATGAATGTTATAATTGTATCATAGAAGGAAATAGAAGCCTAATAGAGATTGAAATATGATACTTTTAATCTTTAAATACTAAATTGAAAAAGAGAAAGGAAAGTTTAAATATAATAGAAAATAGTATAAATGGTTATAGATATGAAGAAATGGAATCTCTATGATTCATTATTGTTCAAGAAAAAGTAATTTATATCTTTTTCTAAAATTTAAATGTGGAAGTAAAAATTCACATAAATTAATCATTACTATAATGAATATTAATAAAAGCTTACTTAATGCTAGACTGAGTTTGAAGCTTTGAAGAAGATAGATTAAAAGAAAGTAAACATTATATAAATTATAAGAAACTTATTATAATAAGATTAGAAATAGTATTTAGGACTAGTGGAATAAAAACTACTTCGTCAATTTAATTTATGGGTTAAACAAGAGACAACAGAACATATGAATTATTTTTACCTATGAAGTCATCAATAAAACAAATATATATCTGTAAATATATAATTTCCTAATCAATAATTTAAAATCTTTAATATATTGAATTAATTGAAATGGAGGATTCTTTAGCATACAAATTATGTACTCCCTTGCCTTTACCACCTTTAAAAAACACTTTGACTTAATAATAAATCACAAAAGTCTGTTCTGACATCACTTGTGATAAAAGGCCATTTATTTAATCTCCTGAAGACCCATAATTGTTTCATAATGATCATCTTACAAAGATTATTGATGTTGAAGCATTCGTATTTCTTTATTTTATTTAAGGCCTCATAATTTTGTGAAGAAATGTCAAGATTGGCTAACCAAAACATAGTTTTATATTAGGAATTTATGTAAAATAAAGAGAATGTCAGTTTGTTGTAGATTTTGGAATAAGGAGATGCACATTTACAAAAAATTGATGAAATGGTTATTAGATAGAAAGTAATATTATTATTCATAATTCTAAGACTGAATTAGCCATTGATATTACTAATCTTCAAGAAAAAATTATGGTTGTAATTCAATCTATAAAGGAAGAGAATATGAAGAGACTTGATAGTTTCAATGAACAATACAAATAATCATTTATCACATTAAAAGCGAATATAGATTAGTTTTTCCTATTGTCAAGATAGAACTTCTATTATTCCAATTAAAATACATTTTAATATAAGTTAGCATCTTTAGGTACACCAGAAGCCTAATAATTCTTATCAAATTTAAAGAATCATTTAAATAAAAGTAAGCAACTTTCATAAGGAAATGTTACTCCATTATAAATGTTAACTGATTTATAAACATTAGCAAGATTTTTATTGTAAATGACTAATTCTCCTCCAAATTATGATAAATTACAAAATCCGCAGACCAACATATTAGATTCAGTTGTTAATGAAGTAGGATTTGTATTAAATAATGTTGTATCTGCGAGATTGTATATTCCTTTTGGTAGTAACAAAGAATTATCTTAAGTATAAACAGGAGAGAATAATTTACAATTATAGATGGCAGCTAGAAATATAGATAAGTATTAAATTTATTTGATTTAGTTTTTAATTAAAACCTACTAAAAAATTTACAATAGGAACATAAATAACTTGTATTCTATCAATTTTGGATTATTTATTTGCAATTGGTTCATAAAATGACAGTCAATTAAGAATATTTGATACAACATAAAAGAAGATATCAGCATTTTCAGGTCACAGTTAAAACATAGTATATCTTGAAAAGATTTGCACTAGTGAAGCTAATAGTAGATAGTTTGTATCTTTAGGTTAGGATAAATAATTAATTGTTTGGAATATAGATGATATAATGATATCAACATAACCTAGAGTTTTTAGAAAGATTTAATTATCATAAATGCCTAATAATGCTTTAGATTTAAAGGATAATACTCATATAGCATTTAGTGATTTAAATAGAGATATCAATATTTGTAATTTCTATACTCAAAAGATTGGTACAAATAATACAAAACATTTGAATAAGATAAATGGATTAACATTATTAAAGAAAGGAGAGAAATTTATTTCATATTCTTCAGATTCAATTATAAATATTTGGAGATTAATGAAATATGGTTCATCTTAAGATCCTGTATTAATTTGTGATTAGAATTTACATGATCCTTTGTATGGTTCAATTAGTCAGATTTTCATAACAACTTAATGGCCAGGTCATTGTATAATTGTATCAAATGAAGGTGCAGTTAAATTATTTGATTTTAACAAGTATTTTAACATAAATATTTATATAGAAATTGTATTGTTTTCTCAAAATTTGGGAATAGAAAGATTTTAAGTACTTTAATGGAAAGTGTTTTGATTGAAGTTTCTGATTAAAAAAGTATTATTTCTATTTTATTAATTTAAGTTAATCCTCCTATATGGCTAATTACATTTAGTTTCAATGATAATTTAGCAACTCAGCATCATTTAAGTATATCTCCTTATGCTATGCATTCTTCTGACATTAAATTGGGACATTAATTAACTGTGGGATAATAAATATATGGTAAACATAAGGTTTAATTATTTACTTAATCATCTCCTACTACAAGTGGTAGTGGTAAAATAGGCTCAAACATTCTTATGTTTAGTAGTGATACATCAGATGAATTATTGATGTATGAATTGAAAGGAATTTGAAAGATTGTTTAAGCATTCATAAATAGTATATGCATAAAATTTATATTATATATATATATTTTCATTTATACTTAAATATATTATATATATTAATATTATGCAAACATCAAAAATATGTGTTTATTTTCTTAGGAATAAATGCAATAAAGGAGATCAATGTTCTTTCAAACATGATAATGCAGAAGTTGAAAAATTCTAAAAGAGCATTTAATAATTAAAAAACAGAATTCCTGAAGGATATAAATAATAAACTAGTTAAAGAGATGATTAACAAAGAAGTACTTAAAATCAATTCAGATTTGATGGTAATATTACATAATGATAAAAAGGATTTAAATAAAGATAATAATAAAATTATACAAATAATAATCCTTTTTTCAGAGATAGATAATAAAATGATAATTAAGGAAGATAATAAAATGATAATCAAGGAAGATAATAAAATGATAATTAAGGAAGATAATAAAATGATAATTAAGGAAGATAATAAAATGATAATTAAGGAAGATAATAAAATGATAATTAAGGAAGATAATAAAATGATAATTAAGGAAGATAATAAAATGATAATTAAGGAAGATAATAAAATGATAATTAAGGAAGATAATAAAATGATAATTAAGGAAGATAATAAAATGATAATTAAGGAAGATAATAAAATGATAATTAAGGAAGATAATAAAATGATAATTAAGGAAGATAATAAAATGATAATTAAGGAAGATAATAAAATGATAATTAAGGAAGATAATAAAATGATAATTAAGGAAGATAATAAAATGATAATTAAGGAAGATAATAAAATGATAATTAAGGAAGATAATAAAATGATAATTAAGGAAGATAATAAAATGATAATTAAGGAAGATAATAAAATGATAATTAAGGAAGATAATAAAATGATAATTAAGGAAGATAATAAAATGATAATTAAGGAAGATAATAAAATGATAATTAAGGAAGATAATAAAATGATAATTAAGGAAGATAATAAAATGATAATTAAGGAAGATAATAAAATGATAATTAAGGAAGATAATAAAATGATAATTAAGGAAGATAGTTTAATTATAATTAAGGAAGATAGTAAAATGATAATCAAGGAAGATAGTTTAATTTTAATTAAGAAAGATCAAATAATTAAGGAAGATAGTTTAATTAAAATTAAGGAAGATAATAATATCAAGGGAGAGATTAGAATATGTTTTAAAATAACAATAGAGATTAAAATATGTCCTAAAATAACAATAGAGATTAATAAAAATTTAATTAAACAAATGATGAATCAAATAATAATACTTTTCAATAATAAAAGAGATTCAATTAAAGAACAGAAAATGAAAATCCATAAAACAATAGATTTTAATCAAATACATCAAATTATCAATAAAGAAATGATTATAGATATTAAAATAGAGGATAAAATTAGAATGAATTCTAAAATAATACAAGATAATTGGAATGTGAACATAAAATCCTTACACAAATTTAAACTATTGAAATTAGTGAATTCATATAATCTATTTATATTGAACAATTTAAAGTCTTAGGAGTAGCAAAGAAAAAATAAATCATTTTTTATAAAGTCAATGAATAAATTGATACCAATAATAAAACATAAATTTAATTACCTGAAAATACATGTTTAATTTATTAATTTTGGAGTTAAGTTATTGATAATTAACTTGTATTAATTGTTTGCTATTAAACAAAGAAAATATCATTGAGAAATATTGCAATATATCCAAATTTGTGGTAAAATTATTAACATTATACCATTTTGGATGTTAGTATTAAGGAAATCATACATTGTAGAATATAAGGAAATTTATGTTTGGTATTTAGTAATGATGGAAATCTAAGAGTATATGTTATTCAAAACAATACAATATTGTTTCCTCCTAGAATTTACAATTTTTAGAATCCTATTGAATCTGTATTAAGTATTCAAAACTTCAACTAATAGGATACTTATTATATAGGATTGTAGAATGGATAATTATTAACTTTTAATAATGGACAATTCATATCCATTCCTCATGAATTAAATAATTAATAATATGCATTAGTAGATATAAAACATGATATATAAAATCAATAGCTATTTTTACTATTTTGGCATTTAAATGAGGAATTAAGCTACATTTTACTTTTTAATTTAAATACTATGATAGTAAATTCAATATTTAAATAAAAAATTAAAATTTCTTAAATAGAATTAATTAAAGAATATGTACTATGTTCTAATTCTTTAGGAATTGTAGATATATTGAAATTTGATTAAAATATGTAACTCTCTCCATATTCATATTATCCTCATTAAATAGAACTATGTAAGAATTTACTTATATTTAGCCAAAACATATAATAAAATATCCAGCTTTAATAAAATCACTTTAAAAAATGAGAATTAAGTTGAGATTCAATTATTGCTTTTAGGCAGAACTTGCACAGAAAATTCCACCTAACACAATATCGAATTACTATGTTTTAATTGAGTTTGATTTGTTTTTTAGTAAATAAATAATATTTATATCCAAATATACATTCTATTTATTAACCTAAGGATAATATTATAAAATACTATAAAAAGAAAATCAGAGAAATAATTTTCATTAATAGTTTTAATAAAATTTCTCCATATTTATTTAAAGATAAACCAAAATATTTGATAATCTGAATATGAGAAATCTTTAAAAATGATTCTGTTATTATTTTTACATTTTTTCAAGTATGGATACTCTAAATAACAATATGAAATAATTAGAATATTATTCCCCTATTTTAGAAAAACTATTTCATAATTTAATTAGCTTAATTATCTAAATAAAGGGATTTTATATTATCTTAAATAATTTTAAATATTATAATTTCTTATAAAAATATCATAAAAGATCTCATTATTATCAATACCAAAAACATTAAATATTTAGATTTTTATAAAAAAGTCCGAATAGCATAAATCAAAGGCTTGAAGAATAATATTATATATTCAGATGATTATAAATGTAATAAATTATATATATAACTTTAAGAATTAAATATCATAAATAATTTATATATATATTGAAAATGACTCTTTCTCATACAATTTAACATTAAGAGGATATTTAATGTTTAAAGTCTGAGACTTTATAAATTGTCATTCAGACCTCTGAATAGGTTGTTTTAGATAAAATTGAATGCAAGAATTTAACTCTTGTTGTTGAGTATATATTACATATTTACATTTTTAGGGGATTTTTAAATTATTAGCATTATTCAACTTTAATCTCATCGTTAAACCATTTAGATTTGAGTAGTTTTAAATTGAAATATGGGTATGATTTTTTTTGATTTATAGTGCTAATAATCAATTTTCTGATGAAGATGGAAGAATTTTGGCTTAATTTATTTTAAATTAAAAAAGTCTAAAATCTCTTGACATTCATTTTGATTTGAATAATCCAATAAAGTAAATATCACCTGTTTTGGAAGCAATATAAAATCATGACAATGAACTTGTGCATTTAAAATTAAATTTCGAGTAAGTAGTAAATATATTTATAGGGATGAATTACCACTTTGCTTAAAGGATTTATAATTTATTACTTCAAAAAAATTACAATCTATTTCATTGTAAATTGGATAAGGTGTTTGTGTGGATCAAAATTGGTCACATTTTGAAAATGCATAAAAAGATTCAATTTTACAAGAATTTACTTTACTTATAAGTCCATTTAATAAATTAGATAAATCATTTCATTCTTTCTTTAAATGGTTAGCATCATAACCCAATATAGAAAAATTAAATATATCAATAGGTGCTTAAACTGAAATAGATGAATAAGCAATCACTTAATTAGGTTTAGCACTTTAAAAAATTGAATAACTTAAATTCCTCAATTTATTTTTACATGATACTAGAAATTTAACATAAAATTCATTTGATTAAATTGTTAAATCATTTGGAAAATTAGAAAATTTAGAATTAAATTTAGGGTATAAATATTATTATTATACATTAGTAACAATTATGGTATTAACAATTATGATATTTTGTATTAATAAGTAAAAAACATTAAATAAGTTAAATTGTCTTTAGGAACTCATCACAAATTCATTTCAAGTGAATTATTTTAAGATTGCAATATTAAGATTTTGGATATTAAGTTATAAAAGGGAAGTACAATAAAATAAGGAAGTTTTAAATCTATTGAACCTTTCCTTGAAAGAACCGAAAAATTACTCATAGAATTAAGTGAAGGAAAGGATTGTTCAGATTTAGATTTAATAGATCTTATAGGTTAAATCACACCTGGTTGTGATATAAGAATAACTACAAATACATAATAGATTAGAAAAATCAAATAAACACTTTAAATTTAATTGGATACAATTTAATCCATAAAAATATTATTTAATACTTTAAGTTAAAAAATGGATTTATTTTAAAATTTAAAAATCTTCATTAAATCTACAAGTATTGAGCAAGAGTCAGTAGATTCCATTATTAAATAATTATAATAATCGCAATTAAAAGTTTTAAGTTTGATAATTAAGAAAATAAACAATTTTTAATGCAACTAAATGATAGATTTATTTTAGTAAATTGTTGTTCTTAAATAATGGACATTCTTGTCAATTGAAGTTGTTTAGAAATGTATTATGTAATTATATGGGAAATCATTAACTAATCAATAAGTTAATTTTCAAGTACATTCAGGATTGAAATTAGGATCTTAAGGTATGGAATATATTGCAAAATCATTGAAAAGTATAAACATTACAAAATTAAGATTAACAATATTGTAAATATTATTTAATATTAATAATTAGATTAGATAATTCATTAAATGAGCAAGGATTAAAATAAATAACTTTAGCTTTATTAAATAGTGTAAATCTCTAGAAGGCATCACTTCAAATTTTGGATTCTAATTAATAATTATAATAGTATATGAGTAAAATGTAAGCTACTATCAATTAATATATCAAAGATAAAACAAAATTATAGAAATCTTATTGTTTATTTTTATAAAAAGAACTTAATAATAATAAGAAATAAATATCGTAATAGATGTTAGCAGGAGTTGCAGATTATTTGATTGAAGATGTTGTTTTGCCAGTTCCAGCAGCAGGATAATATCATAATCAACAAGGAGGATTTGGATCTAGTTGGAATCCTTAATAAATAGTAGAGATATTTGGATAATGAAAGATACAAAAATTTATTCAATTATTAATAATTAATTCATGCAAATTATTTTTAAGATTAGGATTTTTTAGATCTAAGTGGTGTAAATTATCTTTTTCTCCATTATAATTCATCATTATCTATAACTACATATTTTGCAAATCCTTTTTTTCTTTAAATTGCTTCTTCTAAATCCATCCATCTTGATTCTGAGGTAGAATTTGCAGGTAAAATAACTTTTGGAATAATGTCACCTCTCTTGGAAATAGTGAGCATGGCTTAAGTCTTAATAAAATAATGTACATCCTTTGTTATTTTGAGAATTGGCACCATAATCTGGACAAGAAAATACTGTAATAACATTATTATTCTGTCTTTCAAATCCTTCTTGTGTGGGTTCATGAGATCTTATAATAATATTCAAATTATTTTCTTATAAGAATTTGCTTACTCTATTAGTTCCAAATCTCATAATTTATCTATTTTAAAATATATCTCTTTCTGGATTAGGTTAATTTTCTAATTCATCTTCTGACAAACAAGGATCTGACCATAATAATTCTAATGCGATCTTTTATTAGTACTATTATTTAATAAATTTTTTATACAGTTTTTGGATCATGTACAATTTCTAATGGTCTTTAAATAAGTTCAATTTCATCTACAGTTCTCATTGTTTATCCAATTCCACCATGAACACATAAGATTTTATCTTCAATAACTGCTGCTAATGGCAAATATTAAAAAACTCTATTGATTCTCTAATATATGCTATTAGGATCCATAATATCTTCTGCAAATTTTAAAAAACATTCATCTGCAAATCCAAAAATTTTGTTAATTTTAGCATCTTCATGATGTCCTCTAAGTAAATGAATTTAATCAGCATATTTTAATTTTAATGTGAATAATAATAATACAATTTCTAATGATCTTGTTCCTCTATCAACATAATCACCTAAAAACAAATAATCTTATGAATCAATATCTCCATTATATAAATTATCATATGGAGCTTTAAAATGATCAAAAAATCTCATCAAATCTAAAAATTAACCATTCAGATTTCCATATATTTTTATTGGTCTTCTCAATCTTAAAACAATTGGTTCTTTATCTAAAACTCGTTGAACTTCATCACATAATTTAATTATCATCTCTTTTCTTATACCAGTTAATAAATTAGAATTTGGTGGAATTGATTAATAATCTTTTGGAATCAATAAATTTTAAACGAAAGGTTAACATAATTAATCTAAAAATTATGATTTATTTTAAGAATTTGGATCCTAAAATCCTGCTCCTAATTTCTTATGTTCATCCTGTAATTTATCAATTGGTACTTTCTTAACTTAATTTGTAATATCTTCTTCTGGTCCATAAGTCATAGCTACAATAGCTTAATTAGCTAATCTAATATTTTTATTTGTTGCACTAGATACTCTCACTTATTAATTATTATTTTAATCTAATTATTATAATAAAATATACTTTTAGCTAATGCTTATTATTAATTAGTTCTTCTAAATTAATCTTAAGTTTATGTTTGATTAGTTGGAGGTCTTGGATTAAATGATTATGTAAATGATTGATCAGTCTTAAGAGTATTCATTTATCTTAATAATTAAGGAGTTTAAGCAAATCTTGTATTTAAATTCAATCGTAAAATGCCTTCTGTTGGAATATTTGGTTAATCAGAATCAAATCCTCCATGTAAATAAAGAAATTAATCTATCAACCAAGAGGAATGTCTGAATCTTTGAATTGCCTGAAATTTATACCAATCAGATGTTTCAGTATCATAAATTTCAAAAGGCAAAGTTTCCCCAACATTATTTGATCTACCTCCTATTACCATCATCAATGTTCCCAAAAATAAAGTGGAATGTTAATATCTTTATAAAGGCTGTTCAGTTTAATTTCTATATGGAGCTCTCACCCAATCCCATCTTCCATCTCTATGTTTTCTCAATCCCCAAGTATCATTCAATGCTCCTTAATCATTTGTTCTACCTCCAAATGCTACCATCATTCCATTTGCTGATCCTGTTGTACATAATGCAGCAGAATGATACACTCTCACACTTGGTTATTCAGAAGAACATTCCAACTTCTACCAAGAATAAGGAGATTTCTCTAAATTAAAACTCCAAACATCATTTACAGGTTCCTAACCTGTATTACCACCAAACACTATTAAATGTGGTTTAATTAAAACCATAGTATGTCCATATCTTCTACCTGGTGTTGTACCTATTACTGGTACTGTTACCCATGTTCCAGTATCATCTCTTAATTCAAATACATATAAATTATCATCTGCCAATCCTCCTCCACCTACAGCTCCTCCAAATATAATCATTTAATTCAATTCTATTGCTAATGCTTAATGTGCTGCTCTATTTGTTGGTACACTTCCACTTGCTTCAATTCTCTTCCATTTCTTTGATGTCATGTCTCCAATATACACATCTCCTGTGATCACATATCGTCCTGTATCTCCTACTGCTCCTATTCAAATATTAAAATTAGCTTCTACCCCCAAATAATGCAATCTTGTTAGGTGCTATTACACATATTGTATGACCGAAACGTGGCTACGGATTATCACCACCAAAATTCACACTTTCCATTTTTATTTTAAATATTTATTTAACGATTTATGGATTCTAGACTAATCAGACCATCAACACCTAAAAAGCCTTTTGATCCCACATTATTAAGATAATCAGCAAAGAAACCATTCCAATTAAGAACCTAGCAACCAAACATACTAGTTATTGAAAACTACTATATAAAAACTTGAATCACATATTTATAATATGAAAACTCCATATATAACACTTTTAACTATTATGTTGATTAACCTCCTTTTCTTTTTCATATACCATCTTTTAAAAAACAATTTGACAATTTATATTTCTTAAAATAATTATTTTATTTAACTACATCTATCATTTAAACTATTAAACCAACTCTTTTAATACTGTCTCCAATTATCATTTATTTACATCATATGCTTATTCTAATAGATTAAAATTTGTTTTTATAAAATAATATTATCTAAAACAAGAAAAACAAAGATTTTACAAGAGTTTAAGCTTATAAAACAAAATTATATATTATTGAATGATAACATTCAACTTCTTAATTTATTTACATCAATATTGATAAAATAATTTTCTAAAATTTTCAAAAGATAGTCAAAATGAATAATTTCAATCAATTTGAAAAATGGACCTCTATTAATTCAGGTTAATGACTTAGTTTTTCATCATTTGAAATTTTTCTATTAAAAAATATTTTCATTTAGACTAAAATTAGGAAAGCTATAGAATAATAAAAATTAATATATCTAAAATCTAAAGCTCCGTATTTAAGAATGTTTACATATTATAATTCAGAATTAAGCTTAATTTAAAATAAAAAAATGTGAGATATTATTTAAAATGATACTCAAAGCATCTTATTCTTATCATAGATTTGTTAACTAAAAGTTGTTAGTTTAAATATAATAAATAAAATGATACTTAAAATAAAATACTATAATTGTATGAATAATATTTTCAATTTATAATTATCTTTATAAGTATAAACCAAAATTTCAGTTATCATAAATATAGCATTTTCATATTTTCATTAGGATATAAAGTAAATTAATACTATTTATAATTTGAATCATTTCACTAAAGTAATTTGAAATCAAATAAAATATCACTGCTCATATGTAATTTATTTAAAATAACAATATTAATCGCATAAAAAAATAATCAAACATTAATTTATAGCAATAGAATTACATTAATTTTGTTCAGTACAAAAATTTCACTTATCAGATAGTAAAATTTTATAATAATGATTAAATATGATACATTAATACAAAAAAAGATATATTTAAAATGATTTAATCGTAAAACTAAATACATCAATTGAATAAGAGTATCATAATCCATAATTTTCATCCCATAATTCTTTTAACATAATTTTTGGATTTCTTAATAATCTTTTATTTTGTTTTTTTTGAATTGATTCAGGCTAGTTTTTTAATTCTAAACATAAAGTTTCTGATTTGTTTCTAAATTCAGGTTTTTAAAGACTTCTTGTTACCATTGTATTTTTTTTTTTTTCCCATTGTTTTTAGGGCTATGAATTATTTTCAATAAAAGAATAATGATGATGAACTTCCTTAGTTTTTTCATTTACACATGAGTGCATTCGAACAGAATGATTCCTAAGAGACTATTATTTTTCAGTTCTTAATTTTTTTGGATTCGAATATAAACTTTCAAATTAGCTTTTGTTCATGAGATAAAATAAATCTCTGTTTTCTATTCTAAATGGACTTTTATTTTTTATTATTCCAAGTTATCTATAACTATCATCCATAGTTATTGGTGTTAATTTAGGTAATTAAAGCAGATATTTATTAAAATTCATTAAGTATTACAGTTTATAATAAATATATAATTCATTAAATATTAAAGTAAATAAATTATTTCATATTATTAAAGAGAATCATATAAGTTAAATTTATTGAATACTTTTTATTAAGAATTTAATACCTAATTGATGATAAAATTGACTAAATATTAATTTATAAGGAAGTTAATTGTACTTGTGAATACTAATAAATTCAAATTAATTTATAAAATAATTTATAATTCGAAAATAGTATAAAGAATTATCCATATGGTAGTTGAAACTGAATAATATAATTTTATTTTAAATAAATTTTAAAGATAATCTAATATCTGAACACTTATAATCCAAAAAAATAAAAAAACTTCTTCACTTAACAAGTATTTTATAACATTATTATGTTATTTTATATTTTTTATAAGATTTATTTGAAGTTCTTGAGGAAGATAATTGAAATAAATATTAATTTTATTCATGTAAATCTTAATCATTCTTTAACCTAAATGATATCTAAATATTTAATCATATATTAAAAATCAATATATACATAGATTGTTAATTATATTAAGGATTAATAGGTTATTCTAATATTATTAAAATCTTCTTAATTTATTAATTAATATAATATCCATATTGTTAAATAATATGAAATTTAAATAAAATAATTTCTTTAGGTATTTATATATTATTATTATAACTATAAATCATGGAATACAAGGAATAAACATATTTATATATACTAGAATAACACCAACAAAATGCTAGTCTCTTTTCAATTTGAACTAGTTTAATAATAGTATATTTTTTATACTTTTCCTCTATAGATTTATAGTAAACTATTTATATAAAATAAAGTGAAAATGTAGGACCAAATAAGTTCATAACATAGTAACATTGAAACTGCATCAACACCAAATATGGCTGTAATCAGAAATAGGATTCCAATTGGGCCAAGTATAACTGCCTTTATGAATTCTAAATTTATAGATATAAAGAACCTTTTAACTTCATATCCTCTTCTTTAAAATGTTTTATTTAAAATTAAAACTAAATAAGCATAATTAATATTCCTATAGTTCCAATAAAGTAAAGAAATCCAATTAAAAAGTACATTTTACTGGTATAAAAACTTAAGTGACTTGATGAAACTATTCCACTAATGAAAAATGAATATAAAATAGTGTAAATAATATAAATAATTGATTGATATCCCCTAATCTAATATTTATTAAATATAAATTACTCTCCATAAAGGTTTTATGAATCTAATAACTAACATGTATCCAAAGGATAAAAAAAGAAAAATATAAATTGTTATCCTATATTACACAAGAGAGTAATCAAAAAACAAATTATCATATGAATAACTTGCCATATTGATTATACATAAAATAATTTATATGGTTTATTAGATTATCCAAAAGAAATTTATTTTATATATTAAGTTTCTTCTTAGATGTTCAGTCATAATATCTTAATTATTTTCATTTTCTGGTTAAATAAAGGGAGTGGCTATTTATTGATTCACATAAATATATTATGTTTAATTATCATTATTATTATATTATTGATAAGGTTCTTATTATTAAGTTACTTATTATTATTATTATTACTATTATTATTATAAATAATCATGATGTATAATATGATCTGGTTAATCTTCAGAAAAGGATTCTTTTTCAAAATTTAATTAAGGATAATTTGCTGGTTGAACCATGTTTTATTAATACATATTTTAATTTTGAATGTTCTGATTTGTAAATTGGTACCCATTTTATTATGGTTAAGGATTCAAATTCTAAGTATTGTTTTAATTATTTTAAGTATTGTTGTATTGAGCATAGTTTTAATAATTGATCATTTGTAGCTTTGGAGATTATAAATATAATTTTCATTTTAATACTTATATTCTAATTTATGTACAATATATAATAACCATATTTTGCAAAGTTAAGTTTAATTTATCATGATATTAACAAAATAATCCTTAACTTTTATATAAAAAATAATATAAAATAACTAAATTTGAATAAAAAACATATCATGTCTTATATATTATTTTATCTTATAATTTATTATCAAATATCCAATTTAAATCAAATTGAAATCTAGAATAACAATAGATTCAGTAAAATTATTAGATACTCCATAAGAATACAAAATTATATGTTTCTTAATCAGATATTGATAATTCTAAATGATAATTATATGATAATATTATAATAATTATCATTGTAAGGAATGTAATCATTTGATGTTCGAAAACAGTTATTTTATCTTTAATTAAAGTATATTTTATATAGAAAATAGGGATAGAAGATAAATTTAGATTAATATAAAAATATTTTGATGATATTTACAACTTATGAATATGTAAAATAGTAATTGAAATACAGAACTTGTTTTACATAGATAATTATTAGAATCTGGAGTTAAATTTGCAAATTAGAAGAGTCAATTATGAAGTAATAATTGAGACTGTGTTTATGAGTTGTAGGGGAAATTGAAGCAGTTAATCAAGGAGTTTAATTGATAAAGAATTAAATTAAATTAAAATGGGATCTGTTTTTATCGATATTTAAAAATGGATAAAATGAAGTCGATTATGACAGTAGTAACATTAATATATTATGTATATTAAAATATCACACGCCTTATTTATAAATTCTTTACTGCTAATGGGCTAACTAATATAATCAATCGTAAATTCATTCACTTATAAGAGTGTAATAATGCTTGGATTAGTAACATTCGCAATAATAATGCATTATTACAATTCATCATAAGAAAGGAAGTGGATAATTGTAATACAAATTTTATTGACATATATTTTGCATATAGAAATTCAAATTCCACAATTTGATTTTGCTCATCCACTCTATTATGGTTTTTTAATATGTAAAAATAAGTTAAAATTATGGATGATGTGTGTGAATTTGTTATTTATTGCATTCTATTGTATTATAAGACTTTTTTATGAATTGGAATAATAGGTAATTTGGACGATAATACATTATACATCTACTTATGCTATTTTTGTTATCTTCAACCTTTAATTATTGAAGGAAGACAATTAGAAAGCTGGTTCATAGCTGGTAGAAATATATTCAAATACAGAAAGATATAGATGGAAAGAATCAAATTTTCAAGAGAATTTTTAAGAGAATTATGCAAGATATCTATGTTTTAATTAAATTAGAGAAGGTGTAATACTTTTTGAATAGGGTTATGAAAAATAACCTACATTTATAAATTAATCAGCGAAGAAAATGTTTTCGTTTACAGATGAAACATAGCTTCAATAAATATTTTAAAACTATGTTTAAATAGATAAAATGGAACCAAAAAGATCAATGTAATCAATCAAGAGTTTTGGAGTCGACAGATAGAATTCAATTTTTCATTAATTAAGTGGGTCTCTCTCTTAACATTCTAGACCATAAAGTGCTTATAAGCCTTAATAAAAAGATATCTCATTTTCTTAACTTCTTGATAAGGCTTGGAATAATCATAATAAAGAAAGGCATTTATTTTACTTATAATAATGCAAACAAAGTTCATAAGTAAAATTATTAGGTATATTTAGTCTTAATACTCTCCAATATTTGAAGTAAATGTATACATTAATTCATAATTTAGAAGAATTATGACTTTGGTTTGCAGAGACTTGAGTTATAAACAATATATTTAATAACTTCAATGTCATAGTAATTACAATTCCAAAATGATTTCATTTGTTTCCCATGAATTTAGAGCACCTTTAGGTTGTATGATAACTATGTTAGAATATGTTGCAAAAGATTTAAATAATTCATACATATAAACATCTATTGAGAATTCAAAATATTTGTTAAATTTATGCAATGATCTTCTTGATTTGGCTTAAATTAAAGCAAATAAGTTTTAATTAAAAATAGAAAAGTTTAATCTAAAAAAGTTATGTTAAGAGTGCTTTTAAATGTTTAATCTTTAAGCTGAAAAAAAGAATCTGAAATTAATATTATAATATTCTACTCAATGTCCTACTATGATTGAATCTGATTAAAGTAGAATTAAACAAATTGTGATTAATCTGCTTGGAAATGCTTTTAAATTTACTTAAGAAGGTTATATAATAATAAATGTTGAGGCATTATAAGATAGTGTAATTGAGATTACAATATAAGATACAGGTATAGGTATTTAAGAATAAGATAAAGAAATCCTTATGATGGCTTTTGGTAAAGTAAATTCAGAAGAGAGTAAAAAGCTTAATGCATAAGGTGTGGGATTAGGATTGTTAATTAGTAATAAGATTGCTTTATTATTGGGAAATGGGTTGAAGTTTGATTCAACTTACCACAAAGGCTCAAACTTTTCATTTACAATTAATTTACCAGAAAAAGAGAGCTTTTAATCTGATATTTTAAAATAATTGTGTAATAAGTAAACAGTTTTAAAGGATAGTGAAATTATAGAAAACTTAAATGAAGTTGAAGAAAGTTCAAAGGAAATATAAATATTTATAAGTTAACCTAAAAAATCATTAGTTTAAGTAGTTGAATGTTGTACCAAAATTTTAATTGTTGACGATACTCAATTCAATATTGATACATTATAAATATTGTTATCAAAAATGTATGTTATATAATATTACTTAGAGGCATTCATTAAGTTGATTATTCGATAAATGGATATAAGGCAATAGAGAAAATAAAATAGAAAGAAAAATGCTGTAAATGTGATAGTAGAATGTATAAATTGATATTTATGGATTTGGAAATGTTGGGTATTAATGGAATTAATGCTTCAAAATTAATATTTACATATTGTGAAGAAAATGGGATATAATTGCCAATAATAGTGGCTTGTTCTGGGCATTAAAAAGAAATTGAATTTCCAAAATGCTAGCAAATTGGAATGAAATTTTATTTGGAAAAGCCTGTGTAAATAAAAGCTCTATAAGGTATTATCGATCATTATCGAAATTCACTTTGAATTATTATATTCTAAACTTACTAATTTTATTATTAAAAATATCATGGACTAATTTGAAACAATCGAAGGCAAAATTCTATATATTACCTTCAATTTATATAAGCAAAATAGTATTTGTATACAATAAAAGAATGAAATAAAAGGTTCATAATTTAAAATTATAATTAGACATGTTGATAAGTAAAAATCATCTTATTGTAAAATTAATTGAAGAACTAAGAAGAGGATAAAATTTAACTCATATCGAAAACACTCTCGAAAAAATTAATGTAAGATGCCTATATGTAATAATTTAATTTTAGGATTTAAGTCCTAGAGACTTTGATGACAGCCTTAGTATTTCATATAAAAATAAAAGACCAAGAAGATATAGATTCCTAAAATCTAATTTACCAAGAAATTTAGACAATAAAGAAATTAGAGTAAATGAGGATACTGATTCATAGTCTCGAAATTCCAATTATTAGTTTGAATTTGATTCAAGAAGACGTGTATATTCTTTAGCAACTGATTCATGTTGATTGAGTCTATAATTATATTTTTTAATGATCTCTAAGATTTGGTGATATAATTACTGTTATAATTATTTTACTAATTTTTATTTAATTTTTTATGTAATTTATTATCATTCATTATCATAAAATGGACTGATCATTAAAATGTGTAAAAGAGTTGCCATGGCATAACAATCATTAGTGTGATGTTTGTTCTAAAATTAATAATAAAAATTACATATCCTAATTTATTTATTCTTTTGAATAGTAATACCAATCCTTGGGCAATAAATACAACAACAATTCCCCACAACAAAAGTGGCAAATAAAAGCTCCATAGACAAATTAATTAAAGTAGGAAAATCAAACAAACAGGTACAATTATGGCTGGTAAATATTAAGGCAAAGTTAAATTTATTCCTTTTTATTTTATTGTTAAACAAACAGAAATAAAACTAGCAGCTATCATAGAATAAAAGAAAAAGAAATAGTTCCAAATAAAGTATTCATAGCCTTATACTGCTATTTGCAATCCTTATAAAAGCAAAGAATATAAAATTACATGTAAAACATATACAAACTTTTAATTATTATTCTAAGATTTATTAGAAATACATACTTATAAGATTATCTTTGGATTTGTCAATATGAATAAATTCAGTAAAATATATAAACTTAAGACAATCCATAATGCAACACTCCATTCCCAATATCTATTAATAATCCACATGCGAAATAATGCTGAAATAAAATTAAGCATTAAAGAAATTGCCAATTCTATTGAAAAATATTTTGCTAGATTTTGATTGAAATATTAAACTTCACGTTCACCAGCAACTTCTATTTCTTTATGTTACAAGATTATTATTTCTTTTTATATTAAATTTTAATTTAAATTTTGATTATATTATTATAAAAGCTATTGCTGAGGAGTATAGTAATATTATTGTTATTATTAATTTGCTTTTTCTAATGGATATGAAGGGATTTATGGTTATGCCTCAAGATTATTATTATCTTATTATTTTTAATAATTCTGATATTGTAAATAGGGATGTTAATATATTTATTATTGTTACTCATACTTTTTTTGTTACAATTACTATAAGAGTTATTGTTGTATATAATCTGGTTATTTCATAATTTCATTATATTCCTCCTATGTAACTAAAATAGGCACTATTGTTTCATTCCGCTATTGCTAAGCCATTAGATAATTATATTAATAGATATGAATAGAACTAAATAGTAATATAAATTATGAATATTGTTTTATAATTTTCCTCATTGTACATTTTTCTATTCTGAATGTACACTCTGAGTTATCTAACATAGTTATTCACTGTCCTCGTATACTAGATCAAAGAATGGTACAAATAATATGAAACTCAATAACATTGCTGAGAATCGGCCTTCATCTGATAGTAATTTGAACTAAATTCTTATTTTATGTTTACTTTTTTAGAATTTATCATTCTTTTAAGAGTGAATTGAAGATAAAATCCTAAAACGCAACTCAATGCTATCATAAAGCATAAAATATCATAGTTGTAATAGAAGGAAGACAAAATACTTCCAAAAGTTACTGTTGGTAATAATGAATCTATAATTAATATTATTAAATTTAACTTTTTATGCTTAATTCTCCAATCTCCTACATACAATATGAAAATATTGAGCAAGTTTCAAGATTTATTAAGCAAAGTAAAATGATTACAATCTAGTCATTACCATAATTCTTAAGAGTATTTTCATAAATACAATTATAAGGATTATAAAATAAATAAGTAGAGGAATAAATAGCTTAAATGAAAAATGCATATGAAAATGTATAAAGAATTATTAAAATTATTTAAATAATTCTTAATTGTTTATTTCTTAACTTTTTATGATTCATATATGAGTATATTAAAGAAAAGCACATTATTGTAGCAAAAATGTAAAAGGGTTATTTAAAGTAGCCGTTTAAATTATAAGAAAACTTGATAAAATAATTTTTAAAAGAACAATAACATAAGATCAGAGGAAAAGTTTAAAATAAAAAGAAATATTTTAAGATTTACAAATTAAAAGATCTTTTCTCCATATAACCAGCCAAGCTAAGTTCTACATGATTCACACTATCTTATTATTTCTTTATTTAAGGAGTAAATATTGTTTATTATTACATAAAATTTAGAAATTTTTTTATATTTATTCTCTATTTCTTATAACCTTATTAAGTTTAACTTTAATTTAGTTATAAAGGTTAATAAAGATGTTATTTAGGTTATTAGAGTTATGGATATATGATTGGTTGAACTTGAGTTCTTACACACTTTATTGTATTGTTAAATGCTTGCTAAAAAACAAATGTATTTTTAGCTAATAATATATCCAACATAAGGATTATTTTTGGATAATATAGAAAAATTATTTATTTAAGATTAATTATTTACTAGATTTTAAATTAAAGGACTAAAATAAAGTGTGTAAACAAAAAAGTTATCAAAGAATTTAAACACTTTACAAAGACAGCTTAATCATCTTAATCATTTAAGTCATAATAATTCACATTCCCCTTTTATAGTCAAAAATAATACTTAAAAAATACTCCTTGAAGAATGTTATTCTAAAAATAAAGTTTTGAATTAATTTCTATAATATTGATGGTACCAAAGAATACTTTGAATAAAATAGTGGCAATAGAAAATAATTAAGATTTGTTACAATCCTTAAAGAGTTAAAATAATAGCACCTATGATTTATATATATATATAAGAATTAAGAAAATTATCTATTATGATCTTGAATGAGTGAACTTTAAATAGTATCATTTATATTCATAATTCTAACAATATCATCTTTTGCTTAATTGATTCCATCAATAGTTAATCACCTTTTAGCTTGCTCTTTGTGTATGCTTATTTAGATTCTCTTTCCAACCTTCAATTTTTAGGTATAATTCTTTACCTATCTGCTTAAAATTTAATATCAATTGGTGTTTATGGAGTCTTTTTCTTTGAATGTTATCTAATTTCTGTTAAATAGTCTCGCTTTATTGTAGATGATGATGATTAATCTGCTGCAATCTAAGATTAAATTCTAGGTCTTCTTGGTAATTTTCTTATTTATCTTAAATATAAATTCCCTAGAACCCTAGAATCACTTTTAATTGGAGACATTTAATTGTTTGGTTTTTAATTAATAATTGTCTGACTAGTTAAATCAATGCTATGAAAGATTTTAGGTAAAAAGTGTTCTTTAACAAAATGATCATAAGCAAATCTTTCTTTAATTTGTCTTCTTAATCTATCATTATTTTTCTTTCTTTTTTATTCTTCTTCTTTCATCATTTCAATTTAGGCTTGATATGTTCTACTCCTTAATCTAGATTAAACTTATTGAGAAAAGTAAGTGTCTTATAATTTTTTTTGATCTCTCAAAATTGTCAATTATTATTAATGTTCTTATTAATATTTTTTATATTTGTATTAATGCTCCTTTATTACTTCAGTTGTTAATAATTTGAACTTCTCTTTTATTTGTATAAGCTTTAATTTGACCTCTTACTCTTTCTCTTGTTCTAATTGCTTTTACTGTATTTCTTATTATTACTTTTCCTTTTTATATTATTCTAATAATTATTTGACTCTTTTATTTTATTCCTTTACCTTTTAAGTGCGTTCATCTGATTTCAATTAAATAAATGACATATTTAATTTAGATTACAATCGACGAGAATCCTAAAGTTCCTTTAATTATAATAATTTAATTGTCTCTAATTACTAAAGTGATTTTTATTTGATTTACTCTTCTTCTAAAAGTCTAAGTTTACGTCTTAGGAACCTAAATTAAAATTTTACTATTCATCTCGAATCCTTCTCTCTTCAGTTATCTTTTCAATATATTATTGATGCTCCATTCAATAATTAATTATATTAAAAATAAATACATAAATATTATAAAACCATCAAGGTATACATGAGTTAAAGTATACTCATAGTTGTATGTAATATTGTTATTAATGGAGGAAATATATGTCTATGATATTGAAAATTTAAATGGAATTAATTAATATTATCATTACACAAATAAGATTTTGCAAAATGACCTAGAATATAATAAAATAAATATTAGAAAATTAAGCATAAAGAATAAAATTTTGAATTTATATATATAATTAATAAATTAAAGAAATCTAAAGCATAATTTATCTATTAAATTAATGATTTAGCTTCACCATTAATCCTAATAAAAAATGAATCTAATATTACTATCCTCTACATCTAGTCACTAATGTTTAAATTAAATCTTTTAATTTAATTTTTTTGAGGTTGATTTTAAACATAAAGAAGAAATATATATTTTGGCTATGAATAATCTATTAGAGATAAAGGCTAATAAATATGTTTAATTGTGTGAAATATTCAAATTATTGCTAATGTATAATAAATTTAATGATTCTATGAAATAATAATTTTCAATTTATTTCAAATAATTAGATAAAGATAAGTTTAAAGGTAGATTAAGGCATATTGTAAAAAGAATAATTTTTTGGAAATTAATTATTATTTATTTATTAATAAAATTATATTTTATTTATTTTTTAATTAAAATAAGGAATTGGTACTTTGTTTAATTGATCTAATATTACTTGTCTTCAGATTCTCTTTATACTTATCTTTTCTTTTAAATTCTGTTCTCTTTTTCAATTATGTTTTTGTTAATTTTTCAACATCTTTTATAATTTCCATTAATTAATTAGGTTTAACTGAATCTTTCTTATCATTTATAAATCTATCTTATTAATGTAAATGGAAATATTTCTTTAAGTCTAAATCTTAATTTTATAATTCATCTAGTATATTAATTATAAATGAATTAATTAAGCATTTACCAAATAGTGATACTTAAATTACATAAAGGGCTACATCTTATTTATTGATTTGCTTAGAGTGATTGAATTTATAGTATTTTACTTTTATCTAATATAATTTGATTAAATATAATAATTATTTATGTAATTTTATTGATACTCATTTGTCTGTTAAGTTTCTAAATGCTGATTTGATCTCATCTACAAATTTAGTGAAATAATTCATTAATTCTTATTTTGGTTATTTTGGATCCTATTCAAATATTAATAAATAATACCTCAAATTTCATTTATGATAATTTGACAAATTATGGTTTTGTTTGATTTAAAATAACATTCCAAGTGATTTTGGCATCTCCTGATGATTCAAGGATAGCTTTCTTGCCGCATTCGAAAAATGAAACTATGCATCTCATCATACCAATAGTTTTATAGAGTGGACAATTATAATCGTATTTACTAAAAGCATCTTATTATAAGAAATCTTCTCTTATGATTTTGGCAATCTAATAATAAAAAATTATGGATCATACTTCCAAAGATAACTTTTAATCTTCAGATAAAGAATCTCTACCAACCAATTAGACAATTTCATTTAATTCAGATTCTTCATGCAAGATTTATTTGAACATTACTCTTAAATGTGTGAATTCAGGATCAAAGGAATTAAAATATGGTTCAAGAATCTTTTCGTAATTAGAATTTGATATGGTCCAATTTACAGATGGAAAATGCTTTCTTTAAGCTAATTTCTTATCTAATCCCCAAAAGACTTATACAATAGTAAGAGTAGCAGTTGTAACTGGATCAGTGAAATCCTAAAGATTATAAATATATATATACTCCTCCTGGAGGTGAGACAGCTCCAACAATAGTAATAGATCCTTCTCTATCAGGTGAACCTCTACATCTGACTCTTCCTGCTCTTTCATAAAATTGAGCCAATTTTGATGCCAAATATGCAGGATAACCTTAATCTGCAGGCATTTCAGCCAATCTACCAGAGATTTCTCTTAAAGCTTCTGCCCATCTTGAGGTTGAATCAGCCATCATAGATACATTAAAACCCATATCTCTGAAATATTCAGCTAAAGTGATTCCTGTATATATAGAAGCTTCTCTAGCTGCCACAGGCATATTTGAAGTATTGGCAACTAAACATGTACGTTACATAATATTTTCTTCTTTTCCTTTCATTTAAATAGTTAATTCAGGAAATTCACTCAACACTTCAGCCATTTCATTTCCTCTTTCTCCACATCCAACGTAGATAATACATTCAGAATTGGAATATTTAGAAAGTGCCTAAGAAATGCAAGTCTTTCCACATCCAAAGGCTCCTGGAATACAACATGTACCTCCTAATACAGAAGGATAGAGTGCATCAAGAACTCTTTATCCTGTAAGGAGTGGAGTATTACCCTGTAATTTTTCAATAATAGGTCTTGGTTATCTAACAGGCCAGAAGTGACTCATTCCGTATTAATGTTTTTTGCCATCCAATTCAACTTCTATAACTTTATCCTTTAATGTATAATTGCCCTCAGGTGCAATATATGTGACTCTTCCTTGAACTCTTGGTGCTGTCAATATTTTATGTTCATCAAAGAGATTATTTTCAAAGACTGAGCCATAGATATCACCACCGCTTATCATTGATCCTACTTTAATTGTAGATGAAGGTTTGAACTCCCAAACTCTATCTTAATCTAATGCTGGAATATCAACACCTCTTGGTACAAAAATGGAAGCTGATTGATCTGCAATGACTTATAAGGGTCTTTGAATTCCATCAAAAATTTGTGTCAAAATACCTACATAATTTTGTATTGGATACCTGGACCCAATTCAACTGAGAGTGGAGACTTTGTTCTCATAACAGGATCACCTACTGTCAATCCAGCTAAACATTTATAAATAATCTTTAAGTACATGTATCTTCATAACACTGAATAGATGCATTATCACCTTCTAATTTAATGATTTCACCAACCAATTTATCCCAACCAACTTTCACTAACTCAAACATTTTAGCTCCTGCCATTTTTTCTGCCACGACCACTATTACAATAAAGAACACTATTTACATGGACCAGCCACTTTGAACACTCTACCAAAGCTACTCTCTTTCTCTTGTAACTCTTCCAATTGAGTCTTGCGCTATTTATTCATATCTTTTTTTAATAAAATTTATATTTAATGAACATCATTATTCACAATCTAAAACTGGAAAAGATTTCTTATAATTCTCTATTAGCTATAGGTTTACATCTCTCAAAATTCTTAATTTCTTTATCTTTGAAAGCTTCATTATGAAAACACTCATAAGTTTTTTATTTCCAATACATAATTCCATATTCTTATCATCATTATAATCATCACATTACCAAGACTTTTTAATGCTCTTTCAGATCGTTCGGCATTCTTTTACATACATTCTATATATTTCTATTCATTATCTAAATTCTTATTCAAACACTCTTTCTCTTTTGTCTATACTATCTTTTATAACATATCATAGTTCTCCTTAACAACTGGAGCTATTTCATTTTGATACTTATCTAATTCAAAATAGTCTCCAACAGTTTTTAAAACACCAGCCATTTTTATAATAATAATATTAGTTATTATAATATAATCATTTAAATCTCTTCTAGATATTTGAAACATTATTATTAGTTGTACTTTTTTTAGTTTCCAATTTAGATTTTGGTCTATCTATCTCATTTATTGTTTATAATTATTCTGTTTCCATAATTGTTTTACCAAGAGTTGATTTATTTACACTTGTATCATAATCAACAGAATTATTCATTATTCTTTATCTTTTTATCATTGGACTCACTGATTAAATTGGAGATTATCCTGAATTTGGTCTTAGTTTCTAAACATTTGGTATTCTTTTCACATTCTATTCATAAGTGGACACACTCTACTATTATCTAGTTTATATTGTAGCTTTCTTTATTTCATCTTATGATTAAATTTCTTTTTTATTTGCTATTATGAAACCAAACAAATGTATTTATGGATCTATGAATTTCTCTATTCTACTCTTTGCATTATTATTGTTTTTCTCAAATTTAATGAATTTTAAACCTTTCTTCCATACCTTATCTCTCTAATTTTCAAAATACCAACATAAAGGATAATTTAAATCATTATCAAATGGAATTTAAGCACTTTTTATTGTCTCAAATATTTCTGGTAAATGTTTAGATTAACTCAATAATGATTATGGTATTTTATTAACACAAATCTAATTTTATCTATTTTTACTTTGCCATCCATAGGTAAAATATTTGAAATCTCACAAAATCCTTTTTAAACTGTAGGATTATCAAAAACAAGTTCACATAAAAATGCTGCTGAAGTCTTTCTCATTATTTAATTTTTATCCTCAAAATTTGTTAATATTTTTTAAACATCTGTAGGTGTAAGAGATTGAAATATCTCCTCTTAATGTAATTTACTATCATTCATATGACTCATTATTAAAATTAGCATATTTACTCAATCAATTTTTGCATAGACTCAATCAAAAGATCAGGCTCTCCTTTCGTTGGCTTTTTCATTTTTAATATAAATGAATAATAATAAATATCAAATACTCAATTTTAGAAAAAATCTCATTTCAATAAACAATTATATATGTTCAAATGATTTATGGATTTCATTATATTTTTCCAATATTTGAAGTTAATAAATGATTGTTAAATTTATAATAAGACTCTTCTTTAGTAATATAAATAAATTGATAATATATTTGAACCAATTTCATAAGTAGAATCTAATTGTTTGACTTTACATACAATTTAGTTAATTTTAAAATATAGATTTACTAATATAGTAAAATTAAATGCATATTAGATACAATTTTAATATCTAATCTAGTTGTAATCTATATATAATACTTATGAAATTAAAATTATAATGAGTAATTTTATCAAAATTAATTAATAAATTTATATAAATATAATTACATTAATCATTTTAATTCATATCCTCAAATATATAAAATTACTTTTAATATGTAAAATGTCTAAGGTTGTTCTTCTAAAACTCAATAGACTGATCAAACTTATTAAGAATGCAGAAATTCTAATTAATTCAAGTTAATACTAAATGAATTTATACATTTATAACATCATAAACAATGGAATCATCAACTTAGACTCACAGAAATATTACTGTATTAATACTTAACTATCATGTATGATGGAAATCTACTTTAAGAATATTGTATACTACATCCTAATGTATTAAGTATTGGCATTCACAATATTCAATTATCATAATATGAAGTCAAGTAGAAGAGTTTCCTGTTTAATAATAAAATTTGTTATTTAATTGCATTAGGTGATGATATTCTGCTCCTTTTTAAAGATGAAGAATTGTAATAACTGTGGTACTATTCAATGAAACAGTTTAGTATTATGAAATTCTTTTAAAGAAAATTTTAATTGGAACAAGAACTATTTTAAGGCTTTTACAAAATTATAAATAAGAAAGTAATCCTCTTTAAATAATAAGAATCATGAATAATTTTCTGCTAATATAATTTGTAAGTAGTAACCTTATCTTGAACATACTTTTGGATTATTACATGAGTGTAGACATCCTTCAATCTTAAAGATCAAAGGAATTTATGAGGATCCATGTAATTATATTATAGTTACAGATTACTATGAAGGAGAACCCATATTTAATGCACTTATAGGAGGTTTACAATTAAAAGAATCTGAGATTGCATCTGTATTATTGTTTGTTTTTAATAAATCATTTTAGGTAATCTATTAGATATTGATTCTACTACGTTATTTAAATGATCATTAAGCATATCATGGTAATCTTGGTGCTCATAGTGTAATTATAAATTAGGATACTATAACTATAGATATTATAATGATAGACTTTGTCTATTTTGTATATAAAATTAATAATTTTGATAGCCTTTTAAATAAGGAGATGATACTACTCAATATTGGAATTGGGTTAGTTAATTTTAATAAAAAAGAAATAAGGATAGTGAAATTCCAGGGATTCATTCTGATTTATATTAGTTAGGAATTTTATTGTATATGATTACCTTTTTTCCAAAAGAGTTTAGTAGAATGGAAGTATTAAATAAATGAAAAATAGAATAAGATTGACAATTAAAAGTTTTACTTTTAGTATATGAAAGATCTCCATATTGATTATGATTTGATTAATCAAAGTATAGAAATATTAGCAGGTTTTGTAAATAAAATAAAAATTAGAATTGAAATCATTAAATGAGAATTATAAACATGTTTTTTCGTTGAGCTAATTACATTTGATAAAGAAACTACTTTCTTAGTGTTCATTAACAGATGCACTCAATCACTAATGGTTTATTAATACTTAACAAAAATGTAAATCTCATCATCAGCGTTAAGGAATAACTAATCTTAAAACAATTATTGAATAGAGAGAATTTAGTGATGAAGAATATAGTATTTCATAGAGTAAACAAAGTAATATTTAGAATGAGAATTGTGAATCAAGTAAGTTATTTTAATGAGCATTCAGTTGATGAGTATCCAACTCTTTAATATTTGATGAGAAACATCTTAGATTATGAAAAGGCGCCATGTAAATCTCACCATTGTTGAATATAATTAATTAAAATAACTATGTTATAAGCTAAACCCAAGATTATTGCACAGTAACCTGTTTACAAAGATTTTAAGTATACCAAATCATCTAAGTCTTTTAATCCAATAAACACACTCTTTGGAAATTAGTAAACTCCTATTCTTCAAAACAATCTAGGTTTTAAATTTAATTAAAAAAATTAGCTATACCATTATACAAAGGTCATTTCATTAATTTTCATCATGAGGAAATATAATTTGATAATTCTATTACTCTTAGTGGTATATAAGAAGGTTTTTTATACTTTGTTTTTAATTCAAGATATTTGAGATTTTATTTTTATTCACCCACTTAGGCTGACCTTAATTATTATTATAATACAGTAATAATATTTATCATTATTTAGGATGACAAGAAGTACAAATTTCCATTAAGAATGAAAGAATAATAAATTAATCATACAGAATATATTTCGGCGGTAGCCTTTTAATGTTAGGATAATTAATGGACAATGGCTATTGCCTCTGAGTTTTACATCTTTTTATACACTTTTAATGGTGATTTGGAGAATTTTTAAATGCTAAAAAAAGGGTTCAATATTAATGGAGAAATTGTAAATCAGATCTTATTTTACCAAGAGAATCTCATTTATGGAGGCAATTTAGGATATTTAACTTGTAAGTCTATAGACACTGCTTAGAATTATACATCTTAATTGAAAGAAAGAATAAAAAAATAATTTAATAGAATATTTAAAGATTTTACACCTTGGACTTCAACTTAAGGATTAATATAATTAAAAGTATAAGAAGAATTCAATATATGTTATGGTTTATTTGAATAATATGATTAAGAAGATAAAGTATGTGATACTTATGTAGTTATATATGATATTAGTTTAAAAGAATAATAATTTACAGAAATTGTTAGAATTAAATAATCTAATGTCTATAATTTTAATGCTGAATTAAAGAATACATTTGATTTAGACAATCTTTAATTTTAACATATTCATTTTGAAAAATAATGGCATACAAATAATATATTAATGATTATTACTACTAAAGATCAACTATAAATTTATTTCACTTTTGAAGTATAAGATAGATGTATTAATGATGTTAATTTATATTAATCAAGAATTATTAATTCAAATAAATCTTAAGATTCTATTAAACTTAAATCTGAGTATTCTATATTCTAAATTAAATATCCATATATGAAATTTGATTAAGAAATACCATATGGAGTATGTCTTGATGAAAGTAGAACTTAATATAAACAAAAAGAAATGTTAAGTATTTAATAAAAACATTTATTAAAATCTGTCTTTAGAGATGATCATATAGCATTGTATCATTTAGACAATTACATTATAGCATAATTTATTGATATGGCTCATATTTAATACATTAAAAATTTAGAATAATAATTGTCTAAATATAATTCTTACAATTAATTACAATATTCTCTTTATAGAGATTCATCTAAAGAAGCTGTTGAAAATATTGAATTGCATTCTGTTAAATAAAATTAAGAATTTCCAGAAAATCTATATAATCTTGGAAGATATTCTATTAAATAAATATTCAATCATTCAGACATTAATGAATCTTAATTATATAATTTACCAGAACATTATATATGTATAGCTGATCATACAATAGAATTTATAGTAAGAATGAGACCAATCGATTTCTTTTTCACTGCTATTAAAGTTACACATTATGATTTTATCAATTAAGCATATGAAGATTTCCCTTTAGAAAAATTAATAAGAGCATATGGAATTGAAGAAAGTTGTGCATAAATTTTATAAATAATAATCTAAGAAGATTCTATATTTTATATTAATGTAGAACTTTAACATTAATATTAACTTGACTTATAAAAAGCATATTAAAGAATACATTTTTCAGAAAATATTGATAAGTTTTTTGATGATAATGAAAAGATACCTATTTGGGTAACAGGCTAAGTATATGTTACTAAAGGATCTACAATTAAGGATAAAGCTATGAAAGCTTACTTTTCATTAATCAAAAGATCATTATTAAGTGAAGATAGAAATTAAAAATCTAAAAAAGTATTTAGTACTTCATAATTAATTTGGAAAATCTTGGCACCTTTAACAACTAAGAAGTTTATTGATGAGAAAGTATATAATTTAGAATGCAATTAACCAATAGAAAGTTATTCTATTTAATAACTTTAAATGGTTTATAAATAAATAGAGAAATTATTAAAATTATTTGAAAATGAACCTAATTATTTCTAAAAAAGAAAATAATAAATAGTTGAATCATCTTAAGAAGAATAAATTTAATAATTAAATTATAAAAAAGGATTTAATAAACATATTTATGAATCTTTTGAATTAAGTTCAAAATTAGATAATTCAAGAAGTACAAATTATTCTGATCAATCTCTTGTATAAAGTGTTAATGTTGATATAGAACATGTAATTTTAATTCATTATTTTATATTAGACTTAAATGAAAGGACTCTATGATTTTTGTCTATAAATTAAACAATTAATACAATTTTTTGTCTATTTCTTTGGAGATCTCAATGGAATCAGAAACATTATTAATAGTTATTCCAATAAATAATAATTATTTGATTTATCAGTAAAAACTATACTTAATGCAGAACCTTCAAGTTTACTTACATTAAAATAATTAATGATTCATATCATTAAAAGTGATAAATCAAAATTCAGAGATATGGCATAATATATGCATGTAAATTTCTCAGAATATTTTACTATTCAAGACTTTAAAATTAGTCTAGCTCAAAATTTATTTGATGAAATTTTATAATTTGCTGCCTAAAAGAGTATTATAATTTATTTAATCTTTAGATATTATCAAATTAAATCCTAATGAATAGATTCATGAAAAAATTAAAAGAATATTAAGACTTTCAAAGGCTCCTCAAATTACTTTTGAAAAAGTACTTGAGAAAAGAGAAATTTTTATCTATTATAAAGAATTATAAGCTGAATTATAAGAATAACTTAAGGAAGCATTAAAATCAGTTGAAGAAGTAATTTTTGCTATTTCTCATTCTTATTTAACTTAAAGTTTTCTTAATTACATGTTTCCTTTTGGTACTTTTAAATATTATATACAATTTCTTGCTTCAAAGTGTCAACAATATGAAAAAGATCAATTTAATGATGAACATAGAATTTGCTTCTTAGATCTTATATAATAATATAATAATCTTATACAATATTATTTAGATCCTCCTAAAGGTTTAACTAAAGCCTAAGTATATGATATATTAAGAGATTCTTTATAAATATTAAATTAGTATTAATTAATAACTGCAACAGAAGTTGTTATAAATAATTTAATAAAATAAAAATTAAAAGAATTCATAGCATATATAGATTATAATTAAGATTTAGAATTATAATGTAATGAACTTGAAAAATTGTAAATTCAAAAAAAATAATTATTAGTAAAATCAGTAAAAGGAGATAATGAAGCAGTTTATTAATTAATACAATTATTATTAAAATTAGCATAATTTTCTTTAGTTTAGAATTCAGAAATGACTTTAGAAGATATTTAAAAAGTTTTACCTTTAAGAAAACGTTTAAGATATATATTTAAAGCATAAGAATTTATAAAATCTACTTAAAAAAATGAATTACCTAATGATATTCTATAATTTGAGAAATAAGCATAAGATTTAAGCAAAATACTATTTCTTTAAGATATTATGTATGATTATATAGTAACTAATAATAATGAAGGTATATATATTCATAAAAACTTTTAGATTATTTAAGTTAGAAACGAAGAATATTAATAGAGATTTTAGATTGTAATATAATAATGCAATTTTTTGAAGATAATAATATTTGTTTTGGATAGATATTATGTATGGATTATCTAGAATAAAAATAATAGAAATAATTATATAATGAATTTTTTATTGATTAAGTTTGGACTAATTTTATTGTTTATTCATATTAAGAATCTAGAGAATGGCCATCTAAAATATTTAAGATGTAAATGAAATTAGTATTGGAAAATCTAATAAATAAAGATAAATATATTCGAATTTAAAAAATTACAGAAACATTTGAATTAGTAAATAGTAAAGAATGTTAAGAATAGAAAATAACTTAACTTTCTACTTGGTTCTTTTTTGAAGTGTTATTAAATCATAATATAAGTGAAATGGAACTCACATCTATATATGTTAACAATTTAATTAATAATGTTATGGTGTAGGATAATCCTGCTTATGAAAGATTATAAATAGATGAATTACATTTATATAAATTGTAATTAATTTAGTAGATTTTAATTCTATTTAATACTATTAAAAAAAATAAATATGATAGAACTTAGTTTAGTGAATTATTAACATAATTTAGAAATGCTTTTAAAGTATATATTTAATATTTATGATTTTAGAATGAATATAATTAATTTATAGATGACGATGTTTATGATTAGACAATAATTGAAGATTTAAAGAAATAAATTGATTCATTATGATTATTTTTTTTTGTTTTTTAGCTCAATTTTATGTTGACAAATTATAGTTATTTTATTTTTAAATTCAAATGCAGTAAGAATCATATTCTTAAGAAGCAAATATAACCCCAATAAATTATCAAATGAGTACTCCTACTAAAGAAAAGAAACAAAATAAAACTAATTAATCAACTACAATACAATCTCCTAATAATAATGATTTTTATTCTCCAAAAAATGTCAACCCTTGGAAAACTCCTAAGTCTTTATTAAAGAGTAATTAAAAATAAACTACTCCTGAACATTCTTTGTAAGCATCTCCCTATGGAGATCGTTATATTCCACTTAACGTCTCTAGAAATCTTTTCAATAAACAAATACAACCCTTTGAGATTGAAGAAGAAAATATTTATGAAGAACTCTTAAGTGAAAATGTATTAGAAATAGATGAGAACAAACATGTTAGTATTTTGAATTTTAACAAATAAAAACCTGAAAAAATATAACCAAATAAATAGTAAGAAACTCCAAAAAGAAAAATTGATACCTTACCAATTAAAGTACTTGATGCTCCAGGAATGGAAGATGATTTTTATTAAGACATCTTACATTGGGGCAAGAACAACTTAATTGCTATAGGTTTATAGAGATGTGTATACTTATATAGTGTTGACACTTCTAAAGTATTTTAATTGACATACCCACCAAACAATTTAGTTAATTAGAATTAATATACTTCATTATAATGGAATACAAATGGATAAATATTAGCTATGGGAAGTTATGATGGTCAATTAAAATTATGGGATTACAATAAAAATATTTATACAGGAACTATGAATATTTCAACCAAAAGAATTAGTACAATAAATTGGGCAAACTCTAATATTTTTGCATATGGTAGCAAAGATAAAACTATACATATTTGTGATATTAGAGTACCAACTTATTCTGTATTTTAATTACATGGACATACATAAGAGGTTTGTGGAGTAACATTTGATGGAAATGAATTATAATTAGCTTCAGGAGGCAATGATAATAGAGTTTTTATTTGGTAATTAAGAGGAGGGAATACAAACTCAGATAATCAATATGTCTCATGGGAAATTAAATCTCATAAGGCAGCGATTAGAGCTTTGGCATGGAGTCCTAATTCAAGTGGAATTTTAGCTACAGGAGGGGGAAATCAAGATAAAACTATAAAAATACATAGTTCATTAACAAATAAGGAATTTAATAGTATTAATTGTGATTCTCAGGTTTGTAAATTAAGATTCTCTAAAATTGTTAATGAATTAGTTTCAACACATGGTTATGAAAAAAATTAAATATGTATATGGCAATATCCAACAATGAAAAAAATGCATTAGTTAGAAGGGCATTCTGAAAGAGTGCTTTATTTATCAGCAAGTCCTGGTATTTTTATATTTAATATTTATAGATGAATCTACTATATTAACAGGATCTGGAGATGAAACATTAAAATTTTGGAAAATTTTCCCAACTTAAATTTCCAATAATATGTCTTCACTTCTTACAATGTGTGAAATTAGATGATTTAATTAATATGTATAATCACATATCTTTTAGTTGTTTTTACAACAACTTTACTAATTATTCTTTCTCTTATAATTCTTTATTCTGTTTAGATATTTATTCTTTCACGATTAACAATTTATCTTAATAATCCTCTAATTCTCTAATTATTATAAAAATATTACTCTTATTTCACTTGAGATTAACAATGTATTTGACTTATTTTATCTTCTAATGATTTTTTAGTTTCCAATAACTATTTCCATTAAATTTCAAAATTCTCCATTGAGATTTCTTATTTTTTTGGTTTTATTTAATTTTATTGTTATAATTCATTCAATTCTTTAAGTAAATCTTTATATTAATCTATTAACATCTAATGCTCCAATTCTACCGAGTCTATCGATTCATCAGAATCGGACATTTGATTCTTAAAATAATTTAAAATTATTAAAATAATAATAATAAATGTTAATCATCTGATGAAGAATGATTATTAAATACTAATATATTCAATATTCTTATTATTATTATTTCAAACAATTAAAAAAATACATTAACAAATACTAAATTATGTTATGAATTACAATAAATTATAGTATAAATAATTAATTAATGGACGATTTTAATGATTTATTCCCTGTCAATGATTTATAAAGTAGTTGGAAGAAGAAGAATCAAAAAGGAGTATCTATCAAATAAGGCAAATTTACAGAAGAAGAAATTGAAAAAGTAAAAGAAAGTTTGATTTCTTATGCATTATCATAAAATTTAACTGAAGAATAATTTGCTGATCTATTTAGCAATTCTCAAAAAACAACTATGCCAAAAGCATGGTTATAGATTGCTAAAGTACTTCCAGAGAGATCCGTTGATAGTGTCTATAAATTCATTAAAGCTAGATTCAATCCAGACAATTACTAAGGACATTGGACTAAAGAGGAAGAATAGCATTTACTTTAATTGATTAATTAATTTGGTCGGAACTATACTTAAATAAGCAAAATTCTAAATAGAACACCCTAAAATATTAGGGATAAATATAGATAATTGGGAGATCATAATCATGAACTTAGAGAACTAGTTTGGACTTTAGGAGAGGCAGTTCATTTATTAAGATTAATTTCAAAGAAAGTATTAAATTAATTAATAAATTATAGAATAATGCAAATTTTATTAAAGATGATTGGTTAGACACCTTAATATAAAATTTTGGAGAAGATTGGTAAGATGTAATACTAACAATTCATTCATGTATATATATTATTATTAAATTAGAAAAAAGAAGATTTCGTAAAGGTACTTATTATGAAATATAATAAGAGGATACTTAAACTTAATAATTACTTTAAATAATTGATTTGAAAAAACTTTATTCAACATCTCATAAAGATATCCCTTGGACAAAAATTGCTACTAAAATTAAAACAAAAAGTCATGATGATCTTAGAAATTTTTGGATGTAATCTTTAAATTAATGGTAATTATAAGTCAAACTCAAAATCGATGATTAATAATTATTTAATGATATTATACTTTAAGATCCTTAAGAGGAATAAGATATTGATTTTAATTTAGTTTTAAAGCATTTTAATCTAACAAAAAATGAAAAAAAAAATGCTTGGGAAACTTTAAAAAAAAGAGTTTAAGTAAGAGATTAACTTGAATTTGAAGAACTTTTAACAAAAATTAGATAATTATTAAGTAAATCAAAAAAAGAATAAAAATAAAATAAAATTGAATAGAAAAATCTAAATGCAACTTCATTTAATAAATTAGTAGATGAATTTAAGGCCTTAAAAGAGGTATATTGATTAAGAAAAATTATTTGAATTTATATTCATTATAAATAATATAAATTTATATGATATATTGAGAAAACACAAAATAAGTCAATAAGTTCATAGAGCACTTTAAAAACAATAACTTAGAATAAGGTCTTCTTAGAGATGTGTTTATAAATATACTTTATTACCAATAAATAATTTTATTTTTTTATATATACGAGAAAATTATTACATATTTGTATTTATCAACTTTTGCTTTTTCATATATTTTCTTATTTAGTAATGTATATATCTTCTAAAAGTATATATTTTTATTACGAATCATCAGAATTTTCAACAAAAAAAAAGTTAAATAAAAAATAGTATTTAATACAACTGAAATTACTTTTTACAATCATTTACCTCACAACATAATTTAAAAATGGAGAAGATTGTATTAAAATCTAGGAGATGAATACTAGACTTTAACCTATTAATATCGATTAATACTTTTAAAAATGGAAAATTTTATTATCATTTTAGTACAATAATATACCTAAAGTTAAAGATAGGCTATAGTGACTAAAAATAAGAAATCAGATCTCTTTTTTGATATTTAGATTTTGATCAGTTAAATAAATTGTGATTTTTAAAGGCAAAGAAACGCAAATAAATTCATTAATTAATTTTACAAAACCAAACATACTCAATGTATAACTGCCCATTTCCCTATTCATAGGTGTATTACTATTATCCAATGCAAACTTATACACCATATATCATCTATCCTTAATAAATATTAGTTCAAACTTAAGTTTAGTCCAATTAATAAGAAGAATCAAATTAGAATTGTATTAAGAATGTTACAAAACAACATTTAGAAGAAACTAAACCTCCTGAGAATTAAGATAATTAAGATTTTGATATGTTAGATGAACATTCAGATGGAAATGATGAAGATTATAGTGCAAAAGGATTAAATGATAATCAAGAAAAAAGTTATGCTGTTAATTAATTGAATGGTTCAACAAATATCTAGAAAAATTATGCAAAAGCAGTCATCTTATACATTAAATAACAAAATGCAATTGTAGTTTCTCAATTAGGGGATAAAAAAGCCCTTAAGTTCTATCGATTAGTAAAGAAAATGTAAAATAATATAAGAAATTTATCACATATAAGCAAATATACTCGAGATGAAGATTTCATTAAGATATTTAGAATTTTATGGTATATATATATAAATATTAGTTAGTAATAAGTTTTTAAGAAAAGATTGCATCAGTTATATTTACAATTCAAAAATTTAATAGAAGACTAGCCATTTGAAAGGCAAACATATTATTAAAAAAAACCTTTTTAAAATCTGATTACCTTAAGCTTTTTCAATGATATAAATAATTATTATTAATAAATATTTTTTTTAACTTAATTTGAATTATAAAAATACCACAAAAATTATGGTAAGCAATTAATGTTATTTATTGTCAAAATAAACGCAAAATGCATTATAACAATACTTTAAAAAATTAAATTATATACTAATTTTAATATTTACCTTAATATGTTCTATTCTTAATAACCTTACATCTACTTTCCATTCTATTAGACCTAAATGTGCTATCCAATCTACTATTGCTCAATTTAACCTTCACCTTAATAATAACCTGCCACTTAGGAAAAACTTTTATAATAATCTGATTAGTGTAATTACAATCCTTAAAGCAATCATACTTATGACATTGATTAAGATAAAAGTTTTGATTCATATGTTGAAAATGACAAACCTAGTTTTATCACAAATGAAAAAAAATAATCATCAAAATCTACAAAAACCTTTAAAGCTCTTGATACAACTAATTTCCATAAAAATTTTGCTAAAGCCATTGTAGCTTATGCAATTAGACAATAATTTCTAATTTTTAGAATTTTAGGAGAACAAAAAGGATAAGAATTCCTTGAACTACTCTAATCTTTAAAAAATAAACTTAGCAATTTGACCCATTTTGCTAAACATACAAGTAATTCAGACTTTTAAAAAACATTTCGCATTCTTGGGTAAGAATTTTAATTAAATTTTAGAATGAATTTCCTTAAAAAAGAATCTACCCAATATATCTATAATTCTAAAATCTAACAAAAGTCTAGCCATTTAAAACATAAGAAGATCATTAAGAAAACTCTTTTAAGAATTTGAATCTAAATTATTTTTATTCTTTATTCAAAACAAAAAAAAACATTAAATTTGATTTTTAATTAGAAATTAATTAAAATTCATATTATGAGTGCAAAAATTTATAAAAATATTAAAACACTAATATTAGTATTTTAACATTAATTTTATAGATTTAAGACTCAATCTAATGATAAAAATCTGAATTTATCAATAATTTTACCATTTAATACATAATTAAAATACTTTAATCCTCATAATCACATAACTTTCTGTAACTTTTTATTTTGTAATACTTTTTATATTTTTAATCATCTAAGTGAGTATTTCTTATCTTCAAAAGGTAAAATTTGTATTATATTTTATCAAAATTATATTATATTAAAAATATACAAACAATGAAGTTAGAATAATTATATGTATGTCATCATTGTTTTAACTTTTATTGTAAAATTTCCAAATTCTTATTGATTTCTTCAGACAAATATTTAAGTTCTGGATATAATTCACCTATTTAAACCCATAATGGGAGAACCAAAGATTCTATTTTATATTATAATTAATTACTTGAAAAAAACATTTATCCTCCATAATAAGTGGGTTTGTCTTTATAAATTAGAAATCCAGTCACATCTACTCCAATTTTAGCTTCTTTTATTGTCTAAATATTAATATGAGTAATAATACTTAATCATTAAATTCTTAGGTTAATAAATAGGACCAATTCATATAATTATTGAATTTCATTGTTGGATTTGATATATCACAAGCATGAACCATAATATTAAGAATAAATATTCTATCTTCAAGTCTATCATTAGAAAATCTCTGCATATCTATTAAATCATTTTTTTGTCCTTAATCAAATTATTTAGTGCATTCTACTCTTTTTTAAAGTTTTGCTAAAAGTTTTGCATGTTTACTCTATTTTTGAATATAAATTAATAAATACCATATCTGTTGCCAAAATTGATGTAATAATCAATCTTTTTGCTAAATTTTTTTCCTCATCATTTGACATGTATTGAAAGAAATCATGTTTTCTGTTGAGTTAAATGATATTAAAGAAAGTAGCACAATGCATATTTTCTAAGACAGCAATTTCTGATGTTAAAATGTTAAATTTCTTTGACTTTTTAATCTTATACATATTGTTAACACCCTCTAAAATAAATATGATTTGATTTATTACTATGATTTAAATCATGTCCCAAACCAGCAAGAATAGCAGAAAATATTTCAAGTTAATTACAAAATTTCTTCAAATCTGATTTCATATAGCATGAAAATAATAATTATGATAATTGGAAGGCATGAGTAAAATTATGATAAGGTACAACATTATAATTCATGACAATTTCATTTATTAAATCACCTAAAATCTCTTTAGGTACTTTAATCTAATCTAAATTTAAGAAATCAAACAATTATAGTGCAAACTATCCTAATTCTTTTTTTGTATAAATATGATGAATCATATTAGAATCTAATAAAGTTTCTAAATCTATTCTTTCTTATTTTTAAGCCTCCAAAATAAGGTCTTTGTACACAGGTACAAGTTTAGTTTAAGTTCGTTCAAATTTTTCTAGTGTGGCTTCATAATCAGTTTTATCATAATAGATTCTGTTTTCCAATTTTCTTTTGAATTTCTTGACTGTTTATAAGAAAAATCCATAAACTGAAAATAAACCATCATCATTTATAAAATTAGACTGTAATTTATATAAGTAATCTTACTTTGTACGCTTCATCTATATATTTGTAGACTTTTTTAAATTTCTATATAACTTAAGCATCATTTTGATCTGCCTGTTAGATATAATATTAATCAATGAAATCTAGCTATTATCCTATTGAATCCAAGTATTCAGTTGCAGATTTATTGTTTTACATAATTATATGGGAATTAAAAACAAAAAAAACAAAATAAAATTAAAAAATAAATCAAATATCTTGAAGATTTTCGAAATCATTACTAAGCTAACTACTTCTTATACTATCTTCAAAATTATTAGACATCATATTTTTTATATTGATCCTATCAATTTAAACTTTATCTAAAGTTTTAAGTTTTTTTCTCATTAAATAACTATTAACCAAATAAACTAAACTGTTAAAAAATCCTTATAAAAAACTTAAACCATATTAAACTACTCTAATATATTAATATATTCCTGTTCCATATATAAAATAATTTATTTGAATCTATTAAAACCAATCATTATTAAAAGTGAATATCAAAAACAAAATTAATGAGGGTAGCCAACAAATACACAATCCAAATGGATAAAATATTAAGGTCCTAGCAAATATTAATTGAATATTTATCTATTTAGTTAGCAATTCATATTGACTTTTTATTTTTTTTATTTTGAAATATGATCTCAAAATGAAATATACTGAAATTACCACTGCAAATATTAATGGTATGTAGAACAACAATAGATTTAAATACAAACTTAGATTACGATTTTAGTCTAATGATTTATTTTCATCATTTGAACTGATTGAACATGTAACTGGTACTTTTTAAGGAATTGGAGCATAAGAATCAAAAATTAATGGTGGAATTGACATTAATAAAGGAATTGCAGAACCTACTTTTATTTTTATGCTTACCAAAAATGAAAATTGTCTTCTGATATCTTTCTAATTTTGCAATTCTTTATTATCCTTTAATGATTGAAATATATAACAAATATGCTATTGATGTGCTCCACAAAAAAGCACTTATTGTTCCAAATTAAGTTATTACTCCTTAAATAGTACATCTAAATCATTTATTATTACAAAACCTAAATTTATTGTAGTCACTAAAAGCAGGCTCTACGTACAATAATAATCCTATTGAGTAAAGAAAATCTGATATTGAGAGAAAAAATAAAATCCTTTAAGCAAATACTCTCATATTATCGAAAAAGTACAAATGAGTCAACATAAGTGTAGACCCTCCAACTGATAGTGATATGAATATATAAAATAATAATTTCATTAAATAATATATTAGACATCTAATTCAATTGAAATTCAAGTGATGACACATTTATGATTGTAAATACATTATTTATCATTAATCTAACATATACTTTGTATTTTCTATTTTATCTATTAATCAATCTATAATTAAATTTATAATTAATATGCTTTGTTTCTTAAACAATTTATAAATAAAAATATTGAAAATATCAAATATCTATTGAAAATAATCTGATATAAAATTTTTCTTATGGTTTAATCAATAATCTCAATTAAATATTCTATTATTTAACTTAATTATTATACAATATGATAACAAATTTAATTAAAATATTATTAAACATAATACTCTTAATACAAACTACAGGATTTATCAAAAATATAGCTCTTAAATACAGATTAAAAATCTTTGAGAACTTAATTTATTAGAGCATAAAATTATTGCTTGTCTTCTTATGATGTATCCAACAAAAAATGTGGAATTATTATTATTTAATGGAATTTAAATGGGCCAATATGAGAAGATAACTATATTTATGATTTGATTTGATTCTAAGAAGCTTTTTTAATAGGAAAATGATTTGAATTTAATCTTTATAATTAATTAGATTATTATAAAATTTGTTATGAGTTTTGCTAAAAAGCCATTACCTATAAAAGGATCAAAAAAGCCTGAAAAATCTCCACTTGAATAAATTCAAATTATATTAGGTAATGAATATACAGTTGAATAAATATAAAATGCATTAAATTAAACAACTGATATATAGAATGCAATAAAAATATTGAAATCAGAAAGGGAAGCTTTATAAAGCAATAGCAAAGTTCTAAAATTTTAGTAATTAAATAAAGCACAACAGATTTAAAAGAGGGTGAATAAATACAATAGTAGATGGGTATAAAAAGTAATGGGAGATACAGATTAGAAGAAGGATATAGAAATGTTATGCACAATTTAGATCTAAATGGAAAAGATTATAATAGATTAAGAATTACATAAATAAATAGTATATAATTTTAGTATTCCATCTCGTGATCATTATAATAATACTAATAATTAATCATGAGATATTAAATATTTCTATTTTATTTTATTTAGGAAATGTTTAAAGTATTATTTAGTATAATTATCTATTTTATTTTTATTGTTAGATATAAAATAATTTTTAGTTATTATGACATTTAAAATATCAATTTAAATAAGCAGATAGTTGTAAAAAAAGGGGTTTCTTTAAAATGAAATCATTTTTATTTTATGTTTGTATATACTACTATAAATATAAATGTATTTCTTAAATTTCGGATATGTTGAAGTATATATTAAATAAGTAGTAGTGATCAACATTGGTTGGAACTTTATGTAAATAGACTTTAAGAAAGATGAAAAAGAAAAGACCTGAAAGTACAAATTGATATTTTTAAATCGTGTAATAATAAGTTTTTATATTAATATTTTATCCAAAGCAAAGGATAATATAATATGATAGACAGATAATTTTTGAAAGTATAAGCAATTTATTGGATGTCATTTTGTTACTCCATTTATTTCTATATAGAGGATAGAAATACAACTAATTTAATATGTTTGGTAATTATATGCTTGTTATTTCCTGTTGTTATAGTATTTCATTTTGCGAATTTAAGAACAAAAATTATTGGAACCATATTTTGTATTCAAATAGATTTGATATGTCTTATAATTCTGAATTAATAAAACTTAAACCATGTTTCATATGCTTAATTAATAATAAGTTAATACATTTCAAAAGATCTTATTAAGAAGGTATAGACATAAAACAAACATTCAATAAGCATAATGTCTCTGTATTATAGTATGATAATAGTTGTATGTGCATTTCAATAAATATATTTGCATACTGATAATGAGTTTCAATTAGAGTACCCTCAATTAATGTTATGTTTATTACTGTCCTTATAAGAAAGCATTATATTGAAAAAGATAAATTAAAATTAGTTGAATACAACAATTCCAATTGATATAGGACCAATTCATAAATCAGATAGTTTAGGAAAAAGAGTGGTTTCAGTAGTTGAAAGTGATAGAAATTTGATTTTAGATCAATCAAAAGAAAGTGCAAGAATGTTGTGTAATAATTTTAGCAATATTTAATAACATTACATCAATTCTGAAATAATTTATAATTCACTTGAAATCTTACAAGAAGGACTTATAGTATTAGATATATTAGATGAAAAAACATAATCATTCAAAATATAATACATGAATAATGCAACAAGAGCATTATTTGGTCGTGAATAGGATGGAGATATTTTATATATTTTAGAAAGTTTTAACACATTACATATTTAAAGTTCAGAGATCTTGGATGATCCAAATATATAATAAAGATTATCAAATTTACATCATTCTCGTATTTGCAAATCTATCTTTTTATAAAAAGACTTATTTGGTTCAGTCAAATAACCATTATTAGATGGATAGATGTTTGAAAAATATCAAACAATCAGTATGAAAGACTTATTAGAAAAAATGATAAAGGCAAAAAAATCAGATGTTATAACAGTAAATACACATTTTGGTGGCAGTATCTAATTAAATACAAATAAAAATATAACTATTTCTTAATCTAATGCTGGATTATAATCAAGACATGAATAGAATGAAAGATTGATGGAATTCACTTTAACTCTTACTAGGGATCGAAGTATTTTAATTATATGTAGAGATGTAACACATAGATAAAAAATAAGATATTTAAAAGATTATGATATTTAAAAATCAAAAATGTTGTCATTTGTAAGTCATGAATATCGTCAACCATTAGGTTGTATTATTTAAATGATTGAATGTGTATTAATATAGCCAATTATAACTAGTAATTCAGATATAGTTGAAAATTTACAAGTAGCATTGGATAATTCAAAATATATGTTGAATTTATCTAATGATTTATTAGATTTGGCTTAAATAAAGAATGGAAAATTTAAAATAAAAAAGGTATCTTTTAGTATTGAAAATCTAATTAATGATTGTATGAAAATGTTCGCTTTAAAAGCTAGATTGAAGAATCTTTAATTGTTAAAAAAGATTAATAGTAATATCCCAAAGTTTATTATATCCGATTAAAATAGATTGAAGCAAATTATTGTGAATTTGTTAAGCAATGCTTTTAAATTCACTTGTAGTAAAATAGAGATCATCATATCGCTTTAGTCTGCTTCGTTGAGAATTGGAGTTAGAGATGATGGAATTGGGATAAGTAAAGAAGAACAATAAATGTTATTTAAGGCATTTTCAAAAGTAAATTCGGAAGAAAGTAAAAAATTAAATGAATAAGGTGTTGGTTTAGGATTAGTTATTAGTAATTAAATTGCTTAAACTATTGGATGCAGTGGATTGAATATAGAATCTAAAAAAGATCAAGATAATCATTATTCATTATTTTATTTCGATATGTTAATAGATTTACCTGAATAAAAGAAAGTGGCAAGTATTAAAATTCCTGAAATAAATCCTCTTTATTAGGAAGTTGATGAAATAATAACTTTGAATTAAGAATAATAAAAAATAACTCAAGATGCTATTTCGTATTGTTCTCATTGTTTAATTGTTGATGATGAATTCTTTAATGCCTACGCTTTTAATAAAATTTTATAAGGAGTTCTGAAAAACTATTACTAATAAATTGATGTAGAATCTGCTCTTTCTGGTATGGAATCTATAGAAAAAGTGAAAAATAAAAAGTGTAACAATTCATGCCAAGGATACAAACTAATATTCATGGATGTAGAAATGCCCATAATGAATGGTATATAAACTACTAAATAAATATTGGCTATAAATCCTAACTAAATCATTATTGGTTGTAGTGGTTATTCCGATTACTAAGATAAAAAGAAATGTTTCGAGGCAGGAATGTAAGATTATATCACCAAACCTGTCAACGAAACAGAACTTTAAGAAATACTCAAGAAATATTTATGAATAAATATTATTATTATTATTTCTAATCGTTTTTTAGATAACCCACTATGTGAAATCATCTTTCATATAATTCACTTGATCCACCATAACGAGCTTAGATATCCCAAAAGATATTTTAAAGTGCTTATGTTAATGACAATGGTCTAACACATAAATCATCAATAGTTTTAGATCCAGGTTAAACTACCATATCATCTCCATGTTTTAAGATATAATCAATATTGAAATACTTCCAATTTGGAATATATTAAGCTATTAATATATATATATATTTACCAATTTTTAATAATAATTGTTTATCAATATGAGCTAATTTTGGTGGCCTTTATACAATATTATGAAACATCTCATAACATTCTAACAAAGTATAAACATGAGGACCTCCCAATTCATATGTTTATCCTATTGTTTCTGGCATTTTTAAAGCATTTAACATTGCTTATGCTACATCTTGAACAAAAATCTAATTATTTATACATTCATACAGGTTGTCTTTTTGCTTAACAATTATCTGGTACAATATTAAAATTATGGAAGTATCTCTTTTAAACCTACCAATGATAAGCAAAATCATCATTATCTCCAACCATTACACTTGGTCTGAATATAGTAGCATTTGGAAAAGCATTTAATACCTATTCTAATATTATGATTTACTTCTTATTCTCCTATATATTTAGTTTATAAATCTAAAGATTCAGCATGAGGATTTGCACCACAAGCAGAAAAATGAATTAATCTTATTACTCCTGGATTTTTAGCACATGCTTCAGCTATTCTTTTTGGTACTGTTATATTAATCCATTCAAAATCCTTTCTATTCTTTAAATGTTTTCTTGGACCAAGTAAATTAACAACAACATTTGAATTTTTCATTGTCCATTCTATCATCTCTTTATTATCATAATTCATATCATGTAATAACCAATTTTAACCAGGTCCTGAAGTTGTCTTTAATTCTCTTACATGATCTTCATAATTATATCTTCATCTAAATTTAATCCTTACTAGTGATTGTGAGGAAATATTAATTCTGATCCTATATTTCCAAGCATACCACCCATATAAATGCCTGAAAAACTCGTACCTCCATGAATTGTAGCTCTGATTCCAGATGGAGTATGTTTACCACCCTTATCAAAAATGTGCAATTTTGGTCTTGACAATACTCCAAAGTTGAATCTCAATACCTTTTGCATTATTAATAATATATTTATTTTTTAACAACATAATAAAATACCAATTCATTAAAAAAAAATATGCCTTTGGTGGGGGTCGATCCCACGACCTCGAGATTATGAGACTCGCGCTCTAACCAACTGAGCTACAAGGGCATCTCTGATATATCTCCACTGAAATTCAAGATATACACTTTATTATTAATACATAATTCAAATTAAATTAATATCAAAACTTTATTAATTACTTCTTCTTTAAAACACACAGTTTATTAATATAACTTTGAAATATTAAGGATTTAGCTTTATATTTTTTGTTTTTATATCAAATTTAATTCATCTTAAGTTATCTTTGATATAAATACACTAAAGATGATACATCATTTAAATCTAATTTGTTAATAAAAATCTTAGTGAAATTCACAATTTTGTTTATTATTTGATATTATTATTAAATATGTATTTAATATTCTTTTCGCTACTATTTTTATCATATTGTCAAGATCCTACAGTTTTTAAGGCATCTGACAAGGTCTCTTATATAATCAAAGATAGATTAAAGCGACCAGCCGACTTGCTTTTCTTTACAGAAGGTCTAGCATTTATTGCAGATGATATGTTATTGGAGAGCACAGGTTTATATGGAGATTCTGAGATACATTATATTGATAATGTTTTTGATAAATAGAACATTGAACTAAAATCACGATAGCCTATCGGAAAATAATATTTTGGTGAAGGATGTTCAAAAATATAAAACAAAAACGGAAAAGATGAAATCTATATGTTGACTTGGAAAGAGAGAAAAGCATTTCTATTGAATAGCAATTTGTAGTTAGTTTAAGAATTAGAAATACCAGGAGAAATCTAAGAAGGATGGGGAATGACTACTTATAAGAACAATGAAGGTGAAGAGATGTTGTTAATTTCTGATGGAACTAACAGATTGTACCATGTAGACCCAAGCGACTTTAAAGTGAAGAAAACTGTAAGTGTTCGTTTGGAGAATGGAAATGATCTTAATAAATTAAATGAGTTAGAAATTATAGGAGATGGAACAGTTTTAGCAAACATTTATGAAACTCCTTTAATTGCTTAAATAGATCCACATGATGGAAGGTTAATTGACATTCTTGACTTTACTGCATTGATCTAAGATGTAGAAAGTGTGAAGGGAAAAGGATATGCTGACCCTATGTTTAACAAGGTTCTAAATGGGATAGCCTATAGAAGTGGCAATTTAATATTAAGTGGTAAACAATGGCCGTATTTTTATTAAATTGAATTATAATCATAATAATAATCATGAATTCTTAAAATCCTTAATAATATCTTTATACAATCCCATTATTCCAATTCCAACTAATCATCAAATCTAATAATTCAATTCCAAATTAAGAACCATTAACAACTTCAAGAAAACTCCAATATGTTTAAAACAAATAAATTTATAGTAATCTCTAATAACCAAAAAGCTAGTAAGATTAATGAGTATAAACAAAATAAAGTTAAAAATAAATAAGATGTAATATAAATCTGAAACGATCAACAGATGACAAATAGTATTTTAAGCTTTAATGGATTTTACAAAGAGTAAATGGAAGGATATAATTTTTATTATACTAACTCTGATCATCTAACTGTGGCATTATTTCATTTTAAAATTAAAGGGATAGCTTTTCCAGTCTATTTATTTTGAGGACTATTCATAAGAGAAGCCTAATTACAATATATATAATTAGATGGACTTTGTCTGAAATAATAATTGTAATTGGAGTATTAGATTTTTTGGTGACAAAGAACATCACTGGAAGATTATATAGGTAGGACTGAGATGATGGGAATAAATAGATGAGGAATCAAGATTTCTCATTTTAATTGAATTTTCAATTAATAAATTTTTATTTCTATTTCTAATGTTCAAGGGGTATTATTCTTTTTGGTTTATAAATTATTAGTTGCAAAATTAAGAGCAAAAAAATTAGCAAAAGTGTTTGGAGCAGAAATTATAAAAAAATGATGAATCAATTAAACTATGAGAGTACCTAAAATGAAGGGATTGTGTATTATTTTTTTATAAGTTTTTTTTTATTTTATCATTTAATTGTTTTTATGTAAAGGCCATTAACTAGTATCACATCATCTTAATAATAATCAAAACTCTATGACAATAGTAGTACTTCTTTTAGAATTAAGGAAAATAAGAAAAATAGGTAATTGATTTATGTATGATTATAAGATAAATGCCATAATAAATGCTTTATGATAAAGAGGGATTGTATGAAGAAAATTTGAAGTTGAAAAAAGAATTGTAATAAGTGAAATTTGAATTAAAGAAAGAGAGATAGGAACATGCCAATTTTGAGAAATAAGTGTAGAAAACAAATGAAACTTAAAAAGATGTAATTATGTGATCATTTAGACAGTTTCAAGTAATCTTATCTTAGAGAGCAAGAATCAAGGAGTAGGATAAACTAATCAAAGAACTTGAGGATTAAGTTTTTCAGTTGAAACGTAATCCAGAAAGGACTAAGAACAAAGAATTAGAAGCAGAATTAGAAGAATAAAAAGAAGCATATTAAAAATTATAGTTATACATTAGTAGCAAATGTAATTAAGATGCAAATGAAACAGTGATGATAAATTAATCACTTAAGGATCAAATTCAAATTAATTTAGTTTAGGCCTACAAATAAGATAACTTGAATTTATCTTAAATGATTCTTAGTTTATAATAGGAAAATCATGGTTTATAATAGAATTTATTATAAATTAAGAATGATAAGGATAGATTAACAAATAGATTGAAGGAATTAGAGAAACAATTCGATTCTGTTAATAAACATATGATGTATATGAGATAAGAGATGTAAAATACTAAAAAGTAAACTCCATCTGAAGATTATTTAAAAAAGATAGATGAATAGTAATAATAGGTCTAAAATTAAGCAAAATAATTATAATAAAATAAAAAACTAATAGAAGAATTAGAGTAAAAAAATGGAGAATTATAACATAATTATGATGTATTCAAATCAATGGAAAATAAAGAAAAGGAAAAATTATAAGATAGAATTAATATGCTAAAAAAGTAAATTGAAGAATTGAATTAAAAGAGAGATGATTAAGAGTAATCTTAAGAAGGTTCTCTTTAATCAATTGGTCTTAAATAAGCAATGACAATTTATGGTAGTCCTAGAAGTAATAATAGTCCTTAGAAATTACAATTATAAATGGGTTTTACAAATAAAAAATAATGTTTAAAAGTAAATTCTTATGACATTAAAGAAATCATTAGCAATTTAAAAATAAAATTATTAAGCAATAATATTGATTATGAAACATAAGAATAAATTTTATGTGAAGATGATGATGAGTTTTTAACTTTAGAGGAAACACAATTTCGATTATAGAAAGCACCTTTTGAATTAAATGAAGATGAGTCAAGTTTATTAGCTAGATATTTAATTGAAGATAACACAGAAGATCATATTCTATATGATAAATAGAGAACATAAACTAAAATTATAATAAAATCTGTATATAAGAAATTATTGGGAGAATTTAATTTATTTGATGAATTAGAAAAATAATAAATGTATGAATATTTTTGTTAATTGTTTCATAAATATAATTAAGGAATGGAATCTGCAATTAAATAATTTAACATGAAAAAAAAGTATTTGGGAAATAATTAATGTGAATATGAAGATTTTAATGTAATTCCAAATATGTAATATAGGAAGCATTAAAATATTGTGATATCCTTTTAACTTCCAGACAGAGATTATATTTAGAATTAGAAATATTTTCTGATTCTTAACAATTACAGCGATTTAATTTTTAGACTCTATTTTCAAAGTTTAAATTAAAGGTTCCTGATTTAGATAATAGTATTAATTGAATTAATTTTTCATTTTAATTTATGGACACAACTATTTTAGAAGCAATTAAACAACTTCCTCCAAAATAATAAACAACAGCTATTGCAATCTAGCATCATCTTAACAAATGGGCTGATTCAGAGAAACAAGTTTCCAAGAAAGTACGATAACTCTAAACAGAGTATTTAAGAAGTGTTATTCCATTATAAAATGAAATTAATGCCATTATCAAAGGTCTTAGAGCTCCTACAGAAGATGAAATTAAAGATGCAAATACATATTAAATAGAAATCAAAGATGTTTAAGCATCACAACTCTAAAATTATTGGGGATAAGTTTTAATGAATAATAGTTTGACAGGAAAATTAATCTCAGAAGCAGATAGAGAAATATTTAGACATTTATTATCTTTAAATGTTGAATTAGGAGAAAATGGCAAAGATTTTACATTAAAATTTGAGTTTGAAGATAATGATCATTTTGATGCATGCATTTTAACTAAATCATATATTTTTGAAGATTCTGAAGATGAATTACCATCTAAATAAAAAGGATCTCAAATTAAATGGAAAGAAGGTAAAAATATCACAAAGAAGATTGTTAAGCGTAAATAAAAAAATAAGAAAACTGGATAAACAAGAGATATTGAAAAAGAAGAAAAAGCTCCAACATTTTTCCATTTCTTTGAAGAAGTAGATTAAATTAACAATGAAGATGAATAAATTGAGAGATAACAATTTGACTATGAATTAGGATCTTAATTTGTAAATTAAATCATTCCAAAAGCTTTATTCACATATTTAGGATTAAAGGTTGATGATGAGGATGATGATTTTGAAGGAGATGAAGATGAATCTGAAGGTGAAGAGGAATCTTTAGAAGATGATTGAATTATATTATGTTAATAATAAATTTATATAAAATTATTTCTATTTTTTCCAAATTATGAGCCAATATATTTTTAGGATAATGGAAATATTTTTAGAAGTTTTTACTATTGATATAAAAAGATAATTCATATGAATGAGACATTTTTTTAGATTTCAATATAAAAATTTGAGACAAACCTTTTTATCTTATTTTTTTTAACATAATAAGCTCGGAATATACTCAATAAAGGCAATATAGTATTTCATAGCATATATTTGAGGATATTCTTATTATATACATTTAATAGAAATCATTGTCTGTTTAGAATAAAAATTTGGATTTTAATATTAATTAATTGATTGAATTAAATAAATAATTTTCTTTAAATATAATTTTCCCTTTTAAAGGCATTATTAAATTAATTCTGTAAAAGAAATTTATTTTTGTATTCATTTATTAATTTCATTTCCAATAACAATTTCGTGTGAGACACTTTATACAAAAGGTTATGAAAATAATTTAAACAATTTATTTCTTTTTATTTAAACGAATAAATACTATTTATTTAAAATGATATACACTATTAATATAAAATATGTTAAATCTAAATTTGAGTATTTCAAATAACAATAAAATTTCATTTATATTCTTTAAACTCTCTAAATTAAGAATATTTAATAATTAATTTTTATATTAAATATGGGCAGCCATATAACAACTGTAAAAATGAATTCCTTCAGAAAAAACACTAGTCCTTTATTGAATGTAACTCTATCTAAATTGAGGGATTATCATGCTTCTTTTAAATCAATCTGTGACAACTTCTCAATGGATTTGTCAGAATTTGAACATATATTTGGAGCTAGTGAAAGTGCTTTTGTTATTTGGGATACAGATAATAATGGTTTAATAGATAGTTTAGAATTATTTAGTGGTATTTGTATATTTAGTGATACAAAATTTGATGATAAGATTAGATGTATTATTCATAAAATAATTTATAGTTCTGTTTGATTTGTTTGATTTCAATGAATTAGAATCTTTATCACCTACTGATATTGAATTTATGATTTATTGTTGCATGAGTGCCACTTTTAAAATATATTCAATATCAAGTGAAATCAATAATGAAGAATTGACTGTTTTTGCCACTAAATATTTTGAAAAGGAGAATAGATTAACTGTGGTTGAATTAATCAAGTATATATTTAAGATATGGCAGAGCATCTAAGAATTCCCCTGAAGTAAATGACTTTTTCTAAATTATCAAGAAAGATTTAATCGAGAAAGTTGATGATGTAAAAATTCAATAATAACAATAATAATAATAGTTTTGATATAAAGTATACTTATAAAATCATATACAGTATTTCACTATCATCATTTCTTAAATACACATAATAAAATATGTTTCAATTCTTAAATATTTAAAGGTTTAGCCAATACTTCTTGCATACCTGCTTTCAAACAATTATCAATATCTTTTTAACCAGTGAATGCTGTTAATCCAATAATAGCAATTTATGGAATTTAAGATTTATTCATCATATTAATTAATTATTTTGTTGCTTCAATTCCATTCATAATAGGCATCTAATAATCCATGAGAATTAAAGACAGTAGATTACATGATGGACAACATTTTTATAATCCTTATACTACTTAAATTGCTTATAAACCATTAAAAGCTAACACAACTTCAAATCCCATCTTGGATATTAAGACTTATAAAGACTTTTAATTAAAAATTTCATCATCTACACTTAAAATCCTCATACAATTACATTTTTTTAGACTATTTAATCCAGTCATAAAAAGTTCACTCTCTCTTTCCTCTAATTATTTAATTTACCTTAAATTAATAACTTTAGAAGATTTATCCTTCAATTTGTTATAAACATTATTAATATCTGTTATCAAAAATGGATTTAAACTTTCTAAATCATCTAATCTCCTTTCTAAATAATCATCATTACTTTCAGAATAGAATGAATCATTTTAAGATTTTTTAGAAGGATATTGTGCATATTAAGTCTTAATTTAAGTACTTGTTATATGAAATTCAGTTGCTTTTACTACAGTACCCATAACATTAAAAAGAGAACTATTAACTTATAATTATTGAGAACCTGATATTTTGAATTGACTTGATGCACTTCCAAAATTCATAAAATTAGAAGTACTATTTTTGATATTTTATTGGGATGCAGGGACTCGAAAAAAGTTTTTTATACAAAATGAAATTAATGTTCCTTTGTTTTCCCCTTCTGACTTAATATCGAAAAAGTTCATATCGGGAGGAGCAAGATATTATAAAATGATTGAAGAAATCAATAGACCTAAACCATGCCAATCTTTAACAAATTCTTTATTTTTATCCACATTCTTTCTGATATCTTATAATTTTTATAATAGATTTTATTGAATACCTATTCCTTAATCTGCTATTTCAAATAATATATTCGAATTAGGTTATGATATAAGTTTAAGAATGCAACCTCCTTTAAATGAATATTTTAAGGAATTTTATATAAGATTAATCAAAATCTATAGAAGTTTCTTATAATCAGTACAAAATGAATTTAACTAATTTTCTTTTAAATCAACATGAAATGCTAATTGTTTAGTATTGAATTGATAATAAAACATTGAACTAATTTCTGTTATAAGTTCAGAAATGGTAAATTCTCTGAGTTTTATTTTTATGTGATCTTAATAAAAAGAAGAAAAGTCAATGATGTCATTTATCAGATATTGTTGTATTTTTAAAGAATTAATAGCTGGTTCTATTAAATTATCCTTTACTTACTGAGGTATCTTTTATTCTTACAAAGAAGATGATAAAAAGTTCAATGCACTATTTAAGGGAGTTCTGAGTTCATGAGAGAATGATTAAAGTATCTAGATATATATAGAATTTTACTTTAGATTTGAAATCATTAATAAGTATACTTTTTTACATTTCATTTTATCCTGAAACATCATTCAAAAAAATTAATAATTCATTATCTTTTTCATTTTAGACAATTTAACCAAATAATTATAGGTATTATCCATCCTCTAAATGTTATCTGCATGAAATTTCATAATAACCAGAATGATGAAGATTAAGAAAAGAGGATTGAATTTTACTCTTAAAGTTCAAAACTATTTCATTCAAAGATTAATAACCTACAGGAATATCTTATAATGTTTCTTAATTTTTCTAATTACAATTATTAAACGTCACAGTGTGAGGTCTTCTTATTTAATTGATGAATTAATTAATAGATGAAACATCTTATTCCTCAAGATTACTACTGGAAACATGAAAACTCAAATGATACATTACTAAATTTTCTAATTCTTTCTCTGTTTTATTATAAGAGGAGAAGAAATTATAAAAAGACTAGTTTTTATGGACAATTTACCAATTTTGCATTGAAATGATGATGACAATAATTGGAATTGTTTGCATTCTATTCTTCCATATCTCATCATTTTATTTTTCTATTTGACAACAAGATGAAATATTCTAATTTGGAATAACATATGTTGCATCCTATTATTTTTTAGTTTAAGCATTTTTGTAAAGCAAATCTTTAACTATTTATAACAACAAAATGGAAATCATAACCATTATGAATAAGAGATTTCCATTGATGCATACAACGATAAGTGAACTCAATTTTATAATTGTTTATTCTAATGCATTGATAGGATTGGGTTCTTGAGTCAAACTATCAATCAAGAAAGCAATGATAATTAGGTTTTCTTAATCTAAGAACAATAAGACCACTAAACTAATCAATTTACTCAATAAGATCATTGTAAAGGTCCATGTTTATTTAATTTTAGATGTCTTGATGAATATTATAATAGTTATTATGCTGTTATAAGATATGCTGCAAAGCATTAATGGTAATTATGTTTGTTCAATTCCTAATAGAACTGAATATATTATGATGAGTAAAACACAGAAACAAATCGATATATATTATTATTATAGTTGTCTAGATTTCTTTTCTTCATCATCTATAATTTCTATTTGAGGATATTTAAACTAGTTGCCATTCATCTGAATTTTGAATTATTTTATATAATACTTTTGCTTAAATTAATAATAATGCAAGCTATTATTGAAACTAAGACTTGATATCACAATAATTGTTTAGAAAAGCAAAATCTCAAATTCTTAACTACTCCCTCTCCTTACATTTGCATTATATATTTAATTAAAACCTTATAAAGGATTAATTAATAACCCAAAATGTGGTTCATTCTATAATTCCTATAATTTCAGATGATTATATCATTAGAAACTGTGATTCAAATATCGGAAAATGCTAAAAGTTGGTCGGAAGTATAAATGAGTTCTCCCAACAATACTTATATACTAAATATAGCGAATACAGTAACCTATCCCTATTATGCCATAAATGTTGAACTGCACAAGCAAGATGACACATTTTCATTGCATTATGGAATTGGTAAACCTCCTGAATTTAGTTTAAATTTATCTGAAATTACAGAAGTGTAAGGATTTGATATATATGGGTATTGCAACTATATGAATATTTTATAGGTATCTAGAAAATAGATTTACACACTTCATCTTGTTGTCAAGCTAAGATTTCCACAAGGGATAAGTTTATATATCTACTTCTTCAGAATGGACTTAAAATTACAATATTACAGTTACTGCCACTTACGATAAACTATGTCCAAACAACTGCAACAACCAAGGCAGTTGCTAAGTATTCAATAAATTCACTATTTAGGATGGAAAATGTTTATGCAACAAATATTATATAGGAAATGATTGTCATTAACAAGCAACTTATATAGAATAAAATAAAGAGATATTTCTTAATTTAGAGAACACTGTTAAATATGCTTATGTCGATTTAGAAGAAAGTGTAAACCAAACCATGAGTTTAATAGTTAAAGTATTTGAAATAATGTAATTTAGACTAACAGTTCTGAAGGAGTTGATTTGTATATAATGAAAACTAGAGTTCTTTACATACCTGCATTAGAAGATCTGAATAGAAAATATTATGATCTATTAGTAGAAGGCAATGAAGTTTCATATTTGTATCCTATAGAATTTGGATTAAAAGACAGAAATGATATTAGTACTCAAATACAAAAAAGAATTAGATTTATATTCAAATAGAAGTCTCTAGTAGAATAAAATATTTAACTTTCATTGGATCTAATTAATCAAAGAACATAAAATACAATATCAACTACTACAGTAATAATAATAGTTGCCTCAATAGCTGGTATAATAATGATTTTAAGTTTATCATTTGCAATTGGCAAATACTTCAGAAATAAGAAAATTAAAGAAACCTTAGCTGCTTTAGCAATGATAAGATAGATGCAGCATGAAAAAAAATATAGTGCAAAAAGCTTCGATGATGAAATCTTAGAATAATTACCTTAGATTGAAAAAGATAATATCAAAAATACAGATGTATGTCCTATTTGCCTCGATCTTTACATTAATAAACCAGATCTCAGATCTACTAAATGCAAGTATTTTATTTAATTATCTTAGACATTTATTCCATAGAGAATGTATACTCTCTTGGATATATATAAATAAGAATTGTCCAACCTGCAGATGTGATCTAAAAATACATATGAATCATCACAGAAACTAATAGCAGTGACGAATATTGTAATAAATAGATTTCATTAATCTATGAGTGCAAAATTCTTTAAATTTATCATTTATTATATCATAATTCATTAATGGGCCTTCGAAATTCTAAGGATAATAAAATATCTTAGGAAGAAACAAACACTTAATACTCGTCTCCTAATAGTATAAATGTTTTAATCTTTAAAGCTAGCAGTAGAGGTGATATTTCAGTTGAAAATTAAAAATCCAATCCTTCTAAGTTCAAAAAAGGTACTTACACTAATCAAACTTTAGTTATTTCTTTAATAAAGCAAACCAACTATAATGAGGCTTTAAAATATTTAGAAAATACTGAGGATTTAAATTCAGAATCTGCCGATTATCATTATTGGAAGGGTAATCTCTTAAAATTACTTTCAGGTTTGGCTTATCTAGGATTAAACGATCTTCAAAAAGCTTAAGAATGTTGTGAATAAGCAATTAAATATGATTCAACTCATAAATTAGCTTTGGCAGAAATAGGTTAAAAAAGAGATTTATCGATTTTAGGGAATATTTATATATTGACTAAAAAATATGAGGAGGCTCATTAAATATTTATGGAACTTTTAAAACTTGACCAGAAATCCTTTGAAGCTCATTTGGGATTAGGCTTTGTTCGAACATAAATCAATGACTTTAAAACAGCATAAGAGCATTATGAATCTGCTTTGAATTCTGGTATAGAAGAGAAAATAACCTCTCTGAATTATGGTATAAAGGTTTATAAAATAATTTAGGACATATGTTGTTTAAATAAAAAAACTATGAGATGGCATTGAAATTTTATACAAAATCATTAGCAATTGATAATGAATATTTAAGTGCATTTTAAGCTATTGGAAACTTATATTTTAAATAACAAAAATACAATGAATTATTAGAGTTATGTGAATAATATAACAATAATTAATCTTGGAAAATTCATATATTATTACTAAAATGTATAATATAACTGTTATTTAAATAGGTTCAGCCTACTTTGGGTTAGAGTAGTATGATAAAGCATAACAAGCATGTGAGATGATCTTATTGGAGGATTAAAATAATCTCGAAGCTCTTTATAGTATTGCAAAGTGTCTAAAAGCATAAGGCAAGAATTCGTAAGCTCTAAATTATATAGAGAAAATTCTGAAACTTTCACCAAAAAATAAGAAATTCTTAAATTTAAAGGCAAGTCTTTTAATATTATTATAACGATATTAGCAAGCATTATAAACTTGTGATGATCTATTCGAATTGGATGCAAATGATTCTTACTCATTTTATATAAGAGGCTTGGCATATATGAATATGAAAGCTTTTGGTAATGCAATTGATGATTTTGAGAGAGCATTAAATTTTGAACTTCATCATACTTTTAATTAAAAAGTATATTAATCTAAAAGTATTTATATTGATATTAAATTTTAAAGTTAAATGTCATTTAGAATTTTAATAATTCCAATAAATTCAAGATTGCTACGATTTTCTACTAGCTTTGACTAATAATGATTAAGATAAAATTAAAATTCTTATAGAAAAGGGATATTATTATTTATTGGCTAAAGATATTGAAAATGCTGAATTAAATTTTAATAAAGCATTAAAATACTAAATTAATCAAATGGAAACATAAATTAAGATTGCTAATTGTTTTAGAGATACAAAGTATTTTAAATAAGCTCTAATGTTATATGATAAATTAATCTAAGCAAATTCAAAATTTCCAAATGCTTATATTGAAAAGGCTGTATTAATGGATTTATAATAAAATAATTCTTAAACAATTCATTTATGTAACAGAGCTATTGATCTATATAAAAGCTAAGCCAAACCATATATGTTAAGAGGAAAAGCCAAAATGTAAACTCAATAATATGATGAAGCTTTAAATGACTTTGAGTAAGTAATTAAATTAGAACCAAATAATCATCAAGCACTTTTTGAATGTGGCTAGGCTTAATACTTGTAGAGTAATTTTGATAAAGCAAGTGAAATGTTTGAGAAAGCTCTAATAATTGCACCTGAAATAGAATAATATCATATCAAGAGGGCAATTTCTCTTTCATTACAAGATTTTGATAAAGAAGCAATAGAGTATTTAAAGGATGCTATTAATTAATTTCCACAGTTTGAGGATTGTTAAAATCTAATAGAAAGTTTAGAAGCAAAACCAAAGCATGTTAGAGAATATGCAAATGTATTTGTTTATTTGATAGTAATGTTCTTTGAAATTGCTGAATAATTATCTAAATAAGAATCATTGGTACCTACTATTGAAATAAATTAAATTATTTAATTGATGAATATTAAAATGAAAGAGAATTTCCCAAAAATATCAAATCTATTTGAAATAGTTCGATATTTTATTTTAAATAAGTTTGACTGTGAAGTTAAAATTAGTAATGAATAAATCGTCAGAATTATATTATCTATTTATCAAACCAAATATCATCCTGATAATGGTACAAAAGTAGTTATGATAATGGATATGATAGAATTAGGTAAAAAGATAGCAAGATTAAAAGATAGATAAATTAAAGCAGGTATAAAATTAGAGAATTAAAGAATTCAATCAGAATTTTTGAAATTCATAACAAAATCTAGTAATTCGATCTTTATCTCATCTGCAGCGGGATTTGCTATAAAAGATTCAATATAAGTTCTCCTATTTTTAATATTAAACTATAAAACTATAAATTCTGATTTAATAAATCTCAAGAACTCAATATATAGTTATGTAAAAAATGGGGTTTTAGATAACTTAAAGCCTAAATGATATATTATAACTTTTAATTAGTATTATATTTATTATTTAATTAATAATATTTAATATGGATTGAATCTGAATGTTATAATTCGTTTAAAAACTTTAAATATTTAAAATAACAATTTTTGAAGATAAAATAAAGAATTTTATATAAAATCATCCCAATTTTGAAATTTGATGAGTTTTTTAACTTATAATTTCTATCCATGTCGACCCTATTTCTTCTGGTTAGATAGAAGGTTGGATTTGAGCATCTGCAAAATCTTTTTTAAAGAAAGCAACTATTTGTTCAAGTGATTGAGGAGGACATTCGTCCAAACAGCATGCATTAAGTTCTATTTTTTGTTTTTGTTTTGGACTTAATGATTCAAATCTATTTAATGCAGTTTAAGGATAACCTGCTCCTCCATCTGTATAAAAGAACATAGAATGCCTAGAGTTACATATAAATAAATTACCTATGGAAATTATCAAAATTAGGTCTTTAGATAATTTTTTCATACGCAATATTGAATGGTTCATCAAAATCTGTTCCACCACCCTCATATATTATTTTTGATTCTTGCTTTTTTGGATTAATAACTTCAAAATCAACTACAACTCTTGCTTCGCTGTTGAACATTATAATTGTGACTCTGGAATCTTTATTTCTGTATTTTTGAAGAACTGAAAGAAAATCTATTACACCTTATTTTCCATTATCAAAACTACTCCCGCTCATGGAACCAGAGTCATCAAACATAATAACATAATGTATTGGTTTCGGAGCTCTTTGAGTTTATTCTTTATCAAAGATTTCTTGTGTAATAAATTGAATTTCCTTTCCAATCTCTTGTGTTAATGATTTACATATAACTTGTCCAACATTTAAATTCCAAATATTAGTAAACTTTTACTTCAAAAATACTCTTTTTTCTGTAACATCTATGTAAGAGAATAACCAATCATTATAAATATCTTTGATATCTCCCCAATATTTTATAGATTTAGTTTCCATAATCTACACTGTACAATAATCTTAAATTTCTTCACAAGTAAATAATGAAGGATTGCAACCTACCAATACTCCACTCATTCCTAAAATTAATATTATTGTATATTACCTCTCAGTTAATGTCCATTTCTACATTAATGTTTGTGATTGCTATCAAACTATAAGTCGCACTTTCTTTTACAAAAAGGGCAGGATTCTTCACACCCAATCTATTTTACTTACAAGGCATCTAAATAAGATTGAATATCTAATTTATCAAAATCAATATCTAATTAATCCAATCCTTTCATCTCATCTTAGATTTTCTAATTAAAAGATTGCATAAAATCATATAAGATTTAAATTTCTTCATCTAATTTATTTTATAGAGAATTTTTTAAAATGAAAGTAAATTTATGGCAACCTTAAATCTAAAATCCTTGTATCATGTTAGGTTTAATTAAATTTACTAAATTTTTATCTAAAGCTCCTTAAATACAATCCATAACTATTTTATATAATAAGTTGGGAGCTTCATCTGGATTTATTTGTTATACAAAATAATCATTGGCAACCAAATTTTGTTGAAAATCATTTAATTTTTTTGTATTTTTTAAAATCTGTTCTAAATAGAATTTCATTTCACCCTTTAATTTCTTAGTAAATTTTTATTAAATTTCAGATTTAATTTAAACTAGATTTTATCTTACATAAATCTTAATATAAGCAGCATGATTTCTAATGTATTCTAACATCTCATTATTTGTTATACTATTATTCTACTTCTGAAGAATTTCTGTATCAAGCCTTTTTATTAAATCGTAACTTGTTTCTTTATCATAATAAGCAATTTCTCCTTTTACTTCTTTTGCATAACTTTAATATAATTTTTAGTATAATATTTTAAGTATCTCAGTTGCTTATTATTTACCTCTAATTTGACTTTGCTCTTACTTATTTTAAAGCAAGTCTGCTTTGAATTTGATAAATAGATGTTATTCTAGATTTTTAAATTCTTTTTCATCATTTTTCTTCTTTTATTCCCAATATTTAAAGCATAATATTCTCCAAATCTTAAAGATTGCATAATTAAAAATGCATTTTTCTCCAATTTCGCTTAATAAAACACCAAATAAAGAAAATTATTTATTGAATTCTTTAATTTAAATTTCAAGTTTTTGTATCAATCTTATAATTAGACCTCCAAAATTATTTTATGATGCTGTAACAGTATTATTAACTAACATATCATCATATACTATTGAATGAATCTGTTCATACATAATCTTCCAACTATCTTGTTAATTATCATTCATTAATTCTTATATTATATCAATAATTTAAGAATTAAATTTTGTTTCTAAATCTTTTTATTGATTCATAATATAAATGAAAATGTCTATTTAATGTAAGTATTTAAATTATTCTTAAACATATATTGTTGGTTTTGATTCAATCAAATAATAATCTTTTTATTTTTCATGATCTATTTCAGAATAATCATTAACTTCAATAACTTCAAATTGTTTCAAACATTAAGTTAATTATTAGTAATGTTAAGACATTTTACTAATAGAATCTTCATTTAAAATGATTTAATTTCCTTATTTCTGAATAGGCTTAAAACATTCAAACAAGAATTCTTGTTTTTCTTAATCTGTTATATCATTCTAAATTGCTTAACATAATTAATCAACTTTCTCATTATCTATCTCATAATCAAAGATTGTAAATTTTACCAAGAATTATTGAATCTACTATTTATCATTATTTATAATTTCTCTTTTGAAATCTTTTAGCATGCCTCCTGAATTCATGTAGAATTCTATAATAGATTTATGAATTTATTTAATGTTAATTTTTCTTTCATAAAATTTTTTCAACTGTAAAAGGGGCTTATTAAAACACATCTCTAGTTTGTTTTCAATATTTAAGTTGAAATTCTCTTAAAATTATTTTTTATCAGTTTTTTTAAGGACTTTGAATTAGGTTTTCAATAATTCTGGTTAAAGTATTTAGTATTAATAATTAAAATCCTATTCATTTGGTTAGTTTTCAATGATGTTGTAAAGAAAGACTTATTTATAAAATCCATTGATTTATAATGAATAATCTTTAAACTAAGATTGAATATTCTCTAATAGCATGTGGCAATAATCATTAAACTAAGCATCATCTTATTCTTTTTTAATTTATTTTTAAATATTTATAATTTATCTAAATAAAACTTCAATATTTGCAGGTTTTTCTCTTAATTCTTTTAATTTATTAGGATCTTATAATAATTCTTTTATATTTTGCTGAATGACATTGTTAAATTAAGATTTATAAATATTCTCTTAATATTTTTGAATTTCTAAATAAATAGCAAGGTTGCATGCTGATTGCTCACTTTTTTTTAAATCTTAAATTTTTGCTTAATATTTTTTTTCAATTTAACTTTTTATTTTATTTTCATGTGAAAAGGTTGATAATTGATCAAAATAGTAATTCATCGCTTATTCAAATTGAAAATTTGCTTACTAGATTTATTCTTCTTTAATTCTTTATAATATATCAGAGGTAATTTCCTCAATATTTTATTCAATATATTCTTGGATATTTTTAAGAAAAACAGATTTATCTGGAAAGACATTGTTCATCAATATTTCTGTAGTTTTTTCCCTCATAATTTCATCTTATTAAAGCTCCTTTTCTTCTTGATCATGGTCATCCTTTTCTAAGATATTATCAATTATTTAAAGTGTCTCTTTATATTGTTTTTCAACATTTTCAATCATTTCAATTACGTTTTCCTTGCTTTTCTATAATACTTTCGGTGATATTGGTTTTTAAAATTATATTGTTTCAATGCTGTTTATAGTTTAATTAATTTTTTCATATTGTTAATTTATTTACTATTGCATTTAATCTACAATTTTTTGTTTGTCTTAAATTAAGCCATCATCTATTTATTAAATCAATTCATTTTATTCTGGAAATTTCATTTCATTTAACTTTTCACTAATTTAATCCTTTACATAATCATGTTATATTATGTGTTTTAATTTTTTAAATTCAAATATATCATTCATATTTTAGATTTAGGACCAAAGATGCTCTAAATTTATTTAAATTAAATTATTTTCACTATTACTTATACAGTCATAAACATCCTTAACCCTATCTTTACTATCCATATAAAAAAAGTCATCATTTGATTTAAGTCGCTCCTCATTCTAAATTATTATAGTATCGAACATATTTCTATTTTTGTTATCAATATCCAGAATTTAATCATAATATTAAGCTTTTTTATAATTATATTTATAACTAAATTCTAATTACAAATTATCCTTAATACTTTAAAATAGATTTTACTAGAAAGTTTTATAATTATTATACCACCAAATTAACTTTTTGGGATAATTTCCTAATTATGCCATATAATATAAATTTTTTTCTATGAATTTTTTAAATTCTGTTTTGATATCTCCTTCAGCATTTATAATTATAATATCACTAATAGATTAAATGAATAGGCCTATTTTATTATTAATTCTAGAATGATCTTAATTTTGATCGTGTAATACTAAAGAATCTAATAAGATTACATATTTATAGTCTTCAAGGAGGTTTTTATTCTAAATTTATAATAATTGAAAGCTAAATTTATCTGCATAAGTTCGTCTTTAAACCTTACATCCAAAAATCTTATTTAAAATTTTAGAGTTCCCTGACCCTGACTACCCTACAATACTTAAAAATAATGTTTTTCCTTATGATTTTTATTTGGCTTTTGTCAGTATATCATCTAAAAAATCTAATTAAACTCGAAATGATTCGGTATCTTAAAATTCATAAGGTTCACCTAAAAAAATTAGCTCCTCAATTTTTTAGTTTATATCATCAGATAAATATTCATACGTGTTTTTAACCTATTTCAATAATTACCAAATTGAAAAATATATCTTTTAAAAATTATCTTAATTAAATTTTTACAGTATATCTACTACTTTATGATACAAAATATAAAAATTTGGATGCTATATTAAACTATAAAAAGAATCTATGACCCGAGATTGGTCTAATTATTGATTTAATTTATCTAACTCATACTCAAATTAAAACAAGATTTCTGAAGCCTATCCAATTTATTAAGATTATTCTTAATCTTAAATATTTATTTAAGACACTAAATTTTAATATTCATCAGCATCAACCAAATTATTATTTTTGTTTCTTTCTATCAAAACGTATAAAAATTTGCCCACTTACTAAATTTCATTTTCTATTATATATTTATTTAAATTGACATCAGTTAAATTAGCTACTTATATATATTCAATATTTAGTTCTTTTAATTTCAGTATTTAAGCTTATTCTAATTAAAATGATGAATCTCTTATTAGAAAACATACAGTTTTGTCTTCTAATTAAAATGATTTCAATTATTACAAAACTTATATTGTACTCTCTATTTCTTTTTCTGTATCTAATTAAATAATCCATAATTTAAATAAAGGTAATATTTGATCTAATATCTATAGTGGAATAAACTTATGAGCATCTGCTATTGATAAATTTCGTGTTCCTTGAAATTAATAATCGTACATAATATCTATAGAATTATCATTTAGTTTATTATTGTCTAAAATTTCAAATTTATCTTCTTAATAAAATATTTTATTTATTAATTAAGTTTTGCCTACTCTTCTTTAATCTTATTAAATACTTAAATTTATAATGGTAAAACTTTTTTGGTGGATAAAATATGTATTTTAATTAAATTTATATTTTTCTAAGTCTCCTGTTTTTTCTTCATAAGGAATTTTATAAAGTAAAGGTATAGGTTGCTTTTCACTTATTTTTTTTTGAATTAAATATTATGAATCATTGTTGCAATTATCATAAATTAATTAGAGAAATGATTTTTAATTAAAAACCTCACTTGAGTTATAAATTTCTAAATCATTTATTTGCTTATTTATCATTTCCAAAAATCCAGACACAGACCCCTCTCTTTTAATCCAATTAAGGCCTAACAGTAAAACATCTTTGAAACTTTTTTCACTGTTTATAAAATCATCAGCCTGTTTTTATATTAATTGTAATTGGTCTTGTGGATTTGCTACATTTAAAATTTTATTAAATTCCTCTAAATTTAAATGAAGACCTCTCGGATAGATGGTTAATTATGGCTATTTTTCTAAATTCAGGAAATAATCATAGGATAATTGTTCACACTCAAAATAGTTTAATTTGGAGAAGATCTAATATAATTTGGGATCATTTTTATAAAAGGATTATGCTTCCTATTTTAGTTGATTGTTATTTTTTTAAATCCAATAGTAAACTAATATATAGATTTTATTTAAAATATCTTTGCTTATATGTTTATTTACCAATTCAATTAAAAATTTCAGATTATAGGAATTAAAAATTGGAAATTTTTATTCAAGATTTGTTTTAATTTTTTATTTATCATTATTATTTGAAAGAGAATAAAACAACTTAAATAATATACCAACAGATATAAGATAAGCTTATAATGAGATATTCTATAATCGATTATCCATAAATAATTGAATTATTTCTTCATCCTCTAAATGTTCTAATAAATGATAAAACAAATAAGTAATTGTATCTGAATTTTCAAACTTGCAATTTTGGTTTATTATATTTCTTAAAATCATAATCACGTCTTTTAGTTCTTATTGATATTATATATATCCAATTAGAGAATTAACAATCATGTAATATTATTTTTGTAAGTCTTATTTTACAATATCCCAAAAATCCTTATCAAATAATTGAATCAAAGTAATCATTTCTAAAATATTTGTCTCCTCTTGAATTTTTGAAAATTTATCTAAATAAGGAAAATACTTTATTTTAAAATTCCTTTTTAAGGCAATTCTATATATCCAAAATTAATTAAAATCTATGTTCATCATTTCACATATAATTCTGAAAATAATTTCTAATTATTCTTCATCATATTAATATTTTAGATCAGATAAACCATCTGTAACCTCAATGATACTTTAAGGTACTTAAATTTTGGTTTTTATAAATGTAGCTATTTTTCTCTTATTTTCATCATTTATTTCTGTTAGAAGATTTAAGATTTTTGCATAAGGTTTATTTTATTAACTAATATCCACAATGTGAATTTGTTTATTGAAATAATAAAAATTTGTGTCTATGAAATATTGTAATAGTTACTCATTAGATTTAAAATTTATACCTTTGCCAGAATATTTGTTTAATGTCTGTTAAACTTAATAATTTGCAAAATATTTCTCCAATTAATTATCATAAAATTAGCCATCAGAAAAGTCTTATGTTTAAGAGTTCTATTTGGTTTTTTCTTCAATATAGATATTCAAAAGTTTATTCTTTTCATTTTCATAAAGTCTTTTGTTTTTTTTATATTCCTAATGAAAAACAGACAAGAAATAAAAACAAATTTGATAAAACTGTTTTTATAGTTCAAATTAAATAGGCATTTATTATGTAATAAAATATTCTAAATCTACAAATAGAAAGGTTGTTTCATTTTATTTCAAAGTATTTTTTAATTCCCATTCAATTATTTCTCTTTATCTTTAAGGAGTTTCAAATAAAAATTTTGGAATAATTTGTAAATGTTCTAATTAACTTTAATTATTATCATTCTACATTAATTAATATTAATGATATTCGAATTAAAGCCAACTTTAGTTTATTATTTCTCCTATTAATTATTCAATTTCTTAAGTCTCCTCTTATGTCAAGTTTAAATCATGGGGTAAAAAGAAATAGAAAAGCAAATTTTTAAATGTTGATAAATTTAATTAAAATTAGCTGTCCACGACAGAATCTGCTAAATCAATTAATATGAAAGATTTTTTTTTGAGCTTTTCAACTAGAGGTACTAGCTTTAAAAAACTCTGTGGATATTTGCCATCAGAAAAGAATTAGTTGTATTAAATCAACTACTTTAATTTTACCCAATCTTTGTTATTTCTAGCATTTTCTAAATCTTCTTAATATTTAAGATCCCATAGCATTCTCAAGTTTTATTAATCTTGAATACTGAAATCTTATTAAATTAGAGATTTTTTAGATTTTTATTGATTGGTATTTATATTTGGATTGACCTATAGATCACTCATTTTTAATTAAAGTGTTAATTCAGGAAAAATTTAATTTAATTTTATGATTGCGATCTATTTATCCTCTTCATTTAATTCATATAGAAATTTACTTAAAATTATAGCAAAACTTTTTTCATTGCTAAAATAATTTGATTATTTATCCTTTATTAAATAGTTCAATTATTATGATTACCTTTATTCTGAAAGTTTTATTATTGAAGACATTTAAGAATTAATACAGAAATAAATTTCTATAATATAATTTTTTTCATATAATTTTGAGTTAATACTTTATAATTCTATTACAATAATGGATGTAGAATTTGATTTTATATTATAATGAAATAAAAAAAAATAATGCAAATCATGTTAACAGAGTTTCATTTAACTTTTAATGGAAATTTGAAATGATATCCAATTAAATTGGAGTATTGATATTTTGGGATCATATTATAGGAATGGTGGCTAATTGAATATTATAAAGATTAGATCTATTAGCGATGCTATAGATTGGATGAGACCCCTGTGAGCCGTATGGGCTTTATCCAAAATAAAACCTCGAGAAATGCTAAGTGATTTTCGTCTGAGTTGAAGAGAATGAGTTATTTAATAAATTATTTATTTGAATTTTATGAATAATGTTAAATTTCAAATTCTCATATGAAATAGTTATTATAAAATTTACAATTCTAAATTGATTTATGAGTATTAACATAATTATGAAATTGTATTAGATTTTTTCTATATTTAACTCATAAACAATATATCAAAATTAAAATTAATATTAAGACTTTCTTTAATTTTATATTCAAGTAAATAAATATAATATCATCATGGTTTTACTAATATATAAAACTCTTTAATAAACATGAATTTCCTAAAAATATTATTAATTTCTTATTTATTTAATTTTGATTAAAATTCGATTAAAATATTTAAAAGAATTGATATATGATTAATAATATTATAGAGAGAATAATATGATATTATTTTAAAATTCATAAAATATTATCTAATAAATATTTTAAAAAATGTTATTAAATCTAGAAATACTTTATAATTAGTAATTTCATGTTATAATTTAATAAAACAAATAAAAATGAAGATAATTATGAATAGGATATTAATATAATATAATATAATAATTTTGAAAAAAATCCAACTCAAATCATAACATTGTTATAATAATCATACCAATAAATGATAGGATTGATGTATAATCATCTGGAAATTTGCATAATTAACATTCAGATGAATTCCATGTACTTAATCCATAAGAGAAAGCATAACACTCATCTTTGCTAAGCAAATCAGGATTTAAATCTTAACAAGTGTCTAAGAGCATACAATATTTCCAATTTTTAGAATTTGGTGATGTCAAATAATGAGTACATGAATGTTAATTTAATAATTTACATGTAATTTACTTACATTCTCCATCCCATAAACAAGCTCCACTATAGTCACAATATGTTGCTTATTTTTATTAGGAACATTGAGTCCAAACTTAACAAGTATTAGTTTTTTCATCCCAATAACATTATTCATTTTTAGAATCTTTGCTACCATTACATTTATCATCAGTTTTATGTGTTTTACATTCTTAATATTTAGAAGTACAAGTTTCTAATGTATCTGATAATAAACATTTTTTATTTATTGATTAACATTCTAAATTTGAGAATGCTTTATAATTTTCACATTAAGTGAATTCTACACAAGAACCAGAAAACCAAGCACAATGTTCTTATTAAATACAAGCTTAAGGAGGATCAATTTCTGTACATTTTCTTTCTTCACATTCACCATCTTTCCATATACATGTTTAATTTTATTAACAATCAGTCTAAGATGAAATTGAATTGCATAAACAATGTTTTGGAGTAGGTTTTTAAACATTTGGTGATAAACATTATTCACAAAATCCTTCATTTGCATTAGAACTAGACCAATGATAAGCTTGTAAAGTGTTACTAGCACATGTATCAAATGTCAGTATATCTGGAATTGATGATTCACATTGTTTTAAAACATAATTCCATTCACAAACTTAATATAAATGACTATTAGGTCCTTCTTAAACTGCTATACAATCATATTCATGATCTATTTCAGAACATTATTTCTAAAGACAAAATTTTAATGTTTCTGACCAATCACAACTTTAAGGAAGCATTTCACATTAACTTTTTGTTATTGCTTAAACACAATTACTCCATAAAATGCATTTTGATTCTAACCATAGACAAAATCCATCCTAACCTTATAGACATTCACCTTCATTTTTGAACTCTGAACATTTCCTTTCAAGAGCATTAGGTAAACAATGTTCACCATTACTCTCTCTACAATTTGTTGACATAAATCTACACTCATTAATAGTTTTGCCTTTCAGATCTTCACACTTTGTAAAATTCTCACATTTTCCATCTCTATATTAACAACCTTCATCAGCAGAACATATTGATTAACTTTTTATGCTTGAACATTCTTCTTATTCACAAGTCTTTGTATTACTATTCCAGATGCAATCCTAATCATTTGCACATTCAAGTGCTAATTTCCATTGCTTACAAACACATCTTGCATCTGTTCTAATTATTACATTGCAATTTATGCTATATACTAAGAGTGTTATCAACAATACTCGATACGTCATGAAATAAAAATATTAATCTTAATTAAATAATTATTATTTCAAACATATAATTTATTATTATTTATAATACATATAATTATACATATAATGTTTATAATAATATTAAAAGTACAAGATATTAAAATAAATAATAATATGATTAGATATAAAACAGATATTAATTCTAATATTTGTATTTAATAATAAGGTTATATATAGAATAGTATTAATTATAATAAATAAAATAATATGGGTGAAATGCTTCGTTATTGCATTGTATAAATTGAATTTATTTAAATTGGGAAATACATTAATTAATAATTATATTATTTAATTAATCATTTTTTTTGGATATAATCTAGCAAATTTATTTTCTATAGCTGAATATTTTATAGAATCTTATTATTTGGATAAATACAGATATTTATTTATTAAAATTTGTTGTTTTGTTTACATTGATTTGACATACATTCAGAATTGGAGTATTTATATTAGTAAAACAAAGATTCTATTATTTAGTATAAAGTAATAAAGCTTAAGAGAATATTTTGATAACGATTGGAATTTACAAGTAATATTTAACATTATCTATTAAATATAGTTACTAGGATAATAAGTACTTATGATTTATAATATTTTATTTATTTACTATGTTCCTATGTTATATATATTCTTCATTAAGAGAATTTATTTAGAAGAATTGTACTTTATTAATTCTTAGGTCATGATATATTAGGAATACAGTACAAATACATCAATTTTAATACCATTATAAATCAAATTTGATTACTCTAACATTTAATAATTCAAAATCCCCATTTAATTCTATTAATATGGAACTACCTTTCATTAAAACCAGATTCTTTTTGATATATATTTTAAGAACCAATTTATTATTAAATATTACTATATCTTTATGTTGGAATTTATCTTGGTAATTCTCTAGGTTAATCATTATCTTCTTCGATTTCAATTTATCTCCATAATTTTTAGATTTCAGTATCTATTTCAAGCATTAATCTTTTATTATTGGATCTCTCAGCATAAACAGCATCTTCTAAATATTCTGATAATTTATCTATTTTCTCTGTTGGTTTAGAACTTTGTTTTATGTCTGAGATTTATCTATGATATTTTTCTTCAATTTTCTTTCTTATTAATAATTATTCCTAAACATCTTTATCTAGATCAAAAAAGATCTTTTTAGCTTAAAGATTAAAATTGGTTTTTAAATAGTGTTTATCAATGCTAATTTAACAATTTGGAACAGTACATTTTATCTAATTAGAATAAAATATACTTCCTAAAACCTACATAAGGGACATAATTTGAGATTGCATTCTATTTATGACACATAAAACTCTTAACCAAATTTTTATTCTCTTTTTACAGGACAATTTGAACCCATGCAATATAGATCATATTTAGGTGGCCAATAAGCATTATAACATTTCTCAATTTCAATTTACATTTATATAAATAATGAATAATCATAGTACTTAATTTGAGATTTTACCAAAACTGATTACTAATCAACCCAAACTACTAGATCCGATGTACATAAGAAATACCTAATAACGTCAATCTTAGTATCTAAATACATATTATATATTTAGAAATGAATCCAAAATCTTACCTCACATATAAAGGAGATCTATGATGTAAGGTAACTCTAAGTAAATGGTAGTTTAAAGTATAAATTGAATCTAATAATAAGGATTTATGTATAGCTTCGATTACAATACTAGACACTTTGGAACAACTTGTGATAGAGGCTTTTAAGGATTATCAAGTTATCATTTATCATAAAAATTTGGACATCTAGGTACTAAATTATAGCCATTGGAGAAAAACATTGTTGCTGATATGACTGATGGAGAAGATGTAGAAGAAATTAAAAAAGATGAGAGATTGTTTTATAAGAAAATATACAAATATAATTAAATGCCTGTTTTGGCATTAATAAAATCTTTTGAGATTGAGTGGTGTAAAGAATAAAATGAATAAGTCAATAGGAAAATATCAAAAAGTTTAATCCTAAACTTTTAAACAACACTATAAATATTAAATACACATCAAGATTTCATAGATTTTTTTATTAAAAATTTATAACTGTTAGAGTTGAATACAGTAGCCTTAAAATAGAAAGGATTACATTAATTAAAAACCAAGGTTGATAAATTTTCAAGTAAAGAATTTTCAGAACCTTACCAAATTATTCCAAATCAATCTGGATAAGGATTTTTTAAGATTCATTTTCCAATTATTGAAATATATTTTTAAGAGTACTAACACGTTGAAACTATTAAATTATCACCGATGAGATTATATGAATTAGTTAATAATAACTTTTTTTAAGTAAGTGAAATAGTTTAAGATATAAATGTTGATTTTTCTATACTCAAATAAAAACTTCTTTAATAAAAAGAGATTCAAAGTAAAGTACAAGAAAAAGTTGAGGAGAAAGTATAACCAATAATTTAAAATTCAGATTAACCTTAAACACAATCTTAATTAGAATCCTAATAAAAAGTTATGGTCACTAAGCCAAATAACTCTGATTTTGGATTAATTATTAGTGAAAGTAATATTATTTCTATTTATAGAAAAAAGTGAATTTCCTGATAAGATTTTGAATAAAAGAATGATTAAATATGTTGTTTAAATGGATGAGAAATGTTATTTTTGTGTGGATTTTCTACCAATTTAATTTATTATCAAAGAAAAGGTTTCATAGAAAACTATAAAATTGTATTCTCCAACTTTTAAAGAATTTAATGAATTTTTAACTTAATTAGGATAAAAATAAGTGAAACAAGTAATAGATGAATATTTAATAACTACATTTGATCTTAATCCAGAAGATTTCGATTATAAAGAGTTTAAGAAAGGAACTAAGATTAGTTTAAACTTTCCAACATAGTCAGAATTAAATTTAGAAATAACTGAAGAACATCTTAATAATGGATTGTTATCAGTTTTTGTAAAAGAAATTGAGATTAATAATAAAGATTTATAAATTATAATGGAGTAATGAAATTGTAGAAATATTTAGACCTTGTTCATTTGGGATATATAATCAATTAACTTGTATGACTGAGAAGAGAAATTGTACATCCAAAGAATTAACTAGTATATTATAGAAAAAATATTAAGTAAAATTTTAACTTGTATGAAAAATGGAATTATTTATATATATATTATAGTTTTTATATTAAATAAGGTTTTTCAAATTTATGAACTTATAATCTATGAAGATCTATATTTTTATATTTTAAAGTACATAGATTGATCAATATCCAATAAAACTAATTTATGTTGTATTTGTATATAATAAAATGAGAAAACTTTTAAGTTGTGTATAACACAAAGTTATTCAAATTTTAGCTCCAAAAGTTAATTTAAAAATATTAAATATATTTACATAAAATGCAGACAGAAAGTGAAGAGCCATCATAATTGATCATTAACAGAATAATATTGGATAATTTTAAAAGTTATTATGGACATTTAGAGATTGGTCCATTTCATCATTAATTTACAAGCATTGTTGGGCCAAATGGTTCAGGAAAGTCAAACTTAATTGAATCATTACTCTTTGTCTTTGGTAAAAAGGCTTCATGGATGCGTCTATAGAAAATTCATTAATTAATTCACAATTCTGCTGACCATAGAGATGTAAAGAAAGCCTCTGTTGAAGTTTAATTTATTGAATAAAGCGGGAATAATAGAAACTATTTTAGTGTAAAGCGTACAGTTCATCATACTGGATAATCAAATTATGATATAAATAATAAACACGCTACTTTGGAAGAAGTCACTACTTTATTAAAATCTAAAGGAATAGATCTTACAAATAATAGATTTCTAATTTTATAAGGAGAGGTAGAATAAATTTCATTGATGAAACCAAAATCAGGTGATCCAGAAAAGCCAGGATTGCTTGAATATTTAGAAGATATAATAGGAAGTAATTAATATCAGGAATAGATTGATAAGATGACTGAAGAATATTTATAATTAGATGTTTAAAGAAGAGAGAAAGGAGAAATGATGAGAGTGGTTGAAATGGATCTTGAAAAATTAGAACCAGGTAAAGATAAGGCTGTAGAACTAGTTAGAAATGAAATAAAGAATTCATAATTGTAAAATGTTTAATAATAAATTGCTAATTATAAAGTGTAAACTTAAATTACTAAATGTAAAGAGAATCTTACTTAAATTGAAGAGAATTAAAAAATTACAGCTTAAGAATCTAAGGATAAAGTAAAAGATCATGCTGATACTATGAAATTAATGAAAATAGCATCTGATAAATTTTAAAAGGCCAAATAAAAGAGATAATAAATAAAAGTTTAATTAGAAGAATTATAAACAAAAGATACTCAAAATAGAGATGAAGTAAATAATTTGACTTCATAATAATAAAGATTTTAAAAGAAATTAGATGAACTTATATAAGAAAGGAATAAATGTATTGATGAAGTTGAAGATTTAAAGAAAGAAATACCAGCATAAGAAAAGTCTATAAAGACTTTGAAATAAGAGAAAGAAGAATTAGAAGAGATTGTTTAGAAAATGAATTAATAACATTAATAGGAAGTAAGAAAGTTAGTTGAAAAGAAATCAAATTTATAAAATATAATATCTGAACCATAATTATAAAGAAATTAATATGCAAAAGATTTAGATATAACTAAAAATAAATTGAATTAATTAAAATTACCTGAAACAGATGGAGGGAAAGGAATATAAAATAGTATAAGTGAATGCAATAATAATATAAATTAACTTTAAGAAATAGTAAAAACATTAAATTAAACAATTGATGAAATAAAAAATAGAGAGAAATTATAAATTGAGAAATAGAATCAATTAAAAAAGGAATTAAAATTGAATGAAGATTAATTATAAGAAGTTCAATAATAAATAGATGGATTTTCAATTTAATAAAATTAATATAATGAATAGAATGCAACTATTAGAGCAATTATGGCAGCAGCATAATAAGGTTAATTAAAAGGAGTTATTGGTAGGATTGGTGATTTAGCTTATATTGATCCAAAATATGATATTGCCATATCTACAGCATGTGGAAAAGGGTTTGATTCAATATTAGTAGAAAATTAATAATCTGCAGAAGCATGTGTTAATTTCTTAAAATCAAATAGAATTGGTAGATATACTTTTGTGTCTTTGGATGTTGTAAATAAAATGATAACTCAAGACATGATGTAAAAGAGAGGACAAAATCCTTCTTAGACTGAAAGATTATTTGATTTGATTTAAGTTAAAAAATCTGAGTATTAGGCTGTTATATTTAAAATTGTGGGTTAAACTTTAGTTTGTGATAATATTGATTTAGCAAGAAAATTAAAATTTGAATAAAGGAATCCAAATAGATTTGTAACACTTGATGGAAAATTAATAGAAGCTAATGGTGTTATGAGTGGAGGTGGATAATAAAGAAGAGGTGCTTTAAGTAGTAATAATGCAAAATAAGATTTAAATGCTAATAAAAATAATTAAAATTAATTAGAAGCAATGTTAAAATAATTTTAATAAAATAGATAATAAATTGAATAACAATTAATAAAAGTTGATCATGAATTATAAACATTAATAAAGGATGGTAAAATAATTTAAGAGAAATTAATATCAGCTACATAAGATTTAAAGAATTAATAGGATTTGAAATAAGATTTATAATAGAAATTAGAAAAAGTGAAAAATTTGGAATAAGAAAAGGCAGAAGTTGAAAAATAAAGAAAAGAATATGAAAAATAAATTATAAATCATTAAGCTAATATTGATACTATTGATAAAAAGATATCTAAAGAAAAGAAATAATTAGAATAAATTGAATAAGAGATATCTGAATCTGAAAATAAGGAATTAAAATAAAATAAGGAAAAATTATAATAATTAACTAATAAATTTGATAAAGATGATGCAGAATTCAAAAAAATGTAAACTAGATTAGTTTTTCTTGATAAAAAATAAAAAACATTAGATAAAGATGAAATTAAGATAAAAGATGATTTAGAAAAAATTCAATCTAAAATTGAATAAGTAAATTAAGAATTTAAAAAAGCTGAAGTTTAAATGATTGAAAATCTTGCCTTATTAAAAATTGCAAAAGAAGCAGAAGAAAATGCAGATAAAGAATATAAAGAAACTTAAGCTAAAGATAAAGAATTTGATGAATTAATTTCAAGATTGAAAGAGAAAACTAATAAATTAAAATAAGAAAAGGAAGAATGTATGTCACTATTAAAGAAAGCATAAGATGAATTGAGTGAAGGATTAACAAAATTAGAATAAATTAGATTAAATTATAAAGAAATGTAAAATGATTATGAATTTTTGAATGAATTAGAAGAGATAGCTAATTGGAAATTATAAGATTAATAACATTAATAATAATACCCTTTAACAACTGCTAATTAAAATTAATCTATGTTAAATATTAGTGTAATATATTATTTATATTATAGTTTATTGATTAAGGAGATGAATCATTTGATGATGGTAGAAAAAGAGGAGCAACATTAGCAATTGATTTAAAAGCAATTCTAGAAATATCAGTTACATAAGAACTTACAGAAGAATAAACAATTTAATTTTGTCCTATTGAAAAAGAAATAGGAAGAGTTCATGCACATATTTAAGCTTAAATAAGAGAAATAACAAAAGATGCTAATATTAAAGATATTTAAGAATTTAAAATAAAATATTTAGAATATAAAGCAAAAAAGAGCGATTTTGATTAAACAAAATAACAACTATAATAATAAAAATAAAAGATTGATCAATTAAAAAAGGAAAGATATGATTTATTTATGCATGGATTTAATGTAATAGGATCAAAATTGAGAGAAACATATTAAACATTGACTAATGGAGGAGATGCTGAATTAGAATTAGTAGATACAATGGATCCATTTAGTGAAGGAATAAGTTTTAGTGTTAGACCTAAAAATAAATCTTGGAAACAAATGTCTAAATTATCTGGAGGAGAAAAGACACTCTCCTCATTATCATTAATATTTGCATTGCATTATTATAAACCTACTCCTTTATATTTCTTTGATGAAGTTGATGCAGCATTAGATTATAAGAATGTATCTATTGTTGCAAACTTTATTAAAGAAAGAACCAAAAATGCTTAATTTATTGTGATCAGTTTACGTAACAATATGTTTGAATTAGCTAATAAATTGGTATCTATATTAATATTAATAGTAAAGATTGGTATTTATAAGACATTTGATACAACAAAGACAGTTTAAATATAACCAGAATTGGTGCAGATGAAAATAAACTCTTCTATAGAAAACAATGAAAACATTAATTAAAATAGATGAAATGTTTTTCAAAATATTCATATTAAATATTGTTTTCTAGAAATTTGTCTAATGCTTATCAATTTTTTGATAATATTTTATTAATAGCAGGTTCTATTTTTTTAAAATCTGTTTGCCAAATAAATATAGACTTTTATAATTTTTGATTTTCTTAAATAATAGTTGTATTATAAAATGGTAATTTGAGTGTCTGAAGTAATTCTATCAAATAATAATTCGGAATAATCAAGACAGTAGAATAATTTGAAATTAAGTATTAGAATTATTTTTAATTATTATGCAATATATTTGATATGCTATATAAAAATCTGATTATAAAAAGATGACTCATTATAAAAATTAATCAGCCTAAATTATTTTTAAGAAAATGTCTAGAGAAGTATTTATGTTTCTTAAAGCTAAAGTAACTTTTGAAAAGATTCGATTTAGTGTCAAAGTCCTTAGAACAATTTGATTTATATGAATAAAATGAATTTGCTATTCAAAATTCTTAATAGTAAGTTTTAGTTCTTATACTTAGATACTCTTAAGAATGCTATGAAGCATTTTAGAAGATCTATCAGAAAAATGAAGTTAATCAACTTTAGATTATCCCAGAAGATGAAAAAGAGTTTTACATTCTAAATAGAGACACAGGATTGATGATTGATTGTAGGAAGTTAGACTAATATACGGTTCCAAAATCAGATACGAAGGAAGTGGCATGGAAGAATTACTGGAAGGACAGTAGAGAAATTAGTGAATCATTACTATCATTAGTCTAATTGAATGATAAAAATAAAGTATATGAACTACTAGCTCATCCATAATTTTATATAGATATAAATATTAGGTATTGATTGTGTTAATAAAAATAGGGATTTAGATGATTGGACTCCACTTCATTTTGCATGTCAATAAAATAATACTGAGATTGTTCAACTCTTATTACATTAATAAGCAAATCCAAGGTTATTCTCTTTAGATATGAAGTCACCATTACATATTGCAGCAATGAAGAATAATTCAACAATCTGTGAATTGTTAATAAACTTTGGAGCTGATATTGAAGCTTAAGATTCAGATTAAAATACACCATTACATATAGCTTCATTATTTGGAAATGATTTAGTCTGTGCTATATTAATAGAAAAGAAAGCAAATCACAATTTGAAGAATTATTAACATTTGACTCCTATAGAAATGGCATCAGATATTAAAATAATTGAAATTTTTAATAAATATGGAATCTCGCTTAATAATTTTACTTATACTAGAACTGTAGTGAAAGAATAAAATTTAATTTTACCTAATAGTAGAAGAGATCATGTATAAAAAATATTAAAACTAACTTAATAATAGACTAAAGCATGTATTATAGATTAAGAAATAAAAAAAGAATTAATAAATAATGAATAATAAAGATAATCTCTTACTACTTTAGATATTAATTAAAATAGAACTACTTGGGGTAAGATAATGGATTTTGCTATATCATTTTCTCGAATCTCTATTAAAGTTAATACAAATACAACAAATTCAGAATCATAAAATAATAAGATTGGTCCAAATTCTTTTTAATTTTATTAAAAATTAGGAGAAGGTGGATTTGGTTAAGTTTATCTTGTTGAAAAAATAGGACAAGAACCAAAAAAATATTATGCAATGAAGATTTTAAAAAAAGAAGATATAGATACTTCAAATATTATAAAATCTGCTTAAATTGAAAAAGATGTTTTAAAGATTATGAATCATCCATTTATAGTTAAATTAAATTATGCATTCTAAACTTTAGATCATTTATATCTTGTTATGGATTTATGTTCAGGAGGAGATTTAGCTACTCATTTAGAATTAGTTAATCATTTTCCAGAACATATTGTTAAAATATATGCAGCAGAAATTACATTAGCAATAGAAGCATTACATTAATAAGGAATTATATTTAGAGATCTTAAACCTGAAAATGTTGTATTAGATAAAGATGGACATGCTCAATTAACAGATTTTGGTTTATCAAAACAAGGTATTGATGAAGAGATATTAAATTAATCATTTTGTGGAACTTTAGCTTATTTGGCACCTGAAATGTTAATGAAAAAAGGACATGGACGTTAAGTAGATTGGTATATGTTGGGAATATTCATTTATGAATTATTGGTAGGTGCTCCACCTTATTATGATGCTGAGAAAGAGATTCTAAAAGAAAATATTAAAAGAGCTCCACTTAAAATACCAAGACATCTTAGTCAAGAAGCTAAAGACATAATAATTTAATTATTGATTAGAGATCCTAAAAGAAGATTAGGATGCAAAGAAGATGCTAAGGAAATTAAAAGCCATCCTTGGTTTAGAGATATTAATTGGTAAGATTGTTATAATAAAAAATTATAACCACCAAAACCTTTAATATGTCATGAACCAAAAGTAGCTAGAAAAGTTACTTTTAGTAAAAATAGTAATAGAAATAAATTAAATGATTGGACATTTTTTGAAAACTGAGTTAAATTGTATCTAACTTTTCTTATTTAAATATATGTAAAAATATTAATTATATATTTATAAGTATAATCACAATAATTATTATAAAATTACATCAAAGGAATTGTTTCTAAATAACTTTAGCAAATGTATATTATATAATTATATACTAATATATTAAATAATAGATCTTTTTATGAATATCAAACATTTTAATTATGATATATGAAACATTTATAAATATAATGATTTTTAATACAAAAAAGTCCAGATTTTGGAGGAATTGGTAACTTCGTACATAGGTATGCATGATACAGTTTATCATTACAACAATAGCAATCATATTAATTATTCTCTCCACATTATTAATTCTATTTTATATCTCAGACACTTAAATGTCATCATCACAACAAGTCTTTTAAAATTAATTTGGTAAATGGACAAAAATTATTATGTATCATCAAATCAGAAGAGTTCAATAAACATTATTTAGAAGTTAGAACTAAATATAAAGAGTTAATAAATTATATCAATTATCTCAGTAATTCAAATAAGCTAATTTTTCAAAACCTTATCCATGTTTAAACGATTTAATTTACTTAGATTAGTATGCTTATAGTGCTTCATTTTGTTATTTAACATATGGTAGTGATGAAAACGATGAGATGTATAAAAAACTTAAAGATCTTTGCAGTATTTTAACTGAAGCAGTTTTAATGATTGATCAAGATTATGATATTATGTTTGCATCAACAAATGATGTTCATTTTTTTACAGTTTGGCCAGGTTCTTATTTGGGTTATGATTATAATCCATAAAAAAGAATTTGGTACACTAATCATTTAGAATAAGTGTCTAAAAATAATATAAATTAAACATATTTTTGTGAACCTCATATTCATTGGACATGGAAATTATTAATGATTGCATAAACAAAAAGTTTACTGGATATTGATGGATCATTAGATGGAGTTATAGCATCTCATGTGAATTTCAGTTAATTTAAATATTAAGATGAGGGAATAAGTTTTACAATTATAAATCCTGATGGTAGAATTCTTCTTAGTTAATTAAATATTTCAGAAACTTCTTACATATATGATTATAATTTAACTCATTTAGATTATTAAGATTATAAATAAATAATGAATTAAGCTAATAAAAGAGAAACATAAAGTGATTGTGATTCTTAGATTTGGAAAGATTTTGGTTATTTATGCAGGAAGATACACAATTCTACAGAAGAATAACTTATTAACACATAAATAATGGATAATGAAGGTTTAGTTTTAATTATGTAAATTATTTTTATAATATTATTAATTAGTTAATGTAAATTATCATAATATTAGAAATTGCTTGAATAAATGTTTGAAAACTTTGAAAATGGCATATCATCTATATTTTTAGGAACTATACTAGGTTCATTTGGATATATGTTTTCATCTGCACTTATTACAAGCATTATTATTATTATCTTATTTAATCCAATAATTAGAATAATTAATTAAACATCTTAATATGTATTTAAAGAGAGTGTTTATATGTAACATAAATTATAAAATTAACTGTAACTGTAATTCTTTAAAAGAACTTAATCAAATACATTAATTGAGAAATTATAGACTTCTTTTAACTAATTAATGCATAAATCACTTAATCCTAATAAATCACTTTTATGTTTATGGATTGAGTAATTTAGATATCCTATTAAAAGATGGACATTAAAGAAAAGAGTAAAAAGAATAATAAAATATCATTCTTAATTGTAAAACAATCAATTAAATGGAGAAATAACAGATAAATAAATTACATTTGTGTAACAATTAATTAAAAGTTATCAATTTAATTAAAGTACACAAATTTGATTTTGATTATATATTTAAAATTATACTCAATGCATATAACCATCATGATCAATATAATAATGTGAGAAGAAGGCTCCAATAAAAATGGCTCCAAAAAGGAGACCACTTAGTTAATGATTTGGTAAGAAATGTCCTGTGTTAATGAATCCCAAGAACATAGCAAATAACATAGGGAAACTCCACCATCCGAATACAGGCCAAATTGCAATTATTAAACTAATAAACTATAAATTATATATATATACGTTATGAAACTCATAAATCCAGCAAAAGCACCTAATTATATAGCTTTTGGATTATATGTTTCTATATCCTCTGTTATACCTTTTATGCAAGGTAAATAAAATGCAGCATATAATGATAAACTTATACTCATGCCAATAAATAATAATGCAAAAGTGAGAAATAATCTAATTTGATTTTTTTTAATTACTCATTGATATTTTCATTGTGAAACAATTACTTAAAAAAGTTTGAATAATAAACTATAGCAATGGCTGCTGATATCCAAAGAACAGCTTATACTTTAATCCAAAGCCACTCTCCCCATTATTCCATTTTATCATAAATATCTAACTGTTTAATAACTTTGGGTTATTTAGTAGAATCATCATCTACATTTTACACGGGTACATACCTTCTCATTTTATTTTTAAATAAAATAATCAAGTTTTTGGTAATTAATATTGAATAATAACAATAAAGAAAAAAGATAATGTAGAGAATAATTTGATAGTAAGAAATGTTAAAATGATAAAAATAAGAATAATAAAATATGTATGATATGATATAAATATAAAAAAAAAAATTAAAATTTATGAAATAAGTTATTAATATTTATTAATTTAAATCTATTTTGGACATAGTATTTATTTAATATACTTATAGTATCTTTTGAGATATGGAATCAAAATATATTATTATAAATTAATTATCACCATAAGATCAATTTAAGGTTCATAAATTACAACTTTTATGAATATTGGTAAGAAATAATTTTATTAATATTGATTTGATTATTAACATTTTAAATTTGAATGAACTATAATAATTCAACTCATAGAAGAACTTAATCTAATAATGATATCCAACAAATTTTATGTGCTAGAATTGCTGGTTTAGTTGAAGATGAATATTAATAATAAAAACTTGATCCAAAAAGAATTAATCTAGGATCTACTCTATTTCAAATTCCTGAATAAAATGATCTTATATCTTCTGTTGAACAAACAACTGAATCATCTAAATAACATTCCTAAATGATTAAAGATTTGAATTTATCTAATCTCAAATCCAATCCATAATAAGACAAAGAAAATTTCAAAAATCTTTCATCTTGTTCTACTCTCATTAATCAAATCTAATAGATTGTCAAATCTGGATCAAATACTAAAGAATTTCAATCAAAAAAATCAATCACTTCAATTAATGAAGTCACTAAAAAACAATCTTCAACTCAAAGTTAGATGAGTTTTACATAAGAACTATTAAAAAAATAAGGATTAATACAATATTAATAAGGATAAACACTTAAATAAAATGTTACTCCTGACAGAAAAAGAGGTCCATCTTATAGTAATAAACCCACAAATTAAAAATAGCATAATGACTCTACACCAAATGAAATATTAGGTACAGATAATATTAAGAGTAATTTCTCCATTTCTACCTTCAATAATCTAATTAGATAAGATTCAAAATAAAAGAACTCTAATTTTGATGTTTGTGATTCTTATAGAAATTTAGAAGTCAAAATAAAAAAAATTGAATAGGAAATGAACACAATTAAATAAAGACAAGATCACTTAGATGAAACTAATAGAAATATTTAAGATCAATTAAAAGAATTTATATATGAGAATAAATAGTAATAAGAAGTATTACAATTATATTTATAATTAGAATGGTTCTAAATAATTAAAAAAAATAGAACAATTAGAATAAATAACAAAAAGAAATGAAGAATCAATATCTTGCTTAAAAGATCTTTTGATTAATCATAATACAAATCAAAAAAAAAATGATTAAAACAATATTAATTTCGGGTAAAATAATATTGATTATATAGAAATAAATAATAGTTTGATATTACTGATTTACAAAAGAAATTTGTTGACTTTAAACCTTTAAATCATAAAGTATTTTGATAGATGCTAACAAATATAAAATTTTGAATATTTATATTTATAATCATAACACTCACTTTGGTTTAAAGTAACTTCCAAGTTCATTGTTAATGTATTCTGAATAAGCTCTTATTGTATTAATTAGATGAATATCCAATTAAGTTTATTTCTTTCCTTTTGTTTTTTTCAATTTATCTTAATTTTATTCACACCATGAAATCAACTTTTTAAAAATAGTAAAATTCTAATTAGAAATAAAATTTACATCATATAATGTTTATCCAAGAAGTTTGAATTTTTATGGTAGCTCTTTTGGATATTTATGTTTCATAAGTGCTATTATTATTGATGTATTTCTTAATCTCTCTGAAATTATTGTCAAAGTATTATCAGTCTAACCCAATTAAACTATTTGTTTTGCCGATAATATTACATTAATCTACTATAATTTATACATTCCTCTAAGCTAATAAGTGAATATTATTTAGGGTTTATGTAATTTATTCTATTGTATTCTATTTTTACATATTTGAATAAAATTCAATAGCCATTTCATCAGGATCATTATAATACTTCATTTTCTTATCATAAGACACCTAGACTAATATCATTATCACTTACCTTAAATAAAAAAAATTTAATGACAATTAATATCAAAAAGCAAGTTCCAACAACTGCATATTCCCACATAAATTTTAATTATTTTAGTTATAAATATATTGACTATAAATATTATTAATTGTTATATTAATTAATTTACTTATTTTTTAAATAAATATCATATCATAAATTATTATGAAAGATTAAGAGTATCTATCTAATCACTATAAATTATATTCTTATAGAATGTAAAGAATAAAATTAAATACAATATTTTATATTTATATACATTAATTATATAAATAATTCTCACTTTAATAAAGATTATAATTAAACTATATTTGTTATTTATAGTTTAAATTTAATAACAAGTACTTCTAAGAAATTCTTAGATTTGTTTATTTTTAGAATTTTTGGGATATATGAAAAGAAATTGAATTATATAAGATATATACAAAATCATTTATTCATTGCTAAATTCTTTTTTGATATTGAAATCAAATTTCTACTTTCTTATCATTTTATGTATGGATATTTAAATGTAATCTGAATGAATTATAAGCATGATGAGTCTGTTGATTATGATGATGATGATTATTATTATTGTTATTATCATTATTAATATCCCATAATTTAACACTATGAGTATGAAATAGAGATATTGGGCTGTGTACCTCTCTAAGTGAAAAAGGAGATGAAGGATCACTATCACAGTGCTTATGTTCTAAATTAAGAATTTTGTGCTTTTTTTATTCATAAAAATCCTGCTACTTTTGGGTAGGATCAGTAATTTGAAGTTATAGGTTATCAAGATATTCAAGTATTTGTTCTTCCTTTTAATTCATATAGATTCTTTATAAAAATTATATTATAATACACAATTTCTGTCTTTTAAATTATATAATTATAATGGAGTTAAAATTAAATCAAATCATTATTATAATTGTTATATCATATTTAAACAATGACTTTAACTTTATAGAAATTCTTCAAATAGCTAATCAGATGGTACATTTTATTCATCTTCATAATATTGAAGAGTTTTTTTTAAAATTGAAATTTATTCATTTGCATTGTCTAATTAATTTCTTAAAGTTTCATTTTGTTGATAAATGACTTTAAGTTTTTTAAATTCTTCAGTACTAAATAACTATTGATTAAATAATTCCTAAATCAAATATATATCAAAGTACTTATTTAATTTATTCGAGAATTCCTTAAGATAATTGATTATTTGATTAAAAACAACTATTTGATCTACTCTGCTTTGTAGATTTTAATTTTGTATTTTCAGATTATAAAGTTTCAATCAATTGAGTTAGTTTATTATTTTCTTCAAGTAATTACCTTAATTTAAGTTCTAATTCTGGATTTTCATCAATTTTCCTTTAACTCAATTTTTATCCATTATTATTATCACTAACCTTCTTTTTATGAAGCTAAAATTCAAGTTCTTAAATTTTCATTTTACTTTTCAATAATTCAGATTCATGACTTACTTATTATTTTGAATTTTTTTCAAACTCTGCAAAATTCTCATGCCATTGTTTTATTTCTAATTAATATAAATACATTGATTTACCTTCTTTTTAACTCTATATTGTTTTATCTGATATTTTGACTTTTTCTTTAAGCTTTTTAATTTCTTAATCTTATTATGTAATTAATTAATCCTTTTTATCTGTAGAATCCTAAATATTTTTAACTAATATATTCAATCTTTCATTTTCCTAAATTACTAACATGATTTAAGATTCCATCTACAACATAGAATCTTAAGGATCCTATGTACAAATCTTTTGATATTTCTATTTCCATTATTCAATTTCCAAAGCTTAATCATCAATAACTTTTTCCATACTCTCAATTTTAACCTTTATGAAATCTAATTATTGACTTTCATGTGTAGATTTTTAATACTATTTTAATTCATTTTTTGTTTATTCTAATGCTTATGATAAGTACATATTATCATTTATTAACTATTGCATTCGTGTATTATCTTAAACTATAACAGATCTATTTTCTTAAAAGCATTTTCCTGCTTATTATTGTTTGCCATTTGGTGTAAAAGCATTAGATTATCTGACTTCTGCTTAATGATTATTAACTATCAATCTTAAAGCATTCTAAGAAACTATTTATCTTTAAGGTGTGCTTGGAGCATCTTAATGATGATTGCTCATTCTTATAGTACTATTAAATGGACTTAGTGATTACACTTGTCCATTGGAAAGCATTACCTATTTTGTTTTTTGAGTCGAGTTGGTTCTGATCATTCAAAATTAAATATAACGATAATTTTCAATATTTTAATAAAAATGTAGCAACAATATACTAAAGATATTAGTTGAATTATATAAAAATTAAAATACAATTACTAAATTATGAATCTTTTCTTTAAGTATTCAAATAATTATGTGAGTCTCTCAAACAAATAAAAATATTAAAGAATATCAATAAAAAAATGTTGATTTTCAGATAATGATAAAACTCAACATAATGACTAATAGAACTCTTAAAAAAAAGATAAGTTATGAGGCTTTACTTCTCTTTTAGATAAATTTCTACTATTTGTAATAATTATTATTTAAAAGAAACGCTCAAATAAATCTGAAAAACTAATGAATAATTTAAATGAAAGGCTATTTCCTCACTCATCAATATTATTTATATCAATTTACATATACGATATAAAAAGTACTTTATAAGTATACTATATCAAATAAATAACAATTATCATTAAATATTTCTTAATAAAATATAAATACTTATTAATTTCTATAATAATGAGTATTTTAATGGTGATTCATTTTAGAATTATGAATAATTTGATATATTATTTATTATTAAAATACACAAGAGGTTACAATTAGTTTGAAGATTTAGCCTGTTAGTTCTCAATTAAGTGTTGAATTGAATGATTATTTGATAGAATTATAAGAATAAATATTGCTATTTTGGAGTATTTATAATTCTACAAGTTATATAAAAACAATTTATATAATATATTGATATTATTAATCTTTTTATTATTATCAAAAAATTAATACATATTTTATAGATTTATAGTTAAATTGAACATTATATATTATTGAAATTTTTTATATAAAATGATCCCAATCACGTTAAATTTTATTTAATTAGATTTACGAGGACAAATATTAGTATCTAAAGTCAAGTTTATATGTAGCTCGCTTTTTAATTAATATATATGATATCAATATATCATAAAATAATTAAATATGGCAGAATGCATGAAAAAATATGGGAAATCTTTTCTTCCCTATAATTCTCTGGTTCGAAAATCTTAAAATTTAAAATCGGATGTTTCGTTTGATCCTGTTTAATCATATGTTGTTGAACCTAAAGTTCCAGACACATAAGGAGACGCAATCTAATTAATTACAAGTGATATACCTTCAATCTAAAAAATGATTCAATCCCAATAAAATTCAAAGGTCGCCTCGAAATTATCTTATGATGGAGGAATTGAGTTATTGAAGGATAAACAAAAATATTTAGAACTACTTATATCAAATTCTCTTGATAGCAAATTGCTTAAAAGTCCATTCCTATTATTTCCAGCATAAAAGTAATACTTAAATTAACTTGGTACATTAATAAGTTAATCACCTAATGCTTCATTTTGCCCATTCTTGAACATAAATTAAAATGAAAAGAAGCAGTTGCAATAAAATTTAGATCAATAACAAAATATATCAGATATATGTAATAATACCTGCTAATCCAACTAATTCTGCAAATAATCAACCATTTTAAAACCAAAAGCAATAAAATAAAATTTACATTTTAAAAAAGAAGAAATAAAATTTCTGAATTAAGAAGATTCTTCTTAAAGTGAAGTTATAAAATAGGAAGAAAGCAGTTGGAATGAACTTCCTTAACCACTAAAGATGAAAAAACCTAGTAAAAAATTACTATCAAATGATAGTTCTGAATCCTTCAAAGTAATAAGAAAGAAAAAAGAAAAGAAAATAAATGATACCAAAAACATAACAAAGAATTTTTCAAAAGCTATCATCTCATATATTATAAATAACCCAGATTTACTTAAATAATTCTTCTCATCTAAGTAATATGACGACTTTTTGGTTCTACTTAAAAATAAAAAAAATTTAATGACTAATATCAAATAGTTAAGAGATCTTTGGATAGATGGAGGCAAGTTTTCCGAATTTAATAAAGTTTTTAGAATTATAAGGTATTTATTATCCTTAATTATTTAAGCTAATACTTTTTAAAAAATCAATCAGTAGCTTATGTTTATAATTCTAGAATATCAAATACTATATGGCATCTTAAGTATAGACAAAATTTGTTGAGAGCATTAAAAGAGCCTGAAAATTTTAGATTCATTAAAGATTTATGATTAAATTGTTTGTTGTCAAATCAAAATATAGCGAATTTTATACAGATAAGATATTCATTATTTTTTTTGATTTCTTAGACTATTTAATTGATTAACAATCAATAATGAGATAAATGATTAAGGACCTGATCTAAAAAACAAACCTCCTAATCCTTTGTACAATCCTAAGAAACCTTCTGATTTAAAGATTATTTTAATAGCATGAAAGCAACCTTAATAAACTGTTGGATTTCCATGCTATTTAAATTTATATTAAATAATTACATTATCAAATTGTTAATTAAAATATCTAGTTAAAGCCACTTCAACAGGACATGTTAATAAACATAACCATAATGTTGCATTAGCACTAGCAATCATATTTAATTCTGTTTAATTTTTAATCCATTATTTTCCATGTTCTTTTGTAAAATCAAAAACAGGTAATTGAATTGCAGATCCTAATCCTGTTCTGAGTGCCATAATTGAAGATCCAGCATAAAGACCTTTTAATCTATTATACTATATAGTATTAAATATACCCTTCTGTTTTAAATATTTATGAAATGGCATCAATAAGACCTGAATAATGATATCTATTTCCACATGGTAAATCTTTTGTTTAAAGCATTAATCTAGTTTTTATCATATTAAATGGACTTGAAACAAAACTTAATTTAAATATTAGATCAATTACGCACTAAAACAACCAACTCCTGCTGAAATACCAATATTTGATAAAACCTTTATATATCCATGTGAATTATATAAATGAAATTACTCATTTGCAATGTCCTTTACAATCTCATAAGTTCCAAATCGTAATCCATTCATTATAATTTAAAATACTATAGCAGCTTAAAGTCCTTTTTAGACTGCTAAGATTCCTTCAGATTATGATGTTTTAATTAATGTATTTATCACTCCAGAATATGCTCTTTTATAATGACCTTCAGCAACAAGCTCTCCTTATGCTTACAATCTTGTTTTTGCTAAATCAAATGGGTTTGTAATAAGAACTGTAGTAGCTCCAGCAATTGAACCATTCAATAGTGCATCCATTATTAAATTTAATAAAATTCGTTAATGAAAAGTGATAAAGAAATATTAAAAATACTTAGACGATACAAAGAAGCAAAAATAGAATTAAAAAAATATTTAAGTTGGATTGAACAAATAAAAGTAAATAATTAGATTTTAGATTTAAGTTAGAAATGGTTTTGTCAGCGTAATCAGAAAAATAAACTAATTATTATAGAATGTAGATTTAAGGTATGGATAATAAGTTTAAACATGGTAATTATCCAACTAGTGAATCTTTGACAGAAGAAGTATAAATTAAATGTAATTAAATGACTTTTTAATCATAACAATAAGAATTAAATTAAGATAATGTAAGAGAGTTTATTAATAAATATGAAAAAATGTTAATCTAAAAAGAATAATAATAGTAAGTAGAATAAAATTCAGGTTAAACTTTATTAATCAACAGAGATTCTAAATAACATTTTGGAACAAGTACTATAGAAGATATGTTCAAATTATCATAATCTTAATAAGAATCACAATAATTAAATCAATTTAGTTATGACACTTCTAATTTTGGAAATGATTAAATTGGATTTAAAAGAAAAGGAGACAACTTCTTTAATAATTTATAAAATTATTCAAAGGATTATGAATAAGAATAAAGTTTATAATCATCAAAATGTTTCAAAGATTATATGTTAACATAAGAAAAAGTAGATATAAATTAAAATAAACAACAATAAAAAAAGTCTTTTGAATAATTTTATCAAGAACATGTAGAAGGAGAAATAAATAATATTTAAATGGAAATAGAAGATATGTAGAAGTAATATTAAATAATTTTATGTAGATTTTTACAAAGAGTTTAAACTGCTAAAGATAAATTAACAAATAGTTTTAAAGATCTTTAATAAATTCCTGTTATTAATAGAGAGAATAGTGAGAATTCTATTTAAAAGGTAACAGAAGATCTTAAATTAATTGACATTATAAAACAAAATATGATAAAATAAATGGAAAATAATATAGATTAAGATAAACTTAAAAAACTTAGAAATATGAAGCATTAAATTTAATTATACTTTAATAATGTAGAAGATGAATTACTAAAAATAAATGAAGAAACATCTGTAATTTAATGATTTATTTTTTCTTCATTTTTCAACTCACTATTTAAATTATGTTTATAAGTAAAAATTTAAATAATAGAAGATTTTTTTTAATTTTCATAAATGAATGCATGCAATAATTATAATTCTTAAAATATGCATTATATAAATTTAATTTCAATTTATTACTGATGGTCTTTTTGATTTTTATGCTGATGCAGATAATTTTCGATCAGACATAATTTTAGAATATTAAGGTTAAATTTCAGATTTAACTTAAATTCTTGAATTACCAGCAATTTTTGATTATTTTATATCTGATTTATTCTCTTAATATTTGCTTTCAATAACATAACGAGTAAATTAAGACTTCTACATCTATTCAATTTCACCCTCTTCTTGTATTAATGTATCGTTTTCAATGTTGTTTTCATAACGTAATTAAGATTAAAAAATAAAAGGAATCTAAAATTTAAAAAGTGGACTTTCTCCAAAATGACTAAATTTCATATGTCTTAATTATTCACAACTTACTATTCCATGAATACACAACATTTAAGATAATACTTTCAAGAATTCATTTAAATTCAAATGTTCACAGCATTACGTCATCAATGAAATTATATGACTACCTTCCCTATGAGAAAATTTTTATGTTTTGACTAAAAAAATAACAAAATTTAAATAAAATAGTTTATTTTCTATTTAAATATAATTAAAATTTACTTTAATCTCTAACTTTTTCAGCTGATCTATAACTTATTGACATTACTATATATGAAATGATTAGACCAATCACTTTTATATAAGTGATACTTTCAATCCATATCATTGTTAAATAAATGATACTAAGTTCTAAAAATATACCACTAAAAAAGTATGTTTAAACTTCCCATAAAATTATTAATTTATAAGCACTAATTAATTTAATACATATAATTTACACAATCTTTCCCAATTATAAAATTCCCAAAAATACAGCAATCCATACATAATATTCTATTTTACTCAATGTTAATCCAATATCATATCCGTAAGCAAAATAATCAGAAACCTATTCCTCATTAAAAAATGCTGCTATTAGACAAAACATTCCTTAAAAAAATTGCATAGTCAATGTTATAAATGGTGTTTCTTCATCCCAAATATATTCATGAATACCATAGTCTTAATAAATGACTTCAAATGAAAGATTTTAATATTTGTCAATACCAAATAACTCTTTAAATTACTAATGTTATAATTATATAGTGAATATCCTTTACTTAATCATTTTTCTTAATAAAGTATCTTTTTCTGCATATGCATCTATGTCATCAACAGCTTCTTTATTAAAATTAAATATATGAAACTATTCCATATATTAATAACTATATGATAAATGATTATCGAAATAACTATTTAAGAGTTCTAAAATAGCATCACTTTTTAATTAATGTATTGGTATTGAATTTTATTCACAATGTACTATTAATTATGCTTCCAAATATCTACTAAATAGAGCATTTACAGCTGCTAAACTATTTTGAATTTTTTCAGGTTCATCATTTATATAATTTGCCCATGATATTTTATCTATCAAACCTTTATTTTGAAATAACTATTAAAATTGTATGTGTTTGAATATTTAAATTCCAAGAGTTCTACTAGCTGCTGCAGCTATAACCATTACTAATGGTCTCCATTCAAATTATTCATTTATTCCTAGAAATCTTTTATCAAATGAAGCTCCATGAATAAAATATATCCAATCCTCTAACAAATAACCTAAACCCATTAGTAAATATGATGCCAAAACTGTGATTGGTGTCACATTATTGATCCAACTTCTAAAGAAAGATTAAAAAATAGTAAATAGAGCTACAAAGTGAACAATACTATAATATTTCAACTAGTTATTAGGCAATAGAACTTACAGAATGAACTGCCATTGCTATTGAAACAAATTCCATCAGACTACAAAAGAAAACCAAAGAAAATGAAAATCTGAATGGTCTTCCCAATTAGTGTGGAGTATTTAGACGAGGATGCTTTAAACGATAAATTTTACTTAGAATTATATAACAATTTACTTAAAAAACACTATTAAAAATAGTAGGATGCTAGCTAATCGAATTAAAAATTATGATAAATAAAGTGCTTTACTATTAACCAAAATAAGATATCTCAATAGTGATATGGCAATAATCTATTATGATCCAGCCCATCCAATTGCCATCATAATATTATCAAGCATTAGACTTTTTATTTTTTTAACAATATAATTTAATTCATATATATTATTATTTAAATTATGTAAAAATAAACAACTTTAACAGATTTTACTATTTTATAAAAATTAGGTGAAGGCTCTTTTGGATAGGTGTATAAAGTATTTATGATATTTATATATTTTGGTTAAACGAAACAATGATAATTAAGAATATGCCATGAAAAAAGTTCGAATGGGTAATCTAAAATTAAGAGAGAGGGAAAATGCATTAAATGAAATAAGAATCCTTGCTTCAATCTAAGATTAGAACATTATAGGATACAAAGAGGCCTTTTTTGATGAATAATCAAATTGTTTATGTGTCATAATGGAATATGCATCTGGAGGAGACATTGCTAAATAAATATAAAATTCAATTCGCAAACATACCCTAATAGAAGAAAAAGAAATTTGGAGGGCCTTAATACATATGACTAGAGGACTAAAAGTACTTCATAAAGCAGGAATATTGCATAGAGATTTAAAAAGTGCCAATGTTTTTAAATCATCAAATAGTACATATAAATTAGGAGACATGAATGTAAGTAAAGTATCACATGGAGCTATGGCAAAAACATAAACAGGAACTCCATGTAATCAAATTTAATTATTCAAGATTATGCTAGTCCTGAAGTATGGAGAGATTAACCCTATTCAAATCCTTCAGATATATGGTCTCTTGGATGTGTAATATATGAAATGGCAACTCTTAAACCACCTTTCAGAGCAACAGATCTAAAAGGTTTATTTAGAAAAATATCAGCTGGTATTTATGAAAAAATACCTAAATAATATTCATAAGAATTAAATTTCATGATTGCTTCTCTTTTAAAAGTACCACCATAATTAAGACCAACTTGTGAATAAATATTGAATGATTCTACTGTTAAAAAATATATTGATGAATTTGAACCATAATCTCCATAATAATAAAAATTAGCTAAAGCACAATTATTATAAACAATTTTATTGCCCAAAAATTTAAAATAGTTATAACAAAAATTACCTAAACCTATGTATGAAATTGATTAACCTATCTAATAAATACCTAATTAACCAAAATCTACTAGATCAGTTTCTGTAAATGAATAAAAATATACTGAAAGACCAAAGAGTTAAACTCCATAATGTTAAAAAAAATAACCTAATGTTATATCTAATTAACACATACCAAGACCTGTAATTATTCATTTCTAAACTATTAGAAAATACCATTAGCCCCTGTTAAACAATAGTAAGCTGCCCATATCTTGAAAGATCCTCAATCACATAGACCTAAAGAAAGGCCAGTTTCAGCTATGAGAGCTTAAAGTCCTTGCTCAGTTCGAAAAAGTGTTGATCAAAAATAGAACCGAAATCCAAGTCCTTTAGTTAGAAAGTCAAACCCTTATATTAAAAATAATGATGAGAACATTAATGCCAATATTATAAAGAAAAGAAATAACATTCCATTAAAAAGATGATAATCTATTATTGTATTTTTAATATAATAAATATAATTTCACAATCTTTTATAGGATATTTACTTTTTTTCATTAAACAATTAGAAAATACAATAATATTTAGAAAAAGATTTATTACAATAAGAATAATATTAAATAAAAAATTTAATCTAAAATATATGTAGATTTAGAGATTGATAAAAGTATCATTTTTGTTTATTTAATATTAAATAATATTTATATTAATTTGATAAGGTGGAATGAAAAAATGAAAAATTTTAAGTAAAACCTAATTAAACTTTTAATGCTACGAAATAAATATTTAACCATATTCTTCGTACCTTATTTAAAATTTGGATTTAGATTTCTTTATGAATTCAAAATCCCACAGAAAAGTTTACTTTTAATTAATTAAAAATTAAAAGTCTTTATAGAGTGTATATCTATTCAATTATAAAAGTATCAATTAAACAATTTTATTTAAATATTCATAATCAGATCTCACAACTTGCCTAGTAATTCTTTATAATAAGGATTTTTTTAATTGATCACAAAAATGGAAGTGTTTTTTATGATTTTTCGAAATAATAACAAAAATATTAAAGAATAAACATATAATTTATAACTTAATGAAAGTTAGTTTCTAACCATCCATTTAAGAAACTCTAAATTAATTAACTTGTTTTCTTATTCTTCAATTACTTGTTTATTCCTAGGTTGTTCGTAAGAGGAATTAGTATTTGGATTTTTTTTGAGCAGAGCAATTAAACAGATTTAAAAGCTTGATTCACTTTTTAATCCAAAAAAACTCTATATTTTCCTATATTGTTTGTGGAAATTAAGAAGTCTTAACCATATATCCTTCATCTATTGTTTTCAATAAATTGCGAAATTACTCTTATAATTTCTTGAAGAGACATTATAGAAATTTGGTTATAAAAATTATTAACATTGTAATTTAGAAAATATAAAAACAGTTTATAAAATGTTAATCATTCTATTGGAATACTAGAGAGGATTATTTGGAAAATTTCGTTATACTAATTCTATAATATTGTTCTAATTAAATTAAAATATTTTATAATAACAATTCAGATTTAATATTTAAAGAATATATTATCTTTTACTCTAAATTTAATATCAACTTGTCAATTTTAAATATAATTATTTATCAATAATCAAAAAAATGAAAAAAGAATTTGAAAAATAAAAGAAGAAATATATTGGTCTGACAGAAATCTTTAACAAAATGATATAGATTACATTGCAATCTTAAAAAAGCATAACATTGAACTCAACAGTATAATTGATACTTCTCTTTATGTGTAAATTTTAGTTGACATTCTTTTTATTTTATGTTAATTATGAATGGTAAGATGCAAAAAATTTATATATGTTTAACAAAGTTTTACTTTTAATATTTCGAATTGATATATTCTTGTAAACATTTGAAGTTATCAACAGGTTTGTTATATATTTGATACTAAGTATTCTAATAATTGAAAAGCTTTTTTGTGGCTTTTTATTATGGGATGGGATTAATAAAACGAAATATATATATTTAAATAAAATACTTGGGGTTTATATTTAATTATATTATGGATAGTTTCATATTTTATTTACAACATTAACTTGTTTATTCTTAACTCATTAATATAATTAATTGTAAGTAAACAACCTTAATTATATTCATTTATTATTTGGAATTTTATGTTTTTTATTATTGTAATTAGAAGCAATTTATCATTTATTAATAAGTGAATAATCAATAGATGGAAAAATTATATGTTTTGATAGATTAAGAATCACAGTTAAAGAATACATTATTTAATTTTTAAATTTGATTATTATCATTCTATTTTCAGTAGTAAAAAATTCTGAAATTGTTTTATGGATAATTCATTTATTAGTATTATTAAGTACTTCAATAAATATAATTAATTTATAAGAAAATCAAACAATTATAGAAAACAATAAAAAGTTTATTATTTACTTTTCTGATTCATTTACTATTGTTTATATCTTTTATTCATTAATCTAATAAATTGTTTAAAGATAAGATTTTTAAGTATTAATTTATACATTCTTTTCATTTCCATTATTACTAAAAATAATATTAACATTTGATAATTTGAACAATACAAAATTAGATCATTTAGCATTTTCTAAATCAAAAGTAGATATTTTTGCAATAACTCAATTTTTAATAAAAAAGTAAAATAATTAGTTTCAACCTGTATTATTTAAATTATATATTCATAATTATCATTAAAAAAAATGTAAAAATGTAAAATGTATTTGTAATCAATAAATAATGTACTTAGATCCAAAAGATGCAGCTACACTTACATAAGAAATTGATAAAGATTTTGTTCATTAAAAATTAAAACAAATTAGAAAATATCTTTTTACTTAAAGCATTGCTAATATAGATGAAATATAATATTATACAATTATGTATGGTATATTGTTAGCAAATAATGGATGGCCAATTTAATCAATAAAACATTTTAATTAGTTAGTGTATGGGAAATCTAGTTCTAAAAGTTCAGCCATAAGTGTTAACTAAAGTCTGTAAAATCCCCATTCTTTTTCAGCAACTATAAGAAAAGATTCTTCATCTTAAACATAAACAGATCCTGAAAAATAGCTTGATAATATTAAAAAAAGCAATAAAGCCAAATCTTATTAATATTCTATCCCTTATTAAGTCAACTTTGATTAAATATAATTGTCAAAAATATTTTACATTTAAAATGAAATCAAAGAAAACTTAAGATATTTGTTTGGCAATTCTACTTTAACTGCAGAAATGCATAATTTATCTGAATAAATACAAATTTTTATGTAATAAGAAATGATGTTAGATAAGTATGTCAATGAAATTAAGAAAATATTAAAAATGAAACTTAAATATTTTGAAAATTTAATGATTTTAATAAAGGAAAAGAGAATGTCAGATCTTATGAAATAATTAATGGATATTACTAATAAAATGATTTTATTTAAAAATTCATTACAATCATAATATGAAATCATTTAAAGTAAAAGATTATAATCATTATAAATATTTTATGAAGCTGAAATATTTAAAAATTACTTAGATGCATTTAAAATGCATAATTAATCAACTCTATCATAAGAATAAATATAAATAATTAATAAAAATCTCAATATTAATTTTAATTCAAATGATATGAGCTATATTATTTTATAAATAGATGATGATCTTTAAAATGCAGAAATACTAAAATATTCATCAAATATATTATAAATAATTGATTATAATTCTAATGAAGAATTAACTTTTGAATAATTATTATTACCATTTATTTTAAGAGAGCATCCTTTATTAATTTCTAGATTTTTTAAAATTGGATAATCAAAATATTATAAATAATTTAATTAAACATTTATAAGAACATAAAATAATATAGCTAAATCTATTGCATTTACTTTCGATAATATTGTTTAACATAAGCAGGATAAAATTATCTTAGTTGGATTATTGCAAGAAATAATAATTCAATAACCTTTTATTATGATTGATGTAAATTAAGTAGTAGGTGGTATTACTAATGCTTTTTTCTCATTATTAGGATACAATTAATAATTTATTGATACCATTTGTGACTTTTCAATATTTTATCAATTAAAGATTTCATAAATATTTCCTAGTTTTAATGATATAACTTAAAATGAAGATTAATAATAACCAATTATGAAATTTAATAATGTTGATACTTATTTTATAGATTTAGAAATATTAATTAATGAATTTACTATTGAAAATAGCAATACTTTAAAATAATAGTCTGTAATTTTAAATAAATTATGGGGTAGGTAAAATTGTACTAAGTTCTATTTAACAAACATTACAATATAATCATATCATCTTTATGGATTTTATTATTACATAATACATTTAGATTCATCATTTTAAAGAACAGAAGGTGTGAATAGCAGTAAAACTTAGGATAGATATAGTGAAGATAGGAAAAAATCAGAGCTATCATAAAATTTTTAAATAAGTCACTTAGATATGTCTTTAGAAGAAGCATAACCAGGAACAATCAATTAGATTTCAATTTAAAGTAGAGAAGGATATTCAGAAAAAAGTTAAACAAAAAATAAAAATATAAAATTATTTTAAGTTTAAGAAGTTTTATAAGAAGATGTAGAATAGAAAGTAGATTAATATTTATAAGTACTCTCACCTAATAAAAGTACAAGTTAATTAATTGATAATTAAAGAGATAAATTTATTTAATAAACTATATAATAGGACTATTATACTGTTAATACAAGTTAAAAATAAAATAAATTGAATCGAAGCAATGATCATAAAGAATAAAATATTAAAGGAGATTAAATAATAGGTCAACTCTTTAGAGATTCTTTGAAAAATACTGAATATGGTGTAGGTAACAGTGAAGTAATAAAGAAGTATGAATTATTAAGTAGATTAACAAAAGAAAAAACACCTTAAATACTAAAATTAGCAATTAGTACAATAGTGATTTTCATCTTGATATAAACTATTTCTCTATCATTAGTTGTCTCTATTCTTAATAATGATATTCTATAATTTATATCAGATGTTGAGATTATAGCTTTACATGCAAGCATTTAAGGACCACATGACTTATTTTTTTCAATGCGAAATACTATCTCTGCATATCAATAAATGGGAAGAGAAGGTTATATACCAAATTCCATAGTACCAAATTTAACTGCACCTTACGAAAAAAATTTAGGATTAGGTTATTATGAATTGAGAGATAGTTTTTATAAATAACTTGATAATGAATATTTAAGAGGTTTTCTTGATGGAGAAAGTATGGAATTACTTTTTATGAAAAATAATGATACATAAAATTATGCTTTAGAAATAAAGACTTTTAGAGAATGTTTGTTTATCATTTTACAATATCAATATGCATAAATGAGAGTATTGTAAAATAAATTGAGTGCTTCTGGATAACCATTTTAAGTATTTTTATTTTCTAATTATTACAATATTCAAGATAAACTTGAAAATATAACAAATGATATATTGTAGTATTCAAAGACAAGAAGTGTAGAAGTTGGTGAGAAATGGAGTTCAATTAGTATTTGTTTTTCAATTTTAATTTTAGTAATAGCATTTACTATTGTATTTTAGCTTCATTAATATTATAAATTATATGATAGATTTTTATAGTTATTAAATTTTATGGATAAACAAAAAGTTTAATTTGAAATTGAAAAATTAAATTAATTGTTAAAAGTAATAATATCTAATTAAGAATGTGTTTATTCTTATTAATTTGATCTTTAACATTAAGAATCATTAATGTAAAATTATGTATCTTTAAATAAAATATCAAATTCTAAGAAAAATTTAGAAAATAATTCATAGATTTAAATTCCAAGAAGATATTTTTTAATAATTTGGACTATTATTGCTTGTGTTTTTTAAGTTTATATAATTGTGACACAAATTAAAACAAATGAATATATTAGTAAATATGATGATACTGCAGATTTCTATTTTATGATATAAAATTTAAAATTTAGAAGTGGTTCTATGTATATGTATAGAGAACATCTTTTTAGATTTAAAAATTTTACTTATTTAACAACTTATGATTTATAGAGAGCATATTAATTAATAGATAAAGCATAAAATAATATATAACAATATTTAGATTTTACAAATTCATTTTAAGAAAACAAATATTTATTATCTGATGAATTTATCTCATTCTTTTAGTATTAATAAAATAATAATTTATGTGAATTTATAGATTAAGTAAATTAATTAATAATTATTTATAGATTTATTTAAATTTTATGTCTTTGTATTGTGAAAAATCATTTGATGGTTTATTGAAATAAGGTTCAATATCTGTTCTTAATTTTATGTCAAATTAAATAAAAAATCAATAAGCTGTTAATAATTTTACAAAAAGAGTTGATGTAGATCTTTATGAATTAGAAGGATCTTAAATAGTAATGAGATCTTTTTTTAGAATTTCAGATGAATTTTAAATTGGATTAAAATAAATAACAACTGCATAAAATTAATTCACACTCATCATTACTATAATATTCATTATATATTTGACAATTTTCTTATATGTCATATTATTTATAGTTAAAAAACTATTAATAAAGGAATATGCATTGTTAAGAAGAATAGTTTATTTGATTCCATAATAGATTGTATTAGGAGATGAATCATTTGAAAGATTTCTTAAATAATTAGCATTAACTTAAGAATTAAAATGATTAATATTTATAAATTTTGTTATATTATACAAATATAAAATATTACGTATTTTGAATAATTAAGATATCAACATTAATCATTTACAATAAATGAAAGTTGACAAAGATGATCAAATTCTAAATTTCTCAGACTCTGATGCAAATATTGAGACTAATTAATCAACTTTATGTGAAGATCATTTGGATGAGAATATGAAAAATTAATAATTGAGTGCTGCTTTGATTTTATCATAAAACAATTAGCATGAAAGTATTTAATATAATGAATTAGGAATGCTAAAGAAATAGAGTGAAAATTCATACCTCATAAATAATAGAACCTTTTAAGAATAAAGGTAATTCATTTTGAGAACTTTATGTTTGATTTAATTTCATTTATTGGGACCATTAATACTTTGTGTATTTTGCATGTTTAAGACATTTATTGTAGAATTACTATATGATAAAGAGGAATAGAAATTTTCTTTTTTATTTTATATTAGTGTAGCTTTAGAGATATTCATTTTATTTTCAGTTACTCTATCAAGGAAAAATGCTAGAAAAACTCCTTATGCTTAGAGTGCATATGTCTTTTTTGGCATTTTCTTATCATTTATTTTGGCTGGATTATATTCTTCCACGTATTATTCTGAGAATTAAAATGTAGGATTTATAATTCTTGCAATAATAAATATTTTTTAAGGATCAAATGCTGGAGCATTATTTTATTTTGCTACTTTGAAATAAAAAAAATCAACATTATGTACAACTTTATTTAAATATAGATTCATTACCATTTATTTGTATTTTTCCATTACTTCTAAGTTTAATTTATATGTTCTTTATGTAAAATGAAATTCTAAAAATTGCTTGTTGGATGATTGCTATAATTTCAATAGTTTTAGCTATTTTATCAGTGAATGCCTTGTATTAAATAATAGATGGAGCTGTATATGAAATTTTAATTATAATTTAGTTTAAATTAGAGAAAGAACAACATTGCATAGCTACAATATTCATATATATAAAAATGATAGTTTTTTGCAAAGAATTTTGATTGAATTATTTATTTATAATTTTTATTATAATATGGATAGTATTAGAGAACGACTTTTACAATTAGATTAATAAGCACAATAATTCTAACAATAAAATAAATATTTAGAGGCATTGAATGTTTTTGAGGAAATGCTTATGATAAAAAAGTCAGCATATGGTGAGGATTCTGAAGAATATTTCAAAACTAGTGATAAATTGTGTGAATTATGTAACTTAATAGCTATGATTTTCTTATAAAAAGAAAAATTTGATGCATCATTAGAATTCTTGAAGAAAGCAGACATGTTAGCACAATCCAGTACTAGATATAAGTATTAATGTCTTTATATTTATTCTTTTTTTATTAGAGCCATTACTTATAATAATTTAGCTTGTTTCTACAGGAGAAATGGGAAATTAAGAAGTGCTCTATAATATTTACAATAAGCATTAGAAATAGAAATTCGATAAGAAGCAGCACCTTCTTTGGCTGATACCCATTTAAATATGTGTGCTGTGTTATCTTAATTAAATAGAGTAAGGAATGTTATATAATAGCACGCTGAAGCATTGGAACATGCATTAATATCAGTAGTATTATTATAAGATGAATTTTTAATGAAACCACCAGATTAGAAAATGGAATAAAGTTAGAATTAAGATTAAAAATCAGGAGAACAAAAGATGAAAGATAGAGTGGCTGTCTTAGCTATTGCTTATCATAACTTAGGAGTAGAATTTGAATATTTAAAGAGATTTGATGAAGCAATTTAAACATATTAAAAAGCTGTTAGATTTGGTGAACTTCATCTACCACCAGATCATTAATTAGTAATAATATAGAATTAGACAATTTTTAGATAGGAAATTTAAAGAATGTTTTAGGAAATGCATAAGAATAAATTAATTAATAAAGAGCAAAGGATAATAATAAGAGATAATAGAAAGAATTACAAAGTAGAAATCAAAATAAAAGAAAATTAGTAGAAGTTGAAACTACATATAAATAGAATAATAAAAAGAAAACAGATAAAATTGTTTAACATTAATAACAATAATAAGTTATGGGATAAACAATGCGTTCCAATCCATAAAATAATAGTGTTAATATTAGAGAAGATGATTAAGAATAATAAGGTAATGTTTAATAAGAATCCAGTTATAATGATCATGATGAATTACAATAAGAAGCTTAAACTTAATTATAATAGCATCAATAATAATGAAATAACATTCATATAAATATATATATATATATATATAATTATTTATTTTATTTGTATATGAAGTAAAAATAATAATCTGATTAAAAAAACACTAAAATGAAGACAGACATAAATGATATCAGATTCTTAATGTAATAAAATAATGAATTGATGTAATAAATCTCACATCGTCTAAATAATAGAAATTAAGTATTTTAATTAGAATAGTAATTAAAGACAGAAAGAAAATAATTCATAAATACTTCTAGAAAAGTGGGACTTTTAAGTAATTAACTAGAAAAAATCTAATAAATAGTGTTATCCCAAAAAGAAAAGATAAAATCACAATAATAATTAAGCAAATCCTAACTAAAATAAACTTAATAAATCCCTTAAAATTAAACTGTAGAAAAAGTTAGATCGAAGTCTTCAAATATTAGAAATGTTGATGTTGGATTTATAAAATCTAAAATTAAATAAGCATTGTAAGAAGTGATGTGTGAATATTTAGACTGATTTTAACTTTAATTCTCCTCTAATTAATATTAAATTAAAATAATACATAAATAATTTTTAAGTCCATTTTTTCATTATTATTTTATTGAAACTTTTATAGTTTCATTTAAATCATACTAAATTATTTCAATACTTGAATTCTCTAGAATCACTCAAATAAATATCAATAATTAATTAAAAAATCTTAATATTAAATAAAAGTATTCAATTTAAGTTTTATTAAAATTAGATCTAATCTTTAGAATTTCCAAATAAATTATTATAAACATAAAGAATTGAGACTTTAACATAGATTATTATCTAATGTTATTTTATAGTCTTTATTAATAACATAAGACACATTTTCCATAATTTAACAGATCTTTTCAAACAAAAATATGTTATTATTAACTTTAGGAATAAATTTATTTATTGATTAAATAATCATTATCTAATTTATTTAATAAACAAAAAAAGTAAAGATATATTAAATTAATGAATTTGATTGTAATACTCAATAACCTAAAACTATAGTAAAATGTATTTCACTTTTCTAGCTTATTAATATAAGTATATTTTTTTATTTTAAACAAGACTACTTCACTATTAGAACAATATAAGTGTTTTAATAGAAGATGTTAAGAATGAGATTTATAATTATTTTCTTATCTTATAATTTTGAATTTAGTATTAATTCAATAAATAAATTATAGTTTAAACTATATTTCAGAGTTTCTAGAATATTATTTAAGTTTTAATACAGAATTATGTTATTCATCAAAGGGATTTACAAGTATATCATCAATAGGGAGTCATAAAATCTTTGGGATTCATAGAAATAGCATAAGTTGGTATATTGTATGTTTCTGTTGTTGAAAATTAAAAATTAGGATAATTACCATTAAGTCTAATTTGTCAATAATGAAATTTAATCAAAAGTAATCCATTAATGATTTAACGAAGATATTTAAATATATTTGATAGAAATCGATGAAAGTTAGATCATAATTTCTATATTAAAATAGATTTGTAACAATTTCAAAAACGGAATTTGACAACTACATTGGAATTAATCTATTATTCAAATATAAATGTAGATTTTATCCATATGTTTTATTGGTTTGAATATTTTGATTATTATCTATTTCTTTTGTACTTTACCAGTGATAATGATTAAGGTATTGATATAAGCAAGAATATATTTGTATTTATCACTTTAAGAACTATTTAATTAATGATTAATCATTATGAATATCATATTTGAATGATTGGATCATATGAGAAATACTGATATTTTAAAGATTTTTTAATGAAATTCATTATATTATTTTATTTATTTTAAAAGTTATTAAGATGGGTTCATTTAAAAATACAGTATTGATACTTATTTTACTCGTAACATACGGACAGGGATACACTATAAGAAGTATAACAGCATATTAGAATTGTGATGTTAAATGGGGTAGAGAATAGTTAAACAATAATTCCTCTAAATCAATCTGTTAATATGGTAGTTTATTAAGTTGTGTTGCTATGATATTATAAACAAGTAGTAAGCCAATAAATAGCAGACCTGTTAACCCAGCAGTATTAAATAAATACTTGATGAATAATAATGGGTTTAAATAAGGAGATGAAGTTAATTTTTCTGCTTTGGAGTAAGTAGGTTTACATTTTGTGAAAACTGTTTCAGATTTAAAGACAGCTTAAGGTATTATTGAAGTTAATTATAGAATATTTTAATTCTAATCACTACATTGTATTGAATATAAATTATGGAAAAAATTATGGTGTTTTAATTGGATTTGATGATTCAGATAAATCAAATGTTATTTATTACATTAACAATCCAATTATTCCTTCAGAAACTAAAGTTGCAGCAAAAGATATTAGTGTGGCCATAATATTTAAAGCCCTTTGAAAATATAGGATATATAAGAACAAATATTAAACATAATTTTTGAACATAATATCATTTAATACTCAATAATCATCTGGTGCAATAACATCATCTATTTTCAATATCATTTTGACAACTTGGGTAGCTAATTAGATTTATTGTTTCTTTGAACTCAATGTTTCATAAATTCTTTATTCTTTCATATCAGTTGTACCCTAATAAATATTATATATAGATAATTACTAATTCCATACAATCAATTCCAATTCTTGGATTATTTTCTTTTAATTGTCTTGACTTGGCTTGAGCAACAGATGTAATAGGATTAAGACCACAATTATCTGCTAAACAACAAGGAATACCCTCTAAAGCATCTGCAAATGATCTGATGGCATATTATTCAACAGATGAAACCTAAACTTTATTAATTAATTACTTCATCAGCATATTATAAAACTTAAATAGCACAAGCTAATTCAGCAGAACCTCCACCATATACAATTCTATTATCTTTGATTAAGTTTCTAATAACACAAATTGCATCATGAATTGATCTTTTAGCTTCATCAACAATCATTTGACTTCCTCCTCTAATTAAAATAGTGACAGCTTTAGTGCATTAACAATTTTCAATGACTAACATTCTTTCATTAGAAGTTCCAAATTATACTTCTTTGACACAACCAGCTTTTCCTAATTTTTCAGGTGTAATTTCTTAAAATCTTGGAATTATTCTAGCTCCAGTAGCCATAGCAATAAGTTCTACATCAGTTCCTGAAACCCATCTAACAGCAGGTAATTCATTTTATAATAATAAGTGATTAGCTTCATCATCAAAACCCCATTAACATAATGCAATATTTGCACCACTAGCTTTGACTAATTTGACCATATCTACAAAGTATTATTATTCTTATTAATATAATTTCTTATAATCTTCTGCACTAGAAATATTTATATTGTGTTTAGTTTTAGGTTTAGGTGGTTCAAATGGACATGTTAATAAACATATTCTAGCATCATTTACTTCTTTTGGCATTTATGGATGACTCATATCTTTATCAATAAGTATTCCTGAAATCAATCTAGTATCTTCTACACTTCCACCAGTTTTAGTTTGAATTTTAATCAAATCCAAATTCACATCTCTTCTAGCTAAATCAGCAACATCTAAAACAGCAGTGACTGCAATCTTTCCAAGTTCTCTCTTTCTTTTAGATACAACTTTTGATCCAAGTGCTGTACATGCTGCTTAGATCAAAGCTTCATGTTCATTGGCTTGGATATCAATTTCTTCAGATATTGTTTCCAAATGTTCTAGACTATTAGAATAATGAATTTATACTTATAGCAACATCACATGCTCTATCAAATCCATCACTAATTTTTAATGGATGTATTCCTTTATCTAACAAAGTAAGTGCTTACTCCAATAATTTTCCAGCCAATACTACTACTCCTGTTGTACCATCTCCTATTTCAGCATCTTATGATTATGACAATTCCACTAATAATTTTGCTGTTGGATGCTATATTTCCTATAATTGATATTAATATGTTTCCATACCATCTTCTCAACTATTGTTGCACCATCATTAGTTACTGAGACATCACCATCTGGAGACACTAACATCTTATCCATTCCCTTTGGACCAAGAGAAGATGAAAGTGTATTTGCAACAGCTTTAGCAGCCAAAATATTGCTTTTATATGCTTCTAAACCCTTCATTCTCTTCTTTTGTCCTTGATCTCTTAAAATTATGTATGGTCTGCCATAGTCATCAAATGCTAAACTCATATTTTAAATAAATATTTTTAAAATTTAATCATCACCTCACAATTACTCATAATTAGAGTAACTTTGTATATATATCAAATATAAATATAAAATCTAATAGTTGCCCATTTTAATTTATTAATTATTAATATGCGTAATCGATTCCAAACATGCTCTTTCAAGAACTCAATTAATTCACTCTTATTTAATAATCCACTAACTTTAAATAAGACCAGATCATGTGAATCTCAATAATGTGGATATGCTAACAAAAAAATGTTATATGTCTCTACTATCTTACCTACTTTTCAACCTTATTAACATATCATATCAAAACTCAAAGATCAAAATATCAAATTACAACAAAGAAAACAAATCAAAATGAGAAATAAAAGACATTTGATATAAAAAAAGACCATCAGTGAAATTATGTAAAAATAAGACTAACAACCAAAAAAAAGAACTAATAGACATCATAATACTGTATTTTACAACCATTAGGCAAGTCTGCCTAATCCCCCTAATATTTGTTCTAATGATACTAGTTAAAATCCCTCCAAAGAAAATTCAAGACATTCTATATAATTGCATAGGTACAATTCACTTTCACCTCGAAAACTTTATCTAGATAAAAGGACTACTAAACTATAAACCTTTTCATAAAGATTGAAAACATTTTACTTACCTATTACTGCTCCCTTCGATTGTTTAACAATTATGAAGTTAGAAATGATAGAAGATGGTAGAGCAAAAGTTATTAAACAATAAGGTTCTCATGATGATTTTGAAGTTAACTTAAGATTATATAAATTTGAAGATGAAGACAAGAATGCTGATGATCATGGTAAAGATTAACATAATAAACTTCCCACTTTACATTAAGAAGAAGATGAGGAAGATGATTTAAGCAATGATGATAATCTTGGTAATTTAAAATAAATAACAAGCAATAATTAAAAATAAGCTTATAAAAATATATTAAAATTCAATAGACGTAGTCTCTAAAGCCTAATTGATAAATAATAATTGGGAGAAAGTAGAATAAAAGAAATATTGACTACTGGTAATTAAATTTTAATTAATTTTTTATAGAATATAGTTAAAGAGCTATAACTGCTAATTTGTCTCCCATAAGTAATTATAATCTTGGGTTTTCGCCATTGCCATCCATTAAACTCTTGGATGAAAAAAGAAAAAGACCAATTCATAAATTGCTCCCTTTAGACATCAAACCAGTTTGTCAATTTTCATTTACTAATCTGATGCCCATATCCAATATATCTCCGTCAACATAGTCCACAAAAAATAGCAATGCCAAAAAGACACTTTCTAGAAATATAATTAATGTGAAAGGGAAGAAACATAAAAAAAACATTACATTTGGATAATTGCTGATTAAAGTTTGAAAACAAATCTCATCCTAGAATAATGATTGACATATTGATATAAATTAAACTAATTTAACAATTATATGAATTGTAGAGTGATGAATTGTTTATTGATAATAAAAAATGCGTTGATAACTTATAATAACATAATAATAAGAGATAAAGAATCTTTATATAAATATAGAAATTTTAATTGATAACCTTAAATAATATTAATGTAAAATAATACATATCCTACATCAGAGCTCAATATAGAAGGAAAAACATTCAAATATTACAATTTGGTTGAATTATTTGGTGAGAAAGTAACAAGATTGCCATACTCTATAAGAATATTGTTAGAGTAGGCAGTCAGAAATTGTGATGGATTCAATGTCAAAAAAGAAGATGTTGAAAGAATATTAAATTGGGAAGATACTTCTAAAAAAGACACAGAAGTAGCTTTCAAACCTGCAAGAGTAATATTATAAGATTTTACAGGTATTGATATTATTTTATATATCTACTAGGTGTTCCTTTAGTTGTTGATTTGGCAGCTATGAGATCATAAGCTCAAGCAATGGGTAAAGATCCATAATTAATTAATCCACTATGTCCAGTAGATCTAGTGATTGATCATTCTGTACAAGTGGATTTTCATGGAAATTAAAATGCTCGAGAATAGAATGAATAGACAGAATTTGAAAGAAATTTAGAGAGATTTAGATTCTTGAAATGGGGAAGTTCAGCCTTCAAGAATTTTGAAATAGTACCACCAGGAAGTGGAATTGTACATTAGGTTAATTTAGAATACTTAGCAAGAGTAGTATTTGAGAAGGATAACCTATTATATCCAGACTCTGTAGTAGGAACAGATTCTCATACAACAATGATTAATGGTTTAGGAGTCTTAGGTTGGGGAGTAGGAGGAATAGAAGCAGAAGCAAATATGTTAGGTGAATGTACTAGCATGGTACTACCATAAGTAGTAGGATTTAAACTAACAGGATAATTGAGTGCTCATATCTCAGCAACAGATTTAGTCTTGACTTGCACAGAGATGTTAAGAAAGAAAAAAGGTATATTAAATACATAAATGATAAAGTTGTTGGAAAATTCGTTGAGTTTTACGGTCCAGGAGTATCAACATTATCTTTGGCTGATAGAGCAACTGTATCTAATATGGCACCTGAATATGGAGCAACTATGGGTTTCTTTCCAGTAGATAACAAAACAATTGATTATTTAAAATAAACAGGAAGAAGTGAAGAGAAATGCAATTTAATAACTTAATATTTGAAGGCAGCCCATTTATTTTATGAGGAAAGTTAAACTACTTTTAGTGACACTTTAGAATTAGATTTATCAACTATTCAACCTTGTGTTGCTGGTCCAAAGAGACCATAAGATAGAGTTACTTTAAATTAATTGAAATAAGAGTTTTCTTAAGGATTGACAGCTCCTGTTTCTTTTAAGGGATTCAATGTTAAAGCCACTTAAGATGTTGAATTTTAATATTAAGGATAGAAATATGGTTTGAATCATGGATCTGTTGTTATTGCAGCAATTACATCATGCACTAATACTTCAAATCCAGGAGTCATGTTAGCAGCTGGTTTAGTGGCTAAGAAAGCTGTCTAAGCTGGATTAGCAATAAGACCATACATAAAAACATCATTAAGTCCTGGATCTTAATGTGTTACATAATATTATAAGGCAGCTGGATTAGATGTGTTTTTGGATTAATTAGGTTTTCATAATACTGGTTATGGTTGTATGACATGTATTGGTAATAGTGGACCAATTGATTAAGCTGTAAGTGAAACTGTTTCAAATAATGATTTGGTTGTAGCTGCTGTATTATCAGGAAATAGAAATTTTGAAGGAAGAGTACATCCAATTACAAGAGCTAATTATTTGGCTTCTCCTCCTTTGGTTGTAGCATTTGCTTTGGCAGGTAGAGTAGATATTGATTTTGAAAATGAACCTATTGGAGTTGTAAATGGTTAAAATGTATTTTTAAAAGACATTTGGCCAACAAGAGATGAAATTAAATAATTGGAAGATTAAGTTGTTTAACCATAAATGTTTATTTAAACTTATTAATAAATAAAATAAGGAACTAAAAATTGGAATGAATTATAAGTACCAAAAGATTAACTTTATTAATGGGATGAAGTATCTACTTATATTCATCATCCTCCATACTTTTAAGGATTAAGTTTAGAATTACCAGTTATTAATCCAGTAACAAATGCTTATTGTTTAGCAGTTTTTGGAGATTCTATTACTACTGATCATATTAGTCCAGCTGGTAATATTTCAGCAAATAGTCCTGCTGGTAGATATCTTAAAGAAAGAGGAGTTGCTTAAAAAGACTTTAATACATATGGTGCAAGAAGAGGAAATGATGAAATTATGGTTAGAGGAACATTTGCAAATGTTAGAATCAAGAACAAAATGTTACAAGGAAAAGAATGTCCTAATACAATATATGTACCTACAAATGAAGTTATGGCTATTTATGATGCAGCTGAAAAGTATTTACAATCAAATCAATAAACTATTGTAATTGGAGGAGCTGAATATGGATCTGGTTCATCTAGAGATTGGGCAGCTAAAGGACCTTATCTATAAGGAGTCAAAGCTGTCATTGCAATATCATATGAAAGAATTCATAGAAGTAATCTTGCTGGAATGGGAGTTCTACCTCTTGAATTCACAAATGGATAAACTGCTGAATCTTTGGGTTTGACAGGACATGAACTATTCACTTTAAATGTTAATAAAGATAACATTAAAGTATTTTAATAATTCTAATTTAGGTTAATCAAATAGTAGAAGTTGTTGTCAAGAGATCAGATGATACTACTTTTAATTTTAACACACTCTTGAGATTGGATACTGATGTAGAGATTGAATATTATAAGCATGGAGGAATCTTATAATATGTGTTAAGAAAAATATTGAAATGAGTGTATGGTATCAAATATAAATTTATATATGATTATTTTATTTTATACATATATAATAATTACTGTTTCCAAATTCACTAAAATCACTTTTCCTGTGAATGATATAAGAGATAACATTTATTTCCTATAAAAATATGGAATCGATTTAGGTAAAGGCACATTCTCTTTCAGGGTCAGACTAACAAAACCATTTATTGAATAGACAGATGATTTTGTCTATTTCCATTTCCACATTTTTACTGATGATTATTGGCCTATGCAAAAAAGGGAATCTAGATGTATTAATAAAAGATAATTGGGTACTTATTAAGAAAGAGAAAAATTACCTTTAAATGGGGATTGGAGCAATATTTAAGAAAAGAAAATTAATTTATATTACAGAGATAAAATTTATATCGTAGCTACTTCAGATTGTGATGGGGGATTAGCAAAGGTTGAAGGGTATTAAATTGAAATTGAAATTACTTCTTTAAATAATGCATCACATTTTTCATGTGAAGATAATGGAATTTAAAAATTATATGGAATATAAATTATTGGCAGTATATTTATTGGTGCTTATTGCTTAATAAAAGGAAAGGATGATTTGTTTATTAAGTATGTCATGAGAGTACTCTTAATTGATATTATCGCTGAATTATTATTCTTCCTACATTATACTGTCTACTCATATAATGGAGTTGGAATCTATTTATTTGATTTATTAGGTAGTATTTGTAATAATACTTCACAATTATTGTTTGCATTTCTATTTATAGCATTATCATAAGGGTGGACTATTTTAAAGTAAGAACTCAATATTGTTTAAATATTACCATTCATATCTATGATTGTGATCTATCAATCAATTATGATGATTATCATTAAGTATTTTGATGGAAGCGAAGATAAATATCATAATTTTTATGGAATTGGTGGATGGTTGTTAATGTTATCAAAAATTGGATTGACATTTCTTTATTCTATTGGAATTTATAATTTATCTAAGTAAGTTAAACAAAAATAATTTATTGTATTAATTACTATAGTTGGATTCTTATATCAAATACACTATCCTGTTGTTGTATTTATTTCAGAGGTATTTGTGGTTCCTTATTGGAAAAATCGAGTAATCACAATGACCACTATTCTTATTTCACATTTATGCATGGTTTTTTGTGCTTTTATTTGTACTACAAAATCAACTGCCTATTTTTAATTGAAAAATTAGAGTTAGACTATAATCTGATTTATATATTTATATAATAATTGATTTTTAATTTCAATAAAATTATTAGTGGGAATTCACATCTTCATTCATTTCCTTCATATAATTATTATTTATAAAGTAATAATGAATGATATTGTAATTAAATCATTTACTAATTATATTTATATAAAAACAAAGTAATTTTTATTTAAAAATATTCAATTCAATGATTACTATTTAAATAATATGAATGTTTAATTATTTTTAAAATAAATATTCAAATATTTTCAAACTTTCATTATTTTTATATTGACTTTTAAGAAATTTTAAAAAATTAAGTTTAAATTCAAATCAAAGTGCTTAATATTTAGAGCAATTATATAATGTAAAAAATCTTGTTTAAATATAATTAATTTTTATGATGATATTTTTTAAGATGTATTTTATTTTTTGAATAGTGCAATTTTCACAAATATATGTGTATATTTTATACTTATCATAATCAATTATCTTCAGCATTCTCTAATATACAAGTATATCCAGGTTTATATCTAGCATTTTTCATATAAAACAAAGAGATATTTTATTAATTCTGAGGACCAAATCGTTAATCTTATTATTATTCATCCTATTAAAAATTAGTGTAATCTTAATCCTATTATTGTTCAATATTATCTAAAGATGGAAGGATAGGAAGAGCAACAATAAAGTAACGATGAGCTAAGGCTTAACTTGCATTTGGTCTTTTCAAAGGATTATATCGAAGCATTTAAGAGATTAAATCAAGGGCATCATCACTTGCTTAAGTAATTACCTATGATAAAGGTTTTGGTTAAATGTTTTTTGGAAATCTATGTTGTATTTTAGCAGCTAATTTATAACCTAATTTTTAAATAATAATTTATATACCATCTGGCCAATCCTATTCTGAAGGTGTTCCCATGATTTCACAAATCTTTTATAATTAATCAGTATCACAAGTACCAGGAAAGAGAGGCCATAATCGATATAATTCAGCCATTATACAACCTATTGCAAAGATGTCAATAGGTGAGTTGTATTCATTAGATCTCAAAATGACTTCTGGAGCTCTATACCATCTTGTAGAAACATAATCAGTGAATGGAGGAGAAGATCTAATGTCTCTTGCTAATCCAAAATCTGCTATTTTTATTGTGCCATTAGATTCTAACAAATTTTCTGGTTTTAAATCTCTATGGAAGTAACCTATTTTATGCCTATTATTATAATAGAGATTTACATGTATGCTAATCCCTATAAAGTCTAATATATGATATTTCGTATATGAATCTCATTAAAAGGCTTTTATCTATCCTTCATTAGATGATAAACATTGCGTTCCATAAATTCAAATACAAAATGCAATTCATCATTTTATTTAATAATCTCATACAATTTTACAATGTTTGGATGATGTAATTTCAAAAGTGATTTGATTTCCGGAAGATTAATGCATTCATCCCATTTGTTATATTTATGTTTCATTTTCTTAATAGCAACAATTTAACCAGTTGTTTCATCGACTGCTTTATAGACTGACCCAAAGGTTCCATCTCCTAATACCTTACCAATTTTATATTTATCCATAGTTTTTTGATAAATAATATATTAACGTAATAATTATTGAAAAAATCAAAGTTTCCATTTCATGAAAAGTCTGCTAAAATATGTAGCCTGCACCACCTTTGATGATCAATTAAACCAGAAAGAGTAGAGGCCAAAGATTAAGAAAATCTTAAGACAAAACAAAATCATTTAGAATCAATAGAAGATTACAAATAATCTTGATGATAAAATCAAAACAGAATAAAGTTTTGAAGAGAATTCCAATTAAGAAAATTATTAAAATAATGAAAATGAAGTTGAATCATCAAAAAATTAAGAATAAGATGGCAATAATATAAATTCTTAAGATTAAGAAAGTTTAAATGAGTAAACTAATAATCAATTACTTTAATAAGGCACTTTTACATTTAATCAATAACCTTTATTACATATAAGTTTGACTTATAATGAACAAAATTTCATTGTTCCAATTTATAATTATTCAAATGAATTGACAATAAAGTAATCATTAATATAGTTAAATTTATCATAAGAAAACTTATTAAAAGTATATTAAATTTGTATAAAACATTTATAATATTATTTAAAAACTCTAGAAACTATTTGGTTAAATAAGAATAATGAAAAAATTGATAATATTTATTTTCTCTAAAACTTAATGAATGAATAATCATTTGTTTAAACCAGAAATCAAAATTCATTTTGGGTAAAGAAAAAAGAATTGAAAAATGGGTATATTTAAAATATATTTAAGTTAGATTCAAATTGACATTGAAGATAAGGAAAAAGAATATAGATTAGTATTTTAGAAATTCAAAATATTATAATTTATCCAAAGCTAAAAGTTATTGAATATTGGAAAAAGATTCTCAATTGATTTAAATAAAAGTGATGATTTTTTAAAAATTATTGAAAGATTTTCTAATGACAATCAATTAACCTAAAAATCAAGAGATGAATTAAAATGGCTTATTCAAAATGAATTAATTAGTATGTTTGAATGAAATAATTATCTATTATCTTCCATACAAATATATATATATAAAATCAAAATAGTGGAAAATTCTGATAACATTCATTGAGTATTCCTAGTAACAAGAAGTGTATATCCTTATTTTGTAGATAGGTATTTTGTTGTAGAATCAGTTCCTTTTTTGTTGAAAGTTAGAAAAGGAGATTTTCGTGAAGGTTTAACAAGAACTGATTATGCAACATGATCATTATTTTTAGTCCCTCTACTATTCGATCTGCTGCTCCTAAATGTAATACTATTTTTACCTTATAGTTTAAAGATCTTAAGTAATCTTATAGTTATGAGTGACATTGATTTGCTAAATTTATATAGTAGTATGAAATGTGAATGCTTCATCATTAATATTAAGAGTTTGTTCCTAAAATATTAAAAACTCATTACTGAAGAATTCTAATGATTATTCATCCTATTTTATGTAGGTGGTGCTAATTTCTTTTTTGCATTCGAGCAGCAAAACATAATTAAAAATTTATATTTATTCAATATAAAATAATGAATTATTTTCATAGCCACAAATCAACTTATTATAAATCCTTTATATATATGATTCCATAATTTATATATTAATTCATGATGACAATCTATACATTCCATTATATTTATAAAACTTAACAGTATAATATCTAATATTTAATTAAGGCTTTAATTATATTTTATAAATGATTCTTAACAAATACTTAATTAATTATGATTCTATAATCCTTAATTTTATCAACTATTTTTTATCGAGAATATATCAGAATATATAAGTGTAAAATTATATACAAGTCCTTCTCTATTCCACTAAAATCTCTTTCTATTCAAATCACTTAAACAAACATATTTTTCATTAATAACTTATTTTCTTCTTGATGGAACACCAGGATCATCATCTCTTTTACTTTTTGCACTATTTTTTTCAACTTAAAATGATCCTCTTTCATAGTTGTATCATCATCTGAAGATTTTTCCTCTCAAAGAGAAATTTATAATTCTCTTTTTTTGTAAGCTTTAGTTACTTCCAGATATTTAACCTTCTACAAAAAGATATACAGTTTTAATAAATGAGATACATGCTGAAGAAGATTCAGAATCTTTAGTAAGAGATTTTCCATATTTTGAATGATCTTTTGTGTATTTATGTGTATATGTCATATTGATATCCTTTTTATTCCTTGATTTAGCACTTCCACATTTTTAATTTTTTAATTCTTTTACACTCTCTGGATATTTTAATCCTGATTTTTATATTGCATTACCCATGATTCCCTTATAAAATCTTAGTCAGATTAATTGTTACAAATTCAGCAAAAAATATTTTCAAAATTTCCATTTTTTTAAATTATTTCAAAAGATTTACCAGGTCTCGTATTGATTGTAAATTATTAATATAATTCTTTCTGTAATATTTATAATTGATTACAGATTTCTTATAAATATCAAGTGTTGAACCTTTACCAGATTTTCTAGAATTCTATAATTCAATCAATTTTTCATATTCAATAAACTTGGAAGTTTAAGTAGGATTTGAATTTATTGAGTAAATACTAATTTCTACCTCTAAATATAAATCTACCAAATTCTTTTGTTATCACCAATAAAAGTAAAAATCTGAAAGTAAGAATATTTTTCTATCTATGATTTAAGAGTTTTAAAAATGGTGAAATTTTCTTATAGTGAATAATAAACACTCCAAAATGATTTATATTTATTATAAATGAACATATTTGTAAATTGTTTTAATTTTATTTTCATTATAACAAATCTTTCTTAACTATAATTATATGATCCTGCAGAAATACTAAATTTTTTATCATTTTAATTGCAATTAAATATCTAATTCAAATGATTTTATTATATTACAAAAGAATTAATATAATTTATCATTATTCAAAATCATCATCAGCATTTGGATCTATTATTCTAGCATTTTCATTGTTTACAATATGACTAATCAATGATTAACCTGATTAAATCTTTTAGAAATATTAATTTCTAAACTCTGAAAAATGATAAAGTAAAATCTCTTCATATAGCATATCTAAAAATATTTGTTGAAATATCTACCTTTCAATTGCTCTTTAGTCAATTCATATTTTTCAAACTCGAATTCCAAAGGATTAACTGGAAGAGATGTTGGCTTAAGTAAAATAAGGATTACTCATTTACTTCATCTTCTTCACTATGTAAAATCTATAGATATGAATGTTTTAATGCTTAAGCAGCTGTTAAACGAACTCGATGATCAAATCTCAAAAGTCCTTTCAATAAATCCAGAACTAATAATAATTGTTAATATTTTTAATACGATCTTAATTAATATGACCAAATATTTAATTTAATCCAATACCATTTTAATGACCATATTCTTGAATTATTTTTCTTAAATTTTATTGAACTTTTAGATCTGGAAATGATTGAATATATTGTTCATTTGGAGTTCCTAATAATTCAAAAATAACCTTGATCTAATGTTTAGTAGAATCCCCTCTTAAAAATGGTCTTCTTAGTATCATCTCAGCTAAAATACAACCAACTGACCAAATATCAACTAAAAAATAAGACATTTATATTTACCAGCTGAATTGTAATTTTAATATCCAATTAATAATTCAGGAGCTCTGTACCATCTAGTTTCAACATAATATGTCATCATAATATTATTTTAAATGTTTTCTGCTATTGCTCTACCTAAACCAAAATCACATATCTTAACATCACAACTTCTATTTAATAATAAATTTCTTGGTTTCTAAAATAAATATGAATAATTACTAAATCTCTATGTAAAATACCAGCTGAATGCAAATATTTTAATCCTCTCAACACTTGGTAAATAAATAATCGCATATGATCATCATTTAAGATTGAATCACTTTTTATAACTTAAGATAAATCTGCTTCCAATAAATCCATCACCATATAAACATCTTCAAATTCTTCTCGACTTGGAGGCAATAAGACTTATTTTAAATCTACTACCTAAATTTCTATTTGAACATCTATCATACATTATCATGTCTAATTAATCTTAGAATTTTCAATTCCCTTAGGGTTCTCTTTGCGAATAAGCGATGATTGAATGTTCTTTCTATTTTCTTTATTGCGACAGGCTTATTTGTTAATTTATCTATTGCTTGTATTACACAACCATAGGCACCTTGGCCAACTGAATTTATTAAATAAATGATCACTTATATCAATAGGCATATATCTTTGATCTAAATAAAATGTATGTCCTTATAAAACATGTTTAACACTTTCAAACTATTTTTTATAAGGCTTGTATAAATCAATGATTTTTTAAGGTACATTTGATTCTATTATCATATTAATAATCTTAATATTTATATTTTATTAAATTCATTGCTTTTATATTTTAGTATTCTTTAAAAAAAGCTAAATTATATAAAACATTTTTATTTTAAATTTAGATTTCTATGTTTTTAATATGAAACTCAAACTAAATTATATAATTATTATTTCATATATACTAAATGAAGTATTTTATGAAGACTATACTATATTTCTATTTGAAAATAAATGAGTTTACTTTTATTTTCAAATTTAATATTAAAATTTTTATTTTTATATTCTTTTATGTTATTTTATTGATGAATGACCTTAAATTCAATACTATTTCTAAATTGTTTTTTTCAACAACCTTGTTATAATAATAGAACATTTTTCAAATTATATATTTAAAGATTTGTAGATGTAGAATTGCCAATTATGTAGTAAAATCATTTTATTTCAGAAAATTATTTAATAAACTCATCTATTTACTTCGGATATCTATTAGGTTTGAGTAATTCTCCATCAAAATTATACTCTTATCAAAAATTAATTTAAAATGTTCTTATTAGTAGTCCGAAAAACAGAAAGACAAAGTATTATTTGAATTAAAAAAATAGAATTAGGTTTCCGTTATCTTAAAATATTCTGCTTTTAATGCAATGATGTATGGTTTATTCAAGGAATCTATAGATTTTAATAAACTAAAATTATTCAAATTTATAATTAAAGAAACAAGAATTTCTCTGAATAGATTTCATTAAGAGTATGATAATAAAAATAATTTAAATTAAAATCAAAGTAGTTTGTTTTTGAAATGATCTGTTTTATAAATATATTGCAATATAATTTACAAGACTTTCTATACAATTAATAGCTCAGATTTAATGATAATTGTAATATAGTTTATTTGCTTATGATTTTAAGATAATATTAGCATTAATTACTTATTGTCTGCAATATAAATATTTTTTAATTCTAGAAGCACTGGAAATCATTTTTTAATATATTTAGGCATCTTTTAATTAGACATTTGAAATTAATGAATTTTAATTTAATTTGAAATAATTTTTATTGTTATTTATATAATCTTCATTAGAATATAATTTTATAAAATATGAGAAATAGTTTTAGCACTGTCATTAATATCATATTAGAATGATTAAAATTATAAAATAATGAATGAACAGTTGCTAAATGATTGTTTATAAATTTGTCCATCTACACTGTCGGACTTCTTTTTGCCTACATTTCCAAAGATAGAATGAGATAATAGTGCACATGAACCTCGTAGTAGTTTATAATTTATCTAAATCTGATATGTAAAAATAATTAAAATGATAAACCTCACTTTAAATGCAGTAATTTGAATGCCTAATAATATTCAGTTTTTAGATAATAATTTGAAAAGTCTGAACAAAAAAAGGTAATATGAAAAATATGACTTTGAACATTGATCATGATAATAAATGTCAATTTCGCAAGATTTTATATATGGGATGTAATTAACATACTTCAACTCTGATTCGATTTTTAATAAAAATCATACTCATTAACAAGCTTGCCTTTGATTAGAATTTTAATGGTGAGGTTTTGCTTTCTTGAATTCGAAATTGGCTTCACTTCAGCTTACTTAGGTGGTCTATGTCTCAAATTATACAGTATGGTTTTGGCTGTGGAATAATTTAAACTACAAATAACAGCTGCCTAATATAAAATATATGTATAGTTAAGTACATCTTTTATCCTAAATTTTTTATCGAGGACGAGAGAAATTAACTGATTCTTTCTATCAGGAGAAATATGACAGTATTTTCTTTTTGATTTTTGAATAGAAGGCTAAATGCCTTTCTGTTATTAACGGGTTTTAACTCTGTAAGTATGGAGTGAAGATAAAGAAGCATCATCGAAATTCATCACAATTCTTGAAATTAGAAGTGTTAAAAAAAGATTTTTTAAATAATTTTCTAAAGGAATAAATTAAGTTATCAACTCAGATACAGGAAATCAAGGTTTGTGTATAATGAAATAAATTATAATTCGTATTTTCCAGTTTATAAAATTTCGCTATTATATTAATAGTTGTCTAGCAGACATAAAAACACTGAATCAATTAATCGAAATTGATATTATTAATATAAATTAAATCATAATTTTGGGTGCTGACTCTTCAACATCTCCACAACCTCAATAACTTCTTTACAAATACGCTAAATTGATTTCAAATCTGCATTCTGATGAATCGGTAGATACAGAATCTGATAGATATCAACTAAAATCAATTTACATTTTTAAAATATGCTAAAGTACTGTTTGGATATTAATAGGAACTTCCAATAGGGCTTTCTACAATATCTAATTATGTCACTCCCATATAGGCATCAATTCCCCTTGAATTTAAAACCTTATAGGTGGTTTCAGGATCTGGAACAACTACCGGATAAAGCCTTACATAACATTAACTTTAAATATTTTACCAAAATTTTCTATCTTCCACTGCATGTCCTGGTACAAGTAAGCCACCCTTCTTTAAAATACTCTGACCAACCAATTATCGAGAAATAGATATATTGAATTAATCAGTATCAAAAGTTTTCATTCTCAAAGCCAACATAACCATCATAGGATCAGGAACTCTAAATCGATAAGTTTATAGAATATCATCTGGATTTTTTTGAAATCCTCTAATACTATTGACCACAAATTCTTTGTAATCCCAATTTGGAAAGAAATTAATAAAAATCCATCTAGAACTCCTATTTATTGTTCTGCTATTTAATAAAATCATTGGGATTAAATTTTTTAAAGTTCTCTTGAAATAACTAAGTTATTTTATTTAAATATTACTTTCTTTATGACCATTTAGGATAGGTTTCTTGAATGGCTTTCATCTTTCTATAAAGAGCTTCATTATTTCTAATGACACTTATAGAGCCACCAAAAGCAGAACAAGTTTTTATGGAACCAAAACTAAAAGTGGAAAAATCCACATTAGGATTTACTATATATTATATAGTTGATTTTACATTTAGCATTAGGTGCACTAAAACTTTCTGCTTCATCTTCCATTATAAACAATCCTTTTGATTTTGCCCAATCAATAATATCTGATGCATCAAATTTAGCTCCAAACACATATGAAATCATTATTCCTTTTGTCTAATTATATGATTGAAAAATACCTTTTCTGTGTAAAATTGTTTAAATTGATCAAGAGTGCATCCTAAAGTATGAGGATCTACTTCAATAGGTACAGGTATTAGACCATTTAATCTTAACACTTAAACCATATCTGGTATGTTTATTCCTGTAATTATAACTTCAGAACCTGGTGGCCAATTTAAAGCCTTTTATAATGAAAATGGTCTTTACTTGTAATACTAAATCTGTTGAAGCTCTAACACATAGAGTAACTAGTATTTTTTAATTTTTCAATCCTCCAAGCCAAATTTCTTCTATCTAAGAAATTTAGATTATCTCTTTACTTATTGAATATACTTATCTTAATCAATTGGTTTTAAGTATGACCACAATGTGTTGAAGAGATGTCTGTACTACATATCAATATATAGTGCAGAATAGGGTACTATCTAATCCGCCTTAATCATATTATGTAATTAAATAATATATTGCTATCAATTCACTATTTAACCATTTGATATGATGTTGTTTTGATCTCAATTATTTAATTCAATAGATATTGTTTATATAATTTTAGATTATCAAGTAACAATACAAAGAATGTTTAAAGTTGAAATATCAAATAATGCATAAATACATTAATTGAGAATTTCAAATTTATGCATTTATATATAGTTTAATAAAAGAGGAGTGGAAATTTAGATATTCGATTAAATATTGTTATTAATATATCAAAGACACGTCAATTGTACTGAATATAAGTAAATGAATTACCTTGTGAAATCCTATCAATTCATAATTCTCTCTGAAACATCTTCTGCATACATTCATACCATATTTTCTAATCAAACCTTATCTGGCAGCACATACTCTACATTCTATGAAATCTCAATGAGAATTACCTCTTGAATCCTTTCCATATGTTCTTGGGTGAGTTCTGAATAAATGGTTTGGCATGCTTTGTTTTATTTTATTTAAATATTTATTAAAATCATATTAAAAAAAATTACAATATAATCAGAATTATAATAGAATAGATGATAACCATAAACATAGAAACTCCTAATCATACTCGATATAATGGGCTACTTCACAAAATAGATACTACTGAAAATACAATTTTGTTATATTCTGTTGTCAACTATGGAAAAGCTCAAAGACCCATTAAATAAATCATATCAGATACAGAAAAACATAATTATTTTGTACAATTTCCTTTAGAATATGTCAAAAAAGACACAATAATTACTACAAATGATGGAAAATCATATAAAGCAAAACTTAAAAAAATAGATCTTTAAACTAAATTTCCTATTTTGTAAAATATTACATTAATGTGTAAATAATGTGAAGAAAAAGAAAGAATACCATTTGATTTCAAATCTCATAGAATGATATCATTCAATAAAAAATAGTAGATGAAAATGAAATAATCACTTCACAATTAAAATAAATCTGTTGATCTTAAATCATCCTACCCTCCTTGTTTCACCAACAATTATAGGTAAATGGCAAAATTTAAAGAATTAACAGAATAAATAGGTTATAGACCTAAATTAAAGTGTAAAAATTGAGTCTGTGTTTAATAAATCTATATATAAAACTATTCTCTAATGATTTTCTTTATTCTTTTTACAATATATTCCAACTTCTTTGTGAATCAGATAGTGTTATAAATAATATCATTTATTATTTCAAAAAGAGACTCAATTATCAAGTTTACAAATGGCAATAAAACAAAGTATAAATTTTGTTTGTAATTTTTTATATACTATTTTTTATTCTTGGGTAAAATTTATTATTTATATTAATATGTTCTTCAATTTTTAAATACTTTAGATTTGTCTATCAAATTAATTAAAAGCACAATAATAATTATATTTCACTATCTCTATTCTTTTCTTTCATTCATTTTCATGTTTAAATGAATGATATGAATATATTTAATTAAGTTTTAATTCATCAAAAACTGATTTGACTCAAAAATAATAATTGAAATAGTATTTTATTCTTACCCATATTTCATCTAGGGATGAATCTAAAAAAATAAAAATTTTATTAATAATGTATTTTTAACTCAATTAGATAAATATCATCTCATTTCCTTAAGAGCTATTCTGAATTAATGTATCTAATAGGATTAAAATATATTACATATTTAAGATTTTATACTTAAATTTAAAATGCAAAAGCTTGGATAAACTTCATTGTCCATCTATTTTGTAAATTCAATATTCTAAATGTTAAATCTTTTTGTACATTAATATAAATGAGCTAATTATTTTTTATAAAATTTATCAAATGATTCTAAAACCTTATATGATCTTAAGACAATCTATTTTCATCAAAATCATATTTTACCAATTTTTCAGCATAATCAAAAGGACATAATGTAATACATAATTGTTTCTATATTTTAGAACATCTGAATTATTAAAATTAGCTCTAGTTTTTTTCTTTATTTTGTTTTGTATAAATTTATAATTAAAGTATTATAATTATAGTATGAAAAATATAATATTTAATCCAAATCTATTTGTAATATATTATTGAATTAAGAATAACAAAAACTTTTTTATCAGATTTAATGTCGCTTACAAAAGTACCAATAAATGAGAATTTATATAAATAAGCAGGGTCTCAACCTCTTCAAAAAGATGCTCAATAATTAATAAAAAGGGAATACAAAATGATATCAAAGGAAAAGAAGAAATAGTTGATACGAACTGTCCTTTAATAGAAATGCAAAATCAAAAGAGTACTCTATATTATAATATTTTCTTTAGATTGCCAAGGATCTTAAGATTAATTATGCTACTGCTAAAACCATCCTGCATAATTATAGAAAAAAAAATATTTAATTTGAACAAAATGAAAACCTTAAACAAGCTACCTACTCCAATAAAACAAAATTCTCTAAATTGAATCTCAAAATTATACTTAATGATAAAGTTGTAAAGGAATAAGAATACGTAATCACCACATTTTGAAAATAATATATATTTATGAGTATTTAAATCAAATACAACTATGAATTTTCTTTTTCTCTACATTTAAACGTGCTGGAGATCAGCAAAAGTAGTATTTCTTTATTTTATTAAATAAAAAAAGAGAGTTCAGTAAATATTTAATTAAAATATATTATTTTATAACCATAATAATACAATATATAATTGTATTTTTAATGCATAGTTGTACATTCAATTATTTCAAAGGTTTTAAGCTCTATTTGATTAAATTTGAAGAAGCTAATGTTATATGAATTAATAATATATATGAGGATGATAAAAAAGAGTATATATTACTTATAAAAAATTTGTAGAAATTATAATAATTATTATAAACAAAATTGAAAATTTTTATCTGGAAAGTATTAGATTTAATTTATTTAAGGAATATTAATAATAAATTTGAATGAGAATTATATATGTTTTAAAAGGCTAAAAATAAAATTATATAATTTTTCTTAGTAAATTTAAACAAATAATACTCATCAATAAATTAAGTGAATAGCTATAATTTTTAATAATTCAGGATTATGTGAGTTCTTTTAAAAAATCAGATTCACAACTATCATGCATATCTGAATCAGATTTTGATATTTCTGTTTATTTTTAAGTTAGAAAATATTTTTAATCAAAACTTACAATTAATGGTGTTTATTGTTTAATACAGAATTCTTAACTTGATCTGTTAGAAGAATAGAATTTATCACTACTAGTTGAAGCAGTTAATTCTGAATGTTATGTTTCAATTTACTTTTAGTAATCTTTAATGGTTATGCATTGATTAAGTAGGTTTTTGATCACATCTTGATGATGTGATGTCCATTCTTCAATAATAATAAGTGTAATTTTTTGTGATAATATTTCCTTTTTATAATTTTAGGTCATCTGAATTTCTTAATCAAATTATGAAAGTATATTATGAAAGGTATCATCATCTACTTCTGATACAATTTCTTATCTATTACTTAGAATATCATTTTAGATATTAAAAATAACAGATTATATTTGAGTTACTTTTTCTAGTAAATTTTTGAATGTTTTATCTAATTCTTATTCATGAGTATTTAATAAAGTCATTAATTCTTTCTTTTTTTATTCTAATAATGTTTAAATATATTTAAATTGATGTTCAATTCTACATTTCTATTAAGCATAATGTTTTTTAATTGTTTGTATTTTTGAATTCAAACTCTTTATACTATTTTGATCTTCTTAAGATATATAATTGCAAATGTTTAAAAATTCTTCAAGAATTTCATCTTTATTTAAAGAAGAACATAAACTTTCTTGCACACTCTAATGTATCTACCATTATTTTGACATATTAAATTATATATTATTTATATATTAACTGTATATTTTATATATTGTAATATTTTCTTGATTATTAATTTCACTCTTCATCTGAATCAGTTTAATTATTAGAATTATTATTGCCCTCCTCTGTATCATTATCATGATCAGATGGATGTTCAATAACCATTTCATAACTCTGGTTATTGTACCCTAATTTAATAATAGAAATTTAATATACCAGGTATTTTGTTATTGTTAGATAGAGTATTAAATGGAGCTAGTCTTTCATTATCTAATTCAATATCCATATTTTAAGGAGCCATCTTACCACTAAAAGTTAGATGAATGTAATCTCCCATCACTTTGCTAACTGTTGCAGTAATCCATTGATTTTAATCACTATATTTATATATAAGAAATATTTACTAAAAGTCAATCTTATCATCAACTTTAATATTTTTTTCAGTCAAATCATCATCAGTATCAAAATCATCATTTTATTTGAATGGTTCTTTAGGCAAATTGAGATATTATAATTTCTTCCAACTTAATAATTTTGCATATCCTTAAGAAGTGTTTGGTAGATAAATGTTATGTAATCTATGTTAACATTTTTGTGGAATTGAATTATTGGCAATTAATTTATCATTTGGAGGTGGCTATGTATTATTGTTTTCTATTATCCATTACCAGACTTTTTAATTTTTGACCATCCATTAATGGACTGCTTAATTTTTGAATACCATCTATAAATATTTAAGAATATATTTTATACTCTTAAAATGTATTATTAACAAACATCAGTTTCTAAAAAATATTGACCTTATTTTTGCATTGTATCCAATAACTTAGTCATTCCTGAATTAATCTAAAATTTAATATTATAATATAATACTCTTGTAATAGTAAGTTAATCCTTCATTTGAAATAATCTTTTAAGAACAACTAAATATTTTCTATATTCTTTATATTCCTTATCATTTATTTATTTTATGATTGAAGTAATAACAATATCACTTTATTTTTAATTATCCATTGATAAAGCACATAAAATATCTGATATCATTCTAATTGCTAATTTACAATCTCCTTCTTCCAAAAGTATTGAAATAAATTAAGTATCAAATTGAAGTAACATTTATTCTTCTGGAGATAACAACTATTTATATTCTCCTTTTATTAAATAAGCTATAACTCTCCATAAATACACTCTACTAGTTGAAGGACCTGAATTCATTGATTTTTCAAATTTCTTTTCCAATAATTCATCATAATAATTTGAAGCAACATCAACATTTTAATAATTTTATTATCCTAAATAATTACTTGGATCATCATTGAATTTAATTACTTTTATATCATCCATTCTTTTTACTATTTCTCTTGGAGGTATTAAATTTTTATTTGGATTTATTGATATTACTTCAATTGATAAATCCAGCAATTTACCAACTAATCTTTTTTAAATTAAATATTAAGCATTAGATTAATGCAATTTTGCAAATTTATAAAATAGATCATAAAATTCTACTGAATTTTTTAGACTCCTTTTTAATTCAGGAATCATTAATATCCAAGCATTTATTAAAGAAGCTACTAATGATTTTGGTTTATCATCAACCATCTCAAATAGATCTTTATAACCTTCTTGTTTTTAAATTGTATCAATAGCTGTAATTATCATAGAAATTACAAATTTTCTAACCATTTTCTTTGAACAATCAAATTAATATTCTTTTATATATTATGGTTAATTAAAACATTTTAATAACCATTAACTTGTTTTAGGTGATTTTCTTAATAATTCTTATATATCTAAAATATTATTTGATACAAATGTTTTATCATTTTCTCTAACTGCACATGTCAAATAAAAGAAAACTAATGTTTTTATAATTTAATCTTAAACTTATTGTTATTATAATTAGAATTTAATTAAATTCTACATAAAATTAAAATATTCTGGACTAAATATAAATCTTTGAATTTAGAATTTTCTGTTTTCATCTTTAATTTCATCTAAAAATTACATTGTTTTTTTATCCATTTCTAAATCTATTTTTTCTGATTAATCAGGTATATTTATAGGATTTATTCTTTCATAAAATAACATATAAGCACTTTTAGATTTGTCTTTTAATTGAGAAGGATATTTATTCTTTAAGAATTTATCTGCACCACCAAATGCATCATTCTTAAGATCTTTTATATCTGCAGGAGTCACAATAATATCATTGAATTCATACCATTTACTTAAATCATCTTTATCTTAAATAAATGAATAATAATGTCCACTATCTGCTGAACCCATATGAATTACAACTCCTGTTAATCTATATTAATAATATTCTTAAGGATTATCTTGTCCACTCAAATTATTAGTTCTATTTTCTTATTATCTTAATCCCTATTAAGAATAAGGAAACATATCTAATTCAAAGGGGAATTCAATTCTATCATTAATTTTTGCTTTTGCCATCAAATCAAAATCAAAATTAAATCTTTTCAAAACTAAAATGAGATGATCTGGTAATTTTTTAATACACATTCTCTTCAAAGCACTGACTTTCTTATTACATTACTCACAACTATAAGCATTATCTCCTTCAAGTAAATCTCCATGTACTAATGTTTATAAACATTCTTCTAAATTCTTTTTATTTGCAACAGGTAGAGATATAGCAAAGAAGGGTTCTTCTCTTTCAGAATAATGTGGACATGTTTTACCAATAATTTCATTTGACATTACACCACCGAAAAAACGTTTAACTAAATCTTCATCTGATGTTGATTTAATATTTAATTCAATTCTATCCATAAGTAAATTACAAAATTCATCAACATCCATTTATTCAAATATATTTGTTGGATTACCATCTAAATCTTTAAAAGCATGACAGAACTTTTTAGGATTATGATATTATTTTTGTGAATATTTCAATGCTAAAAATAAACATTTTAATTAATGTAATAAATTCTCTTCTTAAATACAAGTATTCTTATCTTCTACTTTCAATAATTTTTCTCTAAAAGCAGGAACCATATATAATTATTAAAGTAAAGAATTCATATAACAAATACATGCTAAATTATATAAACCTACATATCCTGTAGATGATTTTTCATGAAATTTACTTTAAATATTCCAATCATTTAAATTTTTAGTTCTCCAAGTATTAGTTGAATGTAATGGAGAAACAATATTTAAAAATTTATTCATATTTTATTAGTTTTTCAAAAGAGTAAATAAACAATTAAATCCTGCAGTTCTAGATTATTGAGACTTACATTTACATTTAGTTTCTCCCTCATTTTCAAATAAATAACTTAAAATCTATTCAAATAATTAATTATTATTTGATAAATTAGGAAGTTTATCTATAATTACATTCAAAAGTTTAAGTAAACCTATTAAAATTTAATCTTAATCTTTAACAGTATTTTCATTTTATGGTAATTATTAGAGTATTTATTTGATGTATGATAATAAATGTTCAAAATCAAATTTCTCAATATTTAAATCATTTTCCTATAATAAAAGATTACAACAAAATTCAAAAAGATGTTCACATTTTTATTTGTTATTTAAAATTACATCCTTTAAAACTTCATCAAGCATTATTTTAATTAATAATTTACTTTCTTAAGTATTCTTTAAATTTAATAATTAAATGCTATATTCTTTTTTAAGTTCTTAATTTTCATGTTCCACAAAATAATTATATAATTATAATTTTAATTCATTATTTTATCTGATATATTATTTACAACCAGATTCATCTAAATAATGAAAAGATCTCCTAAGAAGACGAGATTCAATTTCATTCATTTCTTTTTATTATTGAGTTTTCTTTTATCCTTATTCTAATTTTTTCTTTGTTTTTATATAATGAGAGAGTTCTTACAATATTTCTATAATTTTCTATTTAATTTATTAAATTATTTGAGGCTCTCTTATCTTTATATTTTAATGACTAAGGATATCTATATATGTTAAACAAGATTTAATTTCAAGTGGTCTTTATTAAAATTGTAATTGTTAACCTAAGAATTTTTAAGTTACCAAATCTACTCCATCAGAATTATTAAATTATTCACACCATTATCCATTTTCTAATAATGCTTATATGATTTATAATACATAAAACATATCAAAAAAAGAGTGATCTAAGTATTTTTTCCAATCTTTACAATTTTCTACTTACTTTTTTATTTAAATATTAGTAGGTAATCTATTAATTAAATCCCAAACTTAACTCAAGAATTCCATACTTTCTTATTTATCAAGTAATTTAAATAAAATATCAAATGTTCTTTGTTCTTATGAAAGGTAATTTTTAGGATGGTTTTTATTATTAATTTTTACTTTAATTGTAGCCATTTAATGAAATACTTAATTAACATAAGTTTCAATAATATCATATTATTATTCAATTGGTCTATTTTCTACAGTAATATCTAATTATGAATAAGCTATTTATAACTCTTCACTTAATTTTTATTTCCATTAATTCACTGTTATTGTATCTCCTTCTTTATATTCTTTATTAGTTATTTAATTATTAGTGTTTATGATATGAACTTTAAATGATGTATAATTGGTTGATTTTAATGATTTCTTAGAAGGTGGACCACTCTAAAAGTAATTGAATAAAGATAATAATAGATTGATTGATCTTGTAGTTAAACCAGGACATTATTATTATATTAATTCTAAACATTTATCCATCATTTCCTAATATATTTTATCACATTTAGTATCTAATTATTAATTGAGTTATGTATAAAGATTAAGTATAAAATTGGCAATTTGTTCAAGTAATACAAGATCCTTAACTTTAGCAAATATTTGCCAAATAGCATTTTTGCCTTCAAAACTATGATCATTCACTATAAAACGCATGGAATTTCCATAATATTTCAACATCTGTCTAGTTTGATTGAAGGATTTGAAAAATACTTAAAATAATTCGAAATCTTCGATTGTATAACTAAATTATTGATAAAAATATTTTACTTTTCATAATCATTCCTTTCAGGATTGCATAGAATTTAAGTGAAAAATTTAGATTCTCCTTCTTTATCAAAATATATTTAATTAATTCTAAATGAAGATATATCTGGATAATAATTACTAATAAGGATTTTATTTAATTCTCTCTTTTATATACTTCCTTTAGTTTTAGCAGCCAAAGCATCCCATAATCTGACACTTTGTTCATAATTAATTTTTAATTCAGTTTATTAAAGTAAGTAATTCAACATTTATAATCTAAAAAATACATTCTAACTGAATTTCTAAACACCATTAATAATGATATCTTATGTTATATCATTTTTGAAATATTATCTTACTTTCTCCATATATACTTCAATGTCTTTTACAAATAATTCAATAATATTGTATTTTTCATCTGTAGATTAAATTAATTCCTTTTTGCCTTTGTCATCCTTAAATTGTTTATCGAGAAAGTAATGAACAAAACTAATAGCCTAATAAACAGATTTATGACTTCCAATCAATTCAAAACATTTTCCAAAATATTAAGATATGAATTATTTTGTTTATGGAATTTGTGAAATAATCATACGAGCTGCTTAAAAACATTATTCTTATATATGACTACCTACTAATGAATCATCTCTATCTTATAATAATTCCCATAATTAATTAAATGTCATGAATCTTTTATCAGGTTTTAATTGTAATTATTACTCATGAAATTTCTATGATAAAGCTGCTTCTGTAAATGTTCTAATCATGCTCACAATATTTTCATTATACTTTGTATATGGGATATTCGAAATATGAATATATAACTTTTCAATCCCTTAAAATTGGAGAACTGGTGAAATTGCTTTGAAAAATTCATATAATGCTAATTATGTTGTCTCATGTTTATCATAATTATTTAGCCATATTTTATCTACATAATCATGTTAAAATGCTTGATTTCTACATAAGAAAATAGCCACATCACTAGATCTCTTTATTAATTCTGGATGTACCGAATCACCCAGAACTGTATAATCTAGGATCTTATTCTATGTTATCCATTTTATTAAATCATCTTTACTTATAGATGTTTTCATTTTTATTTAGCTACTTGTTTCAAATTTGAACTTTTCAGTAAAATCTTTAATCTCACATAAACCCTTGACTCTTTTTTCAAGGAAAGTAGATTTCAAAAATTTCAATGACATTTATAATTGAATTTCATCTACTAATTTATTTAATTAATCTTATGAATATCCTTTTAAAAAATAATATTGCATCTCTTATGTATTTTCTCTTATTTAATCAATATCAGTATCTTTGATATCTTAAATTGTCAAGTTTGCTACTCTAAACTAATACCATTCTAAAGTTTTTCTAGCCATATTGCCTTATTCTTATTATGGGAAATATTGAGATAAGTATTATTATGTTAATACTATTTTTGACATAGCTTTAAGAGGAATATAAGTATATTCTCCTCCTCCTTCATATGGTTTCAATAAATTATCCCAACTTTATAGACCTCCTATAGATCGAAAATATGACATTGTCCTTAAATAAAATTACCATGTTTTTTTAATGCATTTAATAACATCATTTGCACCTTAATAGAGTTTCCAATCATCAATATTTGGGTTAGTTACAAATCCTTGATAATTTGGAGTTGTGAAAATTTTGTCTAGATGTTATTATAATATGTCAAAATTTAACTAATGTAGTAAAATAGATTTACAAAAAAAAAAGAGTTCTCTTATTTTAGTAATCTCCATATAGATCCAAATAACATACAAAAGGCTTCACATACTTCTTAAAGGCAACTTGCTATAGAAACTCGTTCATCTATTATATAGAGTTCATTATTAATCTAATATTTCATATACTATTTTAAATGATTGATTTACATCTGCAAAGTATTTTGGAAATTAATCAAAGTACCATTTAATAAAATTATAATAGGTTTTAATGTATTCTAATGCAATTGGAATCTCCTTTGCCTATAATTCACTTGAAAGCACCATGTCCAAATAAATAAACTATCTAACTCGCACACTTTAAATAATATCAATTGGTGTCATTCCCTAAAAATTAGTCTACATTATTGTTATTAATTCCTTTGTATATTTCTCACAATCTTCTCGTGAATACTTTAAATAATCACGAGATGTTTTTTATTGTCTATAATCATCACCCGTGTAATCTTTATTTAAATGATTATTTACTTTAAGTAGATCTTCTTGCAAATTATACTCGATTTTATGATAATTTAATTATCTAAACAAAATTTAGACACATAAATATACCTCATTTTCTTTTTTTGATAATCCATCATATGTGACTTCAATTTCCTTATCTGTTTTCTACAAAATGTATGCTAACTTAAATTGTTTGCTTCCTTGATGATAAACATCAACGTAATTCCCAACGAATAACTGCTCACTTAATTCAGGTTTCTTTTTAGTTTTCTTTACGTCCATATTTTATTTAAATTAATATTTATGAATACATGATAGGATACTATCATTTTATTGTTGTATTAAATACATTAAGACTTCTCTCTTTCTTTTATAATTGATATCATTTCACTTATGTACAACTCTCTATTTTCTAAATGGATCACCAATTTTCCATCCTCTCCTTCATCAAATATGCAATCATAATATATGTTAATTATATATATCTAATAACCAATTAGTTTGCTAATTTAATCATCATTGACTCAATTATCAAATTTAATGGATTTACTATGTTATAAAATCAGAAAATCTAATAATAATTTTTATAATGAATAACATACATTATATATATATATAATTCAAGTAACTTTAATAAATATTTAATACCTATTTTAAGATAAACTTAATCATATTAATTGTAAAATTATAGAATTTTATATCTAAACATTAATATTTTATGTAAACTATAGTTTATCTGTTTCATTAATTAACATTATCAATTATGAATTACAAATTTGAAATAATAAATTGTTCAAATTTTCTAAAATATGTATTTTCATAATAATATTACAGATATTTAAACTCAAAATAAAAATTATTTAATTAAATTACCCTCAAATCTTTTGAATTAGATTTATTAATATCAAGACTTTCTATGAATTAATTGATAAATATCTAGATACAAAACTTAAAATTTAAAACAATAATATATCAGGAGAAGTTTTATAATTTCTTATATTGATTTATGATTCATTAGAAAAAATAAATTTTAGTTTTAAAAAAAATTATAAGAAAATCAAAAATTAAAAGTTAAAACATTTAAATGTCACTCTATTTTATTTAGAAAGATCTTAAAATAAATTTCAATTTAAAATTGTTTTAAAAATCGAAAGACTTTTAAATAATGATTATATTGATAATTCATTATTATTTTAAAGATTTCTAAATTCCATCTTAGAATCATTTCAAGCCCATTCTTACCTATGATCTATTTACAAAAAAAATAAGTAATTAAACAAATTATTATTATGCTTTTATTTATCACATAAACATGACGTATACTTCTTCAATCTATTTGCAAAGTCCTCGTAGAATAATAAATAAAATATTTATTTTTACAGATCATATAAATTCCCTATACAATCTATATCTATTAATTTAATCTCTCATTTTAGACAAATTCAAATGTAATGATATGCATACAATATGATCAAAATATTATTATTATGGGATATTAAAAATAAAGTTTATAAATACTATGTTGAATTTTTATATAGACAGAGGTGGAACATTTACTGATGTTTTTTATCAATTCAATGGAGAATCAAAAGTTCATAAATTATTAAGTCAATCATATTATAAAGATGGAGTATTTTAAGGAATAAAAGAAATATATGAGAAATATTCATAGGATGGTTAGAATGTTTAAGTCAACCAAATTGTAATAGGTACAACAATAATTACAAATGCAATATTGGAAAAACAGGGCCATGATTGTGCTTTACTTATAACTGAGGGATTCAGAGACTTATTACAAATAGGTTAATAAACACGACCATAAATATTTGATTTGACAATGAAAAAGCCATCTGTGTTGTATAAAGAAGTGATTGAGATAAAGGAAAGAATAACTTATGAAGGATAGATTGTGGAATCAATTGATTTAGAATAAGTTAGAAGTAATTTAATAAAGTTGAAACAATAAAAGATAAGTTCAATTGCAATTGTACTATTGCATTCTGTAATCAATGATATACATGAGTAATAAATAAAAAATATAGCAAAAGAAATTGGTTTTAATTCGATTTCAATTTCAAGTGAGGTAAGTAAAGTGATTAAAATAGTACCTCGTGGTTAAACAACAGTTTTAAATTCTTATGTGAATCCTTTGATTTAATTGTATATTTAGGAATTAGAATAAGAGATAAGATCATTGTTAATTAATCAAAACCCTTAGATATTATTCATGTAGTCTGATGGAGGCTTGACTGAAGCATAAGAGTTTATTGGCAGTAAGGCTGTATTGAGTGGTCCAGCTGGTGGAGTTGTGGCATTGATGCAATCAACAAAGATATTTAAATAGTTGAATAAGAAGGGAGTGGTAGGATTAGATATGGGAGGAACTTCAACAGATGTTTGTGTTTATTATGATAAGTAAAACATTAAAGAGGAAAGTATTGTGGATGGAATTATAGTAAATACTCCTTGTTTTGATATTAAAACAGTTGCAGCAGGAGGGGGAAGTTTGTTAAAGTTTGAGAATGGAATGTTTAAAGTAGGTCCTACAAGTAGTGGATCATATCCAGGCCCTATTTGTTATGATAGGAATGGATTATTAAGTTTGACTGATGCAAATTTGTATTTAGGAAATATTGATGTAGATCATTTACCAAAAATATTTGGATTTGATAATAAATCAGGATTAAATTATGAGAAGGTTAAATAGTAATTTGAGAAATTGAGTTAAGAATTGTAAATGAGTCCGATTGAAATAGCAGAGAGTTTTATTAAAGTAGCTGATGAGTAGATGTGTCGACCTATTAGATAAATAACTAATGGAAGGGGATAATTGAGTTAAGATCATTTGTTAGTGATTTATGGAGGAGCAGGAGGATAACATTGTTGTTCAATTGCAGAATCACTAATGATTGATTCTATTTTCATACACAAATATGCAAGTATCTTTTCAGCTTATGGATTAAGTTTAGCAAGATAATAAAAATATTAAAAAATTCCACTTATTGATAAGTTAATCAATTTTGATTCTATAAATAAGGTGATCTAATCATTTCAATCTTAATTATAATAAGATATTGAATAATTAATAGAATTACATCTCAAATATGAAGGAAGTGATTTTCTATTAAAAATAGAATATAATACAGATATGAATATAATTAAATAGTAATTTGAAATGTAACATCATGAACTTTTTGGATTTAAATAAAATAGAGAAATATTAATTGAGTATGTTTCTGTAACAATAAAATATGGTTAATAAAAAGAAGAGAATGATGAATTACTTGAAATACTTAAGATTATAGATGGTAATAATATGAATATTAATGAATTACAGAAATAAATCTAATATAAAGGACCCTTTCTAATACATACTGGAAATACTACAATTAAAATAAATAGTGGATGGTAAGCAGAATTAACTAAAAATGATAATATTATTATTAGAAAAATTACAGATTTATAATAATAAAATATCAATTAATCCAAATATACAAATAGTAGTTTAGAATTAAGTATTTTTGCTAATAAATTTATGTCAATAGCTGAAGAAATGGGACTATAATTATAAAATACAGCTGTGAGTATAAATATTAAAGAGAGATTAGATTTCTCTTGTGCAATATTTGATAAAGATGGAAATTTAGTAGCAAATGCTCCTCATCTACCTGTTCATCTAGGTAGTATGAGTGATGCAGTAAAATGTTAAATTAATAATTTTAATCAAGGTGATATTATAATGAGTAATCATCCAGAAATGGGTGGATCTCATCTTCCTGATATTACTATCATAACTCCTTATTTCAAAGATAATTAAAAATTGTTCTATGTAGCATCAAGAGGACATCATGCAGATATTGGAGGAATAAGTCCTGGAAGTATGCCAGCATTTAGTAAATATTTAAAAGATGAAGGAATAGCAGTAAGATCATTCAAAATTGTAGAAGATGGTGTATTTTAGGAAGATAAACTTATTGAATTATTATAGGAGAGTAGAGAGAGACAAGATAATATTTAGGATCTAAAAGCTTAAATAGCTGCAAATAATAAAGGAATATAGTTGATAGAATAATTGATAAAATAGGAAGGATATGATAAAGTGAATCAGAATATGAAAAGAATATAAGAAAATGGAGAAAATTGTGTTAGATAGATGCTTTATGATATATCAATAAAAAATAATTTGTAAGAAATAGATACTATAGAGTCTGAAGAATATATGGATGATGGATCTAAAATTAATTTAAAACTTACAATCAATAGAAATGATAGATCAGTAATATTTGATTTTACTGGCACTTCTCAATAAGTGTTGGGTAATACTAATTGTCCTATTTCAGTTACTAAAAGTGCTATAATATATTGTTTAAGATGTTTAGTTGATATGGATATTCCATTAAATTAAGGATGTTTGAATCCTACATAAATAATCATTCCTAAGAATTCATTACTTAGTCCTAATAATATATGTGCAATTGTTGGAGGTAATGTCTTGACTAGTCAAAGAATAACAGATCTTATTTTAAAATGCTTTTATGCTACTGCTGCTTCTTAAGGTTGTATGAATAATTTTTCATTTGGAGGTTTTAATTAAAGATCATATTATGAAACTATAGGAGGAGGGAGTGGAGCAGGAGATGGATTTAATGGAGAATCTGGAGTCTAAGTTCATATGACTAATACTAGAATAACTGATGTAGAGATTATAGAAAGGAAACATCCAGTAAGAATTTTATCATTCACACTTCGATAAAATAGTCATGGTAAAGGAAGATATAATGGTGGAGATGGAATTATTAGATCATTCTTATTCTTAACTAAATTGAATGTCTCATTATTGACAGAAAGAAGAGTTTTTTCTCCTTTTGGTTTAAAGGGAGGAAAAAATGGTTAAAAAGGAATTAATATTTACAAAACTCAAGGTCAATCATTTCTATTAAGTGGAAAGGTTAATTTAGATGTTTAATCAAATGATGAAATTTGGATATATACTCCTGGAGGAGGTGGATATGGAAGTATATGATATAATATATTATCTATATTTAAATTGTGTGTTAGAATATAACATTTTTAATTTAATTTAATTTAATTTAATTTATAATAATAATAATAAAATCTAATATAGAAATTTAATGTAATCTTTTTATAATAATATCAAATAATTTATATTAAAATACTTTATGGATAAATATTTTAAGGTTATTGGTAAATTAAAAGTGTTTTTATTTAAATTTATATAATTAATATTTAAATTAGGAATATAGATTTTATACTCTTCTTGATTCTGACTTATCAGATAAGTTTTAGTTAAAGATGTGAATTTACGAAAGCATAGATGTTTTGCAGCTATATTTCATAAATTTTATTGATGTAAAGTTTAATTATGATAGATTTAGAGGTCAAGAAGACAAAATAAATAAGTCCTATTAAATTTAATTTAATTTAATTTAATTTAATTTAATAAAGATATAAAAATGTTCACATGCAGATTGGAACAAAGAAAGTATATTCTGATATAAGTGGAGTAAATTTAACAGTATTTTATTGTAATATTCTCCTTTATATAATAATGAGTTTATATATTTATATTTTAATAAAATACAAATTAATATTCTATAAAATGATATATATATATATATATATCTTATCATTTTATTTCACATCTCTTGATATACTATCTCTAATTTTCAAAATCATTAACAATAAACTTTAAACATGATTAATTTAATTATCCATAATAACCTAATTATCCATTCTTTTAAGTTTATTTGTTTGTTTCAATTTCAAGATTGAATGATGTATATCCTTCAGTGATAATTGGATTGTTTATATTTTAGACAGATGAAACCATTGATTTTGCACAACTTAAATTAGTATTTACATATTCATTAGTTAGACTAATAATAACACTTACACTTTAACTTGAAGTCAATTTTTCATGTAAAATTAATTTATAATTAATTTATTTATTAGATTCTCTACATTCAATATCAATTAAATCATTACAACAATGTTTTATGATATCTTCTTAACTGAGATGTTAAAATGGATTTAAAATACCAATATTTCCACTAAATAGATTCTTCCAAATCACTTTTAAATCTGGATTAGTTAATTAATTTAATGGTAATTTTCTAAGTTTTAAAGCCTAAGTATAATATTCACAATCTTCATTCAAAATTTAATTAAATTATCCATCTATTAAAATCTATGACTATAATTCCAAACTTATTAAGAAATCTTTCTTAACAATTTAAATACTTAAAAAACAACTATCTTATAAATCATATATTTCTTTGATATTTTCATTATTGCATCTATATTTACTAACAAATTAACATTATTAAATCACAGTTCTTTATCTTATTTATATTAAACGATTCAATTTTATTTCTCTTTAGTATAATGCATTATTATACCATAAAAATAAAGTCAAAGATATTTTCTTAATGACATGAGTCTTATGAGGAATTTTTGGTATTTTAATATGTACTTAATTATTTTAATTTATTAGATCAAAATCACTTAATAAAACATTAATAGAACTAAATCCATCTAAATTAAAATTAGGGATAATATGTTTATATTCATAAATAGGAGGATCTTCAGATTCAACTATTATTTCAAATCCAAAATTTTAGATTAATTATTCTGATTTATTCTTAATAATAAATTAATATGTAAATAATTCACTAGGATCAAAATATACAGCTTCTACTTCATTAATTAATGTAGAATCCCTATAGATTGAGGCTTAAACATTTGGAATATCTTCAATAATTTGAATATTATGCAAATTAAATAATTATTGTTCCTATTATTAAATATCTTAAGATAGTAGAGCAGAAAAACCAAACTAATTTAATTTATGAATGTATTCATAATTTAAATATTGAATTTTAATTCCAATTATTTTTAATTCACCTATTGATTTTGGTCTAATAGTAAAACTCACAGGATGATTTTTAGTATTAGCCAATAATGTGATTCCTTTTGGATAAGTAACAGAATCACTACCTTCTATCTATAATACTAATTTATCTAATTAAAAATCAAAAGAATATTCATTAGAAATATATAATACCAATTCTATAAGTGAATTAAGTGGATATTTTAATTCATTCTTTGATTCCTTATTAGCCCATGGATTTACAATAAAAATATCTTATCCTTCTGTTTATGATTTAATTTCTTTATTAATTAAACTAAACTTTTCTTTAAATGGTATGATTTGTAGTCTTTCAATTTTTGGAATCATTAATAAATAAGTTTATTTTAATTCATGTTTAACAGATTCTTATTTTAGAATTTAGAGCATAGTTTCTAATTATTATTATGTAAAATCTTGTTTAAACATTTGTATTCTTTAAATCTAGGTATTATGTTAGAAATAAGGTCTAATTAGATAAAAATGAATACATTCCTTAAAAATTATGTTAGATCTCTTATACAAAATTATGTTATAATGAAGTCCAAAATATATTACTCTAATCATCAGAGAAATAAGAATTCAGACCATACATAGTGCTAGATAATTTAGTAAGTTCTAAAGCCATAGATTTATTGATTGTAGCCAATTAAAAACTTGCTAATCGAATAAAATAAGCTTATTTTCTTTTCATTTATATTTGACCATATAATTCTGAGACAAAGAGATAAAATTTGCATTTTTCTATTGGAGATTCAGGATCAAAAGTTTTAGTAAATAAATCAATAGTTTTATTGAGTCCTAATTTATCATTTGAGGCTTTTCTATATTGCATCAATTTAAAGAAACATTCAATTTCTAAATTGATAAACTTAGTTTTTTTAAGAAATGTTAATGATTCTCTAAAATGCTCTTCAATTTCTTCAAAAGAAGATTTAGATGCTGCTAAATGTTATTGAATAATTCCACACCATAAAAAATCATTATTTTTATTTAAATTATCTAAAGCTTATTTATAATATTCTATAGCATCTTATGGATCATTAATCATAAGTGCAAGATCACCCATAATTTTAATTTGTCTACCTTATTTTCTTTTTTTCAATTTAGATTGATCACTAATTTTTTCTTCTTTCATATTAAAAACAACTAATTAAGATTGATCATTCCTTTTAATTAATATAATAATTATACTTCAATCTTAGAATTTCTGATGCAAAATATTCAATGATTTAACATAAATATAATTATAATTGATCTTCTAAATAATAAACCATTTTATCATCACTTAAAGGAGGAATGATAATAAATGTTTATTCTTATTCTATATTTTAAAAAGAATTCACTCCACAATTAAATAACAGAAATCTAATTAATTTATCATCATTAACTTTTTTTTTTTATTTATTAATCTCATCTATAGGTATCAATCCTTCTTGTAAATCAATCACAAAAAACATTAAGAAAGGCTTCCTAATATAATTATTTCAATATCTACATATAAATCATTAACTCAGGCCAATCAAATTAAAATTCTTAATCTATTACACTAATTGTAACAGAATCACTATTCCAATCTTTTTTAGAAAATACTCCCATTGTATTTTTGTACAATTGATTCTAATAAAAATTACTAAAATAAATCTTTTAAGGCATAGATTAGAAGATTCTAATCATTCTATCAAGTTGATCTTATTTTGTGTCTCCAAGCTTTTTACATAACAATTTAATTGATTTCATATCCTCTAAAGTACGCTCAAAGGCATTCATTATATATAAACAAATAAATAATTATTATATTAATAAGTAGAGTAATAAAAAATATAGAAAATTACAACTTTAAATATATAAATATAATAATTTTAAAAGTATAAAAATAAATATCAATGATTTGGCAACTGTTCCTCAATTAATTTTATATATTTTCTTAATTACTCTTATCTATCTTATTTTCTCAATGATATAAATGGTTAATTTTTTAAGCAGTATCATTTTAATTTAAAATAATCCTCTCCTTTTATTAATTATCAATAAAAACATTTATAAACATCAATGGCTACTAATAACCCAATTCTTATTCATAAATTTATTCTTAAAAAATATTGTCACTTTTAGAATTTCTAGTTCCTAATTTTATAATTTCTTAAATCAATCATAATTTAAGATTGATTGAGTTAATTATTTTGTTGATTATTATTTTTAATTACTTAGATAGATAGACTTTTCAATTAATAGTGTGATTGGACTATCACCTAATAATGATTTTATTTATTAATATAAAAAATAATATTAATTAATTATTGTTTAATTAAACAACTCAATATAAACTCCATCAATCAATTGACTATTTATTAATGGATTCATTTTCACTGCTTCTAAACAAATTTACTAAGATATCAGTTAATGACTCAATTCTTAGATCTAAATAAAGTATTGATTATTATTATTACTTTCAAAAAATTTATTATAACTTCTAAAGAATGATTATTCTCTAAATTCTGTTTATGGGATTTTCTTACGTAATCTAAAAATCTTAAAGATTATAAATTTGACTATTCTCTTTTTGAAAATGATAACTATTATCATAAGGATTCCAACACTGAAAACTGAATAGACTATCCAATCGAATCTCCAGAATAATCTTAAAAATAAATATATGCTAAATGGTAAAACAACAATTTGATAACATTTTATTTAATGACTAAATAATTCTATTGTGAATCTTTTATCAATTTAATAATTATGAGTTATAGCATACTTATCCCAAAAATAAATATAAATAGTAAATCCAAGACAAAATAATACAGCAACTGGACATATGTAAATTAAACAAAGAGCAGTTGTCAAAATAAAAAGCATATTAAATTATCTTCCTCTTTATGAAATAAAAGCAGGAGTCATAATTTAATTTAATTATCCTTAAAAAAATCTTTTTGGATTGAAATTTTTTAATGCTTTTCTTTTTCTCAACCAAAATCTTGTATGTCTAATATGAAATGTGTGAAATATTTATTTAAATATGATTCTATGAATAGATAAAGTAACTAAATCATAACAAGCTACAATTTTTTTTTATCCTCCCCATATTTCAAATGTTGCAATATATGGGAAAAATTAAATTAAAAAATATTGTATGATTACAAAAAAATGCATAATACTTTCTTCCACTTCAATAAATGTACTTCTTCTACTTTTAGCCATCTATCCTAAAATTGTCAAAGTTGTATAACTTGATAAAAAAGTAACTAAAATTGCTAAACAATTAGCTAGTATTTTCTCCCAAGTTGATAATTATCCATCACTTTTTCTTTAAACTTAATTTGGATTATTTTAATAAAAATAAATCAATTCAAAACTTCCCATTAATAAACAACTTGCAATTGCAGCTGTAAAAATAGCTTTAAGTCTAAATTTTAATCTTTTAAAAGTATCCATACCAAGATTTTCCCAAAATATACCATTAATTCTAAATCCTCTCTTTACTCCTATTTAATAATGTACTTATTCAACATATTTATTGCTATAATCATATTATTATTTAGCTAATTGAGTATTTTAATTGAAAACACTCACTCTTGCTTATTATACAGGTTAAGATTAAATCTACAAATCATCTACTGAAACTGTTCTACTATCAGAATATAAGGATGTCAAATCAGCTACTTGGTTATTCTATAATTTTTTCAATCTATTTTGTTCTTTCATAACTTCATATCTAATAAGTAACTAGTGATACAATCATATAATTAATACATTCTAATACCATTTCTTTCTATAATGTAAATAAGCAGCATCTCTCTACTCTTTTGTTTCAAATTTTATAATAACTTTATTAGTATATGGAAGGCCATTCTTTAAATATGATTTAATCTTCTATGTTTTAAACATGATATCTTTTAATTATTATTTAAATAGATTATCTAATATCTCTAAATTAAATGATTTATATGTCTTTATCTATTTATCTGAATAAGTTGTGATCATTCCTGTCTCTTTTAATTCTCTCATCTACTCTAAAGTTATCATAAAATCAAGTAAAGAATTCTCCCTATCAATATTCATTTCATTTATTTCATGTATATCATAAATATATACTAATTCTTAAATTGAATTCTTATGCTCAAATAAAACTGACTTTTTTGCTACTTAATCAAAATTATTCATTGCAATAGCCTTACAAATTGTCTAAGATATCTCCTCTGCTGTCATCTTATAAGGTAAATGTCTAACGTAAACTGATTTTTTATTTTCTGTTACATGATTTGTAGGTTCCTTGTCCCAATATTTTATTTATTTATATCTAATAATAATCTCATATTCTAAAGGAAGTAATATGTTCATCAAAAAGATAATGAATGCTGCAATTTAGACATAAACCCATTTGAATCCACTTCCACCATTTTAAATATCAATTTCAGATGAACATTTAATTTAAGATAAAAATGGATCTATTGCTACAAACATATAAATTGTATTCAATTCACAAGCATCCTTATACTCTTGAATTAAATGAGTATCTGTTAAACAAATATTATTTTTAGTATCACTACAAACCCAATTAACTTCTGTTATAAAGAAAATCCCATAAACACAAAATATGATAATAAAGAGAATCATCTAAAATTTGAGAAATGTAAAATAAAGTGGAGCAGCAATACCATAATCTTCTACTAATAATTGCCACATGTTTACTGTGAGGAAATTAATACGTTTTCTATTCAATTATTTACTTAATGAATAATTATACAATAATGATACTTGCAACAAGGACATTCAGTAGCTTAAGTTTTATCTAAAAAATCTTGATCTGGTTAGATGTAATGACATTATCTATGTAATTCGGCTAGATCATAATTACAAGGATAAGTGTAATAATTATTTTCAGGCATTTTTATATTTTTGGCCCATTCTAATGGATCAATTGAAGATAGTCTTTCTCTAAATTTTGTAGATGAGAATCGATGTTGTTAAGGAACTTGACCTTGTCTTTCTAGATTAAAATCCAAAGTTGCTGGTTAATTTGTATATACTTATTGATCATCCTCAAAATTTTCAATCAGATTTTCATTATCAGAATTATTCATTATAATTATAATATTAATTTAATAATGGTAAAACTTTAAAATAAATCAAATAGGAAATCTAAAAAAGCTCTCCAACTTAAAAAACTCTCTGAATAAGTACCTTAATAAAAATATTAAAAATATTAATAAGAGGAACTATTGTTATTTGAGAATGATAATTAAAATGAAAGTGATTAATCTGTCAAATAAGAGTAATAAAATTCTAAAAAAGAAGAAGATGAAAATATTAATTAACCTTTGACATAAGAGGAAGATTCAGCATAATGGGTTGATGAATTTGATGAAAAAATATAAGTGGATTTGAGTAAATAAACAAAATTGAGAAAACTTATAAAAAATGGATAAAATTTAGTTACAGGAAAGGAATATTAAAGAAAATTGAGAGAATTTTATAAAAATTCATAATAAAATAATGAATTCTTAAGTTGGGCATAATCTAAATAACAAATTAAATAAGAAAAAGATAAATTTGATTAAAATTAATTGAATGCAAATTTAAAAGAATTATTATCATAGAATATATAAAATTAAACAATCAAAAGTAGTTTACTTCCAAATAGAATTATTTAAATTGAATAAGCTGGAATTATTAAAGCTAAAATAAACACTGTTATTTAATCAATCAGTTTTCATAAGAAATTACCAATATTTGCAGAAGGAGGGTTTGATAAATTAGTTAGGATTTATTAATTCAATCCAAATAAATAGATTCAAGTATAATAATATTTCTATCTATTTAGCTTATCAAATCAATAGGATTAGAGAAATTTCCAATATGTAAATTATAATTTATGAATGAAAATAATAATATAATAGTAGCATCTCCATTTAAAACATATCTGATTGAAGTGGATATTAATACTTAAAAGTATAAAAGAATACAATCTACTTTATTTGCTAAACATTTTAATTAATCTGGGAAATATAATAGATAAATAGAATTTGCAATTAGTGAAGATGATAAATATATTGCATTATTTAATGAATCTGGTTATATACATATATTAAGTGGGGATAGTAAAATACTTTTAAATGAATTCAAATAAAATGAAGCATGTAAGGCAGTAACATTTGCTGATGAATTTTTAATATCTGCAGGTTAAGGTGGTAAAATCTATTAATGGTCTTTGTAAAAATAATAAATATATAATGTTTTTCATAATCCAGGTGGATTTGAAGTGAATTGTTTAGATTTTAAATAAGACCTTTTAGCAGTTGGTAGTAGAACTGGTATTGTAAATATATTTAAATTAAATTCATCAACAAAATAATTTAATAAAGAACCAATTAAGGAAATATAGAATTTAACTACAAGTGTAAATGAAGTTTAATTTAATAAATTTTGTGAAATTTTATGTATAAGTTCTAAATGGAAGGATTCAGCAATAAAATTAGTACATGTTGATACTTTTACTGTATTTGAAAATTGGCCAACAGTAACTACATGTTTGAAAGTATATATATATATTTGATTAAAAATTAGAAAATCTCAGCCATAGGAATAAGTAATGATTCCAGATTCTTGGTAATAGGAAATGAAGATGGAGAATTGAGAGCTTTTCGTTTGCTACATTATTGATATTATTGTATATTAAAAGAATAATTAATTCATTGAATGAAGGATATTTAAAATTTTTTAATTAAAAAAATAATCTGTTTGGTATAATTACATATACTAATCATGCTCTTTGATCTGTTGTTAAGAATTTAGCATACAATAAAGTATCCTTTTAAATATCCATAGTGACCATAGCATATATAATACCAATCAAGACTATAACAAAGAATACTCCAAACCAAACATAAATTTGATAAGTGGTTGCATCCATAACATATCCAGATGTATTAGTTTACTAATAAAAATTTAATAAAAATAATACAGTAACTTAATTTAACATTCTTGTTCTTGTTTCCATTAAAATTCTTTATATTTTGGCTGATTCTTTAGTTGTTGTAATTTGAGGATTCTTTTCTTCTTCTACTAAAATGAGTCCAAATAATTCTTCATTTTCAAAAGTATTTCTAAAATTTTTAGATAACTTAATATAAATTATTAAATAATTACTTTTTTATGAGTAATTCTCATGATATCATAGATCATATCTATATCTGATTCATTCATGATTTTTTCTAATTTGGAAATAGATTTATTAATTATTGATAACATGTTAGGTTAATTAGCTATAAATATTTTTTTGAATAGAAATACATTTCTAAAAAAGTGTAGATAATTTATTCATAGCACAAATATCTTTTAAAAATCCTATAATCTAATCTTCATTATCTTAAGTGATTTCAATCATTTCATTTGTATTATATTTATAAATTTTATTTTCTTTAGGTGCATAATCAAATGTTGTTCCTAAGAAATTATCTACACACTTTTCTAAACTTGAATCTACTTTATAAGATTTATCTTTATTAGGTTCATAGAAATAAACTTCATTCTATATAATAAATTCATATTTTACATTTTTGCCTAAATAAAGTGTTATTGTCCATTATAAATAATTAATATCTAAATCATCCTCATTCTAATAAATTTTAAATCCTTAATTATTATTATTATAAATCTTTTATGCCTTAGAAATTAAAGAATCATCTAAATTTTTGATTATTGTATTACTTTCTTGTCCAAATAGTAAATCCATAATGGGTTTTGGATCTTTATCCATTACTTTAAAACTTTAAGAGAATCCTTCAGTTATTCTCTATTATTTTAACTCTTATCCTTAATATAATTTCTCACTCTCTATTAGAATCAAATAGTTCATATTTGTGGGTGATAAGATATTGCCTTTACCAAAAGATCTAATTTGATGATAATATTTGTACTTTATCAATTATTCAAACACTTTTTATTAGTCTGCTGAAATGTGTTCGACTAATCCAATATTGTATTTTATCAATTAAGCTATTTGCTTTTGATTTAAGCCTTCTAAATCACTTATATTATTGTCATTGAATGGGTACAAGTATGCATGTGATGCTAATACAGATGCAACTATCAATTATCATAAATTATGATACCACAAATGATCAAAAGAAGAGTTTTCATTATTTTATTTAATAAAATTTATGAATGATTGCTAATATTATTATTTATATACATTTTTTTTGAATTGTTTATTTTATATATATATAAATTTTATCTGTTAACTCCTATGAGTTACGATATATCCCAATAGTTCATCGAATTTCGTAAGTAAATTATGAACAAAACCTTGACTACTCCAGCAACCAACACAAGTAAAATATAAACCATTTCAACCCCATCAAAGAAATAAGAATTTTCAGTTGACATACTCAAATAATCAATCTGCAAAAACGTTAAACGTCTTAAAGTCAAATCTGCTATTTCAAGTATTTACATTATATATTTCATCCTTTTAGACATCCCCTTGAGTCCACAGAAACAAAAACCTACATCCCCAATTAAGAAATAGCCATATAAAAGTCCTTTAAGATTAAAACAAAATGAACAAATCAGAAGTCCAAATAAATAACTATACAGTAGTACATCCAAAAGTTAATAGTCTTAAATTAACACTTTTCAATTACCATAAACCTATAGACAATCTGATTATATTGATTAACAAAGCCAAATCAAATTGTACTCTTCAAAATATCAGAAAATTATGAATGAAGAACAAGGACTCTATTATAGCTAATTATAAACTAAATTAGATTAACTCTCCTCAATTATTGGTAATTAGGATGATCGATAAAGAAACCTACTTGAAATTGACAATATGATTAGCTAATCTAAATAGATCAATGCCAAATCTAGAGTCTAAAAACATCTTGATAGTTTGCAATTTGAAAGCAAGGCATTACAAAGCGATCTAAACACTATTAAAACTAAAATATCAAGATTTTCTGATTTTACTGATAATTGATATACAAATTATATTAAAGATCATACAATTTAAGCTAAATAAAAATATCAATTTATTCATAATTTCAAATTATCAATCTTACTTATTTAAATATTCTAATTTTACTTTCTTTTATTTATCTTATATTTAGTAGTAAACAAAGTGAGATTTTCCTTATTAATAGAAACTCTTTTTGAAACTAAGTTATTTATTTAATAAACTATAAACATAAATCTAATTGAATATGATTAAAATAAATGAAATATTTTTAATATTAAATATACATAAAACTTACTTTTTTAATTTGAAGAGATTGATCTATTGTTTTTCTTTCACCTTCTAATTATATATATGATGATATGATAAAAGTTTAGATTATTACAAAAACAATAATAATATTTATAGATTATTTTTGTTATTATTATTTTTAATTTAAATAATGTCAGAAAATAATATTAATTCAAATCATAATAATATTACACATCAGCATCATCATAATTAAAGAAGATCACCTTCACCATATAATCCAAGGAGATTCGATAAATTAGCTAGAGAAGAATGCTGGAATAATGTATTTGCTCTTTTATATTGTTTAAAAGGCTTAAATAATGGAAGGAAGAAATCCAGATAGATGGAGATTAGATGCAGTTGGTAATCCAATTTGTAAAGCCTTAAATGGTTGCAGAGGGCCCTTGTGCTATCAATTTGATCATATAGTACCATATTCTAAAGGAGGAGAAAGTATTAGCAAAAATTGTTAATTATTGTAATCATTTGTCAACATATACAAATCAAATAAAGAAAATATATCAAAGGATGAGTTGAAACAAGTATCTCCTTAATTAAATTTCACTTCTGAAGTATTTGATGCTATAGAGTATGCTATTTATGGTTGAAATTGGAAGGAAGTCTGCTTGATTGTATTGCTTTTGTTTTACATTTTTATTTAACTGTTTTGTTTGTAAAAATAATTGTCTATTTCTATAAATGCCTTGTTGTTTTAAAATTACAGTAAAATTTATTCATTTTCTTGTCTTACTACTATTGTTTTCCCATCCCGATTTTCTTTTTGTCTCATATCGATTCTATCGATGTTTTCTATCATGATGTTTTCTGTTATATAATTAATTATATATTTTAACTTAGAACTGTCACTTGAACTATGTCTTCTCTTTCTGGATTGTGATCTTGATCTTCTACCTTTGTTTCTGCTTCCATTCTCATCTACATTAGTTTTACTATCTCAATACATTTATTATTATAATTATGATGATAATGACTGTGATAGGAATTTTGATTCCTTTCAATAGATTTTTCTTATTTTTCATGAACTTTACTACTATTAATCTCAATAGTGGTTATATTAATATCTTAATAATTTTTTTCTTATATTAATAGTAAATAACATATACTTCCACTATGTAATTTATCTGTTCTTTCTTTTTCTTTCTCTCTATCTAATTTCTCAATTTTTTCTTTTTCAATTTTCTCTTATCTTTCTTTTTCTAATCTCTCTTACTTTTCTTATCTTTCCAACCTATCTTATCTTTCTTATCTTTCAATCTTTTCTTAAACTTCTTAATCTATTTCTTATTAGAGAATAAGTTTCATTTAATTTTCAATATCATAGATACTTGAAAGATGATTAAAAAATTCTGAGGTATTAGAAAGTTAAGGAACTTTCTTACCTTCTTCATTTACTAAGATAATTTCTGGTTAAGATAATTTTCTCTCAAAAAAGTATCTAAATTTATACATATTTTTTTTTACTTATTAAAAATATCTACCAAACTTTAAGATTATTTTAAATCATCACAATAAATTACTCCATATTTACATCCTTCAACTAAGGTATAAATATTATTTATACATTCAAATAGTTCTTCTACTTTTAATGATCTAATATCTATTTAATATTTATCATTTCTTCTTTCATAAATAATGCTTTCAATTTTTTCTTTATAAAATTAAATTGGAAGAAATCTAAGAATAATCTTATACTAGATTTTGACATCTCGGATTTTCTTCAAAATTCCAACCTTTTGGAAAGATAGAGAACAATTTATTACTTGAAAATTCTCACCAAGATATTTCTTGTGTTTTGGTTAATTTTTATTCATATTATAATAAAAAAATTAGGCTGATTTAACTTCATTTATTTTTATAACATATGCCTATTCTCCTGCCAAATATACTTTTTAGACCTCTTCAAAATTTATAAAATGATAATCTTTAAATCTATAATTAATTTTAATAATATAAATAAATTTTACTTTTCCTTTAAATACTTTTTCATAGAATGCTTATCTTAACATGCTTCAAGTGAAGAATCATAATAAAAGAAAATTATATCTTTTTAGTTTTGCCACTCTTATGGGATTCTAAGATTTATTTAAAAATTTAAAACTTTTCATATTTTCCTGTTTTTGTGGGTTCTAAAATTCGAATTTCATAGCAATTAGAATTAAGAACAGAATTACATATATCACGAATTGATAATTTTGTACCTATGAATTCTATTTTAGCTTAATATTGATCATCATCACAAGGACTAGAATCACCAGAAGAAAACTCGCACATGGCCTTAGATGGCGATGGTGGCTAACTTGGAGACCAGACTACGCGAAACTCTTTTTCATGTGTATTTAGATGTTTCAAATCGTAGGTTGAGAGTTTTTACCTAAAATAAACAATCGCCTGACGTGTTATAGTATAAAGTATATAATCAATATTTTTCAAAATATCTGTGTAAATTCAAACCTGTTGATTCTTTTCCATTAAGGATAATTTAGTCTCTTAATAAAATGTTTGCTCAATTCTAAATTTGTTACACCCTTTTCTGCAATCTCAATCATTTTAATTATATTTAAATTTAATATATGCTTTTAGATATTCAAAATTCTTTCTAATATTTTCCTTTATAAAAATTATTATAAATATATCATTTTATTTAATACTCTTTTCTCCATTCTCCATAAAATCATTTCCCATCTGAGTAGACTTGTTCTAAGATATCTATCTCTATTTTGGGTTAAACACTTGTTTTTTTTTATATAAATTAACTCCTTTTATGAAATTCTTATTTCATATATATAGAACACATCTAGAAATATGATTAAATGATAAATATCTAAACAACCAAATTGAAAATTTCTTATTATTATATCATTCTAAAATATCTATATAGTTGTTGATATTATTATGATATTTTATTAATTAACAAGTTCATTTGATAAATATCTACTAGTTTTGATCATTAAAAATAAAAGAATTCAAATTGATTGATTACTTTTTACTTTTTGATTCATTTAGATAAGTTAATAATAAAAATCTTCAAAATTTATATTAATTATAAGAAGATCATTATGGAAATCCTTTATATGGTTTAGTTATATGTATAAGGAGATTAGTTTTATGATTATGATTATAAAAATACTATTGCATTAAGATATCCTTAATATTACACAAATAAATTATATTTATTAAGAATCGAATTAAAACTGAGTTAAAGGATATTCAACTAAAATGATTAATAAAATGTCCAATTTTCGACCCTACAAATACTCATAAGAAGAACTCACAATTAGCAAGAAAATAAAGATAGAGGATCAATAAATTACTTTACCTTTGACTGTGTTTTAATAATTGGTTGAGAAAGCTAAAGAAGAGAATCAAAAAAAAGAAGATACAAAAAATCTCTTAAGAAATTTTGGAAATGCCTTAAATAGATTCATATTACATAATGAATAAGCCTTAAAAATAATTACATAATATATTCCTGAAAATAATGTCTCTCATTTCAAGAAATGGGTTACAAATTAAAAATTAGAGAATTTTGAACAATTCAAAAGAATCTGGACTGTGGATGGAGATATTTATAAAAAAATATTCTCAGAATTATCTTTCGAGTTTTATTCAAAACATGCATATTCTTATGTAATGCATTCATAAATGAGATCAGAATCAACAAAATTAACTCATTTAAAATATATTACTCGTTTTTTAGAAGGTATTGTTTGTCCAGAAAGCTTCTATTATTTTAAAAAGTGAAAATCAATAATATTAATATGTTTTCATTACCATTTTATTTTTTATTTTATTTTCAAATAACTACTAATTAAAGTAATCATAAAAATGAAGAATCATAACAAAAATATGAATATAAAGTTATTTTTAAATGATTTATTTTAGATGAAAATAATAAATAAATTTTAATGTTTTCATTTGGGTAATAAATGATTTTCAATGATGCCATTTTCTATTCCTCTAATAATTTTATTCATATAATTATTTTATAATCTTTTTATTTCAGTCACTTCAGAAGAATATTTTATGGCTTCACATGGTAATGCATATTAAACATTACCAATTCCTTCAAAATTCTATACATTATTTTAAATATTTCGACATTATTGTAAAATCTATAATAATTATATATTGCTTCTAATCTCCCTTAATTCTTAAAATAATATTTATTTTTTCAACTATTTTGTCTAAGAATCTGTCTAATTAATCTTATCCTCATCTAATTTAATTGCTTATTTGCATTTTGGACAAAATTAATTAAAATTTCCTGAAATCCATGTTTTTAAACAACTTTTATGATATACATGACCACATGATAATTATTTACCATTTTCTAATTCATTAAGACATATTAAACATGTGGAATCAGGTGAATCTATTTTTTCTACATCTTATATCTTATCAATCATTCTAACTAATTTAATCTAATTATAAAAGGCTTTTAATTTTTTAAGCATTGCAAATGCATTTTCAAAAGTATCAACAAATAATATCAATAAAAATCCTTAAGTATTTAACACATATTTAAATAGCATAATTTAAACACATAATTTCAAGATTGTTGATAATACTTCTAATCCAGAAAAGATAATTTATTTAGAATCAAATTAAGAAAAAGTTAAAATTTCAAATATATTGATTACATACTTTAAAAATGGTAAAGTTATTCTAATTGGCAAAAGCATGAATTCAAAACCAAAAAGTACGTTTTAAAATTTCTCTTCTGTTCCATAAAAAAAATAAAGACTTATCTAACTAGACTATTTCAAATTATTTACTTTTATATCAATATAAAATAGCATAATGAATGTCATTAATAGTTTAACATTGTCATTAAAATTAATTTAAGATTCAGCAATTAGAAACCCAGCTCTTTTTATTGAAATCCAATGAATTATTGATAATGCAATTAACCAAAGCATTAAAACTAAAATATCTATTTTTATCTTACATATAAATTGCCAATCTAATGATTCATAAAAGAAAAATAATAAATATGCTACTTCTAATATTTTCCTTTTTGTTTTATCAATCACAGACTATTCAATAATTAATATAAATTCATACTATTTTTTCTATTTCCTTTAATTCTCCAAACATAATTCTTAAAAAAATCATTATCAATATAGAAACGATCATAATTACAAAATTTACAAGTATAGTTCTATTAATCTTATTTGTACTTAGATATAAAACTGATGGGTAAAATTGCTTATGTACATTGAAAGAATTGTAAATTGCTCCTAATGTCAATGCAATACTAAAAAAACAATAAAACTTTAACATTTTTAATATTTTAATATTTTATATAATACATCAATCAAATTTAATATTGTGCATAGAATATTCTAATATTTCTTTCAAAATTATCATCCAATAATAATGTTGATGATGGTAATAATAACATATATCTTTTCACTAAATTATATTCCTCTGTATAATATTTATGAAGTATAAAATACTAAAGCGAGAATATTATAAATTGAAAGACCAAAAGAAATACACTCAAACCAATAATTTAATCCATTTGAGAAATTGTGGCTTATAATAAAGCTTCCTTTAAAGAAGATACCAATTCAATCATACCTTTTACCATAATGTACATACCCTCAGCCTCATATTTAAAATATTGGACAATTGAAGTAAAATTATTCAAAGCAAATGTTACCTTGTATTGATTTGCTACATACATCAATGCTTGACTCAAACCCATATCTAATGATCCATCAAAAGATCTTGAACAATAGAAAGTGTAGTCATTATATTAATCACCTGTAAAAAACTTACATACTGGATTTTGTGTAAGCTAGTTTAATTTATCAATAAAAATTTGAGTTGTTAAATAGTCTTCTTAATTAAAATTTTGTACATATTCATCGAATTATTTTAGATTATCAATACTATTAAATAATCGAGCAATCATTCTTGGCTTATCATTTACATCTAAATTATAGATTGACCACCAATATAAGAATTATCTTTATGAAAACATACCTGGTAATTAAAAGCATAAATCCCCTGTAAATTTATAAAAGTCTGCAGTATTAACATATTTAGATAAATAAGTATTTGTCTATAGTTAAATTAATAATGCAGGTATAAAGAAAACAGAAAATACAAATGAAATTCCAATAAGTCCATAAATTCTTGGAAGCTTATCATAATTTGAATAATTCTTTTTCTTTTTTAAATCATGTATTATTTTGGATTCTTTTTTATATTTTTCAGCCATCATAAATTTCTCTTTCTATTCTAAATCAAATTAATATTTAAATATCACATCAGAATTTTTTGTTAAAATATTAATTAAAATTTTATATCTTTCAATATCTCTATTTAACCAAATTTCATCTGTAAATTTAAAAAGATTTAAAAAACTTTCATAAATTGATAAATATTATGTATAATAGTAATAAGTAGCTGACATAAATAAAAAATCCAATACTAAAAATGGAATCCAAATAGATAACCAATTATCTTAAACTATATGTTTTCTTTCTTTAGTATAATCTAATATTTCATTAGTCATATTATCAAATTTATCATGTAAATTTAAATAATTAAAATAGGGATAGGCAGAAAATGGTTAATTTGTTAAAGATGTCTTTTTTAAATAAGCAATTTTAAATTGATATTAATAAGATAATAGAACATTTAAAGATTCTCTAAATGATAGAGTCTTAGCTTCCATTTAAGTTGAATTTTATTTCATAAATTAAACCTCAAATTCTTGATCAGTAAAGAAATCCAATAATTATGGATTAGAGAATTATTCTAAAAAATTCAATTTCATATCATCATATCCTTCTCCTAAATGATTAGATAACCAGGAAGATAATTCAGCAAACTCAACTGCAGTCATTCTAGATGGAACTTGTATTTAATAGTAAATAGTTGAGAATCTTAAGGATAAAAATATATCAAAAGGAGTCATAAAACTATAACTAAATAAAAGCATATCTACTTCTTATATAAACCTATTAAAATCAGTATTCAAATTCTATAATATTATAATACTATAAATTGCAATTAGAATCAATTAAATAAAGAAGAATATGTGACATAATTTATATGAGATAGGTTTAAAATTACTATCGATTATTCCATTTATTAATTCATATTTTTTGTAAAATAAAGACTTCTTTAAACCAATTAATGAAGAAACCTAAGAAGCAGCATCATCAACTTGTTAATTTGGTTAATTTTTCTAATCAATTTCTAATTGTAATTGCATTTTAATATTCTCTCTCATCTCTTTATCAATTTTATTTAAATCAACATCATATAATTAATTAACATCCTTCATCTGATTTTAAAATCCTTCACTTATTTTGCTATTAGATTAATCTAATTCTTATATCTCTTAATTAAAGAATCTCTATTAACCAAAAGATTTGCTTGTATCAATTAGTTTACGAATACTTTAATTTGGAGTAATATCAATAGCATTACTGTTATGTTCGATATTTTTATGATTATCAAATGATTATTCATTATTGAATGATTAATTCAATTTAATCAAATTATCAGCAAATGATTATTTATTATTTACAAGATGTTAAACTAAACCTACATGCATTTTATGATTCTAAAAGGAATTATTCTCTATATCTTATTAAATTTCAGATAAAGATTATTAAAATATATTTAATGATTATGGTTTATTAATTTCTGCTTCTGTTTATGATACTTCTAGATCACTTACTTCAATTTCATTTGTATTATCTTAATCATTTATTTATGTTATCATTCCTTTTCCATCCGAATGAGACATATGTGATAATGTTTGATTCTATCTTAAATCTTCTATTTCTATTATATAATAATAATATCCATATAATTCTCTACTTGATATTATTATTGTTCCTTTATAGACTGATAAATTTCCAGGATCTTTCCAAAAATCATGAAAGGATAAAATAGTACGAGATTCCTATCCAATCAATAATTTTTTATTCAATAAATTAATTTATACATTGTAAAATTTATTGTCTTTTATTTACAATTTCAATTCATTAAAATCTGGTATTATTGAATTAATATTTATCTAATAGGAAGTATTAATTAATTTTGGATTTAACTTAATTTCTGAAGCCTTCCATCCTGATCTTTCCAATAGATTGGCAGTTATACCTCCACATATTCCATTAACATCAACTAAAATATAACTATTTCCAAGTGAAACTTCTTCAAAAAATGCTGCAAATGATAAATGTTCTGTTTAATTCAAAACAATATCAAGTATCAAATTGAATGGCTTTAAAAATCCATTTTATAATTCGAGAAAACTTATATCAATATTTCTAAAATATTTACATTTTCCATCATTCATAAATCTTTAAACTAACATATAATGTTCATTTTTTATTGCTATAGGTAATATTGAATCAATTATTTTATTTTATTTTATGAAATCTTCATAACTTTATTATAAAAATTAATGAGTATTATTACTAAATTAGGAAATAACTAAAGTTGATAAATTATCTGATAAATATAAAATCATATGTACTACATTTTTACCAAATAAATTAATTTTCAAATTCTTTTTCATATTAATTAGTTTATCATCAGCTATTGTACTAAAATTTGATAATTTAAATGCTGATAAATAATTATTAAGGATTTCTGATTAAAAAAAACAATTTATTGATTAAATCTTTTGACTTGGAAATTAAGAATATTAAAATAATAGTTCTTTTTCCAATTCATAAAATAAATTTGATATTATTTTTGCATTATCAAATAATTATTGTGATCTTAATCCCTTTTTATTGAGTATCATATTATAAAATTATAATTTTTATTATAAACACTTTAAGATTTTGTGTTTGACCATCTAATTTTATTATTCACTCTATAAATATAATTCTATAGCATCAGCAATTTCTTCTTATTATTTTGTTTATTATTTAAGAAAATTATTCTATAATTCTAATTTAATATCTTTGCTAATTATTTTCAGTTTTATTAAAGAAAGTTAATCTAAAAAGTTATTTCGTATATTCAATTTTATTTTTTATTATTTTTCAATAGATTTAGCATTCATCTCTTATAATTTAGCTTGATTAACTTTATTCTATGATTCAGATGATTATGAAGGAAAACTTTATTAATGACTTTAAGATAGGGAATTTGCATCACTATGACTTAAAAATCCTCTATTTTAATTTGTTGATAATGATAATAAACGATTACATTCTTAAAAAGCTAAAGTAGTGAATCCAAAATGATTTAAAGCACTAATATAATACACAAAAGAATTATTAGATGAAAAATCTTTCTTTTAGTTCAATTCCTTATTCCAATGTTTAATTTTTTAAATTATAAATTGTTTATGTAACTTTTACGATAAAAATAGAACATTAGATGGATTATCTGTACTATTTCTAATTGTATTACAATGACATATTTAATCATTACATTTTTATCTATGATGATATAATAAAATTGCTTAAGATACCTAATCTATCCCTTCTAAATTTCTTTATTTATTATTAATTTAATATGAAATATAATGAATTATTTTTTATACATTTTTTTCTAATCTAATACCTTGATATAAATTCATTATGACTTATTAACGGTAAGTGAAACTAATAGAAATACATAATGGTATTAAAATTAAACCTAATTGCCAATAATTTAATAATGATGTAGCTATAATTGCAATTAAACTTATATGGATAATCAAAATTATCTATGCAAATCTTTCAATAACAATGGATTTATCAATTATTACGTTAAATATATAAGTTAAATTTACAAACAAAATTAAAATTCCTTATACTATTTGTGCCTTATCACAATTATTTAAGATTCCAAAAAGAATTAATTAAATTAAAATTATCAGTTCTCTAAAAAAATCAAATTTCGTAAAGTATAATCTTTCATATCCTTTAATTGTTAAATCTAAACAAGTGTTACTAACATAGAGTTTAATCATTTGATTAATTAAAGTAATTATTACAGTTATTATACTAAATATTGAAATATCAATATTCATGATTCCTTCAGAAACTCCAAATGATGTAAATGATAATACTTAAGCTGGAATATAAAAGTAAATGATAAATAGTTAAGAATATATTGATTTAATATTTATGACCATATTTTAAAATGACCCAGAAATTTCAATTTAATTGCTTTGATTGTCATTTTATTTTCTACTGATTATCTAATAAATCACTTATCCCTGTAATACTAAAATGTCAAAAAATAACCAGCATATTAATGGAATGAGGAATAACAATTTATTATCTATACCAATCATCTAATTATCTATCCATATTAAATCTGGTCTTATGAAGTATATTAATATAAATTTATTATAAATCTTGAAAGAGGCATTATAACAAGGATATAAATAGAAAAATGCACTCTGCAATTGTCCTAAAAGAAAAAAAAAATATGTGAGTGTCTAATACATAATATACTGCTTTTAATGGATAACTATTAGCATTCTTAAATTTGTTTAAAGGTATTTTCTTATGAAGTTTTATTCTTTTTATTTTTTCATTTATTATCTATTTTATAAATTTGAATTCAATATTTTCGAGTTAGATAATTATTTATTGCTAATTGATAATAAAAATAATCTGAATAATCTTAAGATCTTATTTAGAGTAATTTGCCCCCTTATTTTAAAAAGGATCAAATACTTTTCAGAAATCTAACAAATTTTCCTTAAGATAATAGAGTTTCTTATAGATTACATATTACAATATTCTTATATAATTGTTTACTTAACTAACTAACTTTTACAATGAAAGTTCTTTAATTCTAAATTTAAATATAATATTACTATATTATTTTCAGCTATAATTTAATATGTTTGTAACTGATATGAATTATATGGAAATTCTAAGAGTATATTAATTATTTATGAAAATATGTAAAGTATAATAGAATTGTATTTTGTTTTTAATTTAATGGGGAACTTGAAATTTGCTGATATTTTTATTTGATATTTATATGAATTACACAGAAATAAAAATTATTAATAATTTTAAGCAAAACCATGTCAGAAAATATCTAAAATAGAGTTTCATCAATTTTTGAAAAGCTTAATAACATTTCAACAAGTGTTTAAGATGAGTACATAAGTTTTTTTATATTTAATAGGAAAAATAATCGATTCCATACTATTAGCCAATTAATAATGGCATTTGAAGCTTAATTATAGCATTAATCTGACTAAAAGGAAGAGAAATTTGCTTATATTGCTCAAAAAGTTAGATAATTAACAGAATTTTTAGAATAAGAATAAGAAGAGTAAAGATGTTTAATAATTATGATAGTCGTGAAAGATAAGAAAGTGAAACCTTTAAATTGATAACAGATCTTGAAAGACATGCCAGAAGATTAATTGAACAAAATTCTAAGGACAGAGTTGAACAAGAAAAAAAGATAGTTTATACTATAGGATAATAAATAGAAAGTTTATAATAAGAAGTTGTAAAAGAAGGATTGGTATTTTATTTAATTAATATTTTAGGCTCAATCTACATCACATGAATATATTGATTCTTATTTGAATGAAGATCTACCAAAAATAGCTGATGAATTATAAAATGAGATAACAGAAAGAAAAGATGTTGAAGAAAAAATATATCACTAATTTGTGGAATAATTAAATGATTTAAGAGAATTATTTGAAAGGTATAGAGTATAATTAATCAATTAATAGAGAAAAGAAAGAAAGAGAAGCCAAAGAGGAAGAAATAGTAGAAAGTTTAAGAGAAATCTCTGGAAGAATTTAAGAATAACTTAAAAAAACTAGAAATGAAAGAGAGAAAACTGAAGAAACTTTAGTCTAACTAGTCGAAAAAGTTATTGAAAAACTTAAGAGGGAAATGTTAGAAATGAACTTATGATATTGTCATCAAATATTATTATTATATTTAATTTATTATTTTGATTTATCCAAAAACAAATTGATTTTAAGATTCTAAATTCATTAAATAAACAAAATGTTAGGATTTCATCAAAAATTCAAAATTTCAATCTCATCCTTTGGTTTTGATACATAAACACAAGCATATAAATTTTATGCATTTATATTCATTTCTATTTGACTTTTAGACTCATTTAGTTTTTCAAATATAATTAAGTTATTCAAAGGATCATGACTAATTTTAATAATTTAATTTTGATTAAAACAAAATCCAATTTTTTTAAAATTAAATTTCCAATCTTTTGAGTTATAAGTATCTATAATTAATTAATTATATTACATCCTCCACTTGATATTAAATAACATCCATGACCTAAAGAATTCCAATTACTTATTTAATACTATTATTATTTAATAACTTCTAATTCACAAAATCCTATTGCAACACTCTAACCTATATGCTTATTAATTTTAAAGGATATAGTATACATTTATTTTAAAGTAGATTGAGCTCTCTTACTATTGATCTAATATTGGGTCAATCACTGCAAGGGAATTCATAATCACTTTATCTAATCAATGAATTATCATCCATAATACTTTGTTATATAGTGAATTTATTCAATAATATAATAGAGTCATTTTTATATTCATTACTAAAAGTATATATTCTTTATAGTTAATCTATAGGTTTTGTATCTTAAAAAAATTATTGATTAAATGTTGTCTAAATATCCCCATTATTTATTCTATAAAATTTTTAAATATAATCTTAAATATTTTAAAATTAATAGATATCAATATCATCAATAACTTTACATAATTACTATTCTTTTTCCTTTAAAGAAATTAATGAATTTTATATAATTCTAACTTTATTTTAATATTTTTCCTACTATTGTTTAATCTAAAGTTATTCTAATAATTAATTACATTTTTTAATTCATTTATAACCTTATCTCTAATTTTATCTATTCTTACTACTGTATGTTAAATATTTTAAGTTTTAATGCATTCCTCACAAAACAAATTTTATTTAGAATTTACATGAAAATTTAGATATTCCATTTACTTTCCATGATCTAAACAAGTGACATTTTATTGCATAATTTTACAAAAAATTTAATGTTTTATTAAAAAAATAATTATATTTAATTAAAATTATCTAAATAAGTTAGTCTTAACAATTTTTTTATGCTTCTCATATTAAATTCTTAATAATAAGATTAATATTAGGTGTATTAATGATCATTTTTGAATAATTAAATAATATGAAATTAATGACCTTTTTAAATAGAATTGATAATAAGTTATACAATAGATCTATTAAATATATTTGGAATGTCTTCTTTATAGAAATCCTAGTAATTTTATATTAGAATATACACTAAATATTAACGACTAAGTGAATTATAAATAATAATAATATAAAATATTTTGCTTGCAAATGATAAAGTCAGTTATTTCTAATAAAGAGAATTAATTTCATCGTGTACATTAATAAAGAGCGGCAAGAAAAATTGTAAAGTATTAACTTTTATTTTCAGATTAATAAAATTGGAAAATCAACACTTAATTAATCACCAATAAGAAAAAGAGTTGAAAATACTGCTTAATAAACTTTAGAAGCTCTTAGTTCTTATCAAAATTTATATGATAATTAACATAGAAATGATATATGTAAATATTTTGATTATCAAAGTAAAACAACCGAAAAGTAAAATCAACTTTACTCAATAAGAGATAGTTGGTTGGGATAATGAAAATTAAATATTTGATAAACCATAGAAATTAACAACAGATTAAAGTGTTTAGACTAATATTAGTTAAGAAAAAACACGAAAATCCATTACACAATAAACCTAAAGAATTAAAACAATTCCGAGATCAATAGAAATTAGATAAAAAACTTCAAAAACTCCATTAAGAACTACTAAAATTACTAGTCCTCTTATTGAGTATCCTACAATGTAAAAGTTTAAATTGTTTTTTGATAAAAATATTATTAAATAAGGAATTCCTTAATTAATTATATGTGATAGATCATTGAATACTGTTGATGGATTAAATTGTATTAGTTTCAATAATGTTACATCAAAGTAAATACCACATAAAAGAAATCTAAGTATATGTGCAGGGAATAAAATAAATAAAGTAGATATTATTAAAGACATTACACAAAACTTATGATTTTGATTTATATTATATATACTTAGACAATTTATAATTGTTGTTTACAACTCTTTATGAAGCTACTAATCAAAATTTTTATCTATTTAAATAAAATTAATTAATTAATATTAATTTTGATGTCGTAAGCAATTCAAAATACAGAAGTATGTTAACTTGGTTTAGAACTAGTAAATAATGTATATTTATATATAAATAAAGATAATTAACTATTCTAAGAAAATCAATCCTTAATATGACAAGAAAGAAATCAACAAACAATTCTAAAAAGAAGATGCTACTATTTGTTTTAATATTATATGTCAATATGTGGATTAATTAATAATTGAACATGAAGAATTATTAAATTCATATTAAAATTTAGAATAACAATTAATTTAAAAAGAAGCTGAAGCTAGAAGACATATTTAGATTGAATAATAATTAAAACTATATGCTGAAAGTTTATTAGAGAATTCTGAAGAATGTTAAAAATAATTAGACAGTTTAAATTATTAGATTATAGTACATATATTAAATATAAGTCCATTTAAAAAGAAAATATTTGTCTAAAATAACAATTAAGGTCAAATAAAAATTAAAGAATTTTAACAGATAATAGCTAAGAAAGATTTAACACTTTTATTTAATAATAGAAATAGTTAATTAATGAAATTCCATCAAAAAAAAGATCTTTAGATTCATAAAAGTAAAAATTAATTAATTCTTTTAGATTTAGAATTTCATAAACTTAAAATCATGATAGAATGTAAATGATTTGTAATATATACCAAAAAAAACCATCAATTTAAATTAAGTAAAGATCAAATACTATTCATGTAACAGATTTTCCATCAAAATTTTAAAAATCCCAAAAATACAGAACTAACAATTGATAACACTGTTGTATCTATGGATATTTAAAAATTTAGAATAAAATTATAAGATTAACTTAATCTCAAAATAAATAAGTTAACTTTTCAAATATTTAGTTTAATCATATAATCAAATCCATTTGAGTCTTTTACCATTAAGCCATTCTCCTTTCCTTGCTTTTCCAGTCGAACTAGTATATTCACCTATTCCATGCATTTTCCCATTTAACCACTAACCTGAATAGCATCGAGAATCAGCTAAATAAAATGATCATAAAATTACGCCATGTTATAGTTCCAAATCCATGTTTTTTATCCTCTAAATAAGATCCTTCATATCGAGTTCCATCTTACCAAATCATTATACCTTATCCATTCATTTTACTCTATTCCCATTAACCAATATATTATTTTTTATTAGGCCAAGTATATTTACTAGATACAATATATTGATGTAATAGTACCCCTTCCCTGAAAAATAATTACTTTAAAATTAGCCTTCATACTGAGATCCATCTGGAAATATAAAAAGTCCTTCTCCAAATTTTTTACCTTTTTAAAATTATCCTTTAAAAATTGAAGAATCTTTAAAATATTCCTCTCCATATCCGTGCTATATATCGAATTCCCAATTTCCTTTATATTTAGTTCCATCTGCATGATAGTATTCACCATATCCATGAACTAAAATTATGAAAACTTAATACGTTAATCGTCCAACCATTCACCAACATAATAATCTCCATCTGGATATATCATTCTTCCTTAACCTTTAGATTTTCCTTTAACGAAATAGCCTTCATATAATGCTCCATTTTTCATTATCTATGCTCCTAAACATATTGGATATGATTACCTTTTCCTTCTCTTAAACCTTCTATCCAAGTACCTTGATATATGGATCCATTTTTTAGTTCATAAACTCCATAAAAGTATCCTTCCCTTTCTTCTAGATCTAAAGGTGGTAATTCATTCTATAATTCCTAGAATGTTTAAACTTGTATTTTACTCTAACTTTTTCAGAAATAGTTTCAAACAACTTAGATGTCTCCCAAGCTTCTGCCTTATTTGGTCTATGAAATTCTAACTCTTCTGAATCTTCCATTTACTTAGTTTTTGCTTGAGAAAATGCTTTATCCACTTCTAAAGAATGCGTAGCCTAATTTATATTAACCTATTCTTCTGTAATGATTATGGGTTTCTGAAATAAATTTATTGGAGAAACCTCATTTGTGATAGGAATTGATTCTTGACAAGAACATTACCCCATTTATGATTAAATAATTTCTCTAATTATGGAACGATTCAATTAAATATAATCAACAAACTATTTAACTTTGCTTTTCTTTATATTTATTTTACATTATTTGTATGTCATTAGCCTAATTCATACAATACAGTCAAAAAACCTTTTTAAATGAATTTTGGAATACTCTTCGACCAGAATCACAAGTAAACTTTCCATTTTCATATCTCCGTAGTTATTTTATGACAGAGGAAATGAAATTTTCATCTTTAGAGAATTGAATCAAATATTTATAATCTAAAAAAATCAACTCAATAAAGTTGTGCGTATAAAGATCCCTTATAATGGAATGATATATAGTATGAATATTTAATAGGATTACTCATATGTTGCTTATTAAACATCTGAAAATTAATTAGTAATTTATTATCAAATATTGTTTAGTACATATTTTCAACCAGAGCAAACAGATAATTCTTTTACACTGTGTAATCAGAAAAGAATTCATATATTATTCAATTTGAATGGGCAAAAGGTTCATTAGGAATATTTGACATTATGGTTGTAGAAAATCATGGTATACATCTACTTAAAATTGATGATTAAATAAAGAAAGTCAAGTTTTTATAATAAAAAATTACTTGCTCTTGGTATGAACCAAAAAATGAGGTTCTAGCAACATGTAGTAACAATCATAATGGATTAATATCTACTTACTTTTTTAAGGATAAGAAAAAGGATTTCAAATACAAAGGACCAGATTTTTATTTAGATGATTTTGAACCCAAAGATGGTAATTCACCTTTTGCTTCACTATTCAAATCAAAAAAAATAGACACTCCTTAATTTATAGTACCTACAGATAAGAAAAACAAAGATTTATGTTAAGATGAATTGATATCAGATTCAATCTATAGAGTCTATTTAATTCACATATATGGTAAATCACTTTTGGCCTTTTCCAATTCATATAGTGGAAAATTGTTATTTTATTAATTACAATATGAAAAAATTACTAAATAAAAATATCTGCTTAATTTTCCATCTGATATAACAGTAATTAATTTTTATTAGATATTAGATTAATCTATCAGTTATTGATAATCTTATTATATTATCTACCTTCAATGAAAAATTCTCAATTGTTTTTGATGTCAAAAAATAAAGATCAGAATCACCTTTAGGAGCTGCTTAATCAATTTTTGAATAATAAGAAATTTCAACTATCAAATTTAAAGAAGTAGAAAAATAGCATATAGTTCACTAACATCAATAGATTAAAGATTCTTAATAAAATGAATCAACCTAAAAAAGTTCAAGCAGAAGTTTAGAAGATATTTAAAATGATTAGGATTAGATTTAAAAAGGATAATCTTCAAATAAATAATTAGAACTTGATGAAAAAGTTGATGATAAAATAATGGAAAATAAAGACTCATCTAAATAAAATATTGATGAATAATAGAATGATTAATCTTTATTATAAGAAAATTCAAAATAGATTTAGTAATTGTAATAGAATGAGGAAGTTGAATAATGTAGTAATATGTATTTTAAATCTGATATTTAAACTTTGATCAATGAAATAAAATCAGCAGATGACTATTTTTCAACATTTTTAGTAAAAATGAAATGGTGTGCTCTTACTTAAAATAATGTATAAATTCAAAGCAAAATTTGTAATATTAATATTAATTTTTAGATGAGTAAAGTTGTAATTATTAGGAAGATGATTTAATAATTAATTATAAAGAAAAGTAAATTTATTAATTTACATTAAATTTAAAGTACTTACCAAATACCTTTGATGATGAATCAGATGCATTTTGTGGATTATTAAGAAGAAATAATTGCAAAAATGCTGTTTTTGAATTTTTAATTTAATTAGCATTGAATAATAAACCAATTAAAGTTTTTTAGAATATTTTTGAAATTTTTGTGAGAGTCTTTTCAGAAAATATTGGGATTACTCAAAATGATAAACACTATAATGGATGCACAGTTTTATATCCATAAGATATCAAACTTCATTTCTTTTAAGTCTTATCTGAAGATGAAAATATGAATAAATAATTCTTAATAGAGATTTTCATTGAATTTATAAGATAATTTTAGGAAATATTAAAGGATTATACAATAAGTATTATTGAAATTCAAAAGTTATTAATCAAATTATTAATATAAACACATAGATTTACTCATTTGCATTTCTTAGTTTAATATTAAGTTCTCCAAGATAATTTAGATTTTGCAAAATTATTGATTGATATAAGTGGCAAGGAATCTATTGTCTTATAAGATAACAAATCTGAACCATATGAACCAGCTTTTTAATTAGGAATAGATATGTTTTTTAGATTATCAAAATATGAAGAACTATTAGAATATCTGTTAAAATATGGAAAAGTATTTGCATAAAGTTATTTAAGTTTCATGACGCAGCTTTTTTGCTTAATAAGATACCTAATATTAGAATGAGATTGCCACCAATCTAAGAAGGCATCAGAAATTCTGATTGTTAAAGAGAAGATTTACTGGCCTTCTTAGAAGATGCTTATAAAAAATAAAAAACTTATTTTAGTGTTGCAGAAGTGAAAACTTTATGATAAATTAAAATGTTAAATTTATATATATTAATAGATATTTGTATTTAAAGTAATTGCAGCTTATAAATCTATTCTATTTTTTTTTCAATTAAATTTCTAGACATTATAAAATATATTGCTTTAAAAGAATTATTAAATTATTTAGATAGTAAATTAATATAATTTAGAATTAAAAAGAAATAATTAAATCACTTATAAAATAAGAAATAATTTATGATTGCATAAAGATATTAGTCTATATAAAGATTAATTTACATTTAATATTTAAAATATATATATATTAATGTGATGATATAATTAAATATACTTTGAAAATTCAAAAATTGAGGTTTAAAGGATAAAAAATTATGAAATTTCATAATTTTATCTGTTATTGTAATTAAGCTTATACAAAGATTATTAAAATTTTGAATAGATTTAAGAAAATATAAAAATAAGTACATTTAAAGGATTGAAATTTCAAATAATATCAATAATTAGTATACAGTAATTTAATTGGTTATGTGTATGCAAATCATAGCTGATCTTAAGGGGTATAATTTCAATCAATATGATTTATATTAATAATACTGAATGATATTCCAAATTGGACAGTTTCAATTACAATCCAAAGATGGGTGATATTGCGATGAAAAAATATTTAATAATAATTTAACAATTAAGGTGTCATTCATCGTTAGCGTATGAAGTTTTTAATAGATCTTTAAATTCCCCAAATTCGATTAGGCCTGAATTGTCTTTATCGACATCTCTGATGAGACTTTCTATATCAATTGTTAACTCGAATTCAGATTTAATAATTTATACTAGTTTATCTGTACTTATCTATTGATAAATGAAAAATTGATACTGATCCTGTTTTATCTGGGTTTCCTCCCATGGCTACAAAGGCATCAATTGTGTCTTAGTCATCATCTAAAATGATTTAGATAATACACTTACCATCTTAGTTGGAATACTTAAATTTCCAATACACACCTAAGAAATCACTGAATCTAATGAGTCCTGTATTTGTTTCTTCCACCTCGCTTATGATTTTGTAGAGTTCATTTTCTGATGGTTTGAAACCGATTTTTTCTAAAGCAATTTTTAAATCCTGACCTCTAATGGCTCCAACACCATCCTAAATAAAATATTGAATTTACTTCATCCATTTCAGCAAATGCTCTTTAACACATATCGATGTCTTCCTCAGTTAAATTCATAATATAATTTTTTGATAATTATTGAAAATATATAATTAAATATTTTTTGCTAAAATTCTAAACCTATTTATATAATTATTATTCAAAGTAGGTTTCATGTCTAAGTCTATAATATTTATACTTTCCATTTAATAATTTTTATTTATTTCTTAATCTTGGTTTTAATCTTACATTTTACTTGATAAAAACTAATTAAATAATTAGATGATTAAGCTAAACAAGAATTACTTCAAATTTATGCTCATCATGATCATTAATGATATTTAAACTTAATCATAAGACTTAGATTTTATTATAAATGGATATTTTTAAAACAATTTATTTGATCCTTATTTTTGTATTTGTTAGGAAAATAAGTTTAGTTTTTTAATTTTGACTTTATAGTAGAATGATATAAAGAAAAATTTTGTTCATATGGATTTATTTTAAACCTTTATAAGTACCTGTTTCGATATTAAAAGATTGAATAATGAATTATTCTAAGAAATTTTAGAATCAAATAAAGATAAAAATAAATTATACAGATATCTGAGCAGAATTGCTAATTAATATCCAATCTTTGACCATCAATCCTTCTGCTCATGCACAAAAGAATAGTTATTTCTTACTATCATCATATACACTAACATATTTCAGTTTTAATTGCGAAAATATTTAACCAATTTTTGATTTATGCTTTAATCAAACTACTTCGCAAACAATTTCTCAATTATCAGCTATAAGTTAGCCTTTTCCTCTCTTAAATGAGTTATAGATTATTTATTTATATATTGTCCCCCTAATCAATTTATATTTCTAATATTTTATTATTGTCTTCTTTTAAGAATTGATGAAGTTAATTAATATTATAATTTATTTTATATTTCATTCAAAATATAGATGAACAATCATTAAACTATTTTAAACCTGTTTTACAGAATTTTAATGATTATATTATTCATTTTTTTATTTATTATATAATGATAAGAAAATAATTTAACCCAAACAGTTGTAATTAAGGTGGCAAATAACAAATTGAAACTTTACAAGAGAAGCATCTAATTGCTCTAATTAATACTAGACCTAGAGTTGTAATAAAAGCACCTCATCCTCATGTTGATGCAAACAAACCTTTCTCCATCAGTTTTAATTATTTTAATGTCTATCCTAGAAGAGAAGCAAGATTTTACAGAAATAAATGAAACCTATCGTAGGGTCCAAGCATTGAAGTCAGGGTATTCTGATTCTAAAATGCCAAAGACATTTAAAATGAAAGAAGCATTAAAGAGAAAAAATAAAGTATCCCAATTTATTCAAGAATAAGTATAAGAATTTAATAACATAAGAATCATTTGAACAACATCAGAGCGTTAGAAAATAATATTTAAGAGATTACCACAAGAACTCAAAAAAATATATAAAGAATCAAATCTAACTCACGTATGCATAGTGTGGCATCATCCATTAAAGAAAACTCGAGAATCAGCAAAAGAGAATGGGAAGAAAAATCATCTCATCCTTTGGAATTTGAATGGAAGTATATTTTCTCTTGAGTTATTTTGAGCGAAAAAAAGACCAGATTCAGCTTTTAGTAAATCAAAATAAAGTAAAGGGGATACACTTTTATCTAATGTTTTTTCATTTGATCAAAGTCTTTTAAAATACTAAACTGCCTCAAAAAGAAATTAACAAGATGCTCCTTTCGATCATGCAGATATTCCATTAACTGAAGATATTTAAGATGAAGATTTTTTTATTTATACTGAAACATAAAAACTTCCAAATGAAAATCAAGTCTAATCACCACATTCTGCTATTATAGATAAGAAAACTAAATCAACAACAAATGTAGTAATTCCATTGGTGAGACCCAATGAAAAGATGAATGATATTAAACGCAAAATATATCAAACCTTAATGGAGTATAAAGTATGTTTTGATATTATTTCTATTATTCTATTAGTTATTTTAAAGAGATTAAGTTTACTAAATTGGATTGGCATATATCAATAAAAATTAATGGCTTGATGAAAATGAAATTCTTTAAGAGTGCAATAGAATATCAAAACAGTTATATGGAGTTGAATGAATTCAAATCTTTGATATTATTAATTTTAATCAATTAATTCTTACCTCCTAGCAACAATAGCTACTTAAATTTGATTTTTTATATTTTATGTATATCTAAACCATTTTTTTCCACCTTAATATTTGAATCTCATTCTATTTTTATAAAATATAAATCTTATCATGTTTACCGAATTATTTACTATTTATCTTAATAAAAATTATAAAGTAAATCTTTAATTAATGGACATCGACCGTCACATTGCATCATTACTTTCAGGAGGATGCCTTCCAGAAAGAGATTTAAAGTTGATTTGTGAAAGAGCAAAGGAAATCTTCTTAGAGGAGTCAAATGTATAGCCAGTGAAGGCCCCAGTGAATGTTTGTGGTGATATTCATGGTATGCTACTATTGCTATCCTTTAAGGGCAATTCTATGATTTGCAAGCATTAATTAAAGAAGGAGGAGATATTCCAGAGCACAATTATATTTTTATTGGAGATTTTGTCGATAGAGGGTATAATAGTGTGGAAACAATGGAATATTTACTTTGTTTGAAAGGTATAAATTCAAATTAATGATCAATAGTTAAATATCCAGGTAATATTGTTTTATTGAGAGGAAATCACGAATCTAGACAGTGCACTTAAGTTTACGGATTTTATGAAGAGTTGTTGAGAAAATATGGGAATAGCAGTCCTTGGAGATTGTTTATGGAAGTTTTTGATTGCTTACCATTAGCCGCTTTAATTGAAGGCTAGATACTCTGTGTACATGGTGGATTGTCTCCAGATATGAGGACAATTGATTAGATTAGAACCATAGATAGAAAGGTAATAGAAATTCAAAAACAAATTAGATTGAAATTCCTCATGAAGGTCCATTTTGTGATTTAATGTGGTCAGATCCTGAAGAAGTAGAATATTGGGCTGTTAATTCTAGAGGTGCAGGATATTTGTTTGGTGCTAAAGTAACTAAGGAATTCTGTAGACTTAATGATTTGACTTTAATATGCAGAGCACATCAATTAGTTATGGAAGGATATAAATATTGGTTCCCTGTATGAATTTTTTCATTTATCATAGGATCAAAATTTAGTTACTGTGTGGTCTGCTCCTAATTACTGTTATAGATGTGGAAATATTGCATCAATTTTATGTTTAGATGAATAATTGTAATCAACATGGAAAACATTCAAGGAAGTACCAGAGAGTGCTAAAAGTATTAATCCAAAGAATGTTCTTCCATATTTCTTATGAAGTATTTTTTTTAATATTGATACATTTTATACATAAATCTATCTTCATACAATTAATATAAATTATATATTTTTAATTGTAATAAATATTCATTTATCTGAAGAGTAGTAAAAACAACTGGAAAATTGATAAATTTATATTTTGAATACAAATAAGAAGCGAAATGAATTATTGATTATAAAATAAATTTATTTTTAATTTTCTTAAGGTTGTATATTATGGAAATTATAGGTAAAATTTAAGATTATGAATCACAAAACATATTAATCTTAATAGAAGAATTAAATAATTACTATTTTAAATTACCTTCTAGTTCAATTTTAATTCTTCAAATATTATACATTTTTCAACAATGAAGATAAGGATTAATAAAAATTAATTTTTATTAAATTAATAGATTAAATTCAATTATTTTTTATGTCTTATAAATTGATGAGGTATTTTTTTTAAATAGTAATTCTTACTACATAAGAATTTTACATAAATCAATTCCAATTTTTTACTTATAATCATAATAGATACTATAAACTTTTTGGGTCCATATAATCTTTCAAACTTATTCTACTTCACTCAGAAGTCTCCAATATTTCATAAATTTTATTAATACTTTCTAGTTATATAATCTAATTATTATGTCATACAAATTAGAATAATAAAAAACTTACATCAAGATAGAATATTGATTACCTAAAAATTGATTAAGCTAAGATAAGTTTTCAGATGTTATGAAAACTTGAGAATAAATTAAAAATGAATTTATATTGTTTAAATAATATTAAATTTAAACTTAAAAATCCTCTTTCATAATTTTTCTGGATTTAATCCTAAAGCTTTACAAGCCTTTTAATAGGCCAACTCAGCTATTTCAATTTTTCTATTGGTGTTTCTTATTTTGTATACCAACTCCTCTTCTTTTCTTTTTTATAAAACATAAGTCATTGCCTTTTAGCATATCAATTTAAGAATACTTTTGGAATATCTTCATTTGTGGCATTGTTGACTTGTTCTAGTTGGATTGCAAATTTTTTCTTTTTTTCTGTTAAAGAGGATATTTGCCTTTTCACCTTTTTTATTTATTCTTAAGTTTTTGCTATCTTTTTGTTTTTATCATCAATTTCTTAAATCAACTTATTGCATTAATCTATTTCATTTTATAGTTGATTTCTTTCTTCAATTAATATTGAAGATATCTTTCCTGTTGCTATCTTTAAACCCAAAAGCTTTTTGTTCTTTTCATCTATTTGTTTAACATATTTTTTATTTTCTATTTACAATTGATGAAAATCAATGAATTTTAAATCATCCCCCATTTCTTCTTTCTTTTGAATCTGATTACTAGTTTTTGTTATTTATTATTCAATATTTGCTTTCTTTTATTTATATTTCTCAATTTATGCATCCTACATCTTAATAAAAAGTATTACCTTTTGGGCAAGTTTTTCCTTAAAATATTTTTCTATTCTTTCTGCTTCAATTTTCCCTGTTCTAGTATTTTCTCCAGCAAATAAAATTTCTCTTTAAAAGTCAAAAGCATCTTTTCTAATTTCTGTAATTGCTTTATCAGTTTCCTCTAAAATGGCCTTTTTTTATTGTTATTTCTCTTACTCTCAAAGTTTCCAATATTTAATCAGATCTGATTCTTCCTTCCTCGATATTCTTTTTTAAAGTGTCACTCTCAAATTAAGCAATTTCATACTTTTCTTCATTAGTCAATTACATTGTCTAAACATAAATATTAAATTTTTACTTTTTTATCAACAGGCTTATCTTTTTTCTTTGTTTTTTGTTTCTTATCCTCTGCTTCCTCTTCTCTTTACAAATCTTTAGAGTTTCTCATAATATAGGATTCGAATAACAAATTCTCTCTTCTTATTTATTCCATATCCTTGTAGAGACCTTCCAATTTTTATGATAATTCTTCAATTAAAATGAGTTCTTTTTCTTCCTCTGTTATTCCTTATTATTACTCTTATATCATTTTAATTAATATTATTATATTACAAATTAACGATGAAGAGGAATGCTCCAAATATATCAAAAGTAGCATCAGATTTGATACAGGCATATTAATAGTTAACAAACCAACCACAAGAAATTATCATCTCTCCAAGATATGAAAAAACTGCTTTATATTTTCCACAATCACGTAGAAATATTAATATATGTATTTTATAGCAATTGAAGAGGAAATTGAAGAAGAAAATTAAATTGATAGTCCTAGAAAAACTATAACAGAGGAGGATGATGATTACCTTAAAGAAATATCAGAACTTCGAAAAATAGTAGATTAGAGTATAAAATTTTAATAAAACAGTGAGAATGAAATACATGAACATACCCTAAAAATATCAACAGTCGCCCTTATAAACTAAGGATTAAAATAAAATCATTTAACCTTAACATAAAAAGGCAAAGAAATAAGTTGTCATAACATAATATTAATCAGACTTTTTAAGACAATAATATGGTAAAATTAAGTGAGTGTTTATATTTTATTAACCTTTTTGTTTCTTTATATTGCAATAAATCGAATAGATCAAAAGATCTCTTATTAAATTACTAATATTTTTTGCTTAACCATTTATATTATTGATAAAATTATACTACTTCCTTTTGTTTTACAATTATATCAAATTAAAATTCATCACTTTTATTCATGTTTTTCTATTCCTTTTTCTAAATTTAAATTGCTTGGATTATTTATAATTAAAATATAATAAACTCTTTTATTATATTATTTTATTGTTTTTTAGACTAAGTTGAAATAAGAGCTATAAAACATTATTTCTATAAACAAAGCGGAAGAATAAAATTTCTGATTCCTATATTTATTTTTTATATTAGAAATTTATTAAAAGAAGATATCCAATTGGAGAATAATATTTTAGATTTTTATTCTTTAAAATAATTCTATCCCAATTGATCAGCTTTTCTCTATATTTGACACTTATCAAACATTAGTCTTATTTGTACATGCTATTATTCTTAAAGGATTAATCATGTAAGAATAATTTATTTGATTTTAATTATAATTAAATTAAAAAACTTTGCAATTTAATACTCAAATTCATTATAGAATAGATTTTAATGACTTATGAGATCATACCAACAAAATATCTTTTTGTAATGCATCATAAATCTATGCATCTATATTATATGTCTATTTTTTGATAAGTTAATACATAAAATGGTGCCTCAATTGTTTAAAGCTTTGAGAAAAATTAACACCATGGTGCGATAATAGAATTATAATTCTAAAATGCAAAAGTAAAGTTTCTAGGTAAAGGAGAACAAAATTTTTGATTTTAGTATTAATTAATTTACTTTTAATTTTTAAACTTCATCGAAAAAAAAAAATAAAAAAAAGTGAAAAGAGAATATTTTTTTGGATTCTAATTAAAATAACAGGAATAAAATGACCATTAATAAAATATGTTCAAATACCAACAACTCTTTGATTGTTATCATATTTTAGAGAATGTACTAGAAACTTATTTTCTTCAAGTTATTTTCTAGAAATTTTTGTCAATTCTGATTAGCAAAAATACCTTATTTTCTTATAATAATTGCTGATATTTATTTTTATAAGACTATTAAGGTGTATTTTCAACCTAAATTTCATTTGTGCTTTTATATTGAATTGAAATTATTCCTACTACTATCCAATGGAATTTTTTTTAAATCAATTAAATGTAGATAGATTCATCATCATTATAATTTATTTTGAATGTAAATAGATATTATATTTTCGAGGAATCAATAATTTAAGAAAATATTATCAATTAATTTTTGGAATTTCGAATAACGATTAATGAATTAACAATTAAAATTGTTCAAATCCTTTATTTATAAGCAAATAGCAAATATTTTGAATCTAATAATAAATATAGATAATGACTAAAGACACAGTGAACAACATAAATACAAGTGCAAATACAAGTTTCAATTTTAAGGAAGTAACCAATAAAGCTTTGAGATCAGGCTTATCAGGAAGCATGGCGATGGTAATCCAAGTTTGTTCTTTAATGTGGCTCAGAACAACAATGAATTACTAATATAGATATGGAGGAACAATAGTAGGAACAATTAAGAATTTATATGGCTAAGGAGGAGTTTTGAGATTTTATAAAGGTATATAATTAATTGAAATTAAGGTTTGGCACCAGCATTGCTACAAGGACCATTGTCTAGATTTGGAGATACATTTGCTAATACCCTTTTCTTAACATTGATGGATTCTTTTGAATAAACAAGAGAATTACCAGTGATGATTAGAGCAGCTGGAGGTTCAGTCATGGCTGGAATTTTTCGTATAGCCTTAACTCCAATTGACACTGTGAAAACCTTACTTTAAGTTGAAGGGAAAAATGGCTTGACTATACTTTAATCCAAAATAAAAGTTAAAGGAGTGCCGGTACTTTATCATGGGGCTTTAGCTACCGCATCAGCTACAATTGTAGGACATTATCCATGGTATAATTTTTCTTTTAACCTAAGGTTTGCTACATTTAATCTCTTAAATGAAAAGCTTCCTGATTATGCAGATAAAAAGAAAAAATTAGCTAGAAGAGCTTTTATAGGTTTTTGTAGTTCCGTCATATCAGATACAATCTCAAATTCACTTAGAGTCATAAAAACAACAAAGCAAACAAATCAAAATCCTATAACATATAAAGAAGCTGTAAATTTAGTCTTAGAAAAAGATGGTATAAAAGGATTATTTGGAAGAGGTTTGAAAACAAGAATTCTTACTAATGGTCTACAAGGATTAATTTTTAGTGTATTATGGAAAGGATTCGAAGATTATCTTAATAGAAGATCATCTTAACAGTGATTTGATGTATTATTTTTACATGTTAATTGTCATTGTAAAGTAAATATTCCAATAAATTATTTAATATTTGAAAATGTACATGCTTTCAGAATTCATTACTTAAAGTAATAGATTTATTGTAAGTATACAAATGTTTAAAGATTTCTATTTTTTGTTAAACATAACTAGAAATACATTATATCATTAAAATTGCAAAAAAATTTCAGAAATCAAATATCATGTCAACTTAATCAATTATCAATTGTAAAATTAGGATCAATAAATAAAATTTAATTTTATGTTTAATTGCTTGGTTTAATTCTCTCCTTTTAATTTATAAATTTATATTAATCCTGTTCTTTAAAATCACAAACTTCAGAATACTACCAAATTAATTAAATCATTCCTATTTCAAAATACCTTTTTAATTATACTCTTAAATTATTAATTATGTGAAAACCCAATAATTTAGAATCAAGCAGATTTTGATAAAGAGTTAATTCTAAAATTTTAGCCTTTATTGATTTATGGTTTGTCAACATTAAACATACAAAAACATAAATTCTAAATACCGAAGACTTTATTTATCTTTTAAATAGCAAAATGAAAATTATATCTGAGTTATTTTATTTTTTGGTCCAAAAATCACATCTACATTTATATTCCTATGTTATGCAACAATTTAAAGTAAAGGTGTTTGTTTCAAATTAACACAATTTTTAATTATCCCATCTTTCGTACATCTTTGCATAATTCTGAAATCTCTCCATCTTGTATCATTAACCAAATATAACATAAATTATTTATTTTTTCTTTTCCGAACCTCATTTTGAGTCTCTTTGGTTTGGAAAATTAAACTACATCAATTTTTAAGGCTATTGAGTTCATTCATCTATTAAACTTCTAATATCAATTTTTCAGAATTTAGATGATTTTATAAATTAATTAAGTTTTATACTAGTTTCTATTTATTTTTCTTTGTTTTAATTTCTTAATTATTTTCTGTATATTTTTATTTCTATTTTTTCCTCATTTACATTTAAATACACAAATAAAACTTTTTTACAAACTTTTGACAAAAAGTATTTCTATTCTGTTATCTTTATAATACATGTTGAAAGGAGATAATTTTATCATCATTATACAAATGATTTAAGAATGAAAGTAGAAATAATGAAACCTAATATTTTGATCAACAAATTATTTTAGCTTTATAAAATATAAATCAAAGTCACTTTTGAAATTTTAATTAATTGCACAAAATTAACATTAGAATAAACTCTCATTAAATGACACTTGAGAAAATTTAAATGCATTACTGAGAAAAAGTTATATGAATAAAATTAATTCTATGTAATAAGTAAATTATATCCTACATTTGATTAATTAAAAAATTGAAATAATGAATTAGGAAAGAATGTAATATGTTGATTAAATAAATTGAAAAGCCAATTTTTTGTAACCAATTAAAATGTAGGAAATGAGTATATTAGATTCAAAATAATTAATCATAGGCAAAATATTGGCTTGTTAAATAAAATAAATCCGAAGTTAAAGAAAAAGATCTAGGAAATTAATAAAAAATAATCAATATAAATTAAACCAGTTACAAAAAAAAAAACATTTTATTAATACTAATTATTATAGATGTCAGAAAATCGTTCAAACTATGTTAATGATTCTGGATTTTGGATCAAAAATCAAATTGGGATGATTGGGTTGAATACTAAAAGTAAAAATTTTAAATTTATTTTATTTAATGTGTTTTAATAGGATTGCAATACTTAAAAAAAATACAATAAACAGTTTCATACGATTTCATTACAATAATGAGATGAAAAACTACTTAGAAATTGAGCAAATCTTTCCTCAGTTAACATTTAAGTTAGTTCTGTTTTAATGTTAAATTCTTATTGATTTTTGGAAGATAATCTTGATGAGTAATTTAAATCCAAAAAGTACTTAAGGAAGTTTTCTAAAACACACTACCTTATCTATTAAATTCATAGCCATAAAAAAACTAATTTAAATTTTGATTTAATACATCTTGTAATTCATTTTTCCTGGTTTTAACCCGACTGCTTTCTTATTATCATACTTATTATTTAGCTCCATATCTTAAAGTGAATTTTATAATTAATAATTTTTGTTATAAGAGTTAAGAATTTTTTTGATAATTTTTTTTTGATATATTATCCTTTAGACCAAAACAAAATCAACTATCTTTGCTGAAATAAATTCAAAAAATTTTCTTCTTCTTTCTCTATTTACAATTATGTCTAAAATGTTGAATAAAGCATAATTAAAAAATAAGTGTATGCTGTCCAAATCAATATTTGCATCGAGATGAAAAAAATTGTGTCTTTTTATTAGTAACAATTGTAATAATTTGCAAATTTTGAAGAATAAATTAATTTAAAAAAAATACAGCTTATAGCAATTCTTGTTGGTATATTGTTATAAAAATTATTATCTTAATCAAGAAATTTATTCTAGAGGCTTCAATTAAATGATATTTTGTTATGTGATTTATTCTCCAGTATTTTCTTAAAATAACAAATAAGATACTTAAATCAATTATGTAGAAAGTTTATTTTAACAATTTAAACATTTAATTTAAAGGCAGTTTTCATCCACTTGTTTTCTTATATGGGTTTCGTAGCAATTCGTACAAGCTGAAGAATTACAAACATCATGTTTTATAAGGTTATCTAGAAAAAAAACAATTTTTTACCTTTAAATTATTCACATTTCCCACATTTATATCCTCTACATAATTAATTCTAATGATTCTTTCTGTCAGATTCTCTGAGCTATTTACTATTAATTCAATATATACAAGCTTTTTTATGATGATTATTGTAACCCAATTAATAATATACAAAATATCTAGTATAAATGCTTTTTTGTGTATATCCCAATAAAGGCTGAGATTTATTTGTTATAATTCTTGTTAAAAAGGTGAATTTTCTCGAAAGTCTTTGCAAGTCTTAAGATGGCGCTTGATATCTACTTAATTTTAGGGAACTTAGTTTGAATTGCAGTCAGAGCAAATAAAAGGAGCAAAGTGTAATAAAAACTCTTCATACTCATCACTGTAGAATTCTTAATTTAAGTTGTTTTAATTTATTTCATCAATTATGATCTCTGACATTGACTTTAGTCCAAGTAAATCAAAATAAGGATACTCTTCAATATCCTTAAGTTACTTTAATTAGCGTAAAAATGGAGAACTTTCTCGGCATATTTGGCAAGAATGTACATGTGCAAAGTATTCCTATGGGTGTAGTTTAATTTTTGTCCCACAATTAGTAATATATCTGATCTCACCTATATTAGCACCTAAAATTGTTTCAGCTTTCATGAGAAATAATAGAATTTGAAATATTGTTATTATTAATACTATATTAAAAAGGAGGTGGAAAATCAATTTGAATAGATAGCCAATATAGCTTTTCGAATAATTTTCATTATTAAATGAAAAAGGAAGTTGCTGATTAAGAAACTGGTTCCAAGAAAATCAATTCAATCTACTTAACTTTATTTTCTTTAAATTTGATTATTTAATATAGAGATATCAAATTCAATATTTTTCAAAGTCTTGGAAGTTAAATTATTTTGAATGGAGCTAAATAATAAAAGCAAATCATATGAAATCTTTTATAAGGTTACAAATTAGAATTTGGCAAAATCTGAAACAATAATATATTTGTGAAGAATTGAGATATTGAACAGTTTAAACTATTGCTAATTAAGAAAAGTGAAAAATCGTAAAAAATACAAGAAGAGAAAGGTAAAAATGAAATTACTAAATGAACTTTTTAACCCTTATTTATAAATAGCATTCAAGAGTATTAAGCAAATAAATCCTATTAATAGATTCATCAATAGAACAGACTTAATAATTCAAGATTAGATGGAAAAAAATGTTATAAATTTAATTCTGTGAAAAATAAGTGTAGTATTGTTAACTTAATCCTTATCATTAATTATAAATAAATTCAAATAAATGTTAAAAAATACGCCCTCTAAAGAAATTCTAAATTATTAAGAAACCTAAGAGGAAACAGACTCAGGGGGTTACACTCTCATTTATGAATAAGAATTAGTGAGTTAAATCTTAGTGGAAGATGGAGATTAATAATAAACACAAGAAACTCTTAATGTGAGAGTATTAATTTTTGGAAATGACTAGAGGCTTGAGAGAATAAAAATTGAATTAAGTTGTGAAAATGATCTATTTTTCCATTTTATTCATGAGTAAACTTATAGAATAAAATTAGCATAAATGAAGAAGCTTTTTAAAAAATCAAAGATGAATAGCAACTAACTGCATCTTTTATCGATTATCCTGCCATTTGTATAAAGTGTCTAGACAAAGCTCATAAAGACCCCAATAAATATAGTGCTGTGTTAAGAATTACCCAAGAGGGCAATGCTTTTATAGAAATAATATAAAAAACTGAATACAAAAATGTCGAATTAATTCAATTCTAATTTTTCTCTTTGCCTGAAGAATCAATTCGTATGACTATTACAAAGAAATATTAAAAAATCTAACAAAAGCTACAATAGACGGAAAATAAATTATAGGATGTAATGATATTTTTAGTGATTATTTTTTAGATTAATGATGTTGTTAAAGTAAAAAATCCTCAATTGCTTTTACAAATTTAAAGAATGAACAGATGATATAAAATAAAAATTAACTATTCATTCGATTATAATTAATAAGAATAATTAAGCAAGGCTGATGAAATAGATGACTATAATGAACCTCTTTTAAAAATTCAATATCTATAAAAGTTATTATTGATATTTGTTAATATCATATTTTTTAATTTTTTTTTAGGCTAATCGCTAGAGATAATTTCCACTAACTTATGATTGTTTAGAGATTTGCATTTTTCATAAGGTTTTATTAAATAAAAATATTTATTTATTTTATATATTCAATTTTTCTTTTTAATAAAGGAAATTCGTACCCAATTAATCATAATCTACATTATTTAGAGATCTAGAAAGAAAGAAAGAAAGAAAGAAAGAAAGAAAGAAAGAAAGAAAGAAAAAGAGAAATCATATCGTTAAAGCCTTTTTTGAAAAGAATCTTATAAAACTTTTTTTATGGTAAACAAAGATTGATATCAATTTCCAAATGATGTAAAGATAAAAAAGTATAAATGTGATATCTTAAAATTTTATTAAATCAATTCTTAATTGTAAAGTAAATTAAAAAGTTTGTAACAATTATTCAACTTAGAATTTAGTAATTTTTGAACCAAAAAGCATTTTATTATAAATTTCAAGATAGCACATGCATAAATAAGCATGTAATTGCTTACAATGATTCTAAAAGCTAGACTAAAAAACTAAATTGGAGAAATTCGTTATAAATACTGAGATCAAATTAAATATATGAAGTTTTCATATTATTATTTCAGAATTCGGAATTAAGGCTTAGATTCCAAATTTTTCTATACTCATTGGAAGTATGTCCTTAATAAATTGAGTTTGTTCATCTTTATCAGATAATTATTTGATTTCATTTCTATTTAAAGTGAAAACTCTAAGCAAAACATCAAATATAATTTATTCTCCTTAAATTATGAAGATATCTAAAATTTTAGCCGAAAATTCAATTGGAGTTTTGTAACTCATCAATCCAAAAAAGTATTGATCCATAAAAAATATAAATGGTTAATCCAAATTGCAAATTATTTTATATATATCTGGAAGATTCTGTTGCAATAAAAATTATAGATGTTAAACCATCGATTTTAACTTTTTCATAGATTTATTGTATGTTTATGACCAATTCATTTTGATATTTATAAATAAAAACATTTGATAGGCTTTCATTTCCCCAGAAAATAAACTGTTGCTATCATCCAATAAAAAGAGTAAAAGTCCCATAATATAATTCATTCCTTAAACATATCCAATACTTGGGTCTTAGTTAGCATATGCTCTCAACAAATAAAATAATCTTCGTTAATTTAAAGAAAAGAAGTCATTTAAAATTTTTTCATCTATGATCGATTTTATACTATCCAATTGTTAAGAAGCTCTTTAAACATGCTTTTTGCTTGATTTTCTTTTACTTTTATAAAATTATAGGTGAGAGTGAGTTCTTTCAATATCCCTAAAGATTATGTTATCTTAAGCACATGGATTTTAAGCAAACAACTTATAATCTATTGGAGGAGGAACGGTTTTATTTGCAATCCAAGGATAAATAATTGATCTTAAAGATGGATCAAAATTTTTTTTTAATTAACTTAAAACTTCATGTCTATCCATATACTGGAAGTCAACATTTTGTACATACTCCTTCCATTAATCATCTTCCCATTTCTTTTCACTAGGAATTATTCGAATAAATTAATCATTTGTTGCCAAGTCCAAGTCATGATTGTCTTATTATAATAATTACTTGAGTTTAGAATAATAATTAAAAATCATAAAAAATAATTAATTAAATTTTTCTGCAATAGCTTCAATAATTCCAACTCTTTTCAAGAATCAATCAAAGTAATTTCAAAATTAGGGGTAATATATTTACCGGTTATTCTGCCTTCCAGCTAAATTTTTGATGAGGATTATGTTTTTATTGAGATTGATAAGCATCTAAAATTGTTGTATTTGGATGAAATGATTTTATACGAAAAAAATACACTTAATTGTTTTTGATGCTTATAAATTAATGTAATAATAATATTAACAAGTAAATTCATCCTTGAATTAAATTCATTTATTTTATTTTTTAAACAATAAAATTTTGTATTTCTATTAGGATAAAAAAAATATTAGCTAATACTTGAAAATGAAAAATAGATTATAGATTAGGTACTTATTTCACTAAAAAGTTAAAGGGATTTTCACATTTTTTGCTTTAAAAAATTGATCTTGATAAATAGTAATAACAGCAGTAAAGTTTATTGATGTAGCTTTATGAAAGAGCTTCATAAGTTCATTAGCTATGCTTATCAGGCTATTTAGTTGTAACCAAATGACCAGTTTAGGATTTTTTTCTTTAACAATATCATTAATAAGACCCATATAATTGATTTAATATTTTA